GGGACCTATTCACTCAAACCCAAAAAATGTAACTTTAAGGTGAAGGAGGTAGACTTCCTCGGTATGATAATAGGCCAGAACAGAATCAGGATGGATCCTGAGAAAGTTCAAGCTATTTTGGATTGGCCTGAACTTACTTGCATCAAAGGAGTTAGGGCTTTCCTTGGCTTAGGCAATTCCTACCAAAGATTTATCGAAAACTTTGCAAAGATAACGAGACTGTTGAACAATCTCACTAAAAAGGACACTATTTGGCACTGGGGCACCAAAGAACAAGAAGCTTTTGATAGGCTTAAACAGGTGTTTACAACGGCGCCTATATTAGCATTTCCAGAATTAGACAAAGAGTTCCGGCTAGAAACCGACTCTTCTGATTTTGCTACTGGGGCTGTTCTATCAATTAAATGCTCCGACAATCTTTGGAGGCCTTGTGCCTATTTATCACATAGTTTGTCGCCTACAGAGCGCAACTATCAAATTTACGATAAGGAGATGCTGGCCATCATTAGAGCTCTAGAGCACTGGCGGCACTACTTAGAAGGTGCTAGGCACCAATTTGAAATTTGGACCGATCATAAGAATCTGGAGTATTTTATGACGGCCCAAGACTTGAACCAGAGACAGGCCCGCTACGCGGTGTACTTGTCTAGGTATAATTATAAATTAATTCATAAGCCTGGAACTTCAGTGGGGAACCAGACACTTTGTCCAGAAGAGAGGATCATACAAACAACATCGAAGATGACAACAAAGGTGTCACCCTGATAGACCAATCAAGGGTTGCCAATGTTTGAATTGGGCAGGATTCCGATCTTCTGGAGGTCTTCAAGAAAGACATCTCCTCAGAAGAGACAATGCGTCTTGATGACAATGAAAACTATTTGTGGGAAGACGGGCTCTTCCATTTCAAAGACAAAATCTATGTGCCTGAGTCCGCAAGGATCAAGGCAATAGACAGACATCACGACACTCCAGTGGCTGGGCACCCTGGGTGGAAACGAACAATGGAGTTGATCTCCAGAAACTACATGTGGCCTGGCATGGTCAAAAATGTACAGGAGTATGTAAAATCCTGTCTGAGATGTGCCATGGCAAAGAATTCACATCAACCGCCGGCCAGTAAATTTATGCCAAATCCAATACCAGCTGGTCCTTGGCAGGATATATCGGTTGATTTCACAACGGATCTGCCCGAATTGAATGGGTATGATTCAGTAATGGTGATAGTAGATCAATTCTCCAAAGAAATGGTGTTCATCCACACCAACAAAACCATTACCGCCGCTGGTACGGCAGATCTACTTAAAGATTTTGTATGGTCTATCCATGGATTGCCGGAAACAGTTATCTCCGATAGGGGACCACAATTTGCTAGCAAATTTACAAAAGAGTTATGCCGGATGCTGGGCATCAAACCTAAATTATCAACGGTGTTCCATCCGCAGACTGATGGACAAACGGAGAAAGTCAATCAAGAATTGAAAAAATACCTCCACATATTTATTAATGACAAGCAGACGGATTGGGCCAAGTGGCTAAAGATAGCCCAGTTCTCATACAATATCAAACAGTCGTTGGCTACAGGAAAAGCACCATTTGAGGTCACGAGTTGTACCTTCCTAGAATGGGTGTAGAACCTGGGAAAAGCAAGAACGAGGCTGCTGGGAACATGGCCAAGGACATGAAGTCCATCTTAGACGCAACGTGCAAGGCGCTATTCAAAACTGCAGAGCAGATGAAAGACAGGGCAGAGTATAGACACTCTAAGGGCTCATACGGGAACCTTTTTTTTCTTATTTTTTCTTATTTTTTTGCATTTTTCTTTCGGCAAAGACCTTGCCATTCCAGTGGAGACTGAATTATACAAAGCCCCATGGCTGATTGCATGATACTGATGGTAGGCTGAGTACTATCAGGTATACTGTTGCTCCTATGAACACAAACACTAACCCTGCAACCCGTATGGATGAAGAGGAGGACTTGTGATTTGGAGGGGGTAGGAGGATTGGATGTTGTAGCCAATCAGCATTTGATAGTAGACTAACAGCGGGTTCACTCGGCCAAGTTACAGATATCGAGATTCATGTCACTCATCATTGAATCAATCACACGCACCCCTCAGGCTATATCAGAAGAACAATCACAACGCCCAGAACCAAGGCCGTACCATAATTCAATCTTGACAGGCTATGGGTGGGTTAGGGAGCTAATAGATGGGCATCCTGATCGTATCAGGACTGAGCTTGGTGTGCGGCAGGAGGTGTTTGTAAAACTATTAGATTTATTGCAGGCCCACGGATACACAGACTCCAAGCACGTCTTGATTGAAGAGCAACTTGCCATCTCTAAGAAATCAATACTAAAGCATAATAAGTAAATGAAGATGTGAAAAAAAAGACTGTATCTACTAACCTCAGTTTTGTGCAATACAAACTGATGTGTAACTATTCTAGAAACGAGCATAAAAATGAGAAGGAAAAGTCCGAGTTTTTGGATCCCAATGGGGAAACATTCTCCCATAACTAAAAGGTGAAAAGTCGGACTGTAAATGAATTATTTAGTACTTGAAATATTAGCGTAGGCTCAAATAAACTGTTGAATCATGAAAATGATATATTGAATATATAGAAATATGCCTACACCATCTTCCTGTATACCTGTGTGACAGGATTTCCATCCGCTGTCGATGATGAGAACTGTTGTTAGAAAACCACACACAAAACAAACTAACACACAATCCTCCCAGATTCCACGGAACTTGTTTATGGGCTTTGCCTCCTAGAACAGTGGAGTGGTCTGGTTGTTCGTGGGGTGGTACGTATAAAGATCCTTCAAAGTAAAACCCAGTGGTGTATGAGTGTGGGTTTTGAGGAGGAGGGATAGTTGGAATATAGAAAGATAGGGGCTTAGTGACGAGTATAGCAGTTAACAGTAGTAGCAGTTGGAAGTGTTGTGACCACACTGGATCACAAGTAGCAGAGTAGTGAACTTGAAATTAGAGAAGAAGTCTGGAATTGAGTTCTTGTTTTTTTTTACAAGGTAAAATACAGGGGTTTATATAGTAAAAGAAAAGTAGGCTATGCACAGTATAGCTGTGCAAAAAGAATGAGAAAGAACATGAAGGAAGGAATGTATGCTGACAAATCCTGCGTAGGTAGTTCAGGATAAGATTATCAAAAAAAGGAAAAAAAAAGAGATAGAACAATGAATGCTGTGAGTAATGTCACAGGTTTGTACAGCCATAAAGTAAAGTCCAATAGCAAAAAGAGAGCAGGAAAATCATGATGTCATGGGAAGATACAGTAAAAAAAGGGCAAGGCAAAACACTATCAGTATCAACACAGTTCCTTTATTGTCAGTCAGGCATTCTAAAAAAACATGTGTCCATAAAAATGATTCAAAGATCAAAATTAATTGCACGGTAAATGAATGTTCTGCTGAAAAAAAAATTAGAGCCACCGGTCCACCACCTAGTCCAAATCCAACAGTTCCATGGCCTTACCAATGGACTGGTTGTGTTGGACCACCTGATCAAACGAGGGAGGGAGAGGAGTAGTTCCAATTTGGAACAAGTGAGTCCCAGGCAGTGTGTGGTAGGTGTAGCTGTAGCAAAGACAATGGACAAAAGTTAAGTGTACCCAAGTGAATGGGACAGCAATGAACATGGGCAACGCAAGGGGATGAACCTTCTCCAGCTCAAAAACTACCCACCCACGCTCCAACCAGGCAAGACGAGCGACCGATGTTTTGATAGTATATGATGGCAGATCGACGTCATGAAGATGGACCTGTTGCCCTATTTGGACCGGCCGCCGGGGCTTTGCTAATATCAGCAGTGGCACGTGGTAGTCAACGGATCGGCAACAGAAGCGGATAGGAAGTGGTGACATCAGAAATGGTGGGGGTGCAAATAAAATGAGGAGGAGGAGGGTGGAGGTGACGGAAAAGTGGATTAGAATGGGGATCCAGAAACGACCGTCAGGTGAGAATAAAAAGGAGAGGAAGGGGCCCATGGTGGGGCTAGGCAAAGGAAGGGGAGTAAGGGAAACAACAAAAGCGAGGGCGCAATGCAATGTGTAGCCAGTGGCGACGCGAAAATTTGCCAAAATGCCGAAATGCGGAAAGTACCGGATGGAAAAGCAAAGGTGAGTGTGACTGGATTGCCTAATAGAGGTGGTGCTGATCAGCCACAAGTTCAAAAAGGGCAATATTAATTACTATTCCACGTGGCACTGTGCCTGTGTGGCGCAAAGGCGAGTCTTTTTGAATATTCGCTTCGTTATTGACACCTGTCCATGCTACCAATCAACTTTGGTGCATGACACCGCCACATTGCCGAATGTTTCCAATGCTCTAACAACACAATTGCTAGATACTTCAAGAGAATGCTTGAAGCTATCACCTCCCCTAATATATATAATGCCTATGTACGTTTACCTGATGCCAATGCTTCCACACCCTCTGCCATCAGCAACAACCCAAAACTTCGCCATTTTGAGGGTGCCATTGGTGCAATTGATGGCACCCATATTGTTTGCAGTCCCTCTGCTGCAGAATGTGCCACTTCTTGTAATTGGAAGGGCACAGTCACACAGAACTGTCTGATATGCTGTGACTTCAACATGAACTTTATCTATGTGCTTAGTGGGTGGGAAGGGTCAGTCGCAGACGCCAGTTTGTTCTATGACGCTCGGAGCCACGATCTCTATATCCCTCACGGCCACTATTATTTAGCTGATGCAGTTTTTCCTTCATGTGATCAGTTGCTGGTCCCCTATTGAGGTGTCCGCTATCATTTGGCTGAATACGCTCGGGGAAACCGGAGGTACATTAGTTAGAGTTTATACTGTGCTATACTATGCTAACATCCATTTTCCAGACCTCAAAACCCCAAAGAATATTTCAACTTATGCCATGCATCTGCACAAAACATTGTCGAGCGCATATTTGGTGTTTGAAAGGGTCAATTTGGGATTTTGAGGGTTGCACTGGATTATGATATGTCCGTGCAAGCCAAAATCCCACCTGCTGTGTGCATGCTGCACAACTTTATCCGCACACATGACCCATCCGACATTGACGCCCCCAATGATATTGACCTTCACATTCCCACTCCCAAAATTGATAATGGCGAACTTGCACAGAGCGCACCAACGGAGGCCGGTCGTGTTGCAGCAAACACCCAACAAGATCGGATTGCACGTGCCATGTGGATTGACTATCAGCGAGAGTTGGGTAGGAGGGGCCTACTTTAGTATATACACATTGATTCTGTATTTTCTTGAATAAAGCACTAGGTTAGGTTGTTCGGAGACTGCATATATTGAAACTAACAACACAAAGACACACGAGATACAAAATGTAATGTCCAATCAGCAATACAGTAAGCTACGCCCATCCATATCTCTTTCATCTATCATCTACTCCAGCTTAGCCCTCACGTACGCCCTGCAAAACTTGTTGGACTCCAGGAGACTCAGGTATGTGTCGACGGCTACCATATCTTGCTCGAAAAGGCGGGTTAACCGGATGGAGCTATCCACTCCCAGGTAGGTATCATTCTGCAACATAAAGGTAATGGCAGATCCATGATGGACATTGTCTGGTTGTGCAGACATGTGGCCTTGAGGAATGTTAAATGTAGAGGTGGAAGGTTGGGAGGTAGTGGAATGGACAATGGTGGAAGGGGCGATGGTGGACAAGGTGGGGCTCTTCTCAATGATAGGTGTTTGGGCGGGGGCGTTAGGCAGGAAGGCAGTCGGGGGAATGCCTATATCAAGCTTGGAGTTGAAGTCTTTCATTATGGGGATGATTTCTGCCTATCAATCATTTAACCCGTTAATTGCATTGGCAGCGGTATTGCGTGGAGCCTTGTCCGAGCCCCTACTATGGTTACCTGCACTCTTGCTGCAAGATATGATGGTAGCGCCATCATCACCATCACCATCTGAGAGCGCAGCATCCCGGGCAGAGCGCTTGCTTGCGAGGGATGTGACAGATAAGCCGGGAGGGGCACAAACAGAGGTTGGAGATAGGAGACCACCGAGCCAGTGGTTCACATTATTGGGTACATCAGAGTTAATGGTGGTGGGACTAGTGACCCCAGACATGCTAAGATGAATCTTGTCAGGAGCAGCCGCAACAGGAGCTGGAGACAGAATCTTGTTGGGGGTGGCGGTGTTAGGAGGTGGAGTTGGGGGCACTGTGGCAGGAAGAGTGCTCTGAGACGTGCGAGGCTGCTGCTTGGATGCTTTTGTAACCTTAGGTTGCTTGGGGACTTTTGGAACACAAAATATGTTCGAACCTTTGGCTGGGGCACTGCCCAGTGCAGCATGCATGGCGGTAAAGTGGACCCATCCTCTCTTCCGAAAGCCCTTTGCTACCGGATGTTTCTGTCTACTGATTAGCTATTAGTCTCAAAGCAGGATGGGAACATACCGCAATAAGCTCCTTCCAGACCACTTCACCCTTGTCGAGTATGTTGAGTCCCAGTGCATCATCCCAAGGGATGCCAGAGAGGATAGGCTTCACAAGGTTGTACTTTGTACAAAGCTGTGAGTCTTGAGGTTAGCAAAAAGACTGATAGATCATGATAAGATAAGGGACATACCCGTCCCCATTTTGAGTTGCAAGCAGTGGCACTCTTTGCTGGTCCTCTGGTAAGAAGACGTGCTAGATGCAGTGCGACTTTGGGCCAGAATTGAGGCTTGAAGTTCAAGCTGTCACCCCCCTCTGCACGATTTTTGGTGATGAATTGGATGAGTGCTTGCGTCTCAGTGTCGGTCCATATGGTATTACTATTGCCACTGCTATCTTGAGGGCCAGTACTACTATCTTCTTCTACATCTATTACGTCGTCAGATGCTCCTTGGTCAGGCTGGACATTGGGGTTCATCCTAGTGGACCGTAGTCATTTTGCAGGAGGGATTGGGGCTAGGGTTGGCCCGGAGGCCCGTCGTTTCTTTGCTCTGGACATGAGGTTGTTGATGGAAGTATGGTGTCAGCCTGTAGGGTGAGATGCCTATCCATCTCTCCAACGGCATTCTGGCAGATTGTGGCTGGAAAAAAAATTCAGGAAAAACAGAGTTCCCGTACGAGCCCTAATGATTACAGCTGATCTGATAACGATAGACCTATCCAATGAGTTAGCGTGCAGGCGGACTTCAGCGGAGTGTATAATTTTGGGAAGAACCAGAAGTGTCTGGGAGGGACTAGACAACCCTCAACCAGCATGCGGCGCCATATTCCCAAGGAGCAGAAGATACTAGCGTATGAATTGTCTTGCATCCATGGTCTCTCGGACAGACATGTTAGCCGTTACCTAGGAATCAGTTAACAGACCATCAGTCGCATCCGGAAGACCTTTCGGGACACTGGTGAAGTGGGACACCAACCAGTTTGTCAAGGACGACCTTGTGCCCTTGATGGCTTAGAAGTGAGTGTAAGTTTTTTCTTTTAAATTTCTGATGTGCTGATAAAACAAATTTTTGATTAGTTCCTTGAAGGCTGCATTGAAAGACAGCCTGATATGATCCTCTCAGAGTTACAGGAGCAACTTAGGGAGGTATGCAGCATTGAGGTATCAACTCTGACAATTCTCAGGATCTTGAAGAGACAAGGATTCACCATGAAGAAAGTAAGTGATCTGTTCATATATTGTGTGCTTTCTGACAGATTTATATTGTAGGTCACTTGCTGTAACAACCAAGAGTTAGTTACTCTGGCACACACAGGAACACACTATAAAGGTAGTGATGAGGAAGTGGTTACCCCTTAAGCTGCAGAGAGTTTGTTGGTATATAACAGGAGGACTCGCTGAGGAGTCTCCTTGATCTATTGGGGTTTATATACTGTTACAGGTTTGTTTGTACATATGTACTATACAGTTGCTAAAGGCAGTGGCTGATGCTGTCATAGGGTGCAGCCCGTGTGACCAGCTCCACTGCATGAGAGACTTGTAGCTAAAATAAGGAGAAAGCAGTGCAACGCGAGAAAGAGGTGTTTGAACAAAAAGGGAAAGTGCCGCATGGCACGGAGTGTGAAAACTATAAAAGAAAGTTGGAGAGGAGAATGAAAATTAAAGGGAAGGTCCAAAAATTGTGTTATTGTAACACTCGCCGTGCCCATGAACGAGATGAGGATGACCGTGCTTTATTCAAGATGCTTATTGGGGAGTACTACCTCCCAGAACAACTGGTTTTTGCAGATGAGACACATTTCAGCCAGCTTACACTGTGCCATCAATATGCCTGTGCCCCACGTGGAGAACCTGCAAGGCATAGGGATTTTTTTGTCCAGGTTGTCCTTACTCTATATTACCTGCCATATCATTAGATGAAGTCTTGCATTTAGAGGTACTAGACCGTTCTTTTACAGGGAAGGACTTTGCCGAGTTTGTGGAGGGAGTCCTCAATCAGATGCAGCCTTGGCCTCTGCCAAATTCTGTGCTTGTAATCAACAACGCTACACTGCATAAAGTTCCTGGCATCCGCAAGCTTGTTGAGGACAGGTGAGTACATAGTTTTCTATCAGTCTACTCTATTAACATTTGGCCAGGGGTATGCGGCTCTTATATCTCCCTTCCTATTCCCCGGATTTGAATCCCATTGAAGAGGCTTTTTCAGTTGTCAAAGCTTGGCTCAGGAACAATTGTGATTATGTCCTTGGTGAGACAGAAGGGCTTGGTTGTGATCCATACACATTGATATGGGAGGCAGTATATTTGGTAATCACACCTGAGAAATACAGAGGGTGGTTTAGAGATAGCGAGTATATTATATAAAATATTTATACTAAATTTACTGATGTTCAAGCCCTATTACTTTCTAGCTGAAAATGTTTTTGAAAAAATCAAAAGATCAGTTCAATTATATGTTGTTCAGTAGTTGATTTCCTCCTCCCCCTCTGCTGATGATGAGTCCTGGTCATCCTCACCCTCATCTTCCTCATCCACGTCAATCACCTCTTTGCAGCCTAGATCAATTATCTCAATCTCATCATCATCCTCATGCTTTGGATGTTTGTGGTAGTGTTGCAGAGTAGCTGCAATGTTTATCGCTGTTTCCTTACCCTCTCCTTTTAACCCAAAGACTGACAGGATGCAACATTTTGCATAGGATTGTATGATCCTAGCCCTTTGGTCACCCATTTTTCCTACAGAGCTCAGCTTTTTGACGGGCATAATAACAACTTGTTCAGATATTCGGACACCAGCTGTAAATGACGCATTTAACACCTGGTTGACTTTTAGGTGTGGAAATTTGACATCAATCAACTCAACCAAGTCCCCAATAGGCGGATATTTGACAATAGGGCCATCTTCAGGTGTCAACTTGCATTTGGGGGACAGCGGCAGCAAAGATAACTTTTTAGGACTAGGACACTTTTGTCTTGGCTGTGTACTTGGAGGGGGGGGTCAGTGTAGATCTATTGCTAAAGTTGGAAAAAGAGGAGCCCAAAGCACTTGGTGCAATATTCTTGATTGTAACATGCACATTGGGTGAGTTTTCTTGCGATAGACGAGCTTTTTTTGGGGGCATGCAATTAAAGTTCAAACAATGGGGTGCGCTATAGACTGTTGCTTGCCCCAGTGACTATACTGAGTGTCAGCACCCTAGAAACAAATGACCGGACCCAAGAACTCACAATCTTCTTGGCTCACAAGGTCATTTCATCATGGCTGAGATGGCGGTGGACATCACGTCCACTTGGCCTGTCAATGAAGCAATGACCTTGGTGCAGCTCGCACTGAGTAGCCTTCTCCAGCTGCTTGAATGCCTTTAACTGTGATGACATTTCGTCACTCAAGGGTGGTGGTATATCCTCTGTCCTACTTCGTTTTTTTCCTTTTGAAACCGGTGCTGTTGGCTTAGTCTAACACAACAACAAATTTGGTGAGTGTTTCACATATGATATAAGAAACAGCTTACTATGTTCTTGATTTCCAGCATTACCACTCGTGTTTGAGCAACTCGTGCTTTGTTTACAAGTCGGTCCATCACAGCTGTAAAGTCGTGGTGGTTGTTCATATGTGATGGCTTGCCTGTGTCACCCGACAACTTATATGCCAGCTGAATGTCTTGCTCAGGCCCATCAAGCAGGTTGAAGACTTGGCGCCGAAACTGAACCCAGTCCATGTCGGTAGTGGCCTCAAAGTCCATCTTGCTATCATCATTCACAACCGAGGTTGTGAATGCATACACTATCAAGGTGTATCAGTCCACATTTCATGTCAATAAAATAGACATGACTGACCGCCTGTACGGACCTCCACATTAGGCCCAACTCGTTGTGTACTGGGGGGCGGCTGATCATTTGCGGGTGGCTGGGAGGGCGGCTGCACATAATGTTGCACAGGCAGTGGCACAAGCAGTTGTAGGGGCACCCCAGGTTGTCCATACTGATGCATATTGTGCGCTGGTTGCATCAAGTGTGGGGGATAGTGCATGGCAAATTGATGAGGTTGATATCTGATTGTCGATGCACTTGCCTGACTGTTGTACCCAGTGTAGTCTGCTGGGGGATGGGGAGCTTGTTGATAAGCCCTTTGGAACATGGGTGCACCATACATTTCGTCGAGGGAAAAATGACGAGAGCTTTGTTGAGAAGACATAGGAGGTATATATAATTTTTGTGTTTCCCTGACTCTTATACTAACAGCCTCTTGGCCTTAGGCAATACCTATTATCAAATGATCCTCATTTCTAGCCAATTTCATTTTTTTTTCTTTGGCAAGCACTCCACCGAATAGTCTACACCAATTTTCTCAAAGACTTGGGCTATCACACTTATCACACCAGCCACACTCGATACTGAGCCAAATATTCTAGTCTCCCTACATTTTAGAATTACTACATTTTAAGCTCAGTTGTAGTTCCGCTCTGTACGCTAACTCATTGGAGAGGTCTATCGTTATGAAATCAGCTGTATCAATCGTGAGAGTTTTTACGCATCGGTCTACTTGTTTGGCAATCGGACATTGGTTGGCAATCTATCTAATTATATTTCCATTTTGTCGTTTCTTCGATGGATAGGGTATCAGAGACTTCAGACAAACTTTCATGTGGGATGTAAGTTCGCTCAAGCTGTCCTCTCGGACGATAACTTTTCTCACTTTCTTTCCTTTTCAGCTGCCGCAGACAATTTTCTAGATACACCTGCCCCACTTGCAATATTCCTTACTGTTCCTTGACATGCTTTCGTTCAGAGGTTAGTTGTGTTGATGTGTGCAGTAGGTTTTTGGACTGAGTGTGATACAATATTAGGTTCACTCTCAATGTTCTGAGACTTTTTATCGGAGAGAGATCGAGTCTGGAATTAAATCAGAGTCATCTAGGACGGCTGAAGAACGAGCCAAAATGATGGAATTACTCAGGCGTTTTGAAGAGCAGTCATCGAGAGATGATCTTGTTCCCATGCCTGATGAGACAGACGGCGATGAAGACACAGGTCTCGCTGAAAGATTACAAAATCTAGACATCAGTGCGTACAATAGATCTTCTTGTGGAGTGCCTGCTCAGTCCACTTCATATCCCAGTGTCGACTTCTTCCGATACTTTGTGGTCTTTTCTCAATAAGGAAGAGCGTAGCAACTTTATGAAAGTGTTAGCGGATCCTTCTGGTGACCTTGCTCAGAAGCTGCTAGCCAGTAAGGAGTTAAAGGAAGATAAACGGGAGCCTTGGTGGGAAGCAAATACGCTTGATCCGAATACGTTTACTTCAAGCGGGCGTTACGGTCATAAGCCAAAAGCAATTACCGTTCCCGCAAGCATGGCTGAACCCAACTTCCATGGCCCTCCGCTGAGGTACAATGTTTGCGCTATCCTGTAAGTACCATTCTTTGGGTTTGTGGCTGCATTCCTGAGGATAATGAACAGCATAGCGTATGCGTATGTGACTCGTCATCTATCTGCTTCGCCTTTGTCATCAGTTGACCCAGAAGATTCAAACTTCTGTGAAACTCGACGGATCATATCCAATCTCATCCCTTTCCTGGTAGACCCCAGAGCAAGGGTTCTTTATACCTCCCTAAGTGAAGTTGTCACTGCAGTTTGGTCCCGTTTTCAGGCAGTAAGTCTCCTCATTGTTGACTCGCATTATGGATGGATCTAATTCTTGTATCTGCAACCTGTTTCATAAAGGGGGAGATGAATTCAAAGTTCTTCTCCGTACTCCTGCGTGACGTCGCAAATATCGTACGACCTTGTAAAATAGCCACGTTGCCGTCAACGCCTCATATGAAAGACAATGGTGGCTCTACGTGTGCTAGGGATGTGCAAATAGACGGACACCCGAATCTTACATCTGTTCTGGCATTGTCAGATATAGCAGGCCTTTTTCAGGATTCTGACAAGTCTAAGCCAGCAGCGGAGGCAGTTTTTGGTGCCTTGGCGCCCCGACAAAACCACATCACTTTGAAGCTAACCTATTACGCCGCTCGACAATTGGCTACAGCCCCTGCCGTACTTCAGGAGCTTGCTGACGAGATTATCGCACGTTCAAAGGTCATCGATGATGAATATATCTTATCGGGCGTAGACGGTGCAAACCCTCGAATGGATTGCGCTAAATCAGTGCCAAAATCAGATGGAGCTGGACCGAGGGATCAGAAAACTAGAGCCAAAATAGAGGAAATGAGTTAATGGTTAATGTATGCTACCTGGCGCTGTGAGTTTCTACGCTTCAATATAACTTCTTGGTCTTGATTCAGGAATTTGCAATTTCAAGTCCCAACAAGAAAATGACATCACAGATGTGACAAGTTCCGCCGTAATGCAACAGTTTCATGTATTAGCTTTTTATGTGTGGTGAAACTTTAGATATCCCACTTCATCACACCGTGCCCTTCGTGACCATACAAATAACTAGTTACAACAGGGTACAACCTGGGTGACCTCCGGCTGCCAAAGGTTCGACGATCGATCGATCGATAGTGGCAATGGGATTCTCAACTTTTTCTTCTGACAGAAGCTGAATAGGAATCTCCTGAAATCGATACTTATCATGATGAATCACTTGAAGGCTCACCTGTGGTTCTCGAGGTGCCATTATGGACACATTGAGTAAACATGACGATAGGTATTCCAAATAAGTGGATGTGGTTTACAGGTTGCTTGGGAAAACGACATGTGATGCGTTTAGACCCCATTCTCGATTGATTCGGTTGCCACGATTGTGCCTTCTCCGGCCCTGTGGACTGATGGAATAGAAGGCGAGAGTGAGTTGGAGTCCCAAGTATTTTTGACTTCAATAACAGTTGGTTTCCCCGATGTGGTGGCGTCTTTCTTAGTTGTGCCAGGGTCTGGGACTGTAAAGGACGAACATAGTGTACAGGTTACTTGAGCAAGTAGAGTCTAGGCTGAGGTTCTTCCTTAAGTTGACTGTTTCAATGATGCCTGCATCTCTGCTCGGGACTAACGGAACAGTGGAACAGAGATATGACTAGCAAAGCGCAGTGGAGTTGCAGATATCTGGGATACCAAGGCACAATCTGCCAAACCCTTTCCCACATAGCGTTTTACCGTAAAGCTTTACCTCCAGTTGCAAGTTTCTCCTGTCATGCTAGACACGACTGGGGAGGTACTCTGATTCCCTGTCAAGTGCAGCACCTTGGACAAGCAAAGGTAAATACACATTTCGTAATCGATCTAGCGAGGACCTTCGCAGTCATCTTTTTACCTCGCGGCAATATGCTTTATATATGAGAGACACCCCAACACGGATACGCTCGCCCACCGTTGGAGGAAACGTCGCCTGTGTTCCCCTTCGTCATGTCATCCACTACAACTTCAAGTCCATCCCCAACGAACACCTGTGGGTCAGGGGGTGGCGCTGACACATACTCTGGATTGCGTATCGCTTCCGTATTCATCATCCTGGTCGGATCGATGTTTGGAGCTTTGTTTCCAGTACTCGCAAGGCGGTCAAGGTGGCTGCATGTTCCTCAAGGCATTTTTGAGTGCGTACTTTACGTGACTCCTATCCCCACATAAGAGGAATACTCATCCTCGCGTCCAGGTTCGCAAAATATTTTGGTTCTGGAGTTATCGTGAGTACATCGTAGTTTTCTCCAACTCATCTACTGATGATCGCTTACCATATAGATTGCGACTGCATTCATCCATCTTCTTGACCCCGCGTTGCAAGAACTCTCGTCGTCATGTCTTGGAGACGCTTGGAAACAATACGTGGGCCCCTCTTCGTATTCGGCGTTGCTGCATACACTCATATTAGTATCGATAGCCGTACGCGCTTGCACTTGCTATGCTCAGTTTATTCTCCATCTTTATTGTTGAGTTGATCGCCTTCCGGTGGGGATCCGCAAAGCTTGCCGCTCTTGGGATCAAACATGGTAATACAATCCCCTTCTCTCGAAGGTTTATCTTATGTACTTTGATTCTTAGATCCTCACGGCCATAACGTAGGATCCCATGCTGCTCACGGCCCAGAAAGTCAACATGTCAAAGGAGATTCTGGCGACGATCGTAATTCAGAAAAACTTCAGAGTGATGAAGAAGCGCTCAGACAGCAAAAGAGTCTTGACGATTCCGCAGTCGCTCAGGTTATAGGAATCTTCATCTTGGAGTTCGGTGTCCTACTTCACAGGTACTAGATCCGTTGCCGTGTTATTCGACCATATCTGACGTTGCTATCTGGGACTAGTGTTTTGATTGGTCTAACTCTTGCAGTTGATCCTGATTTCAAGATTCTCTTCGTCGTTATCATATTCCACCGTGAGTCTGACAGCTTCGAAGGAAACAGATATTCTGCTAACGTTCTGTGCAGAGATGTTCGAGGGTCTTGGTCTCGGCTCGCGGCTCGCTTTTATGAAGCTTCCAGAACGGTTGAATTATGTTCCCATCTGTGCAGCTCTTCTGTACGGTATCACGACTCCTATTGGAATTGCAGCGGGGCTCGGGGTTAAGACGACCTACAACCCAAACAGCACGACTGCTTCTATTGTCAGTGGTGTGCTAGATTCTCTCAGTGCCGGTATTCTTCTTTACACCGGCCTAGTTGAGGTAAATTTAATTGATGTATTATTCCATATCTACTGCAGCAGACTAACTCCCTCGCATAATTCTCTCACAGTTACTCGCTCACGAATTTCTTTTCAATAATGACATGATAAATGCATCAAACAGCAAACTTGCCTATGCGCTAGTTAGCATGTTGTGTGGAACTGGCATAATGGCCCTCCTTGGACGCTGGGCATAAGCACCAGTCATGCTTTCGATATAGATTTCATTTTGACTGTATTCGCGGTGACCTTGTTGTACGCTAGATCTTGTAGACTCTACTGCTGCATTTTTGGAATGACCTTGTACTAGTTACTGGGCTTATGTTTTCAATCAATTGGCCTGTCTTGTGTCCAAGCGAACTTAGTAACAATATGTTCGATAATCAAATATTCAAACTCGAGCTTTCAAAAATAACCTTTTGTTTAAGTAGTGTCATTTGGTATTCCTGGACCCAACGGTCCAGGTTTCCATTTCGATAATGAAATCAGTAATTGTCCCGGAGCTTTTAGTCATTGACTGTACATGATGACATAAACCCAAGCATGCACATGCCTTGAACTATCCAGTTCTTCTGAGCCTACTCAAATGCTCTACTGAAAAGTTGATTGTGGGTTGGGTCCAGGTCTGCCCTGGAGGGCCATGCTATCTTTAACCCCTAGCCAAATGTGATCGCTTGGTAGCAATGTTGACTTTAATGTGAAAAAAAAAAAAAAAAAAAAAACTGAGAAGAGACCACACAGTTCGCCCAATATTCAATAAATACCATCGCCCTCCAGGGCAGGCCTGGAGACCGTCACCTCACATGCCTTTTGTTTCAAGCAATTTTTATGTAGTACATTGTAGTATTACGTGAAAGCGTACAGTCAAACTAAAAGGTTCACTGAAAAAACCAGCATCAATGTCGAAATGGGAACCTACGGGTCCGGGAATAACTGACTCTTCAAGTTTCAAGCTTCAGAGCCCAACGTTCAACGTGGAACCGGATTTTCTCAGCGTTGATGTAGCGTATACACTATGACTAACTAAATACACCTAGTCTGAAAAGGGGATACCGTGACACCGTGACAACTATCAGCAAATGGCAGGTAGCTGGTGAGCCTAGATACAAGGCCCGTCTCAGCCCGTGGGTCCCGGGCCAAGACTCTCAGAGACTCGTGTACACATCGTGTATCAACTTTGACTTCGACGCTCACTGAGTATAATCTACCATGAAATCTGCTGTTCTACTGTTATCCCTGGGTTGCGTTATTGCTGCGAACCCTTTGTTAGCTCATAACAGCAATCAACAAGTGGTGCTAAATGGACAAGCTTATAAAGTCGAACACGATGGTTTCAGTCTGGATCTGAGCGAGAAGCGACTTGTTCAGATGGAAGGACAGGAGCCCGTTTGGATGACTGAGCTCGAGAAGGTTATTATATGTGTCTTCCTTGTTTCACGTGTTAACAGCTCATTTCAGATTGAGGCGAAAGCGCAAGGTCTCAAGTTCTTCGATATGTAAGTTTGCCATCACAAGTTTTGATTGCGGCTCTTTCCTAAACTGAAATCGTCTGCTTGTAGCACCGAAACACAGGATCTCGGTTCTTACGCTCATTTAAGGCTTCAAGCTACATGTAAGTGTATTACCACGTCACGCAACTCATTCTCATCAATTCGATACTTTGAGCAGCCGCATACCCGCCCATCAGTGCTGCAGAGCAGGTCACCAGAGTTATCAAGACGCTTTCAACCGAAGGACCGAGAAAGAATCTGGAGAAATTTTCCAGCTATCGCACAAGATGTATGTCATCCACGAGTCCTATCATTTCGCACATAATTGAGACGCTTTGCAAACTTTAGATTATCGCAGCGATGTAAGTTTTGGCTCTTGACATGTAGTATTGCACTGACTGAGTTATGTCGACTCCAGACCGGAAAACAAAGTCAGCAATGGCTCTTTTCCAAGATCAAGGAGGTGAAAGTTCTGTATCGACTTGTTCGTACTTCCTCTAACTTTCTATGCTAAGATTACCGTAGAATCTGCATCATCCTCCCTTCAAACTCTTATTACAATTGACGAATTCCCCCATTCTTGGGCTCAGAACACTATTGTAAGCTGTAACATTGTATAGTCACTCCGCTTCACACTTGGGATATAGATTGTCCGAATTAATGGGTCCTCTGCCGACGATGACCGACTTGTCATAATCGGAGCCCACCTAGATAGGTGAGTGTGACCATTACTGTGCTATTCGAAGATGACGTCAACGCCCTTCAGCACTAACATGTGGCCATTCTTGCCTGCACCGGGTACTTGTTTCATGTCAAGATTTAGTGTATATTTTGACATATTGCTTATATAGGTGCTGATGATGATGGTTCTGGAAGTGTGACCATCTTGGAGTCATACCGTGCGCTGCTTGCCGCGGACTTCCGTCCCGTTCGACCAATCGAGTTCCACTGGTATTCCGCTGAGGTTATTTTATCTCTTACCCCGCACTTACTCCGTCTCTTAATACCCCTATATCCATCCAGGAAGGAGGTCTTCTGGGTTCCCAACAAGTAGCAAAGGCCTACGAGGATCGTAATGTCGACGTTTATGCAATGAGCCAGGTATGTGTATCATGCGACGTTCAATTTTCTAGCTTGCTAACGCCTACCGCAGTTTGATATGACGGCATGGATCAAGAAAGGTACAAGGGAGGAACTCGGCGTCATCACCGACTATACCAATCCAGCGTATGTCGCCGCAGTAGAGTTGTCTTACCATTATTAATCATTATCTAGTCTGACTGAATTCAACAAGCAACTCGTGGAGAAATACCTAGACATTCCCTATGTTTTGACAAAGTGCGGTTACGCCTGTAGTGATCAGTGAGTAAAACGATATTTTCATTATCCTTATTTACAACTTAAACCTGGTACTAGTGCTCCCTGGGGCAAGGCAGGATACCCCAGCGTTTTCTCTATCGGTTAGGGCTCTATTCCTGTTTTTTCCTGAAGTGGGATGCTGACGTTACAAACAGAGGCTGCGTTTGAGAATTCCAACCACAAGAATATTCATAGTACGAATGAGTAAGTCCAACATGATCTTCAAGTGTGCTCGGACTGATGTTTATGTATTTCACAGTCGTATTGACATTTCAGATGAGTTTAGCTTTTCTCACATGCTTGAGTTCTCTAAATTGGGAGTGGCCTTTGCGATCGAACTTGCTGGCTGGACGAAGTCTGCTTAGAAATCGGGTCCCATTATCAATATGAATAGTATATTGCCTTTGAGCAACCTAGTTGGTCTAGATATAGAATAAATGTTATGTGCTACACTGCAGAAATTGGCTGGCAAGTGCTTCTAATTCACGTCAAACTACCTATAGCAAAGGCCCTGTGGGCAAAACCGTAGGTCGCGTGAGAATATATTATGTACAGTCATTCACCAGGTCGGGTAGAACCCTCAATCATTACGTAAGGGCCTTAAGGGGGACTTGTTTGTCGATACATTCTGGGCCAGTAAGAGTACCCTCTGGGCTGAGCCTTGCCGCCTTGTATATACATAGCATTTCTAAGTAAGGAACAGATTTCTGTCTCCTGTAAGAGCAATTGCAAACTGTTTCCCCACCTATATCAAAACCTCCCAGCGGCCTTCTCAATATGCTTGAGCTAATCCTCTCCATCAAGCAGGTTTTGCAGACCATATCTGAAACATCTTTCTGATTATCTATTCGCTCTCATAGCAGCCTAAGTGAGCATTGCAAGAGGTTCATCCTCTTACCACTTGCTCCTGTCTGCTTGTCAACCTTCTATCACTTGCTGCTGACCTCTCACCAACCTCATACCACCCTCCACCATACCTTCCTCCGCCAATCTCTTACTACCTGCTGCTGTCATATCCGTACCGGAAAATAGAACTCCGGTGTCTCCAAAGGAGATATTCTCTGAGTCTGACTCCTGAACCATCAGCATACTCAGGATTACATCCCTTGTGGTCTGCCGGTTGGCATAACTCTACGCCCCGTTTCCACATGGTACAGTGACCTCAAAAACCCTTTCCATGTTGACTCTGGGTGTCATGCATGAAGCATAACCATCAAATAACTTGAGAATTGCACTTAGCTTTGGTGGAGTTATAAATAGTACATACTCTTGGCTATAAATTTGCCCCATAGGTCATGCAATTTGGTTCACATGCTATAGAGATATAACTGATTTAAAACAGCAACACCATGGAAAGGGTTTTTTCACTTTTGAATTAAAAAGGGTATTTGGTTATTATCAGTACTTGGTATAGCCTTTTTTTCCCCTAAACACTGCCTGAATCTTTATAGGCATACTTTCAATTAATTTCTGACACTCCTCAACTGGTATCTTCTCCTACTCCACTCGAGTCCTTTCCCACAATTCATGAATCATATTGGGGGGGTTTTCATACCCTGCAAGCCTTCTCTTGAGATGTCCAGTAGGATTTAGGTCAGGAGACTATGAAGGCAAACCATAGTGTTGAATGCTTGTTCCTCTAGCCAGCCCTTGACCTTTTTGCAGGTATGCTTGGGGTCATTATCCTGCTGAAAGATACTTTTATAAGGATTGAGACTATAATACTCTAGGGTTTTCTGGAGCTTATTATTAAGAATTTGAAGGTGAAGGTCCCTATCCATCCTACCATCAACCTTGGTAGCAAATCCAACTGCTTTCCAAGTCATACAGCACCACATCATTAAGGAATATCCTCCAAACTCAAGGATTCCATCTACCAGCTTATTATCAAACCCCTAACCTGCTCTTTCCCATGTCCATTTGTGTCTATCTGGCCCTAGGTGATTGGTTTTAGTCTCAACATATCATATTACTCTTTTCCAGTCCTCCAGAGTCCAATCCTTGTGAGCATAGGCAAAATCCAAACAAGCTTTGTGATGCCTAGTAGAGAGAAGGGGGTGTTTGGACTTCACCACATCCTTTATACCAGATTTCTTCAAATGAAGGCAAACAGTATTGGATGAAAAGGGCTACTTGATGATGCTGGTAGGGCTTTGGTCACTTTAACAGCATTTTCAGCTTTTCCAGAGGTAATAAGACATTGGGCATGTCAAATATTGGTAGGGGAAAGCTTGGAAGGATGACCTTTAATAGCTTTAGGTAGGGTAGAATGCTCTTTGGAGCAAAGTTTGGATATAATAGAAGGGCTAACACCAGTCTGCTTGGCAATGGCTTCACCAGAGTAGCCAATCAAGCAATAAAAGGATAGAGCTTTCTTGAGTAAAAGAGAGGGATTTGACCATGATGGTGGTTGAGAATCAGAAGTGTGTGTGTGTTTTTTTAGGCTCATACATACCATTTCTATATATATCTTTGTTGTTAGTTTTGGTGATTCTGCACCTTTATGCTACCTATATATTTTCATCCCTTTCTCTATCTATTCCTCTATCATTCAGTATTAACTATGTTCTCTATTATTTTGCCTTTGTGGCTGCTTTGTTTACCTTTGTTTACAAAACTTCGGACAGTACTGCAGAGTCCAATGCTTCCTATTCTCTAGTTACTCACATCGGACTCTAGGTACTGTATACCTTCTGTACTCTCTAATAATCTAGTTACTCACATTGGACTAGTTCCAGTCCCTGATAGCTCTCAGCAAGTGGTTAGACACTTCCTTTAAGCTTTGTTCTGTACATACAGATGAGTACTGCAGTCATAAAAACCAGAGTTATTTCCTATTAATGTGTTTCTATCTCTTGCACTCAATACTTTTTGGCCTCAACTGATCAGATATTGCTTTGATCAAAGAACTGGTTCACCACCATAAAGCTCCTAAACACCTTAAAAACACTGTAGCAATTGCTGCTAGCCTCAAGACGTGCATGGCTAATGCTATCCGTGAAAAGATTATTGAAGACTTGCAGCAAGTAGATAAGCTTTTCTGAAAGAGTGCAGAGCAAAATGGCGTCAAAACATAGCAAGTTGTCATCCTGTATAATTTGAGGAATTCTCACCAAGCTGTTGCCCCAAATCTCTGGGGAACATATTTCCAGGAGAATGCTAAACAGGAGTGCAAGTGCCAAGTGCCCGAATCATCCAAAGTTGTTGTTAATTGCTCCACAAACCATATATTGTTATATTACCCTGCGTTCAAGGGGAAGTATCTGGAGCAGTACAATGAGGTCTTATCAATGTGGCTGCAAATTTGTGCCCTCACCAAAGGCAATAAAACTGTTGGTACTTGTAAGCGTATATTTACAAAGAGTGTGCAGAAAAGTACTGACTTAGTTAGTACTAGTCATTTTGCTAATATTGTATATATACTGATACAAAATTTTATACTCTAGCTGCAGTCCATTGAGACACTGTATGATTTTCAGTTTGTATTAGTTATGTGCGGTAATAATGTCAACCAAGACAAAAGGCTAAGATCATAATTTGAAAGCTGTGGGCTGAAGCTGTGAGTCTCACATGCTGTTACTGTAAGATCTGAAACTGATGGTGTCATAGTATTTAAAAAAATGTTGTTGTGCAAGCACAGATGAGGCCAGGCAATTGGTCATCTCAAAAGTCTTGTTTACTAAGTGTTAATTTTTCATTTCTGACTCACAGAATATATGCATTTTCACACAGAAAACATGTATTTTGAGGCTTGTTGGTAAATACTGGGTTACAGATGTAGTCCAGCCAGGCTCAAATCAGGCAAGCTCAAATCAGGCAGGCATAGTCTAGGCAAGCACAGTCCAGCCAAGCCAAGATTCCAATTCAGATATTGATAAAATCAGGACTTCCATGCGCAAACACCTGGGTGAGTAGCTATTACTACCACATATCAGTGTGCACAGCTAACCATCAGTAAACAAAACAAGGATTTGTTTTCAAGTCAGCAAGTTTATTTCCTTGGAAGTCACTTCTGAAGGAGCTTGCTGAGCAGAACATTGTCTGCCACAATTTGCTGGGGGTGTATCCCACCCTTGCAGCAAGGATGCAAAGAAGGGCATATCTATTCTTAAGCAAGATGAGAAGTGGATACTCAAAGATGGCCTTCATCTTCTGAAATTGGTAAAGTAAAAAGGTATAGCAGAATGTGAGCATATATTGTAATATATTTTACAAAGTATGTACTGATTATATATTATTTAGCTTTGGCAAATGGGATGCAGGTGGTTGTGATACAAGGTGTGCCTCCAATGGGCGACTCTGAACACCTTGCAGGCTTGCGAGTGAAGGTGAAGAACAGCATTGTGTCTGTCAACTATCGCGGCCTGGATCGGATGCCACCTGACTCTTCATCTTCAACTCCAACCAGGTCCATTTTCACCATCATCCAAGACCCCCACCCTTCCTTTGACCCAACTCCAAAGCTTGCTGCATTACAAAGGAAGGCTGTGACAAGCCAGTTTAATAGTGAGGAGTGCAACATGACAATAATATTGTTGTGCAGCCAAAGAAATTGACAAAAGCTAAAGTTGCAACTGGAAAACCCCTGGCAGTAAAGACAAAGCCAGACATAAAAGCAAGTGCCAACCTTGAAACATATCAGCAAAGTGTCCCCATGGTGCAGCCATTAGCAAATCTGAGTTAGATGAAGAGGAAATTGTGCCTATTTCTTCAAAATCTAAAGGAAAGAAAAAGGCAAGGATTACCCCACTGCCTGCCTACCTGCCTGCTTGCAAAAAGTTTAGTCCCAGGAGAAGGAGAAAGCAGAGCGGAGGAAAGTAGCGGAGGCAGTGGGAGCAGGGAAGATGCAGTCCAGGCATCCCTGCTCTGCCTGCATGTCCAGGGGGCTAGAGTGCCATTCTGGCAGCGGGGGATGACAGGCGTGCGCATGCACAAATTGCAGGGTGGCCAACCGCTGATGTGAGGAGGAGGGGAACACAGTTGCGGGTCCCAGCAAGGGGAAGAGGAGGGCTCCAGCGGAGTTGGAGGCATTGGAGGTTGTGGAGTGCCCAATAAAGAAGAAGAAGACAGTGGCACCCGCGGCGGAGAAGTCAGAAGAGGTTTGGCTGGCCCAGGTGGTGGGCCTGCTGGGGGTGTTGCTGGAGGAGCAGAGGGCTACCGAGGCAGCTCCTTGCTGACCTGGGGGAGGAGACGCTGTACCACCCAGTGTATCTGGTGTGGTTGGACTCTGATGAGGAGTTGGAGGTGAGAGAGAAGGAGCTCACGGAACTCAGGGAGTGCTTCAAGGAGACGAAGGACTTTGATGTGCATGGCAAGGATGACGAAGAGGAAAGGGAAAAAGAGGAGGAGGAAGAGGAAATAGAGATGGGAGCTCTGGAGGAACTGGAGTTGGAGGGGCAGGGTGAGTAGCCTCCCCCCTCCTGAGTCAATTACTGTATATAAAATAGCTGTACAATAGTTTCTTTTTTCTCTTTTTTTTTTTTTTTTGAATCAATTTTCTCCTGTTCCGGTCCCAGAAAGTCCACGCAAGTAAGTCCAAGTGAGTATGGAAAGGAGTGGGTGAGTAAGTTCGAGTAATTGCAAGTCCGAGTGCCAGTTGTAAGTCCCGGAGGACTATCCTCATAAGTAAGGGCCAGGCTTGTCGGGGTATATTGCGTAGAAGTCAGAGACTAATTTGGAGGCATTCCTAAGTTCCGTTGCCAGTATCCATGAGGTCTCATTGTCCGTACCTTTGTAGCCAGACCATCTGACTAGGTAGAGTAGTGAGCAGGGCTTTCTGCGGCGATTGACCTTGGAGTCAAGGATTTTGGAGATTTTGTATTCCGGCTCTCTGTTCACAAGGACAGGGGAGGCGGAGGCTGGTCACGGTTGGGAATGGAGTTTGGAGTTGCGGGTTTGAGCTGGGATATGTGGAAGGCAGGGTGTATGGCCTTCATACTCTTTGGGAATTTCAGTGTGAAGGACCTGGTACCTGCCTAAGCTATGATTGTATAGGGGCCCAGGCATTTCTCTGAGAGTTTCTTAGAGGGGCGCATGGAGCGGAAGTACTTGGCTAGGACATATACTTGTCCACCAACTTGGAAGTCTGGGGCTGGCATATGGCGGGTGTCTGCGGGTCCCTAATACTGCTTCTGCGCATGGGCAATCTTGTCTCGGAAAAATTGTTGAAGGTTGTCTAGGTCCATGGCGTATTCCCAGGCTCTAGCAGAAGTGAGGTTGTGTTTTGGATGCACGGAGATAATAGGGTGATAATCCTTGTTTGCAAAGAAGGGGGATACCCGGGTGACCAAATAGTAAAGCCTAATACAAACAGTTTCCATTTCACAATCCTCTAGATATGTGGACCCCTGACACCTGTCACATGTGACATTAGTGGGACTGTCCAATGGGACATCCTAGCATTCATGGGATATCTCAATGTATTTAGGCTTTTCCCACTGGGATTGGCCTGGGACATCCCTTGGATTTCAGGGCTATTAGCCACATAGCAATGCAGAAGATATTACAGCTAGTAGCCAGGGACTAGGGGGTGACTGAAGTGTTGATGCAGGTCAAACTGCTCACTTTATTGCCTCTACCATTGGTGTCTATGTCTCTACCATCTCTAGACTTTACTTCAAGGAGCATTCTGAGCTCCAAAAGTCTGTTGGAGGTTGTCCATCTAAGCTTTCTCCTGCCAATGTCCACCATGTCATGCATCTCATCTCCATTTGCAAGGCAGAAAATACTGTCCAGATCACCAAAGCTCTTACCAACATCATTAACCAACTTCTTTCCCCAAACACTGTCTTCCAGCACTTGAAAAAGACTGGCATGAAGGCTGTGGTCAAGCAGAAACTCTCTCTTCTCTCTGCCAAGCATTATAAGGCTAGGTTGGAATTTGCTCATGCTCACAAGGACTGGACTGTGGAGGATTGGAAGAAGGTTGTATAGTCTGATGAGACCAAAATCAGTTGCCTGGGGTCAGATAGATGCAAATAGGTGTGGCAAAAGCCAGGTGAGGGGCTCAGTGATAGATTGGTACAGGGAACTCTCAAGTTTAGAGGAGGTTCCATGATGATCTGGGGCTGTATGACTTGGGAGGGAGTTGTGTATGCTGCTAGAATTGATGGTAGGATGGATGGGGACCTTTATCTTCAGATTTTGAAGGATGAGCTGCTGAACACCCTGCAGTATTATGGTTTCAATCCTCCTCACATCATCTTTCAGCAAGACAATGGCCCCAAGCATACCTGCAAAAAAGTCAAGGAGTGGCTAGATGAGCGGGATTTTAGAAATATGGTGTGGCCTGCACAGTCACCTGACCTTAATCCTATTGAACATGGGTGGGGTTGTCTCAAGAGGAGGCTTGCAGAGTATGAACACCCTCCTAATGGGATGGAGGAGTTGTGGGGGAGGATTCAAGTGGAATGGGAAAAGATAGCAGTTGCAAAGTGTTGCAACTTAATTGAAAGCATGCCTAGGAGGATTCAGGCAGTGCTCAAGGCAAAAAAAGACTATATTAAGTACTGATATTCCCTAGATATCTCCTTTGATACCAAATGTGATAAAACTGTTGCAATGATATTGCTGTTTTGAAATAAACATATATCTTCACAGCCACTTGGCCAAATCATATGACCCAGGAACCATTTTGTAGCCAAGACCAAGTACTTTTGTCAACCCCACAAAAGCTAAGCAAAATTCCTACGCCTGTTGATGGTGCACTTTGCACATGGCATTTAGGCCAAACATTGCAACAGTTTTTGGAGTCACTGTATATTCTCGTCAGATAAGCTCCAGGGTTTTGTTCTGACCAAAATAGCTGGAGAGAGGGTGATCATGTCATGTTTATCCCAGAGTACTTGGAGTTGGAGGTCATTGACATCTGGGATGTAGAGGCGGTTGTCCTGCCAGAGGAAACCATTGAGGTTGGTGGACCAACAGGGGTCATTCTGAGGAGGGTTGGTGAGGAGTGCGGCAGAAACCGGATTGATGACCAGGGAGGTGAGTATGTCCTGGTGGATCACTTCGGAGTCCATAATGGAGATGGCTTGCAGTACTAACCAGGTTTGGTTAGGGACAAAGCCATAAGGATGAAACCAGTTGCTTAAAGGTGAAGACCAGTCAGAAGTTCTGCAGGTTGACCCTTGCGTAGTTGCTGTCTCCCTCTTTGGGGTAGATGTCCTGGTTGGAGGTGGATGATCATGTTGAACTGCAAGACAAACTCCGACCAGCGGGCTTGCTGCTGGGTCAGGACTTTTGTGGTGGAAAAGTATTCCAGGTTCTTGTGGTCAGTAACAACATTGACCAGAGAAGCGGAACCTTTGAGGTAGTGTCGCCACATTTTGAAAGCTTCAAAAATTGCAAGTAGTCCTTGATCATGAGTGTCGTAGTTGAGCTCCGGAGCAGTAAGAGTACGGGAGTGGAAAGCCACTGGGTGGAGTTCTCCATCCAGAGTCAAGATGGAAAGGATGGCAGCAATAGTGTAGTCCAAAGCATTGGTCTCCACAATTAGTTGAGCGTCCGGGAGCCAGTGCAAGAGGACCAGAGCAATCATGAAGGCTTTTTTCAGCACTTTAAAGGAATCACAACAACTGTTGGAAAAGTTCTAAGGGGTGTCTTTTTAAGTAAGGCAGGTGAGCAGAACAACGATACTGGAGTAGTTGTTGATGAAACAACGGTAGAAGTTGGCAAACCCCATGTAACAACCAAGAGTTATTTACTCTGGCACACACAGGAACACACTATAAAGAAGATGATGGGGAGTGGTTACCCCTTAGGCTGCAGTGAGTTAGTTGTGCTAGACAACAGGAGGACTCGCTGAGTCCTTCCCCATGTATTGTTCTTGTATATATACTAAAATACATGAGGTACTGTACAGTTGTAAATAAAGTTCAAAGTCCAATGTCTAGCATGTGACCATGAAAAGTCGAAAATGTAATGTAAAGTAAATGGTCACATGACTGGTCATGTGACTTGGAAAATAAAAGTAGAAGTACAAAAGTAAAGCATAAGTAGGTGCTGGTATGTTAATTGTAACAGTCCACAGTTTCAAAAGTAACAGAGGAGGCCCGGAGCTAGAACAATTGCATAGTAAACTGGGTGGATCCTTTGAGTTTGCAGGCCCGTTGAAAGGTGACTGCATTTATAAGGGAGACATTAGAGATTGGAGGGTCAGAGGTTGGAGTTGACATTGATTTGACATTCAAGGTCTCTGGAGAGCAGAAGAAGATATTATTCAGTACCCAGTTGATTAACACATTGTAGCGGTGTCATGCACCAAAGTTGATTGGTAGCATGGACAGGTGTCAATAACGAAGCGAATATTCAAAAAGACTCACCTTTGCGCCACACAGGCATAGTGCCACATGGAATAGTAATTAATATTGCCTTTTTCGAACTTGTGGCTAATCAGCACCACCTCTATTAGGCAATCCAGTTACGCTCACCTTTGCTTTTACATTCAGTACTTTCCGCATTTCGGCATTTCGGCAAATTTTTGCGTCGCCACTGGCTACACATTGTATTGCGCCCTGGCTTTTGTCATTTCCTTCACTTCCCTTCCTTTGCCTAGCCCCACCATGGGTCCCTTACTCTCGTTTGTATTCTCACCCAATGGTCGTTTCTGGATCCCCATTTTAGTTCACCTCCTCGTCACCTCCAGCCTCCTCCTCCTCATCTTCTTTGCTCCCCCACCATTTCTGATATCACCACTTCCTATTCCCTTCCATCGCCAATCCATTGACTACCATGTGCCACTGCTGATATCAGCAAAGCCCTGGCGACCAGTTCAAATAGGGCAACAGGTACATCTTTATGATGTCGATCTACCATCATATACTATCAAAACATTGGTCGCTCGTCTTGCCTGGTTGGAGTGTGGGTGGGTAGTTTTTGAGCTGGAGAAGGTTCATCCCCTTGCGTTGCCCATGTTTATTGCTGTCCCATTCACTTGGGTACACTTATCTTTTGTCCATCGTCTTCGCTACAGCTACACCTACCACACGCTGCCTGGGACTCACTTGTTCCAAATTGGGACTACTCCTCTCCCTCCCTCGTTTGACCAGGTGGTCCAATACAACCAGTCCATTGGTAAGGCCATGGAACTGTCGGATTTGGACTAGGTGGTGGACTAGTGGCTCCAGTTTCTTTTTTTTCAGCAGAACATTCATTTACAGTGCAATTATTTTTGAATTTTGAATCATTTTTATGGACACATATTTTTAGAATGCCTGATGACAATAAAGGAATTGTGTTGATACTAATAGTGTTTTGCCTTGCCCTTTTTTTACTGTATCTTCCCATGACATCATGATTTTCCTGCTCTCTTTTTGCTATTGGACTTTACTTTATGGCTGTACAAACCTGTGACATTACTCACAGCATTCATTGTTCTATCCCTTTTTTTTCCTTTTTTTGACAATCTTATCCTGTACTACCTATGCAGGATTTGTCAGTGTACATTCCTTCATGTTCTTTCTCATTCTTTTTGCACAGCTATACTGTGCATAGCCTACTTTTCTTTCACTATATAAACCCCTGTATTTTACCTTGTAAAAAAATTTAAAAAAACAAGAACTCGAATCCGGACTTCTTCTCTAATCTCAAGTTCACTACTCACTACTACTTGTGATCCAGTGTGGTCACAACACTTCCCACTGCTACCACTGTTAACTGCTGTCACCGTCACTTGTCACTTTTTGAAAGTGATTGTTATCCCTTTCGATTAGAGTCCTTCTGAGCACTACAGTCTGTGCGTCAGGAGCCTGCTATCACTGGGAACTTTGTCACCTCGTCACATTGTCATTCTCAAACCTACCTTGTGCTACAATTAGCAAGGTAGTACTCGTCTATACTCGCCACAAAGCACCTATCTTTCTATATTCCAACTATCCCTCCTCCTCAAAACCCACACCCATACATCTCTGGGTTTTACTTTGAAGGATTGTTATACGTACCACCCCACGAACAACCAGACCACTCCACTGTTCTAGGAGGCAAAGCCCATAAACAAGTTCTGTGGAATCTGGGAGGATTGTGTGTTAGTTTGTTTTGTGTGTGTTTTTTTCTAACAACAGTTCTCATCATCGACAGCGGCACTTTCTATTTTGTTCAAACTCCACCCTCTCGCGCTGCGCTGCCTTTCTTCTTATTTTAGCCATAAGTCTCTCATGAAGTGGAGCTGGTCACACAGGCTGTGCCCTCTGACATCATCAGCCACTGCTTTCATCAACTGTACAGTATATAAGTACAAACACACTGTAGTAGTATATAAACCTCAATAGATCCAGGAAACTCCTCAGCGAGTCCTCCTGTTGTTTACCCACAACTAACTTGGTCCTATCTTAAGGGGTAACCACTCCCCCTTATCACTCTTTTGCTTGTCTGAGTTGTGCGCCAGAGTAACTAGCTCTTGGTTGTTACAGACACAGGCTGTGCCCTATGACATCATCAGCCACTATTTTTATCAACTGTATAGTACATAAGTACAAACACTTTGTATTAGTATATAAACTCTAATAGATCCAGGAGACTCCTCAGCGAGTTCTCCTGTTGTTTACCCACAACTAACTTGGTCCTACCACTAAGGGGTTTATCCACTCCTACTCCCTCACAATTGCTTGTCTGAATTGTGTGCCAGAGTATCAAAACCTTGGTTGTAACATATAAGGTCAAACAGTTGTTGACTACAGGAAAGGCACCATTCAAAGTTACAAGGTTATATCTCCACAAGAAAGTGAAAAGATGAAGTGGAGTTTGAAATGAAAGAAAAGTGCTGCAGGTGTCTGAAAATGAATAAAGATGGTTCAAGAGGAGAAAGAAAGTTGAAAGTCCAAAAATTGTGTATCATAACACTACCCCCATCCTAAGGTTTGACTTCTAGGCGAGACCAAATTCGGAGGTAGCAGTTAAGTTTTTGGACATAAGTTGAAAAAGGGAATTAAAAATATTTGAATCCATTTTTCTAAGTTTCCTACACTTGGGGAAAAATCCCATGTTTTATATTGAAACATTTGAAAAGCACTTGAAAAACAAAGACTTTGTTCCTTACCATGTTTCTTTACATGACATTGGAGTTATTTTGCCTACCATTTTTTCAATCTTTTCTTATAAAATATTAGGGAAAATATCCAAAATTTATTGTTACAAAACATTTTTCCACTCAGTGTAGATGCAATACTAATTACCAATGTTTTGCAAGAATATATCTTGTATATTTCCCCAATATTTCTTAAGAAAGCATTGAAAAAACATTGAACAAAAAATGTCCAATGTTATTTCTAGAAACATGCTAAGAAACAAAGTCTCTATATTTCAAGTGTTTTTCAAATGCTTTATTATACAACATAGGACCTTGCCCCCAATGCTAGGAGCCAAGGGATTCTTAGAATAAAATTCACAAGCAGCATCACGGGAATTGTCTAGATGGGCTTCTGGTTCTCACGTTCTGTCCTCATCTCCATAGCCTTTCCAGAGGACTAGGAATTCTAGTTTTCCATGTTTTAAGTGTGCATCCACCACTGGTTTGACTTTGAAATCTTCTTCACCTTCCTGGGTGACTACAACCAGTCTGGGCCAGTCTATACGCTGTCCTGGAAGTGGCCCTTTATAGGGTTTTACACAGCTAATGTTGACCGTGGGTACTACCCTCATTCATTTTGGAGTTCCAGCTCTACTGCATTTGGCTTGACTTCCTTAATCCGATAAGGGCCAATCCACTTTTTGGTCAGTTTTCTAGACTGCCAATATTTCAATTTTAAGTGGTCAATATCTAAGCAGACCAAGTTGCCAACCTTATAGTCAGGTGTTTTAGAGTGCCTATGCTCTGCCCTGTCTTTTGTCTGCTCTGCAGTCCTGAATAGTGCCTTGTGCATTTCATCTAAGACAGGCTTCATGTCATTGGCCATAATCCCAGCAGCCTCATTCTTGCTTTTACCAGGTTCTACACCCATTCTTGGCTGCACTGCTTTCTTTTATTTTTAGCTACAACTCTCTCGTGTATTGGAGCTGGTCACAAGTGCTGCTGTTACAATTGACATACCAGCACCTACTTTATGCTTCACTTTTCTGTACTTTTACTCTTCATTTTCCAAGTCACATGACCAATCATATGATGCATCACCTGACCAGTGTCTAGACTCAACATGTGACTGGTCACATGCTGGACATCGGACTTTAAACTTTATTTATCTACTGTATAGTACCTCATGTATTGTAGTATATATACTGGAGCAATACATGGGGAAGGACTCAGTGAGTCCTCTCCTAGTGTATACCAACATTAGTGAAGACAACCTCCCTCCTTTGATAGGTTGTACACTTCCTTTCCTACTATTGAGTTGTAGTTGGTTGTGCTCCAGTGCCCCAAGATAGAATTTTGTTGGTGTTGTCACAGCCCTCGGGACAGACCCCATACTTGGCCATAGCATAGGAATTGGAGCAACCTTGGAGAATCTGCTCCAGGGCCTTCCTTTTGACATAGTAAAGGTCCATGGACGCTGGTCAAGCAATGCCTTCTGACAAATTATGACATTTGTTTATAGTATGAGAAAACATGCATTGGCCAGGGCTTAAACCTGGGACTCCAGCTTTCATGGTCTGGTGCTTTACCAACTAAGCTACCAAGGCGTACTTGGAAAGCATACTGATTGGTTGCATGCCCAGAAGGTCCAGAATCACTGTACACGGGTGCGGATCCCATTGTGTTGTGATACCTTCACCCTCTACCTTTGCAAACACTCTCAAATTCTAGCCCCCTTATATCCAAGCAGCTCCAGTGGTCCATAACCACTTTGTTCGCTTAACCATGCCTCCTGTCCATTAAGAAACCATCTCAGTAAGCACCTCCTCCTAACCTTTGGGCCCCAATCTTTGCTCTTCTGCGTCGTCGTCACTCCTAGTTCCTGGTTCACATCACTCATTTTCTTGGCTCTTAGGTTCAGTTCTGCTTGTGTCAGGGCTGGAAAGCTCCTGGCTTTGACCCACACTCTGTTGCTCATGCTCTCTCACTCCTTCCATTCTTACTACACTGCTTCACATCCTTTGCTTACTATTCCACTGTACTTACTGTTTGTTTACAACTGCTAAAAGTGTAGTCTCAAGTTTATGGGTAAAACACAAAAATAATTAGTATATTGTGTAATCTGTTGCTGTATGTTTCTCCATTTACTTCAACAGCCAATAGCGCCATTTTTTTGAACCTCTGAAGTGATCTACCCATTTCAAATTCAGTTCCATATCCGAGGGTGCCCATTCCATGAGAACAGCTGGAATTCGCGGGGAGGAGCCCCGGAACGAAGCTTCAGCGACTGATGTTGTCCACGAGCTTTCCGTTAAACCAACACAATGCTGGCTCTAATATATTCAAGAAGTGAGGCAGCAACAAGTATAAATTAGATTACACGTCTCCTTTGAGACTGGTGTGACTTTGGTAAACCCAAAATGTAGAGGGAACAGAATGGATGAGATAACGAGAACATGAACGAAGGAATAACAAAAGAATGGTGAAATCAATAGCAGCCAAAAAATGGTATATGTACTGTTAGATCAACGAGGCGGCTCCTGTCTGCTGATATTGCTTTGAGGCCTCCTGCCCCCCAGAACCGAAATTTGGAGAAAAATCGCCGCTCACGAGTCCAGATCCGCTCATCGTATTGCCAGTCATACCGTTTTCGCTCGCACCAAAGGCCCCAAAGTGTGGCATGGAGGTAGAAGGAAAAGATGGTGACCCGAAACTACCTGTGGAAGCAGGGAACATAGATGCTCGAAAAGGATTTACAGGGCCTAATGTCCCAGTAGCCTGGGGGCGAAGGCCAACGCCAATACCAGAAGGGAAAGTTGATTGGCCAGCTCCCGTGGCTTGGGCATTGAACGCTCCCGCAGCAGTGGATTGCGGCTGCAATGAAGAGAAATTACTTCCAAATGCATTTGCTGCAGGAGTACCAGCAGTAGTAGTTGATGAAGAAGGATTACTTCCTGTCATAGCAGGAGTCGTAGATCCGGACTGTGGAATTGGAGGAAGTGACTCCAACAAGGAAGCACCGAAAGAAGATGATGGTTTGAATGGTTTGAGCCCACCAAAACCCGTGATCTGCGGTTTCAAAGTTGGAGCAGCAGCTGAGATGGAAGGAGCTGACGATGTCACCGTTGCGCCGGTAGGTTGTGCAGATAGCGAAGACGAGAACAAGGAATCTGAAAACGCCGAACTTGTCGTCGTAGATGTCGCCTGGGCATTTAACGGTGAAGACCCAAAGCCACTCGCTGCAAAAGGTGTAGCCGAGTTACTGCTAGGTTTGTTACCGAGCGTAAAGGATGAAGCAACATTGGAAATCGTTGACTGTGCTCCAACACCTCGTTTGTCGAAGCCACCAAACGTCCCGGTCTGCTGTGGCTGTTGAGGCTGAGACTGAGGAATACTCGTGCCAACATTCACTCCATTGCCTCCGATACCCATAGCCAATTCCATCAGTGTAGGCGGTTTAGGAACGGGTGGAAGAGGAGCCACAGGAGCACCAAACGGATTTCTAGATCCCGTTTGGTGCGTTTTAACAGGCTGCATAGGTGGCGGGGAAGACGCAAATGACCTAAGAGGCGTCGAAGCCGGGCGAGCGGGTAGATCACTCGAAGTTCGTATTGCATCGGGTTGAGCAAATTGAATGTTCAACGAAGGAGTAGGATATAACTCTGATGTTTTTGAGAAAGATTGTTGGGAGGAAGACTGTGATTGCGATTGCACAGAATTCAAGAACTGAGAGCGTGAAGGTCCCATCTGCACGGATTGCGTCTGGTCAAATGGCTGGGATTGCAACGCATTTGAAAGACTGGGTGCACCCGCTAGATTGAAAGGTGGGATACCTGTAGTCTGGGGTAACATGATACTTTGACGGAAAGGATTCACACCCGTAGCTTGTGGCTGTAGAAAGGCAGGCGACTGGACCGGCGGTAATCCAGTGACCTGCGACTGTAAGAAAGAAGAAAACGGACGATGCTGCGACTGTTGTATCGATTGCTGAGGACCTTGAAATCCAAAAGAATCTGAATGATTTTGGAAAGGTTGTTGCATTACTGGAAAACCCGTAGCCTGCGGGTGCATTTGATTCTGCATACCAAATGGCTGAGTTCCAAGAGCTCCAGTAAATTGGCGCTGAACGAAAGGATTGTGAGCTGCTTGCTGCTGAAAATTATTCGTGGTGGGGCTGAACTTGATATAAGCCAAAGGAACCAAGAAATGATGCTGAAATAACCATACCTTCCCGTCTGAGGGTTGAATATAGTCGGCTGTTCTTCTATGGCGCTGAAGAAGTCTACGATAGCCTGGCTCGATTCTGCCTTATTAATGCTAGAACCAGCAAGAGGTGAAGAAAACGTCGAGGATGATATGTCAAGTGGTGGGGCAGAGGATGTCGCCACTTTAGATGCTTCTAAGTTTTTGATGAGCATGGTGAAACATTTTAACAGCGAATGAGACCCTACCTTTGCTATCCGTAGGTGCTGAGGATGGGACTTTTTTTACCGGTGCCTTACCATTCTTATCAGCTGCAGCTTTGTTCGCCTTATACTCAATTCTATTTTGCTCGAAGTTTGGGTCGTTGAGATACTCTTCTAAGGCACCAGCCAGAGATACGGGAGCCTATCGACGACATCTATGTTAATACCCGGTGAGGTTTATACGTCCATGGAGGCCAACTTACGTGCTTCAAATTGGGTATCGGTACATTAAGAAGATTCTGCAGCTTTTTGGCTACCCCCAGATACTCTACAACACGTTCAGCCTGCTTGCAAAAATGACGATAAATGGCTAGTGCTTGTTCGGCATCAACGTGTGACATTTCAAAATAATGTTCTACAGAATGATCAGCGATGGTTGATCTGGTGTGAGAGTACCGTACCTAAAACATTGATCACTCCTTCATTACCGGCTTGGAACAAAATTAGCAGATCCTTCACAAGCATTCGAAGTGCGGTAATGGTGAGTTCGTCTTCAAGGTCATCAAGATAGAACTAAAAGTAATCTCAGCTGACAACGCAAAGGCGTGCAGAGATGGCAAATTGCTAAATACCCTGCATTCGACCACAGCATCGATCATTTTTTGCACTACTTTAGTTTCCCGAAGCAAGCCCTTTTCTACCGTCATCACTCGAAGCTTTCTTCCCATTATCGTCTTACTTCTCTGAGGGACAGTGGTCCCTTTCGACTTGGGCGCACTTTTGCTCCGCGAAGAAGCCGCTTCTTCGTCTAGAGAGTTCTGTAAACGAATGTCACGATTGGATTCCGCCTGAACACGAATGGCATCGTGCTGGAGGTCGCGGTAGGCACGGATTCGAGAGTCAAGATACATAGCATAGAGTTGTAGATTTTGCGGAGCATTATAACCTGAATGCGAGGACAGGTATGAAAGACAGTAACGCGTCCTATGACAACATATAACGAACCTTCCCAGGTTCCTGAAGAGACATTGTGCAAACGCAATACTTCTGAAGAAGATAGGTGTGATAGGACATTGTCGGTTGCGCCATTCCGAATCATTGTATGTAGGACGATCAGTGCCTTGAACACAATCTAGCACGAAGTGTCAAGGTTATGAGAACGGCGATGTTAAAGACTTCATATATGTGATGCGCACTATCGCGTTGGGTTCCCGGAACCGAGGAACTAAGGCTCTACAAACATCGTGTACAGCGCCATCTTCCGACCAAGTCGCAGCAATGATAGGGTCCAGATACTAATAGGAAAGGGGGCTTCAAGAAGAGACAAGCATAACATGTTGGTGCACTTACTTTGGCTTTTGGAGGAGCAGCCTTTGGTTTGCAAGCAAGCTTAACAACTTTGTCGTAGCTAGACATGCTTTTACCAAGGACTCGACAGCGATATGGTGCCAGGTGACACCGCCAAATCGTAAATGGAATTTGTAGTTGAAACTCAGTTTACCTGTCCGCCTCTGTGTAAGGCACTTAGCAGAGGCTGAAAATATTTTATATTTATTTACTGAGCTTAGCTGGCTGCCGCATTAGACGTCTTTTGACACAGAACACATTTGTAGGACTTCCTCACCGACGACCACACCCTCAGGCCTCAGGAAGCGTATTGAGTATTCTTACTATACTTCCTTTTAACCCCAGATTCTCAGGTAAATCAACTCGGCAGGGCAGAATCATACATTTCACGTGGCCACTACAGAGGTACTTTGGTCCCGTTCACATTCAAGCCGTGGATGTGAAAACCTGTCCTCTGAGCCCCGCTTCCTATTGTGCCTCTTGGCTCAACATTCAGCCAGATATACGAAGTTTTAACGCCTGGAAATTTCTACATCCATTCCTCCTGTCTTTCAAACACCAACATTGCTTGACCAAGCAATTCGTCCTCGTGTCTTGTGATCCTCCCAAAGTTAGCCTCACAAGGCCATATCGAATTATGCCTTCTATCTTGAGCGATGCGCTGTATATCAATCTCATAACCAGGATTTCCATTTCACTTCGTCGCAAAGGTATTTCGCTTCGCCACGTTATCTTTGCACTTGCTTTTTCTGTATCCCTTTGGACTCTGTACTACGCCTATCGCCGGAGGACAACTGTGTCATTTCCTGAGGAAGCGGTGTATTACCCGCCCGAACCTCCTGAAATATGGGCAGAACGGGCCGTTCAGGTGAAAAAGGCATTCCTGCACGCATATCACGGATATGAACGCTATGCCGCACCATGGGACGAACTCAAGCCTGTCACTCACGGCAAAGTAAACAAGTAAATCATTCCAATTTTATTTACGCCAGCCGTGCGGCTGAACCGAATCCAGTTTCAATGGGTGGGGCGTGACCGCAATCGATTCTCTCGATACGATGTTGATGATGGGCTTGAAAGACGAGTACCAGCGCGCACTGTCCATTGTACAACAGAGCAACTTTTCTCTCCCAGAGGTTGGTTTGTGTTTTATCTGCACTATGCAACCATGCTAATTCTCTATTTACAATAACTAGAATACAGCTGTCCCCTTTTTTGAAACTGTCATCCGATACCTTGGTGGCCTTCTGTCCGCATATGCCATGTCCAAGGATAACATTCTACGCACCCGCGCGGACGAATTAGGCAGCATTCTTGCACCTGCATTCAATACTTCAAGTGGCTTTCCACGATTTGCAGTGGACACGACCAGGCAAGTCATGATTGATCACGGCCCTTTCCATTTTATATGACGCCCTTATACAGAGGCGTCGATGTTGGCGGGTCAATCGGCATCCTAGCCGAGATAGCAAGCTTTCAGATGGAATACACCTACCTGGGTAAGATAACTGGTAAAAAGGAACATGTAGATCGGGTGTGTGTTGGTTTCAGCATTTATAGTTACCTTTGCTTGCTTTCTCTCTCCAATGCTCCGTATTATCCGATAACGCCGCAGTGTCTGACTTATCTCCTAGGCGACCAAGGTTACACGGCTGTTTTCTCAAGCTGATCTACGCGCTTTTGGTGGCATGTATCCCACACGGTGGAATCTGACATCTGGGTCTTGGGCGGACGGTGAGTCTTGTCCCGGATAGAGCGTTTCTTCTGGCTGAATGGCTTCGTAGGGCATCTATCTGTTGGAGCAGCGGCAGATAGTGCGCATGAGTACACACTAAAGCAATATCTATTGACGGCCCAGACGGACAAAGCTAATCTCGAGATGTGTGAGCTTTTCCCTGGTTCATGGAGACGATTGGAGTAACATAATGCTATACATCTTTTACTTGACAGACCTGCGCGCCACCACTCACATCATAAACGACCTCCTTTTCATTTCTCCCGAGCGGCAGCTTTTATACGTCACGGACACACACACCAATGGAAATTCTAGTCGACCATCACACTTATTTGAACATCTTTCGTGTTTCTTTCCTGGGTTGTTAGCCTTGGGTGCACATACTCTACCTCTTGATCAGCTGGATATTCTCGGTATAGATCTCAATGACCTGGGTTCCAATCTCTTTCCAGGTGCACGTAAAGGATATGCCGCAGCTTCGTCCTACAATCTCAAGGATTTACATCTATGGGCTGCGGAGGGTCTTGCACAAACCTGCTGGCTCACGTACGCGGATCAGCCATCAGGGCTCGGCCCAGATGTTGTTCTGATGCAGTCGGGGGGTAGGTCGTGGATGGAAGCCATGGGAAGTTGGAAGAGGTGGGGCTCTAAAGGGCCACCTCCTGGTGTAGGCCATAAGCTACCATGGTCGGACGACGCCATCCGACCGCACAGTCAAAGTAAGACGAAGGACTATCTTGTCAAAACAGCGACGTATTATCTACGGCCCGAGGTCAGTACCGATAACCACATTCAATATGATGATTGATTAGATCTTATTCGCTGTCAGACTATCGAATCTTTTTATATATTGTGGCGAGTTACGGGTGATGTACGCTGGAGACATCATGGATGGGCTGTGTTTCAGGCTATAGAAAGAGAAGCAAAGACTGATTCTGGCTATGCTAATGTCGATAAGGTTATGGGCTCCCCAGCGCAGCAATTGGATTCAATGCCCAGGTTAGTTTGAACAAACGTGTATGATACATAAAAACTGATGCTGTTCGTGACCTACAGCTACTTCTTAGCTGAAACGTGAGTCTTCGGTCTAATTCCTGTTTCTTTTATCTTACGAGTTTCCTGCTCAACAAGGCTCAAATACCTGTATCTCCTCTTTATCGACGAAGACATCGTTCCCTTAGAGAAGTGGGTATTCAACACGGAAGCTCATCCACTACCTATATTTGAATGGTCGCAGAGAGAGAGAGAGGCATATGGAATACTATAGCCACTTTTGCACCCCGGACACTATACTACGATCATCGAAATGTAGAATAATCAGGTAAAGCAAGTGCCCTTCATGTAAGGTTTGGGTGGCGCCGGGTGGAGCACATCAGAGCGTATCATGGCCCGGTCGGTCCGGCTGGACAGATTTCTCGTGATTTCATTCAGTTCCATCACATGGGGTCTTCTCCGGGATACTCTCGACGGAATATACTTAAAGGGAGCTCCTGGTGCGCCAGCGCCTTTTGTTTCTTTGTTTCTGCGTTATCATGGGCAACCTTAAGCAAGGCGAATTTATTGGGTCACTTGATTGCGGTACAACGTGCGTATATAAAACTACTCACATGTATTCCCAGTTCATCAGCATCCCTGCTGCAGATCTGTTCGGTTTATCATTTTCGATCAATATGCTAACGTCGTGGCACAATATCAATCTGAGTTTCCCCAGTACTATCCGAATCCGGGGTAAGTATTTAATGTTGCTAGTTTGCGCGCCGATAACACAAACGTTGGTCACAAGTTGGCACGAACATGATGCAGAAGAAATACAACAGGTTTCGGAGCTGTGCATCGCTCGGGCATGCAGCAACTTAGAAGAGGGTGGTTGGACGAAGGAGAGCGTGAAAGTGATAGGTATGTTTTATGACCTATCGTATCATGTTGTTTATTGATATAGGGTTTGGCATGTAGGTATCACCAACCAGAGAGAGACCACAGTTGCATGGAGTCGCAGCACAGGCAGACCTCTATGCAGGGCAATTGTCTGGACAGATTCTCGAACTAAGAACACTGTAGCTCACTTCGAACATGTGTTGACCCACACAGGGCTGGAGGTCGAAGAAGGGTTGTTCAAAAATGGCGAAGAAGGAGTCGAAGCTTTGCGAGAAATGTAAGGCATGACTTTATTCATCTCTCCCTGCTTGACTTCAGTACATCGACTAGTACCGGCTTAAAGTTATCGACCTACTTTTCGGCTATCAAGTTACGATGGATGATAGACAATTATCCCGATGTTCACAGAGCTCACGAAGGCGACGATCTTATGTTTGGCACTATCGAGTCATGGGTACTTTATGTACGTCTCATCTTTGCCCATTATCAAGGTTGCTAATGATGTGCGTCGCAGAATTTAACTGGCGGCTCAAATACCGGCTTACATGTAACGGAAGTGACGAACGCGTCTCGTACTCTTCTCTTGAACCTGCGTGAATTAAAGTGGGATCCGCTACTTCTCAAGTTTTTTGGTTTTCGAAAGACCATTCTACCGAAGCTCGTTTCCTCATCGGAGGTGTATGGTCATATTTCCACTGGACCCCTTAAAGACGTCCCTATCGGTGGTCTTGTGGGTGATCAGCAGGGCGCATTAGTGGGGAACAAGTGTTTGAAAGAAGGTGAAGCCAAGTGTACCTATGGAACGGGCGCTTTCCTGCTATTCTGTACGGGCAAGGACATTGTGAAGAGTGGTCATGGTTTGCTGAGCACGGTACACCTCGTGCATCCCATTCTATTGAAGTCCTTGTTCATCATCTCTTGAACAGGTCGCATACCAACCTGGCCCAGGGACAGCCCCAGTATATGCTCTGGAAGGAAGTAGTGAGTGATCTTGGTTTTGATTTTTTTTGGGTGTTGAAATTCTGTGTATAAGTCGGTGTCGCTGGGAGTGCTATCAAATGGTGAGGCTTTATTAATGGCATCACACGCTTTCTCTTATACTTGATGAATAAGGTTACGAGACTCGATGGGTTTCATTGCCACGGCAAACGAAGTCAATACCCTTGCCGCTTCTGTCACTTCGACAGGTGGAGTATACTTCGTGACCGCCTTCTCTGGCCTATTGGCCCCATATTGGGACTCTGGCGCAGCAGGCCTGCTCATCGGTAAGTATCGGATAGCATATCCTGCGCTTGCGCTGACACGGCATTTTTCAAGGACTATCTTCATACACAACCCCAGCACATATTGCGCGTGCAACGATTGAAGCCAATGCGTTCCAAACTCGAGCCATCTTAGAAAGTATGAAGTTAGACTCGAACACTGAATTAAAACATCTTAAAGTCGACGGCGGGATGACCAATGGCGATGTATGTATGGAAATATTAGCTGATATAGGCGGATTCGATGTCATCCGGCCGGAGATGAGAGAGTATGTCCCCCCCCTTCATGCTGTGGATAGACAATTCACTGCCTGTGATTCCATTAATAGGTCCACTGCACTAGGATCAGCACTTCTGGCTGGGTCAGCAGTTCGTCTATTTGGATGGGATATCAGCAAACCCGAGACGCTTTCCGAGGTCAATACGAAAGGAAGCCGGGAGTTCAACCCTCGTACTACAATTAAGGAGAGACAAAAGAGTTGGACATGTTGGCTTCGAGCCATTGAGAGATCCAAAGGATGGGAGGAAGGTGTTGATGAGTAAGACTTTCACCTTACTTCGGAAGTCTTCATATCGTCGCATCGAATGTTGGGCCAAACCTCATAATTGTATTTCTATGTATTATCATAACAATGAAGGTCATAAATTTGAGGTCGCCCAGAATTCAACTTTGCTGTTTTATGCCACCTGAGCATTAACAAAAACAAGTGGTATTTGGACCATAACTCGTGCCAAAATCATCATTGTGACTTCATTTATACCTACTTCTTTATTGACCAAATTTTTTCAATGGGTCGGATTTTCGTTTACCCCCTCGGCCTCTGGCCCCACCTCGACCTCGCCCGCGTCCCCGAGCGGAAGTCTTTCTGAAAGATACGAAGCCTACTTTGGGCTCCAATTCAGCATCAGCAAATGCGCTATCCACTGCAGCAATTTTAGGAAGCAAATATTTTGGTACATGTTTCATGTGTGCTTGGACTCGTGTAGGGTGGAGAGGCTTATCGTGGCGAAGGTATTCCAAGTCCAAAGGATTATCTTCGAAATGCGCCTGGAAAATGATCCATTTAAAGAGGCTGAAGAATGATACAGTATAACTTGCCAGGTACCTTAAGTTTTTCCGAGTTGATGATCTCCGTTTTCAGCTCCTTGACTCTAGCTTCCTTGATCGCACTCCTTGTAACTGCTCGTAATCCATCTTCCATACGATACCTGAAGGCTTCTACCTGCTTCATATCGAAATTGTACTCTTTGATCTTACTTCCCCGCGCTGCCTGCTCCTTCTCAATCTTCGAAAAGACAAGCTCATCTTTCTTTGCACTTTCTAAGCAACCCACAGCTTTGTTCTTTCCCCATTGATCTTCGGAAACAACGAAAGAAAGGGACATTCCAGTCCTCCCAGCGCGAGCCGTACGTCCCACTCTATGTGTATATGATCGTGAAGAAGTTGGAAGGTCAAAGTTGAGCACACAAGCCACGTCGACAAAATCCACACCACGCGTAACACCATATTCTTTATCTTTCCCTTTCCGATGTTTCCGTTTGCGGGATTTGGACGGTCCAGGTGTGGAAGATCCTTCTGTTCTTTTGCGTTTTTTTGAACCAGTTTCACTCTGAACTTCGCCTAATGCTTCTGTGGCATTTTCGATATCGGTGGATTCGCGTTGCGTTGGGACGACTGCTACTGCTTATAAAATATCAGCTAGCGAGCGAGCGAACATATGTAATAATTACTACAAACCATCCTCTTCAGCCTGTGCTTGTTGGTCCTCTACAGCCTCATCATCAGAATCCTGTTCTGCACGACCTCCACTTTCGTCTGTGGCTATGATATAATCATAAACTCCTTTGTTGAATTCTTGTACGGTGTGGTATCTAATGTTGCGAAGCGATGAATCAAGTTCCATAATTTTGCTCATAATAGTGGACATACCTCGAATTGAGCGGTAGTTCTGAATTGAGAACACAACTCTTGATTGAAAATTGCTCGAGGAAGAGCTTAAGACGATAACAGCGATCTACATCATTGACGAAAAGGATGCATTTTCCCTTGATGAGTTTGAGCTTGAGGATAACATATGTAAGCAAAAACTTGTCGACTTCAGAACACCTGACGAGTAAACCTGTCAATCCAATTGGGAATTGATATCCCAGAGCCAGCAAGACATACCGAACTGCGTATTGAGTCAAGGACGCTGCTTCGTCCTCGCCTTCTTCTAATTTCAATATAGCCTGTACAGAGTATAATTTGACACCATGTTTATATGATTGAAAAAAGGACCACTAACAGGGTTACGAAGAGCAAGACCTTTCAGAGTTTCGACATCGTCGGTCATCGTAGCACTCATTAAAAAAGACTGGTACACTTTAGGTAAATACTCTCCACCAAATATCTGCCGGATATCTTCATCATGCCCATAAGATAGGATGAGGTCTGCTTCATCGATGATCAAGGAATCCAAAGAGGCGAGAGATAGTGCCTGCATAACCATATTATCACGCTGTGATTGCAAAAAAGGAATGGCCTACCTTGGACTGTAAAAATCCCAAAGTACGTGAGGGAGTAGATATCACGATATCCGGCTTGTCCGCTAGTAATGCTCTATCCGTAGGATGAGCAAAGTAATTTATAGTATGGAAACATAAGATTGCTGATAGTTATCGTACCTTTGAAGATGAGATGTGGCCCCAGACGCAACGTTTGCCAGGACAATATTTTTTTCGCAATATGCTACCAACCCTCTGAGGTACGCAGTGACCTGTTCCGATAGCTCTCGTGTTGGAACAAGAATTAAAACACGAGCGCTCGTATGAGCATCATCATCAGGCGGTAGTGACTGAACATACACATTTCGTCAACTTCGAGAAATATGCAGCTATAACGTACCTACAGCTTTTGCACTTAAAATCTTTTGCACAACAGGGATACAATAGGCTGCAGTCTTTCCACTCCCCGTACGTGCTCTAGCAAGGATATCGCGGCCTTCCAAGGCAAGTGGAATGGCTTTTGACTGAACGAGGGTTGGTCGTGCAAAACCCATATCAGCAAGGGCTCGTAAAATACGTGCATCGAGCAGATGGGAAAAGCTCGAAAAGGTAGATTTCTGATCCACGAGGCGAGCTTCAGCCATGTTGAATTTTGTAGGGGAAACAAGATAGTCGAAAAAGAAAATAGTACGTCACCAACTAGGGATTTGTTTTCTGATTCATTGGATAATATTTCTTTCTCCTTAACCATTATCGAAATTTAGTCGGACTTTCAATATCTTTATCCTGGTACAACCAGCCAGCGTCGGCATTATATTTTCTGCAGGCTGCCAGCTAAATTTTTGACAAGGACTGCAAAGTATATATGTATAGCACGAGGGATTCTATCAAAATATCTAGCCACTTGTAGGCAGTCCAAAACACTCTAAGGAAGACAGTAGTTCTTTCTCGACAAATGAAATGATACATCCAAGTACATCAAACTATGTATACATGATAAATACCAATATCAATAAGATCCAACTTCCTTTCAAATGTCCCTTCTACGAACACCTCAATCAGACCAGCGGTCAACACCAGCCAAATCGAATGCCTCTATGAATATGCCATAAAAATCCCCACACCTATTGCTATGGCTCTGCCACTCCATCGTGACTTGCCCACTGCGAGTCAGCTGCCACTAGCCCCACTCGAAGCAGTAGCGGCAGGTGTGGCCGTGGCCGTAGCGGTCACAATGAAGGCGTCCCATGCTCCCACTGTCGCAGTGGGGAAGAAATACGTTGACTGCGTTGTGCCCGACCCGTAATAAATACCAGCTTGGCCTGTCATAATCTCCCCAAGCGTCGTATCCTCCCCTCCGATAACTGTCACTCCAGAGGAAGTGTTGGTGACAAGACCAGTCTGGTTGGAGCCAAAGACAAATTCCCGGATAAACACGAGGGCCTTACGGAAGAGGCAAATTAGACTAAAAGCCATTTCATAGAGGAAATAAACATACAGAAGGGGGATTGGTGTAACCCACTAGATGGCCTGCATGTTCGACAAGAATATATGTCCAATTACGCTCTTGGTGGACTATGCCTGCGAAAGCACCCGTATCATCATACCATGGAGTCGAAGGTTCACGTGTGAAGCCTTGGATACCACCAAACGTCGTATTCTGCATCGAAAACAAAAAGAATCGATTAGTTGGACATGAGATAAAACTCCGAAATATAACAATCTACGAACCTGAATTGTGACCTGTGATCCAATGTGTGGGATAAGAGAATCGTCGTTCCCAGAGTAAATTACAACGGAAACGTTCTGTGCGGTTGCATTTGACATCAAATGCGGGTCGGTGAAAGCTTCTGCCACTATACATACCATACCTCAGTGCACCCTTCCAGGAAACAGTCAACATCCACTGATATCACCTTCCTGATAATCTATACAATGATTGATAAGTTTACTGGTAGCCGAACAGCAGGAATTGCTCAACTGTTTCCGAACGGGTAGTTGATACTTTCGACCCAGTCTTTGCTGGTGGGCGCATGGATGGCAGCACGCGTTTGATTGTCTAAAGTTGGTTATGGATCACATGTCGTTCCAAGTGCATGTAACCAGGAAGAAATCAGTACACGTGGGAAAATATAATATCACTAGATAGAGACATGATCCACAGAACAGTATAAAAACCAAACGCACCATTCAAGAAAACAGAACCATCCATTGGGGCCTCGGGGCTCAAGGCATCGGGGACATTGTAATACTGCGCACAAGAATACATAGTACATATCAGCAGGCCAGTCCATGTCCACTAACGCACAGGGATTTAGCTAGCACTCACATCAAAGGTACCACCAACGTTCTGACTAAGGGCTGTGAATTCAAGGAAGCAATTGTGCAGCGAAATCGTCAGTAACTTGACTAGCCAAAAAATCTGCGAGACGCCGAAAACTACTTACTCCAAGGGAAAGTATAATTGATGGCATAATCCAACATCTCGTCATATAAGTCACAGCCATACCACGAATCGATGGTTCCATTCGCCCGGCCAGTTAAATCACGCTTCCACGCTTCTGCTGCTCGTTTTCTCTCTCTCTTTGATAGCCCACTCTTCGCAGGAGAAAGATTACGCTTGGCTTCATACCTGGTTTGGAGCTCACTCATAAAAGAGGCTTTCGTTAACGCGCCCTTTTTCTTCTTTTCCAAAAACTTGTTGCCAGCACCAAAGCTTTCTTTCAATCCCGTCAGATCTGAGGCACCAGTTGGGAACCCTAATGTGGGGAAATATCCGTCTTGTGGGTATGTGAGGTTTAGATCATAACCACAGAGATGCTGCTGCTCGTGGAAGTAAGAGAAAACGTCTGTGTCATACCCGATGATTTGGGGATATGTCTCGAGCACTTGGATAACAGGAAGGAGCTCGAATACCTCGCCGGACGCGATAGAACCGTCGCCGATGGCTATTTTGGCGAGTTTGACGGGCGGTGATTCCATTTGGAAATAGGCTTTAGTAATGTAAGGCTGTTTTGTATAGGTACAGCTCGTCACGATAAAGCTAATTAAACGGAGGCTGGGACGTACAATGTACATGCCGGCATAACTCTCGCCAGTGAGGTGCAACGGACGTGTTGAGAGGCTGGGGAATACCTTGACGAGGTTTTCGAGGAAACCAAACTGTCAGTGTAACCATAATAGTACACATATGCGATGGATGCGTGGTCGACGATTATTTCGATGATCATTGTTAGTGGGCAAAATAACGTCGATGAAGAAAGTTAGTTAGCTCACAAAGTCCGTGGCCATTTGGTCTTCATCGGCAACTAGTCAAAGGTAAGAAGCTAGTCAGTATGGTTGCGTTATTTTCCCTCAAAAGATGTAACATGACGAATCAGAGCGAAACAAAGGATGACAATCTTCTTTGCACCGTTGCAGTGGTGTTGTTTTGAACAATCCATGACATGAATGATGCATATACCGGATTGACTGCCTCATGTTGCCACCTTCAAGCGATTCAAAAAGATATTAACTCACCGTACCCATCGCTGTCTGCGGTCCCAAATCCTACTCCGACAGGTTGATCGATCCATATGTAATCGGCGACTTCGGTCCATGCATATTCATTATCGGTTGCCGAATAGTCATTGAGGATATGAATCGGACCATTCTGCGTTGGTGAGAGGGAGCGTTAATATCAACATAGGAAACGAAGAGAATGGTGCGTACTTCGAACAGAAGACCGACCAAACTTGATGAACCAGGCCTGAAATCGCGTGAGCGTCAGCGCGGTTATCATACGACCCCACTCAAATGCGCTTATAGTAAAGGTTACAGCTCGGGAAGCACCCGATGAAGTACATCACTATCCCTTCCAACCGTAAAGCCATACGAAATGCGGACGAAGATGCTCACCCCCCGTTCAACCAAATCCCCCATGGCTCGTCGCTCTGACCAGGTCCGTCTGTCAAGGATCCATTGGAATGTTCGAACGCCCAGAAGAACAAGGTATCGTTTGGGTGACCTTCTCGCTGCACGGGGATATTTCCTGCCCAGTTGCGAGCGAGCGGCCAAGTGATATTTGGAAGAGACGAAGTTACTTGAAAGTCTGTGAACGCTATGAGATTATACTAGATGGCTAAAGGAATGCTCTGCTGACAGTCCTGCCACTCTGGGCTGTAGTCGCCTGATGGCATTCCGGGGTACACCTGAGGGTACGTGCTGGGTGGTGTCTGAGCAGACACGACGGAAAGCAGCGCACTCGATGCTGCGAGTGCTGCAAGAAGAACCATGGTAGCAATGAGCAAAGGGAAGATGAGGATGGAATTCTAGAGATGTCGAGCGAATAGTTGCATTTATATGTAGCCTTTTATGATGACAATTGAGATGGGAACCCCGGTTGATTACACGGAAGGACCGAGCAGGTGGCTGCCGACCATATGGCCCGCCCTCTTTGTCTACTAAACATAGCCTACGACGGATCTATAACGGAGGTAAAAAGGTCTCACTTCCTCGAGGTCGACAACAGCCGCTTCATAGCCGCTTGTATGTATGTAATATTTAATAGGTAAGCCTGCGGTGGATCGAGGCTGGACGTTGGAAGTTGGAAATCCTTTATGGGCTGAGCAAAGCTATCATGGCCTGTGTAGTCGTGTGTCGATGTGTTCGCGTGCTACACGCATCGTTTCTCATGGCTCCTTCTCTCCGTGCACTGTTCTGCATGCAATAGTGTGCTTTTTGACCCCTGCATCACTTCAGATCTCCATATTTTGACGCCCGTGCCTGTGAGACACTGCATAAATCCCTGAGCACCTATTTTCGTACGTCGTTAATTATCTAACGTTTGACACGCTATGGGCGCTGCTCGTGTCTATTGTATTCGTCGCCATGCTATGATCTTTCATCCTGTTCCTCTTTACCATTCACCCTTGTGGATCACGTTCGTCACGCGTACTTACCAAGAGGTACCAAGACTCCTTGTTTCCGTGCCACCCCCTTGGAACGACTCGGACGGCTTTCTTGTGCTGATCAGCTTGGATTGCTGCATAGTCGTCTCATGCATATCTCCCATGAGCTCCGCAGCGCAGAGAATCATCACCCTTCGTCAGGTTCAAGAGTTCGAAGGTGAATAGAACTCCGTGATGCTTGACACCGGGCTAGCGGGGATAATGCAGCGGACAGTATATGTTTTTCGTTGACGATCTTCAATCCAATCAATGTTCTAACGATGCCTCGCATTCTAAGGATGAACTTTCGACGCGGGTATCCACGCCAGGAGCCACGCCAGCGCTCTCAAATTCCACTTTCCAAGTTGAATGTCGTCAGATTCAGCTCATATGCATATGAGTCATTTACCAAGGAAGCCAAAATTTGCCTGACGGATTCATTGAAAAGCATTAAGGCTGTTCGGAAACATTTCTCACTGCAACGACGCGTCTCACCCGTCGAAAGGGAGTGGTGAAGTTTGTCCATTGCCATAGCCTCGTACACTTTTGTGGTTTCGTATCGGTGATCTTGCAATTTGGATGCGAACTTCTGTTCAATGTCTGATGTATCACATACCGCTCCAGCAAACGCCGTATCCACCCACCGAACTCGCTATCGTTGAAAAATAGACTAAAAAGAACCATGGAGAAAAAACTTTTGTTTCAATTGCCCTCTTTCAGCATCGATTTATTTGGTCGTCCCATCAGCGAATGGTGCCCTGAGGGTGACCTTCAATCAGAGACCAGTCATCTAAACCATAAGCCCAACTTTATCTATGTCTGCAAAATGCCGTGTGCAATGCACTTCCCATTGCGCTCATCTCACCAAATATTGCAGCCAACCATTCCCTGGGTGCTTAAAGAACGAGGAAAGGGCACTCTGGAACATCGGAAACCGCGTTTACTCGTAATCTCGTGGCTCAATTAATCAATTCTCACACATTCCATCAAGTGCGGTCCTTGCACCACTGCTTGGACAATGGAGACACCAACAATATTCGTGCCAGCAAGCGCTCTTAAGTGTCAGGAAAGCCAATATCCCTAACCCTCATCCCAACAACCCATCACTTTCCAAGGATAAATTCAATCCATAAATGTCGCATTGTGCTATCTTGGATAGTGCGATTAAGAAAGAGAGAAACTTTTAGGTCTGCTCGTAGAATTTGGCATTGACATTACAAGATATATCATTTCTCCTATTATGTTCATCATATATTTTTGTTAACATGAGCTATTTTACGGAACTCCTCAAAGGAATATCAAATCACAATTGCATTCGACGCCGCCTTGTTTGACTCTGTGTGGAAATATGGGGATACTCAGCAACAATTAACGATATCAGTCAACATATCACGCGACCATACACTAGGTATGTGTACATGAGTAGCATGATTCCTTTGTTTAACAAAACCTGCCGATGTGAGATCGTACAAGGACAGTTCCGTTGTCCTGTCGTGGAGCCGCTTAATGCAACTTTATAGGGGTGATTTCATGACCTCGATACAAGTTGGTTCTGCTCCAAGGGCTGTCTGCATTCCTTCAGCCGACATCAATGATACGTCCGCATTGGTTGTAAGCCCCAAGGCTGCCAGCCTGTTATCTCCAGGCAAAGCCACATATGGTATGTGGGGAGAGGGAGGGGTTCTTCGCAGTTTCACGTTGTCTGTACAGTCACAGGCCCTATTGCGGCCCGACATCTTGGCATAGTAAGGCAAGGACTCGTTCGCTTGATTGGCCAATGCCAGGTTGGTCGGTTGATTGAATGGGTTTCTACGGGATCCCCAGACCTACGACGAACCACGAAAATGATGGAGGAAGCGAACAGGCTGGGCATGGTCTAAAACGCATTGGGCATCACCCTGCAGATGGCAAGGCAAAGAGCCTTATTGGCCTTTAGTTATCGGTGACAGCGGGAATTTCTAGTAGAATCACTGGCAGTGCGCAATCTGTCAATTGAGTCATTCACTTCGGCAATGATCTGGCTCACCTTCAGCCAGACCAAGTGACAGAGATGCTTCACGTATAAGATTACTGGACTATGCCGGAGTCAGGCGTCCTGCAACAACCGTCCTTTTGATCACGATAAGGTAAACACTTATCATAACGACAAACGACTGACGTACAGCCCTGCACAAGAATACTATACGCGGAAAAGGAGCCTATGGGAGCCCTCGGAGCCCTCGAAAGTCTCCAGTCTTACCTCTCGGTCAAACGCGCAACGTGGATCATTCCAGGATTTGCAGCTTTGCTCTCAATCATACTTCGCATAACTGACCTGGAGAGAATATGCACAGGGAAGTTCAGTGGCGGCAATATCTTGGGCAATTTGCAACAATGTGAATGTTAGCTTAAAGCCCACCTATGGTCTGAGTACACGTAACTCAGCTAATCTCAACATGTTGTGCAGTCTGCAGAGCTTGTTGTTCTCAAACCGCACCTGGCACCACTCGCGATTACAACATCAGTGGGCCATCACAGATCTTCGACAGGTTGTCGCATTTATTATGAGAAAGAAAAGTCTTTGAGACGACGTCTTCATTAGGCCATAGTGGGTCGGAACCAATATTGCGGATGCGGGCGCGGATGCTTTTCGGACTTTGTGTATTGTAGCGCAATGCTTGTAAGCTTTGTAGTCGTACCACCACCCACCATCTTGACACCATACAAAACAAGAACATAACAGGATGACACCGTAAGGCATTTATACTTAATCATATGTTCTCTTTCCTTATGAAGGCCATCACCGTGACAGAGAGCCGGTGAAGTCTGCCACCCAAGACGCGTCAAATAGTACACTCATGACCATCGAAAACGCGCTGGAACACGCCAGACGCGCGTTTGCGCTCAGAAAATATGAGTCAGCAGTCGATTATTATGCTACTGCGCTGGAATTAATGTACGTTCTCGTCATACTTTCCGCTGCAACCTGCTCGTTTCTTTAAAATTCCAAAGCACGCAGTCTAACGCGTATGTTTTGTGTCATACAGGACTAAGAAGCACGGCGAACACGCGCCCGAAATCGCCGATTTATATTTCTCTTATGGAAGGGCATTGTTAGAAAATGCGATTTCACAGGCTGGTGTCTTGGGAAAAGAGCAACCAGAAAATGGTGTGGATGAGGAAAATGAAGGTAAACAGAAACCCTAGTTTCTCAAAGTACACTGGTCTGACCTTCCTCGCGTACTCGAAGCTTCAGGTTCTGGTTCTGGGTCCGGTAATATCTCTGGTCCAATCCTCTCCTTTTCTGGAGACGCGGACGATGATGCAGTTGATCTGTTTGCCCAACAAGCCGAAGAACTAGAGAATGAAGCCGAAAATGACGAGGATGGCGAGGAAGGTGAAGCGGACGACGGGGAACCAGAGGATGACTTCAATGCTGCTTGGGAAGTCCTGGAACTTGCTAGGGCGATATACGAGAAAGAGAAAGATGGAGATGACGATGAGGTGAAATTGAAATTAGCAGATACCTACATTGCACTGGGTGACGTGTCACTGGAAACAGGTGAGTACGATTCTACCCTATCTTTTCCATAAAGTACTACATCATTGATACATCTTTGCTTTGTCCTCATTCATCATACTTACTATGTCTCTGTGCACAGAAAAATTCGACCAAGCAATAAGCGACTACACCTCCGCACTTTCCTTGAAAGCTATCTTACTCCCAAAAAGCTCTCGCCAAATTGCAGAGGCTCACTACAAACTGAGCATGGTGCTCGATCTAACGTCAGGGCGGCTCAAGGATGCGATTTCGCACGCAGAGGAAGCATTGGAGAGTGTAGAATGTCGGTTAGCTGAGCTAAGGGATGGACTGAGTGGACAGGTTCCTGCTGTGCCTACCATTAAGGAAGAAGACAAAAAAGGCGATGAGAAAGGCAAGGGAAAGAAGCAAAAGTTAGTTAGGGACGATGAGGTAAGGAATATGACGAAGATACAGATGGAAGCAGAGATGAAGGAGGTTGAAGGTTTGAGGGAGGATCTTGCGCTTAAGGTACTTTGTTTGTCCACCATGACTTCGTATACTAATGATTTTTATTTCGTTAGGTCGAAGAGCTTAAAACAACGCCTACAGAGCCAAATGAATCTGCGCCCGCGATGGCTGCTCGAGCCTTAGACAAGGAATTGAATACTGCGATTGCAGCTGTTCCGACGCAAGTTAATGATTTGTCTAAAGTGGTGAGGAAGAAGAAGAAAGATGCGGAGCCACTGGCGGAAAGTACTGGAAAACGGAAAGCAGAGGATGAGGATGGGGAAGTAAGCTCTGGGCCGGAAAAGAAGGCGAAGGTAGAAGAGGGAGAATCATGAGAAAAGTAGCAGTCTTAAAGGGATATGGAGTGCTGATATTTGATCTGTATTGTTGGACCTGCTTTTCTGTCCTACAACATAATATTTACATTTTGGTGATATCACTGCAGCGTGTGTATTCCCTTGGGAAATGAGTGCCTACAGGAACGGAACACTGGTGGCGCCAATATTGGTATGCTTGTATTTCTTCCCTCCAGTGCCAAATTCTCCAACTATATGACCTCCATCGCCGACACTTTTCATGACGTACTTATAGCTCACCAGCCCTTCTAGTCCCACCGGACCTCTGGCATGTATCCTTCCTGTGCTTATACCAACTTCTGTTCCGAAACCGTATCTAAAACCGTCGGCAAAACGAGTGCTGGCGTTCACAAATGCCCCTGCACTGTCCACACCACGACAGAATGCGGAAGCAGCATCAGACGACTCGGTCACGATCGTCTCGGTATGATGTGAACCATGCTCATTGATGTGGACGATAGCGCTCTGGAGAGAGGTGACTGTAAGGACAGAAAGTGTGAGAGTGAGATGCTCAGTATCATAGGCATCTTGAGGAGCTAAACGGACACGAGTGTTGAGATTTGAAGGGGCTGGTGAAAGAGTTTGTAAAGCGGAAAGGGAAGGAGCGTCGCATAGGAGCTCGACGGATGCATCAAGTAGTGCTGTAGCAACTTTGGGCCAGATATTTTGCAGAACAGAGGTGTGTATGATCAGCGTCTCTGCAGAATTGCATGCGGCAGGGTAATTTGTCTACTCGGATTGCAATCAGACGAAGATAGTAGTTAGAAGTAGCATATACTGCACCTTCGAGTCAAGAATGACTCTCAAAGCTTTTTCCAAGTTTGCGCTCTCATCAAGGTAAACACTGCAAAGTCCATCCGCATGGCCCATAACCGGAATCCGCGTACTGTTCTGTATATTGCGGACGAGAGAATTACTACCCCTTGGGATGACAAGGTCGATATACTGGTCGAGGGTGAGCAGGGCAGAAACGTCGGCACGTGTGCGAATAGACTGAATAAGAATTGACGGTAATGTAGTGGAAGAGAGAGCGGTCGAGATGACCCTAGAGAGCAGAGTGACAGAGTGTGTCGATTCTTTACCGCCTTTTAGAATTGCTGCGTTACCTAGGTAAATTCCGAGTCAAAGTCAATAGGAGATAGGAAAGTTAGCGAGGATAGGCGTACCTGATTTGATGGCCAAAGCAGCTATGTTTACCACAACCTCCGGGCGAGCCTCGAATATGACAAGCAAGACACCAATAGGACAGGATACACGATAAAGATCAAGACCATCATCGAGTTGTTTTGCATAGTTGACGACACCTGTTGGATCAGGGAGAGCCGCAACGTCTTTTACGCCTTGAATCATGGCATCCCATTTGTCAGGTGAGCTAGTAAGGTCCAAACGTTTGAGCAACGAGCTGGACATTCGTCCGGCGTCAACCTCAGCCTGAGCTGCGTCCAAGTCGAGTCTGTTGGCAGCAAGAATATCATGCTTGTTGGCCTCTAGCTGGATGGTTATCTGTGCAAGGGCATCGATACGAGCGGTGGAAGGGATGAGCTGGGATTGCTCAAATGCAGCCTTTGCTGATTTAGCGATGAGGGTGATGGACGTGTCGGAGCTAGAAGCCATGACGGCACTTGGCGGACGAGCAGAGCCTTGCGTAGGCGGATTTTGACTACTAGATTTATTTCTGTTAAACAACCATTCCCTGCACTCCCTACTCAATCGAGATGCAAGCCATCGCCTACATACCGAATTTCAGAAACTGTTAGAACCTAGATCACCATGATGGGTCGATAATCGATGAGATACAGATCTCTAATGGAAATTTGCAAAATTGTATGCGCCCACAACGCCAATTCGAAGACGAACGCGCCGAGTCTCGGTTACGGTGCCTGTAGCCTGGTCGACGCTGTGATGGGCCCGACCAACTCACACGCTCCGAATTTAAACGCGCGTTAATCTACTTAAGTTGCAAGAATCGGGGCAAGGAACAGGGGCGGGAAGAAGAATAAGGGCACTAGTTATATACAGACCAATGAGAGGGTATCATGTTCATGACGTAGCGCACTGTCTGAACACTACGTCATGTACATCACCGACTCTTGGATGATCTTAGGGATCGTCGCCATCCTACTTGGTGGAATGTGAGCAGCGAGTGCCGTTTATGGAAGTCGAAAGAAATATTTAATATCAACAAGACGCACGGACCATTCCCTAAGTATAGCAGTACCCAAGTATAGAGGCTTAATCTAACAAACACTGCACTATGTTTGGGCCTAGCAACTTCGACTACTATAGAGTGCACCTCATAGCACTACGAAAAAGAGTTTGATTGCTCAGACTCCAATAGACGGTAGAAACTCTCATGACTAGAATATGTCTACATCCGCGCCCTCTCCGCCGTTACCAGCGCCGCTCAATCTTTCGTCAAACTCCCCATCAGCGTTCCCGTCGACCACTTCGCCATATGCATCCCCATCCCCATCCGCATAAGCAGCTGCTTCACCGTCTATATCAGCAACTTCTCCCTCCCCATCTGCATCTGCGTCTACTCGGCCCAGCAGATACAAGGGATCTAGAACTTCTGCAAGTACCTCCTCTCGTTCGTCAAGTTCTTCTTTGCTTAGCGGAACATGTGAAATATTCACGACCATCCACTTGTCACCATAGCCTTCTTGTGTCTACATATGATAATTTTGTAAGCCAATTCAGAAGATAGAAACCCTAGAATTAGTTAAGAAACTCACGTTTGTACGCTTCTTCTTCAAAATCATCTTTCTTTCAATGTTCTTGTAATATGCACCTTTACTTCTTCTCCCCTCTAATACCTCATCAGACCCGTTAGTAATGGATTGTGAGTCGCCTTCGTCCAACACCAGTAAAAATTCGTTTGGAACTTCTTGTTCCACTTTTACAGTTTCGTAGTCACGCACGAAATGGAATGCGGTTGACTATCAAAGGTGGCTCATTACTTAGCAAGTATTTCTTTGAAAAGCGCGCAAACAAGTGGGAAACTTACGGGTGGTTCCTCTGAATCCAACGATTCATTTGCCATTCTTGTGGTTTTGAATGTAACGGCAGCCTCATCGTCCTTTGTAAGGTAGTATGCCAAGAAGTGGTCTCCTTCGGCCTCCATGGGACGAAGAATAGCACAGTCCAAGCGAGAATCATCGATCTATATTCGCAGAAGTAGAATTTGATCTCGGTCAACCATCGTCCAAAGCTAGAAGAAAAAACGCACGTCTAAAGCTCGTTCTCCGGGTCTCTCTGAGAATCTAAACAGGTCATATGCATTTGCCCATATATCTGCATCTGGGAATATCTCAAAAGATTCCACAGCCGTGACATTGGGTTTATTTGGGTGTCGGAGTGCTGAGAGTTCGAATTTGTCATTACATGATGAAAATGAGGCTTCAATATCACGAATTTGAGCACTGCGGGATACATCGATGTGTTGGTTCATATTATGTTTCCTTGAAATGACGTAGCGTGAGTCAGTTTACCAATATAGCGAACACTCTTGACACGGGACATACGGTTCTTGTAATGATGCGGAACGCTGAACACCTTCCCGGCTGATATATTCTGTCTTTCGCAACCAAGGAACATGGACTGGTAATGGAGTTGATGCTCCTGACCCTACAGCGGATGAATTCCCGTTAAGATATGGTCCTGGTGTCGTAGCAGGATCACCAAGCAGAAACCGATCCTTTGGGTCTAAAGCGGGTAGATTGTATTGATCTGGATTTAGTTCTATTGTGTATATTGGGGGAAAACTGAGTACTTGACATGTTCTAAAGAAGTCCGCGCAAGATACTCACCCGAATCATCCCCATCCTCTTCCCATAAGCATTCCCACTTCCCGAGGTCAAGTGGCATGCCACATTCCGCATCGACAATCATTGGTAAGGGAGTGTCATTGGCTATTGCGTTTAAGAAATCCGGGCGAGCGTATCGTGTAGGATTTGTTGGAATGTCGAGGAGTTTTGGGGGGCATGGAGGAGCGGGGAGTGGATTGGAATAACGCACTCGGACTAATAGGTCCAATTTACTGTATAACGAATAAGAAAATAACGAATAATGCCATAAGATCACTCACCTTTTTTTGAAACTCATTGCTGCAGTGATACGCACTGTATTACTGGATAAGTAGCTATGGACCGCGTTCAAGTCCGGTGTTTCTCAAGTTGAGGTTGCAATCTAGTGTGGGAACTTTATTTCACCCACGCGTGTAGTTTCTCCACTCTCTTCAGCTTAGCTGGAATGGACCCTACTATCAGTAAAAGCAGTAAAAGCAGCACTTTTCACAACGTGCGTTGCATAGTAACGTTTCGAAAACAGTGACGGATTATTGTTATTCAAAAATCGCGGAAATGTTTATGGCTAGAAGCAACGTCCCGAGCGATCAAAAACCATGATAGCAATCCAAACTATCCGAATCATAAATGTCTTATATGGAACCAGCATGACTATCTCCAATATTGTTATTCCCTTCCGCAAATCCAAATCGTCGCGACAAATTATATGGTGGAGAGGCACAGTAAGCGGTCGGTGTAATGTGAACCAGGGAAGGCTTACCACTAGCAAGATCCGGAAATCTTTTCGGAACCAGGAATCTCTCGGTGAAGACTGGGTACCAAACCAGGGGCTCAAAGCCAATGAAGACGAAAAACAAAACCTCAACGGACAGCATTTTCACCTGGAGACCTCTATCATTCATGCCGATCGTCGACGTCCATTCCGTATTGCGCTACATGAGTTCGCATTATATCTTGTGGGGTAAGAGCCGTAAGACCATATGTCGTTGAAATTCAGGAAACATACTTTTCTTCAAAGGAAGAGCTTGAGCATTCAAGGTGATGCAGGGCCCTTTGGTGGTTATGAGTTCACTACGAAAGTAAACTGGACATAGCATCAATGATATTCTGAGTAGGCTGACAGTTCGCAGGACAGAGATGCGCTGACAGGGAGGCTGGGTTTGTATGTGATACGGCAAACGCAAACACTGGCAGCGTGCTTGCATGTAATGTCAGATGCGTGATGCATGTCAGGTTGTGTAGCTCAGGTGAGACCTTGATACTCAACATGTCCACAAGAAGATGGGTAAACAAGGCCTATAAAATAACTACCCTTCAAAATAACATATCGCATGATAATGACGATGACTATTGTGCCTACCACGGACGTCCTAAACAAAATTGATATATTGATAGATCATATTTCCGAGGCCCAGCGCTCAGTATGAATGATGGATGGATGCTTTTGAGTCTTATGAGCCCTTCCTTGAACACGGTTCATCTTTGATTGATCTCAACGTGTAACCGACATTGTCAACAGATAGGTTGGAACATGGGTCACCGGCGTTTACCCAATTTGTGTAACACTCTTTTCGGTTTTGTGGCATGGTGCACAAGTAAGGTCGCTAATACTCTCACGCTTGAAATTTCGATTTCCTCTGTCTGTCATCCAAACAAACCGTCCTAATATTTTCCTCGCTTTTATTCCCCATTCACATCAAGTGTCTTGACTGTTTTGACCAGCGGGAGAGAAAGTCGAGTGCGAACAACGCGCACCGCGTTAATTTTAGGTGAAGCTGCACCGCATTGTAGATTCTGAGGTCCAAAGGCCTTTTGGCTGTTCCGAGTTCATCCACCACTTTTTTCAAATCTCTACAGTTTGAACCCTCATCCTCAGCCCATCCACGACATACACACTCTTTTATAACATTCTTTTTTTCGAATCTGCATGCGAGCTTATCTTCACCTTCCTTCTATTTGAGTATCACTTCGCCAGCTACGAATCAGATATCGACTTTTTACAGAGGTGTGTACCGCTCCATTTTTATATTTTAATGATGAAATTCTTCTTCATATTTGCACGTCAGTCTGAGTACTTTTTTTTTTGGTACACTGGATGTTAAACTCGCTTTCTGAAAATTTTTTTTGTTACTTTTTATGGCTACGGAACATTCTGACATCCTTCTTTCAGGAGCATTAAACTGCTCGACTATCACTCGAGAAGGCGTGCCCTACTGCTTCATTGATTGATTGTGAGTTTCAATCCTTTTGCATCTTGAAATGATGATTCGTAGACATTTGCACGTCAGTCAGAGCGGCTCGTCTTTCTAGACGTGCCGTGGAAGACGTTACACTTCGCGTTGGCTGATTTTATCCCTCTTTTCTTCTTCTTCTTCTGCTCCATGCATGATTATAGAATGCTGACAAATTATGCAACAGCTATTTCTCTCACCGTCTAGTAAGAAACGCCCCCTTACGGAATTTCTCTTGCTGCCGTATCACTTCCTCTTCTTCGTCGTCCCTAATCAAATGATATCATCTCACACACCTTCTTCAGAACCAAACAAACACCATGTCCAACTCCGCCAACAATTCCAGTACAGCAGTCGGGAGTTCTAGAATAACTGGCGGTTCGGCTGCAAACGGGAGTCGGCCCAAGTCCACTAGTCTTGTCCCCACTAATAATGTTACTACCATGCACGGCGCAACTGTCCGTACACGTATCGATCCTACACTTACCGTTGACGATGTCGTACGTCAACTGTGCCTTAACCTGAAAATCATGGATCCTCCGTCGAATTATGCCCTCAGGGATGATACAGATGAGTTGGTCACAAACGATAACTTGAGAAAAAAGATCAAAAACAAAGTCCCTCTGAAGTACGTGTATTTTTGTGGCATTTCCTCTGCCCTTTACATTTGATGTACTACTTATTCGTATAATTAATTATTGATCACTTCAGGCTTGTCAATGCTTCTGCGATCGAGGCTGCGGAGATAGTTCAGAAACTTAGCCTGCGAGATGAAAAAACTCTACGATTGACGTTATTCTCATTGCAAAAGTTCATACGAGTGAGTGCAGTCTGGGATTTAAATGTTCTTAGACCTTGATTCATTTCAACAGGAGGAAAAATTCGCTCAAGAATTTCTCAGTCGTGATGGTCTTGCAGAACTACTCGATGTCATTAATGTTAACCACGGTAACACACTTGCGGTGTGTCCCATTTTACTGTCTTTCTGGCCCTCTTCTCTTAAATTATTTTCTTCTTCTTTCTCTCTCTCTTCGTAGTATGCGTTGACAGCTATGCAAAATCTTATGGAGTTAAACTACGGCTGGTCACTACTCGATGATGCATTCATATTCAAAGTCGTTCAAATACTTTCGTCGTCGCAATCCCTCATCAACGTATGTCGGCCTGCCACTGCTATACTAAAGAAACTGGTAGAGGCAGACCCTATGAATTCTCCTGGTCCAGTGCTTGCGAGTACAAGTCGAGGTCCCCCATCTGTCCCACCTGGGTCTGTTTATCGATATGGTTTTCAGGCTGTATTTGAACAGATGAGAAAGGAGAAGGGCTTGCTAGAGACTGTGGTTAGCCGGCTCGGGAGTGCAGATACTGCAATGGCGCTGTATAGGTATGTGTATGCATAGTTGACTATCCCTGTTCAGATGCTAAGCTGTGATCAGCATGATGTTGATCAACTCTTTATTATCACACGTCAATGACACTCGCTGGGAAGAATTCATATCAGAGCTAGAAAGGTTGAACGTACGGAAAGCAGTTATAGTGCGTCTTGTGCCCCTCGTATCTGGTCTAAGCTAACTTCATAATCTAGCGGTTAATGTCATCGCATATCATTGACGACCTAACATCTTGCATTCTAGATTTCCAGGCAAACATAGTTCGCGTCACATATAGGAAGAAGACCACTCTTGTCGAGCCGGATGTGGAACCTGCTCACGACGCTGCCCTACAGTATATCTGGGAGTCCAGCAAACTAACAGAGGAAACCGACGATGAAGGCAGCGTAGTGAAATGGCGGAATCTTGGGTTTTCAAGCGAAGACTTAATGCAAGAATTTTCAGAGGTCGGAGTGTTGGGCTTGGATTGCTTGGTAATGTACAACATGTCGGTGACAGCAAGTACTGATTCCATGGATGTAGCGGAATTTTGTCCACGAGGATCCAGAGTTTTTCTCTAAGGTATGAACGTAAACTCTCCTCAGTGCTGTACCATCTGAACACGATTTATAGGTTGTCTTAGAACAAATAAGCCGGCCAGAAGAGCGGAGATGTCCAATAGCTAGAGCGTCTAATGAAATTGTGGAGCTTTTATCTGAGCACTGGGCCATCTTTGCGCCAGGATGTGAGTGATCACATTCCTCAAGTGTAGCATGGACTAGGCTAACTATCCACATAAAAGACTCAACCTCCACTACATTCCAGCCTTTCTTCCTGAACTTTTTCAAGGTTCATGCTCTTGCGACTCACTTCTTCTTGCGGATGTGGAACGAGAGTGGATCTGCCAGCGGTGACTTCACGCGAATTGTGGCTCTGGCTCGCAGCCAGTATGTCTATGTTCATTTTCTCACAATGAATGTCCTCACGGTAATCACTATAGAGTTAACGTCGCTCTACAGCGTGAAAACATTCGACAGTGGCACGAGGTTGAACAGGACCTCATTGAATGCGAATATCGTGCTGTCAGGGACCGGCAGATGAAGGAGCTTGAAGCCGAGGATGAGCTCCTTAGTAAAGTGCCAGTTCGGTGAGATTAAATACTCTGTCTCTCTCCATGATATTTTGAGGCTTTTTCTAGGAATTTGCGGGAGAAGCTATACAAAGAATCGTTCGAATTTGTTCGTCAACAACGTATACAATGCCTGTTGCAGGGTGCTTGGTTCGTTAACGCAATTCCTTCATCAACGTCAAACACACGAGAAATTATCCGACGCCCAAGTCGCCCATGGCGATTCATGCGGCTGGTAACTGCATTCTCTCCCTAGCTGATATATTTTAATATTGAGGTATTTTTCTCAGGATAACGGGTTGAAGTATTTGCATTACGTGGATAGTGCTGTTAAATTCCCCGTCCGCAACGGTCTCGAAGATCTGCCAGAACGCATCGAGATAGCCTTGATCAGTGAAATCGCTACCGGTGCCTGTGCTCCGCCCCCGAATGTTCTTCGAGACCACAGCGATCTTCCTCAAACGTCACCCGTCACCCCCTCTCCTCTCTCCTTCTCTCTTTTGACTGCCCATGAAGGCTCTCTTGCTGATCAAATAGCTCCTGATCAGTCCAGGTGGGCAGACTGGACCGATGGTTTGAATATGCTGCGCAAGGATAGTGGTCATGTTACGTCAGAAGAGACAGCAGGTTATGTTTCGGCGTTGACGGAAATTGGACTTAAAATCAAACTCCTTGGTGAGCTACTTCAATAACTTAGACAGTATGCATCTCATTCATGTCCTGCAGATCTATCTGGTGAAAAGGTAGAGATACCCAGTGGTCTGGTGGCTGGACCTCCACCAAACAACACCGACTTTTTCTTCTCGGATTTACTTTGATGCAACTGGGCCTGGGCTTGTGCTTGTAGTCGTGTCAGGAAACCTCCCTGTTTATGGATGTAATGATATAGTCGTCGTATTATCTTGCGCAAAGCGCTTATATAGTTAAACAACATCCCAGGCTGTGAATGTTAGTGTTATGATAATGAGGCACATGCAGTTGATGCAAAGTTAGATGAGTAGTACAAGGTAAAGCAGTTGATGCAATGAGGGGTTAGATCATAAATGCTAGATGAAGTGCGGGAAATGGAAATTAAGGGGATGGACAACAATCGAAAGGGGCCAAGAGCGCAAAAGTTAACGGGGGTTGAACCCGAAATACGATAGGCGAAAGGGGACGTGAGTTGGATCATGCAAGATAATATAGAACTAAACCATTAGTTTGGAATGCCTTTGGCGGTTGTGGATCCGTTGGGATGCGCTGCAGCGTATTCCTCGCCGGCTTTGAAGAAGGGCTCGAAGATAGCGTTTGGTAGTGTGAAGTCATTGTGTACGACGTTGACTAGGAAAGAGGTCTCCATGATTTCCGAGATTAGTTGATGCGATGGCGAACCAGCATCGTAAAAGTTAGCCCATTGCACACCGAGTTCGTATGCTTCATCCTTTACAATATTTGTCAGAAAGAGTAGGGATAGTGTTTGTGGTGTTCGTACCTTCCAGGCCATGAAACTGATTGCTTCCACTATAGTAGGTTGGATGATCTCTTTCCCTGGGAAGACACCCCATGTGACAGCGTTGGGTCCCTCGGAATGAGTGTTTGTCCGAAGGTCTCCCTGTTTGTTAATCACGTAGTATGTGATATTGCTGTCCCGTTCAATGTGTGTTAGCAACAAGTTGAGTAATTCAGGCCCAACAAAGAACTCCAGATATGCCTAATGAAAGAGGCTTTAACATCAGTAAAGGAACACTTATACAAGAAGAAGCAAATAACCTTTTGATAGACATATCCATTACTTGGTCCCCAGCCAAATAGCTTATCATCACTCTTGGCACCATTTACAGCAGGCTGAGAGTTGATCGTCAGGAAACCTAGTTCGTTCATCTTGGAGAGCTGCGGAGCAATGGCGGATGTCTCTTTCGATGCTTTCTGGTCTGACCATGGCAAAGCAGAAAGCTCCTTTGAGCAGAAACGACTGAACAACGTTGTTATTTCGTTGAAAGTGGTGGGCTGACCCCAAAGTTTCATTGCGTCCTCTTTCTGTAACGGGAGAAGATCAGGCAGACATTCACAATCTTCGTATCTAGACTCACTGTTTGCTTTATCCATACACCATAACCGTCAAGTTCACCATAAGCAGGACTCCGCGAGTCACCGAACCGTCCGTTGGGATATTCATCCCAGTTCTCAGTGCGCGATAGGTAAGATTTAGTGCGATTAGCCCAAAATATGGGACGAATATTCTCTTGCCGTCTATTAGGGGTAAGTGACTGCATTTGCATTCAAGTCAGCACATCTCAGAATGCAATGAATAAAAGTTGAATTCGCACCTGTCTCCATGGCAGAGGCTTGATCGTCTCGACTCGCGGAACAAGATTCAGTTCTTCGAGGAGCATCTTGGTACCCTTTTCCAGGTTCATGGTATAAAAGTGGAGACCTCTTATTCCAATGTCTTCTTTCAGAATACGTAGACACATTTCGGCAACCAGCTTTGTCCCAATCTCCCTGACCTTTTCATCGTCATTCTTGTGAGGCTCGAGGGCTTCCATGAAGGACTGAGGAATTTGGGTCTTGGCAAGGCTCGTGGCTCTCATGAACCCATTCCAGGTTTGTATTGGGGCTATACCTGGAACAATGGGGATAGTAATGCCGGCTACTCTTACTGCCTTCACCCAATCTATGAACACTTCGACATCGTAGAACATCTGGGTGAAGATGAAATCAACACCTTCGTCTACTTTCTCTTTCAGGTATTTCATCTCGAGGTCACGTTCCTCCGGGGGAAGAAGTTGGTTCTGTGGGAAACCAGCCACTGCAATATCGAAATAATCACCGTATTCATTGTGGATATGTCGGACCAAATCAATGCCGTGGACGAAGCCTCCTTCAACGGCTTCCCACTCATCTTTACCCTGAGGAGGGTCACCACGGAGAGCAAGTACGTTGCGACAGCCATGTTGCTTTGCCTCCTGATCCGATGGTAAGAAAGCTGGAGGCTGATATGTGGCTCCCGAAACTCACCCGCAGCGCGATGTCTACTTTTTCCTTGGGCATATTCGTACAAGTCAAATGCATACATGTTTCCATCCCGATGAGACCCTGACATGTCTTGACCATCTCCGACGTAAGATCAGATGTTCTGCCACCAGCATTCCTGTCTCGTCGTTTGAGAAAGCGCTAAAGACATGGGAAATGATCATTTACCAGGTGATGTCTATGAATTCCGGGCCAAGAGCTCTCATTCGTTCTATACGATCGAGTAAGTTTTGAAGACCCTGAAGCGATGAGTTGAGATTTGTCCATTGTTAGAACATTCAGTCTCACCTGAGCAGTGCGAGGGGGGAAATACTCGAAAGACCACCAGACTTTGCCATCTTTAGTGGACTGGTCTATTTTCTTACTGATTTTCATGACTGGGTGAAGGTATAGATCGTGAGCAAGAACAGAAAAAGAAAGCAATGGGTATTTAGTGTGTAAATAAGCCCAGGGTGCCAGAAATTGTCCACACCAGTGTGACTTTGATTTTCTGTTGTCCCTTCCGATTGAGAACCTCTTACGTTACCACGTGCACTGAATTAAAGCTCTTGCCGAGCCTCATTGCAAACCCGACAAAATAAAACCCGAATATCCGATATATAGTGCAGCCTCTGTACATACACAAATACGTATTCATGGCACAGTACAGCGGATATTATACTGTAATCAGGAGTGATGCAGCTAATCTTTGTGCTATTGGCCTCGCTTCACTGTGAGGCTAAACTGTATACATCGAGCCCCATTGTCCTTGACATAGCTGGGTAAGACTCGATCTATACTGGCTACCTTCCTTAAGTTCCTCTAGATTCATATCATGCCAGAACCATGTCGACTTGTTAATTTCGAGCTACTGCTAGCGCTATGCGTCGTATAATGTCTTGCACTCTGACATGTCACTGAGCCATTTGACATATGCACTCGTGAAATAGTACGTACCTAGCCATAGACAAGGAACAGTATACAGGTAGCGAACACGACGATGGTAACGAAGCACATAATAATGGGGTGTATCCTGTGGATATCCGGCATAGGCGAGCTCAGCCGCAAGCAAGCAAGGGCGGGAACACACCTGGTAGCAACGAGAAACGCCCTCATGTTTTTGAAGTCTTTAAATCCAGTGAAATATTCCCAACATCCTGCACCAATGGTAGCGAGGGAGGTAATTAAATGCAACGAGGCGATCGGTAAGCTGGAACTACGTCTGTGTTCTTGCGAGCTGCCTGGCTGAGATGGATCTGGAAGACGAGTACCAAGGAGGGCAGACGCAGAGAGAAGAAAGAAAAGGAGGAACAGCTTGACATGCGACAGAAAGTTGCGCTCGAGCATGCAAAAGTCGCGGGCGGTGCTGCCCTCATTTTCTATCGAGATAGGCATTGAAACAAAGGAGCTTACCTGTAAGTAATGGCAAGACTGTATAACTGCGGCGACAGCGGACCGAGCGGGAATAACTCAAGTCACGTGCACAAATCGCGTCCCCTTCTGCTTGGTGTTATTTGGTGCTGGTTGAGATTGGGGATTCCGTCTTTTCACCAATTGCATGGTTTTGCAGTTACGATTATCACGTCCACGCAACATTTAGGCTACGGCACTCTGGAGAACAGGTTCAAACGACGTCAGGATGGGATTCCTCAAGAAATTCTTTTCTATTGGTAGCAAGAAATCAAAAAAGCGCTCGCTGGCTGTACATCACGACGAGCTCCCTCCGATTCCAGAGGTATTGCAACCACCACCCCAAGAGGACGAGAATGAAGAAGCTATCAGTCGCTTGTTACGTTCGTCCTCAGCTCGATTTCCTATCACTTCAGAGCTAGATTATGGGTCGCTACCTCCTCTTCGTGAGCTTGCTCGACTTTCCTAAGCTTGCGATTTACACTAATTTATTTCGTAGCTCACCCTATCAACAACGTCATATCAACCCCAGCTGCATCCACGACAACCTTAGGCAGCGTATCCCAGCGCAGCACTTACACTGTTACAATAACCGGGCGTACGCTACACAGCCGCACAGAATTCCCTAATGCCTACCCTCCAATGGACAGTTTTATGACGCCAAAACGAACGAATAACGATTCTATACGACGTCGTTCGAAGAGTGTTCCGATCACCCCTAGAGATGAAAACCGCCTTCTTCGACTCCGCCAAGATCCTTCAGTCGCTAGCTTGTTGAATGTATACGATGAACATGGATGCCTTGATTCGAAGGTGTTCTCGAATACTCCACCATCCCCGGCCCATGAAGGGCGCGCACAAACTCGCCGCCGTAGATCTACTTTGCGCCAACTCCTGGGGCGTCCAGGTTGCCAAGTCCTTGGCGCTGCTGAAGGCGATATATCATGGGCAGAAAAATTTCTTGAGTGCGTACAAGACTATGCATTTGCCCGTCGTATCACTCACGTCCTCTCATTAGCGAAGCAGAGGATACCCCCTCCGAGTCGTCGTCTCAAGGGCTCGAAACACCAAAAGACTTTCTTTTCAATAACGATCATTTTAACCACGTCCACAACACTACGTTCTCTACCACCTGCGATACCTCTGAAAACATGAACCATCCTACCATCTCATCATTAGAAGTTGAACTCAGTATATCCACTGAAGCTCACGTGCATGTGAACTCTCCCTATGAAACCCCAATGACACCTCAGCGGGCTTCCCAGATTTTCGACTTTTTGACAGAAAAGAAGAAAAAACCTGAAGAACGATTAGAACGATTACTGTGTCTCCCTTCACCTAAGAACTCTCCGCCTTCTCGCTTCTCCTCTGATTCTGTATCGGGTGAATCACAAACGTGTGATTTGCCTGCTTCCAGCGATACCACCTCATTACCAATACCACTATCCGCTCCAGATCAAGTCAGTCATGTCGATATCAACGCAAGCTCACACAATGGCCTTCCACTCTCCAACAATCGGAGTTTACCTGCACACAAGCAGCCTACCGTTGTTCGTGAAGAATTGGACGTTCCCACACTTGTCACGTCCAACACTACTGGTCAGAGTAGTCGCGGGCCACGTGGACCAAGAGCCCCTTCCAATATTCCGACCAAAGTACCCAAAGCCAACGTCGAAAACTGGGAACCAGCTGCTAATCCAGTTCGTGTGCGTCATCGCCGAACTTTTGCTGAGATGTCCAATTCCAAACAGCAAGGAGTTGATGTGCCAGCTCAGACAAAGGCAACAGATGCATTCACAACTGTGCCCTCACGTTCTTCACGCCACCAATCCTCTTCTCGCGCATCTATATCAATGCTGCTCGATGTTGATCAAAGTGGCAAGAATGGAAAGGAAGCTTTGGCCAATCCTCTAAGTGGGATTAATACTCAGGATAAATCACATTCACTTGCTTCCACCCCTCCTTGCGATAAGGAGAACAATACTACCATTTTTGACTCGCAATTACCGCGGACACCTATTCGCCCCCCAGGAATTCGGGCCATCATTGATGTTCCTCCATCTCCTGCATCTTCCACAGACCTGTCACCTGTCACTCAACAACTTATGGCAAATCTTAGGACCCAGAGAATGCAGGCACGTCAACGGGAGCGGCAAACTGGCAGGTGGGGAAGCAGTCAAAGTAGAATTCGCTACTGACTGCTGGATAGTGGACCGTGGACCATTTCGATGTTTAACTTCAAGTTGATTGTTTTGTTTCCGTTATTTGAGTGTTTCATGCCTGATAGCATGATATTTATCAGTTTCTATCTTTTGCGCTTTCCCGTCCTATATTGCTATGCCAGCTTGTTTTGTTTTGCAATGGACTTCCATACCCTACAGGTCGTGTACATAGTAGTTTTGAGATCGACCTCTTTGAGTTGTAAAAGTGTGTTACGTCTTGTGCGTTGCATTAGCTTTTGTGTGAGATAAAGATACCGCTTGCGTGTGTGGGGTCGGCAAGTACGCGGCAGACTCATCCATATCTACCACTCACAGGCCAGGGACCTATCTGGCTGGTTCACATACAATCCTGGCTCGGTTCATTGGTTCTGTGCCAGTAACCAAACTTTGGTCCAACTCTCTACAACTCGGTCGTTCAGCCGCCAATACATTCTTTGATCCGCATCCTACTAGTAATATTGGATACACCAATATCCAAGTCGCTGTTACTACTGGTAGAAGCTCGATAGGCCTCAATTCATACGAGATGGTACAGACATACGGTGTCGCTGCTCACAATGACGGTGACTCTACAGACCTGCCTGGGGATGCAAATAATTATGTACCCGGAGACAGCGAAGCCAGTGCGCTTTTGGGCGGCGAGGTCGTGGTCAAGCGGAGAGAAGGAAGGGCAAGTATCGTCAGCTCTGTCAGCAACCTGGCCAATACCATTATTGGAAGTGGTAAGCTTTATACCATAAATTCTACGGTGTAGTCACTCGCTGAATGAATATGGTTCAGGTATGCTGACATTTCCCTTGGCAAGTATCCAATCTGAGGTTTCATGCCCCTAAATGTTGATTGCTTTGGGATTCCATAGGCCATGTCCTCTGCTGGAGTAATTCCAGGGATGATTACTTGCATATTCTCTGGTTCGGTCGCCGCATTCGGCCTTTACCTACTCTCATTGTGTGCACAAAGAGCCCCGGACAGAAGGTCTTCGTTCTTTGCTGTTGCGCAACTCACCTTTCCAAGAGCGGCTATATTTTTTGATGCCGCGATCGCTACCAAATGTTTCGGTGTTTCTATCAGGTTAGGAGCCCTTCATATCGCCACGTCAGGCTCACAGTACAAAACCGTTTGCTTCTAGCTACTTGATTATTATCAAGTCACTTATGCCAAGCGTCGTGGCCTCGTTGTATCATGACCTGACGTCTCCAGACACAAATCCCCCCGACTGGGCACTATCAGGCCGTAATTGGATAACTATCTTCATGTTGGTACTAGTGCCCCTCGCTTTTCTCCGCCACCTCGACAGTCTTCGACACACAAGCTATATAGCTATGTTTTCGGTCGGTGAGTTGAACTGACCTGGCCCTTTTCTTAAGCAGTCTTTCTGATGCCGGTCTGCCCTCAATACAGTATATCTCGTGATCATAGTGATCACTTGCTACTTTGATCCACTCGAGGGCACTACGCCAGCTGGTGAAATCCATCTAATACATTTCACACCGAGCTTTGTTTCGACGTTCCCTGTACAAGTCTTTGCCTTTACCTGTTCACAGAATGTAATTATGATTTCACTGGGCGTTTAATCGATTCTAATTTATATTACTTTACAGTTGTTCCCCATCTTTAATGAAATCACTACCAACTCGCAGAAACGTATGAATATAGTTATTGGGAGCTCGATTGGAAGCGCTATCTTGACATACGAGGTCATCGCAGTATTTGGGTACCTCACATTTGGTTCCAACGTTGGTAGCCTCATTAGCAGGACTTTATTCTCCGATTATCTCACACCGCTTTCTCACAGGTTGGCGCGAACATCATAGCCATGTATCCATCAACGTCATTGTTCATTGCCGTCGGCCAATTAGCTATCGTAGTTCTCATCCTATTTTCATACCCTCTGCAAGTACACCCCTGTCGTAATTGCCTAGACAAGGTATTCTATGCTGCGACTCCTATCAAACACACAAGCGGCGGCGACGCTGAGGATGAGGAGGTTGTCGACGACCATGCGGGTGCAGAGATGACGCTGTTCAAGCATACGGTGCTAACCACAGCCATCATCGCGAGTGGATTCCTGGTTGCCTACTTTGTTGATGATTTACAGATGGGTGAGTCACGGTTCCCATGTGTTGCTCATTCGTGTCTCATATGAGCTATATCTGCCAGTGCTCTCATTTGTCGGATCGACTGGGTCGACGACTATATCGTTTATCCTGCCTGGTCTCTTCTTCTGGAAGGTGTGAAATTTTATTCTCATGTCATGCCGTTGCTTCATGTCTACTTTCGTGTAGCTCTCGCGCGATGACCCAAGTGTGAGCAGAACGCTTAACAGAGGTGCTTTAGCCCTGGCATTTTATGGCAGCTGCATATTCGTATTTTGGTTTGTGCGCCTGTTATCTCGGCGCGGTTACTTTTCTGACGTGGCTGTAACGCAGCCTGAGCTTCAACATATACCAAGTGGTAAAGCCTCCCACAGCGACGGGGGATGTGATGCATTAAGGAGCTTGTATGATACAGTAGTAACCTGCATGTACACGCACGAACACATATTGTGGGGTATTATAATGAACAGGGTGACATATGGCCTTAGCGCTGGATGAAATGAAGATTCCCACGAGAGCAGGGAGAGAGGTTGGGTCAGAAACTGGTTGAGCCAGGCTTACCCCGAACCGCATCCATCCCCTAGACCCGACCAATGGCTTTTCCTGCCATTCTCAGCCTTTTTTCCTAGACGGTCCTTTTTTCTCTTGCAGTTGACGCTTATAGGCCGCATTTCATTTCAAGACTTCCATGTCGTTCGGTAAGTTGGCTGTTTGGCAAGGAAACTGCGATCCTAGAGTCCCATACGACGCCTCTCTCGTTTCTTTGATTCCTGTGTGCTGAGGCTGCGCATTTCCTGTATTTTTCGGATTATCTAGGGCCTTCCTCTCCGCCTGCTCCATCCAGCACGACACCTATTTCTTTGACCACTCCTTCACCGTCGTCACAGGCAATGGCCGCCACAAACATAAATCCCAGCTCTAATGCAGACTTAAATCCTGCTACTGTTTTTTCTCCTGTTTGTACCAGCGTTCCCACCACGCCTCTATATGTCGACCGATCAGGTGTTCAATCGCCCACTCGGTCTGATTTAGACACGCCCGTTGATGCAGATAGCGCAAACATCTCCGGCGCCAATGCTCTCGTGGATGTCGACGCTCAGATCCTCGAAGCTCTCAAAAGCAAGGATAGAATATACGTTCTTAAGCTGGGAGAACAGATGGAGAGTCTGATAAATGACCGTCGGTACGTACACCCTCGTCTGTGAACATCGCTATCTTCCATTTCTCCTGGGAGTATGCGTGCGAATTGCTCTCGAGCTGCCGTCCTCGTCATTCATTATCGAACGAACAATCAAATCTGATTGATGTATCTATCCTTTAATCAGGTCTCGTCTTGAATTGGTGCCTGCGACATCCTACCAGCGTCTTCTTGTGCACAGATGCTCTGCATACCACAGGTTGCAACCAGACACCGATCAGCTCACGAAAAATATCACTATTACAGCAACCATAGAGAGTCGAATGTAAGTCTCTGCCTGTCTTTATACGTCCTCATCTTCTGAACCTTTGTCCACCCAGTCCTTCTCGTCGGATATGTGAACTGGTTCCTGCGGAATCATATCCTCAGCCCACTTTCAAAATCATGCGTCGAACCACCAACGATCGTGGACGCTCAAAACCTCAGTCCCAAGCAGAATCTGTTGCAGGTGAAGACGCAGAACTATCAGACGTCGAACCGTCTGAATCGGGTAGCTTGGGAGGACGTAGTAATGCTACTGGCAGTAGTAAGAAACGATTGACCATCGAAGAACGTGAAGCAGCATATAATGAGGCTCGGTCACGAATATTTATGGATTTCGAGGAGAAGGATAAAGAAAAAGACCTCAGCGCTAGTTCCTCGTCTATAAGTCTTACTTCTGCATCTGTGACCAGTGCAGGGGGAGAAACCAGCAGTGTCGGTGACTTGGACGATGCCCTCAGTTCTCCTGCTACGGAAAGCGAGTGGTCAGGTCCTGTCATTCGCGATAAAAAGGATGGGAGGCGGAATGGGTCGAATCATAACTCTAGTGGACCGTCTTCGAGGGCGCTTCGATCTTCTGCGCCTCCTTTTAATGTCAACGGCTCTAACAGTACGTGCGAGTCCAGAGCTTCATCCCCATCGTTCAAATATCCTTCCTTATATGAACCTACTCCAGTTCAAGCACCTTATGAAGCCTCTCAAGCATCTATGCCGTCTTCTGGATTTGTCAACTCATATCTCTATACATATCCACAGCCAGTGCCAACGCCGAGTCAAAATTATCTTGCTTCGTATCCCTATTACACGCCTTACCCATACCCACATCACCCCCAAGGCCCCGTGCCCAACTCAGATCCTGCGAGTCCTGGAGGCCCGGATGTATACACCCCAGCCCATCAACCCACTCCACACGCAGGTGGTGTATATATGCAGTATCCTTGGCCTCATCCATCTACACATCAGCTTCCATCGTCGCAGCCACATGTACAACATCAGCATCACCATTCTTCTCAGCCTCAGCCAGCTCCCAACCCTCCAGCTCCTCTGGCTACGCAATACTCTCCCTACGTACCTCCTGTTCCTCCTTACGGTCCTTACCCGATGCCAGGTTATTATCCGTCCCCACATACTCCCCTACAACACCTGCAGCCATCGCCTCCCCAGATGTCAGGTCAAGTACCTTATTCACAGGATAACAGAATGATGAACGGCCATAATGGCACGGGGATCGTCAATGACGATTCAATGGTCCATACCCGGTCATTTTCTGGTACATCCGTAGGCCAACATGGAAATATGAAGCAGCGTGGTGCTCCTCCTGCACGCCACGCTTGGAGTTATGGTCCGGGTGTCGGCATGGGAGGCTACGGAGTCGGAAATATCAACAATACATGCTCAATGGCTGGCGAAACAGTCGGTCCCCGCTTGAGCTCAACTATGCGAAGGACTTCTGGTACCTCCAGCAGTAGTACTGGAAACAGGACTCCAGGTGATGAAGCATCTTCCACTGCAGTGAGTTTTCTTCGCTTTCGTTGTATTTTCTTTCGTGTACTATATCTTCCAGTTACTGAGAAAGCAATATCTTTCGTTTCTTTTTATTTGTCATACAGTCCTCTTCGACGACTTCGTCGTCTTCGCGTAGAACATTTACTTCAACTTCATCGCAGCATCCTCTCCCTGCCAGACCTGACTGGGCCGTCGGATTAAAGCCTCAGCCTACGTTACACGCAACGCATCCTCGTCATCATGATCACTCTTTGAATAGCTCTCGCAATATGTCCCCTGCTCGAAACAGCGGACAGCTTAATACTGGGGTATCTCATCAACCTCACCAACTAACATCAAACGTTCTTCAACCGACCGATTTTCCTCCTCTGACGACACTCTCACCTGGAGCAGAAAAAAGAGCGATACCCGTTGCTGGTGCCTGGACAAACTCTTCTTCAACTCGGTCAATTCTGATGCCAGGACCGAGCCCTGCTGGAAATGTTTTGGTCCACCATTCCAATACTCATGTCAGCGGCAAAGACAATTCACGTCTTGAAGACTCGGAACGTGGTTTTGAAAGACCACCCCCAAAAGGAAACGTAGAATTGTTCAATCCAAAAGGCGTATGGAAATCTGGTGCAAATCCTCAGAGCCATCAACCTTCACCAGACCGATTTGAGAAGGACAGATTGGAGAAAGAAAAGCTACGTGGTGAGGTTGTAGCCAACGCCATCTTGGTCGATAAAGTCGCAACAATGTCCGTTGAAGATAAAGATACCACGTGTGCTGCGCCTCCTCCGGTTGCGCTGGCGACGTAAGGGACTTAGGTATGTGACCCATTCTTATGAACAAGAACATGTGTGACACCTGTCTATTAGCGTTGCGGTTATCGTTTGCTATCTGATTGTGCACTACTTGCTTCTGCTAAGTGCGTTGCACATCATGCTTGTTTTCTTTTTTCTTCTTCATAAGTAATTCGAACTTGAGGAGGTGTATGAATTCTTTCATACCGCTAGATATAATAAGCATATGTTTGTAAACATATAATGTGTTCGTCCAAGCAAACAATGTAACAAATTTTTATGTAGCTATTGGACAGCGACCGATCGGCACAAAGCACACGAAGTTCTGATAGGACCTGCCCGCAGTCACGATGTATTATCCTCTTTGTATTGTATGTCATGGTAAATTCCACTAGTATGAGGGGAAAGAGGTATCGCATTAAGAAACAGCATGGTATCACCCTACAACCGTGCTGCTGGCCTTCTTCCATCTGCTAAACTTGGAGAATCGTGACTAAAAGCTGGCTTGTCAAATTGAGCGTCGCCAATTGTATCCAAGCTGTCAACAAACTCGTTCCAGCGTTGATCGGAGACGATTGGCGCAGTGATAAATGTATCAACGCCAATTTGATCCACCATCTCCTGCAAATGAGGGTATGCAGCTTGAACCGCAGAGTCCTCCATCGCTCTCTGCTCCTGCCGTGACAACTCTGCATGCTCCACATACCAAGAGGGGTCCATTTTGACGACACTTGCAGCGTAGAGATCAGTTATGTAAGAAGGAACTCCTCGCTCAACAGCAGCATCAAAAGCCATTCTGTGACCAATGGCTTCCACTAGAGGAACACACTGCGGAAGGATGAGATTGTTGAATTGCTCTGCACGATGGTGAGTCATGCCGATCAACAAGCCCCGAATTTCTTCAAATAGCCCAGCTTCATGTCGAGCAAGAAGACTATCGGGCTGGGATGATTCAGGTATATCGTACCGACCAAGAAGTAGCTCGCTGGCCAAGCCTGTATACATACTCAGTCAGAGGATGGATGTGCCATCGAGAAGTAAATATAATTCACGGATAGAAATTCCTAATATATCGCCTTCAGCAATAGCGGCTCCTCGCATAGCAGTCTGTAAACCAATTTAAATAAGGCTAACAGGTGAAAGCATCAGATACGCACATGCAATTCTATGATTTGATTATGATCAAAGAGACCTTGGGCTCCGCATCGGTCTGCGAGCGTCAGTTGAGCGCTTTGTATGTGCTGAATGGAAACGACCTTCGATATCGTGGCTAAAGCGTGACGAGATCTGAAGTCTAACTCGTCATTGACAAAGTTTGGGACTACAACCGAAAGTAACGCTTTTAGCACAAACGATTGTGCTAACGCAGTCAAAATCGGAACTTGTTGGGTCCGGAAGGCGATAACAGGCTTCACCTTTCCGGAAACTGCATCAAACACGGTTCTGCGAAGGCTATATCGAGCTGCGATGGACGACGAAATCTGTATGACAGGGATAGCAAATGCACTCATAGCAAGGGTACCACTCGCAACACGGGAAATTCCATGGAAAAATGCCTCCCGGAAGTTGGCTGGTTTAGCCTCGCTTCCTAGCAAAGCACTTTGAGGAAGGTGAACACGATTGAAGTAGGTCAGCGCATGATTTATAGGTCGGTTTCCGTTGCGGCAAGGAAGGGTCCTGCAGAAATTTAGAATTGCGGTATGCGAGAAAAGCAATGAATTCATACTTGCAAGAAATACCAGGCATCATGTTGTATCCATCGTTGATGGGGACCAGGAAAGGTTTCACACCTCTACTTTCGCCATTGATAATCGTCTGGGCAAAGACAACCGCAACACAAGGCAAACCCGCTGGGACAGTAGGGGGCATGTGCCTGTAAACATATTTATTGTAGGTTTCAAGTAACATAATGAGAGTACACACTTCGCTGCACCTGCATTGGGGGTATGTAATTCGTACCCACCACTGGGTAGCGAGATGGCTGTAGTTTCGATGTGAACTGCATCCAGTCCATGCCCTACTTCGGTGAGGCAAAACTGACCACTACATACTTATGTGAGCGGTCGCTTTATGAAGGGAAGGGTATAGAACTCACGAGACTGTGAAAGATAAAACATCTTGAAGGACCCTCGATATGTCCGGTCTACCTGCGGAAAACATAGACAATGTTCCCGCACAAAGATTATACTGGATAGTAAGTAATATAGCTGCCGCAGAATCCATGCACATAATCGGATCTGTATGCATTTCCCAGAATTTGACACTCGTAGTTAAGACATCTTCCGCCGTCAAACCTGGGATCAGTGGTAAGAGGGTTTGATGAGCTCAAACAAAGGCGAGAATTACCATATATTACAGATATTGCTTTAGCCCGTTCATAAGCCAAAAGGACCCGCTTCGATTGGGATACCGTGTACGGCCTCTGCTGAAAAAGGTGAGAGTTAGCAAGACCGTTTGTGAGATAGGTCATAGCGATTCGGAGTGATTGCGTTGCAAGAGCAAAACACGAACAACAGCCCAAGCTTTATACCGTGGTCGACCAGACATGCGGACTCAGCGCTGGTATTGACAGATTGTGAATGATCATCATCGATACGAAGAACCCTGTTCGGTTTACTGGTATGTTTATCGCAAAGAGCGACACCGTATATTATATCGGCTATTGATTCTAAGCGCAGAAGACGGATTTAATTTCTTCCTTTCTTTCTTTTTTGAAGGAGAAATAAGCGTCGCACAGCTAAGGGCCCGTTCGGCAGCCTCCGTTTCAAAACGAGAGCCGTTTGCAAACACGCTCGTTTTGAACAACTCTCAGCGCAAAGAATATTTTTCACGCTATGTCACACTATATTACACGCATTTCAGGATTGTGTAAGATAGGCGTCATCCACAACCGACGCCATCACATGACGTGACTTAGCTTGTGACCACTGGCGCGACGAGGCAAATCACCAACTTGAATTTTTATCATCTTTGCCACAAAAAATCTATCTCGTCTTACATGGCACCATTTTCCTTAGCTCTTCTTACAGTATTGTAATTGTATTTACTGAGGTTCAGCTTTTCTCTCAAACAAAAAATCCTAAATAATTCATAACAAGCGAGAAGAGATAGCAACTTTGTTTGCCGCCAAGTGTAACGCTTTTCATCACATGGTCACATGATGGCATCAAAGGCCTATCTTATCTTATCAGTACTCAGTAGTGTGACAAGCTCTTTTCAAAACGAACTGTGTCGCCGAACACGTGAGCTCGTTCCGAAAGGGCACCGTTTTGAAACGAAACGAGACTTTTTTGGCGGGCGACGTTTCAAAACGGTGGCTGCCGAACGGGCCCTAAATTCATAACGATAGTTTTGAACTTCCACTGAGTTAAATTGAGTTGAAGAATCAGACTAAATCTTAAAAACAGGCTAAACTGATGTGGTTAGACTCTGACAGAGTCACATGCCGGCCAGCACTGTAAATTTATCCACACTCGAGAGCCTTATCACAGGACTCCTGTTTATCCCTACCGAACCCTGATTCAAAATCGTCCTTTTTGGCGTTTTAGGTACGGACAAAACTTTGAAAACTTCGTCCAATTTTGTCCGGACTGGCGAACAAACATGGAATAGATACAAAAAATCTCGTTTTTTCTGCCTACAACACCCAACATAAAATTCTTTCATAACTAGATATCCGCATCTAAGAGAGAGGCATTTTGAGAGGAACTTTGAGGTGTGTTTCCTTTGTCACGTTTGCGATAAAGTGACATGGCTTTCTCAACTTTAGATGCAGCCTTTTGTAGTGTCTCGAAAACTTTCAAATCTTCATTATTAAGCTCGATTTCGCCACCACATTGCTCCGGGATGAATGCTGAAGATTTTGGTGGAAGGGATAGTGCGAGAAACTTGGTAACTGAGAGGTGAGATGGTGGGGTTGTGTGTTCCTGCCAGGAGGACGGAACCATGGCCGCTTTGGCTTTGGCATCAACCGGTGCATCCTTGGCTGGATATTTTCTGCCTATTCCAATCCAGTCTGATTCGACGAATTTAAGATTTCTGCTTGAGCCATAGAGATGCCTTTAGAAATTGTAGTTGAGGCAATGCGACTTCGAATTTTTGTCTCAGACTTGGTTCAGACAATGTTCAAACCGGCAGCATTGTGCAAAATGACATATGACCCAAATATGACTACTGATGCAATACATAGAAATTCGACGTCTACGTGTTTTGAACCGTTGTGCCAGAGGCCAAAAATTCATTCATAGCAGACACCATCAACCACTAGACTATCAGGCAGCACAAATGTCCGGACCTGCAACCAGGTATGACCAGCAAGCGGTCACTTTGTCCGGACAGAAAAAGAAGGTGAGGCCTCCATTGAAGCTCCATCTGAAACGTTTATGTCCGGATCTGCACTAGGTGCCTTGCGATTTTGGCCAAAAAAAGTCCGGATGGGGGATCAGGGTTCAATATGGATTAACAGGGGTCCTCTTATCACACAAACGGCCACCCAGCTAGATCATTGGGTTTTAATTTCGGTTACTAGCCGAAATTGTCTTTTACACACCCAGTGAACGGGTGGGACCACTCGTCGCCATTTTGTGAGGGGGATAAATTCCTCACCAAAGATGAGGTGGGGACTTGGTCGTAGGGACTCGAAAACAATACAAAAAATTGTCCCCAAGTTAATATACAAAAAGGCAATTTTGTATAGGAAATTTTTGCGATTTTTTTTGCGAGTGAATTTCGGGTGGTGGCAGCGACGACAACCTCACCTCAAATTTTTTCCAAAAAAATATCTATTAACAAAAAGTGATTTACTGGTTATAAAAATGCTTTTTTAATATCAAGTTTGTGACCTTTTTTGTGACTTGCGAGTCCCTACGAAGTCCCCACCTCGTCTTTGGCGAGGATCCGGGATCACCCTCCTCACCAAATGGCGACGAGTGCCTGGAGGACCTTTGGCAGGAACCTCAGTAGTAATAGGCACCAGTGCATTACATGAGCGGCACATTCGGCTTGAACTAAGCATTTTGTGGCTAGTCACACCAGGAAAAAGCACATAAAGGTTACAGCTACTGTAAAGAAAAAAATATTATGTACATCCCTACTATTGTATCACAACTATGACGATTTACGCAGCACCTGTATATGACTCTCAGGCTGAAACCTGTAACAAAAGCGTAACTTACCAGCCCGACCGCTATTAATTGCGCCCCTCAGGCAAGTGTATTTGTGAGTATTAGGATCGGAGGCATTTGCCAAACAACGCCACTTCAAGTTGTCTTCAGTCTTGAACAATGACGACTCGCCTACGCCACCGGCCTCTGATAGAGGAGGAGGATGCTTCAGCTTTGAAACTCGGCGCAGGTAATTTACCATCTATCATTACTTTCAATAAGTTAAACGGCTGCACTGGTCAGAATTCAACAACGCTGGTTGTCTGCTAATATCGGAGGTCAAATATCTCCTCGAGAATAGGGACAAGGATGCCCCAGATACAGCGTTCGCTGGTTTAGTCCCTGGTCTTAACTGCGTCTAAATGCGTCATGTAGGGTGTATAACAAGACTCTAGAATATGTGAAAACCTTCACAAAGTTCAACACGACAGATTCAGCCAGTGCAGTTCGAGAGTAAAGATTTCTTGTTCTGGCATTTTTCGTCGTTCTTACAATCACATTCTAGGACTTTACGTCGCGAGCCAGCTCTCACACAATTCGAGACTGCGCAGATCGCTAATTTATGCCCAGGTGACGCGGAAGAAGCAAAGAGTGTCATACCAAGGTATAATGATTTGCACATTATGAGACTATCCTACTGACATAAGTGTTACATAGCCTCGTGAAAATCGACGACGATAGGTTGCAAGCATTACTTGACGAGATTCAGACAATGAGGAAGTTCCAATCGTGATGTCACCTAGCTATTTCAGCTAATATATTGCACTATAAATACTCATATCATTCTCTCCTGCAAATCAACACATCTGCGTACTCGAAAACTTGCGCTAGGAGGGACGTTCGGATGGTCAGCCTTCTGTGTCCTCTAGTAGTTCTCTGTTCAGAGGCACAGCGTCCTCCTCTTCTTCATCGTCTTGTGTCAGAAGATTCTCTTTTGTTTCTGCCGAAAAACTGGTTGCGTCAAATCGCTTTCTTTCGCGAAAGACGTTATCTCTCTTTTCCCCCTTCTTAATGACGGCTGCGGCGGGTATTATACCCCTGGGATTGAGATATAACAAATCATTTCCCGCATACATGTCAATAGATCGAATCCATGCATCGAAACTGGTCTCATAATAAGAACTAGAATACTATAAAGCTAATAAAGGGCTCACATTCCACTATGATCTTCGATGGATCGCATGTTGTCATATATATACTTTTGTTTGAACTTGTCGATGTCATCTCGATGCATTTCGAAGTCGATGAGGGGTCGGTAGTCAGGATGTGTAAGTTCTAGCTTGTTGTTGATAGCTGATACTTTCCTGTTGTATGACTCGAATATTGGGTACTCCAATAATAGGCCAAGAGCAGGCATTTTAGGAATGAATACAGTGCGGGGGCCGTATAGCTTTTTTCCAGGATTTAGCTGATGTAGATGCGAATTACCCGAGACCATACCTCGTCAATGACTTGGTCAGGAGTATCCGTTCGACAGGATAGAACCAAAGCAGCCATCATCTTACGCTGTAGACCTATGAGCTCGGTGCCATAGGGAATGGAATAACGCAACCTACAATCTATATAAAGGTAAGCACCGGCATATCAATAGCTACAGAGATGACTTACCTGGTGCAGCATGAAACTCTGTCCATGAAAGAGGACACTTATCCATTCCGTACCGCCATACACTGCCGGTTCGGATATCTTTGAGAAGAGGATCAGTCAAGTACAGCCATCGCGGATAAGGTGCCACATGCTTCAATTTTCTTCATATGTCGCTGATTGCTGCGGTCACCAAACTCTCTCCCTACTGTGAAGTTGTGAAAGTTGTGAGTGCCTTCATATTTGTGCACCGTTAGTCTAAGACGCTCGATTGAGTCTGCGCTGATTCTCCACTTTCGCTTGCGCTCGAGGTCGTCTTCTCGGGTGGACGTGTCGCCGGTACCCCAGAAGGGATGTGACGGTTTGATTGCATCACTGGGTGCTTTTGTGGAGTCCGCGTGCTGGCCTAACGTACGGTGCAGACCAGAGCCTGGTTTGGGTGGAATCAAAAGATAGCTTGGGAAGAAATAAGTATATTTCCGGCTATCACACGACCTAGTCCAAACTGATCATCAGAACGCATAACAAAGTTTTCATTCAAGGACAAACATTCTGGCATTGAATGAATTCTGTACTCGGACCTAAGTGTTGCAAATTAATAAGGCCATGAATCACGTTTAAAAAGTGAGAGAAACGCACATGACCCCAGAGGCGGATTTCAGGAGGGAGTTCCTCGTTGATCCGGGCGACAATATCGTTCACTCCAGGAATTGTCGTTATTAGCTTCATCGATACAAGGTTTCCTGCTGCATGAACACCGGCATCCGTTCGTGCAGCCCTGCCAAGGCTAACCTTTATGAAACGGGTTGGATGTTGAACTGGTAGGGAAGACTGCTAGCAAATTCACCTTGACAGGGTCATCGGCGTTATCTTGAGAAACTGCCCCTGCTCTCACGAGAGCCCCGAAAAGCACGCCCTCGATAGTCCGAACGTCGGGCTGGCTAAAATGAGAGTTGAGCTTTCTGGCGAGACGGTGTGGTATATGACACGACAAGGTCACGATGGAAGGGAGAAAGCTCCTTAAGCTGTTTAGACGCATACGCACATTTGCATCCCATTACACCCCGTCCCGCAAAATCCAATGAGAAGGGCGGTTTGTCTCTTTGGCAGCCTGGGTGCTTTCGACTCCGTGTTGCTTGCACTATCCGCAGGTCGTGTCCCCCGTCGTCGCCCCTTATTTTTTCCGTCCTTCTCCTTCCCTTTGCGTGATTTTGCATAACCGGCAGCATCCCGCCTCCCCGCATCCTTGCTTTTCTTCGGCGCGCTTCCTTCCGCACCTCCTTCATTCCCATCCGCGTCGGGGGATGGCGCTCGAGCTACCTTATCGCTTCCTGCAGCGGTGCCGTCGTCCACTTTGACACGCTTTATGGCGTCTGACGCTTCAGGATGCGCTTCGGACTCCTGCGGCCTCGCCCTCTTCAAGATGGACGATGGCGACAGGCTGACGTCGTCCGACATGGTCCTTATGCGCGACTTTAAGACCGTTCGACGTTCAGCTCCCAGAAAACATAGTCTATTACGGGTGAATTGCAAGGCGAGCTTACCAGAGGCGTCCTGCGATGGAGGATTCGGACGAAGGACCAACGACTGAACATCCGAGGATGTCTTACCTGTTTTGGTAAGAAAAACATGACATCAAAATGATTTCAATCTTATTCCAAGATCAATTTGAAAGTCCCGCTGGTCTTAGATAGCTGGCGAGTGAAGTGCAATCCTGAGGCGAGAAAGCTTGTCAGCCTTGCCCATATCATTATCACAAAACGTCGGAGTGACATAGTGGACCCTTGTACCAAATTCCGTTATGTTGTAAAACCAGTGCTCCAGTTCAAGTTATACACAGTCTATACCATTGAATTGAGATCGCCTTAAAAAAACAAATGATACCTCTAGTCTAAACGAATACAGAGCTACCCTCAGCACTATATACCTGATGTGAAAGTTTTTTAAATGAAAACAAAAAAGATACAGCCTTCAAATCTCTCAGAACAGTTCTAAACCTCCGATTTTCCGCAAAGTTCCACCACACGGTGTTCGCATGCACGGTACGCCTCAATCAGCCCGTCGTAGATCTTCGTCACCTCGTCCTTGGGCTCAGCAACGAGCCTCATCCTCTCCACTTCTCCATAGCTCATTTCCTCAAACGTACCTTCACCGCCGTTGTTAGCCCTCCACCACGCAAACTTGGCCAACACAGCACCACCCGTCCCAGCAGCCTCCTTCGACTCGGCAACATACACCCGCATGCCAAAAAGGTCCGCAGCCAGCTGGCGGATTGTCTGGTTGGCGGACGAGCCGCCCGTCACGATCAACCGCTGCAGAGGAGGTGCGTTGGGCGGTAGGATTGCAGCCACTCGGGACTTGATGGAGAGGAATTGGGATTCCAGAATGGCACGTGGATGAGTGTCGGAAGGAACATCACCCGCCGCAACCGGTTCACCAATGGCGTCCGCAGTCGAGAAGTGGAATTCACCATGTACGCCAGGCGGGATGATCTCCGGCAGAGGAAAGTAAAATGACATGCACCCGTGGTTTCCGGCAGCCGTTCCCTCTACGAGTTCGTTGAATTTGCCCCAATCGTGCTCAGCGTGACGATCGCGTACTTGCTCTCTTGCCAGAGCACCGTTCTTGTAGCAGAGCATGGCAATTTGGGCGTCGATAGTCGTCGGATGGGAGAGGAGGTGAGATGTCGTAAACCGTTTTGGCGGAGTGTCAGCAGGTGGAATAGAGAGAAGTAACGTCGTAGATGTTCCCAATGAAAGAAGGGCATCACCGGGCGCAGATAACGCGACCACCGTCGAAGGGTTGTCGCCCGTAAACGGCGCAACGATACAGTCTGCGGCCACGCGTGAATGAGCATATGGCGACCGAGGATGTTAACAGAGTCCTACCTGGGTTAAAACCCCATTTCCGTACCCACCAGTCAGAGACTGTTCCAAGGACAGTACCACCTGGGACGGGCTCAGGACCCAACTTGGCACGCAGTTCCGATCCTCCGCAAGCATCCAACAACGCATCTTCCCACTTGCAGGTCAACACGTTCATGAGATTCATCCCACTGGCATCGGAAATTTCGATTGGCGCAATCCTCCCCAGAAACAAGGAGGGCAAAAAGGAAGAGACTAGAGATATGCGAGCCGAGCATTTGTATGCTTCTGGACGCAAGCGTCGTATCTGGAAGAGGTATCAAGGCGGACTTGAGCAGGTGCACGTAGCGGGAAACGGATAATGCTCACCCTCGCTATCTGCGGACCTGTGAACCGCTCGTAAGCTCTGCTACCCGTGATGTCTGCTAGGGCTTGTGCACCGCCAACAGACCTTTCCAGATCACGGCAGTCACGCGTCGTCGACGAGTCTTGCCAGATGGGTGCATTGGGCAGGGAGAAGGCGTGAGGAGAGAGGTTGTCAGATAGCGAGCGGCAGGGAATCATATTCGCAAGAGCATTTTCGCCATCGTCTGACCAGTAAACCGAGCTATGTTGCTATGCTAGAGAATGAGATAAGACAATAAATCCAAACAGCAAACGCACTTACCTGACCCGCACCAGAGACACCCGCAATAGCACCCATATCCACGCCAGCCTCCTTGACGCGTGCCAAGACCAAATCGATAGCCTCCAACCACATGCGGACCGGGGAAGTTACCTCTCCTTCTCCAGGGCCCTGTATAGCGCCATTGGTGGTCCCGTACGCTGGGAGATCGCGATCGAAATGGACTGCAGACTCGTGGACGATGGACGAATCCTCGGATATGATGATAGCCTTGAGCTGCTGCGTCGAGAGATCGAACCCAAGGAAAAGAGGGAGAGATGGGGACATGGTTGGGCTGGAGGTGGGCGGTGGTGGTGGTGGTTCCCTCGCCACTTGGCTTTAAATCCGCTGCATTATAGCATCCATTGCCACCTGAGCATTGGACAGGCGCGAACGGACCGTCGAGTGCTGTAAAATGTAACAGTACACTCATGAGAGTCTAGTCCAAAGGGTACATCGGGCCAATGCGCGCACGCTCGCACACTTACTCCACTGGCGGAATTCATTTTCCCGTCGCCTTTCCGGTTTTCATTTCCCCGCATTGACTATAGTAAAATGCACATGGCAAGAACCCATTGGTTCTTCATCGGTTCCACCACATCTTGAATTCTTGCGGAGTCGACATGAACCTCACTTTGTGATTGGCCTTGCAGTGCACATTTCCATCTCATTCGTCGGACGAGCGATCCGGAGCAATACGAGCCCATTTGAATGGAAATTAGCAAGGATCAGTTTCATCTATAGCTACGGATCCGGTACATGGAGAAATCGTCTAGAAAATTGCATAAAAGTCTAGTTCTTGCCTCGAAGCTGTCCCCCGGTAAACCCGCCCACTCAAATACCATGCTGCGATATTGTGTTGTATATCCTTTGCGGCCGTGAACTTGACAAAGCCAATCACAAAAACCAGAGCTTACATCTGAAGTATTGCGTGCGTTGCGCCACGGGTTTATAGACACCGTGGGCCTGGAGGGAACGAGCTCTATGAAGCCCCGGATATTCTCAGCTCTAAAACGGCCGACAGAATCAAGAGACATACCTCAACTCTCCCTGATGGCACCTTGACGTGTAGCAGTCAACCAGAATAAGATGAACGTGACAATCAATGTCGCATCCTGGGGAAACCTTTCCAAGATATATCATATAGAAATATACTGTTTCATTTTCGTTTTCGTTTGCACAAAAAAGGGAAGTCAAGGAAAATAGCGAAAGAAAACAAGTCACAGACGCGAAACTAGTTCAATTCGCCAGCAGAGAAAAAGAAAACCACTCGTCGTTGCCTCGTTACAAACATTCGAAAAAAGTGAGACTGCGAGAACCCGAGAGAGCCGTCGTCGACAGAGTGGTTCAGACGAGGGGTCGAGTCTATCAATTCCTCGTTCCAAACCACCCGTGTGCATTATCTAGCTCAAAACACAGCGCCACCTCAGAATGTCTAGATGGCTCATCTAGACCCTTCCCCAGGCCCCACACAACTTCTCCACATCTTGCATCCAAAATCCAAAAATCAAAGCTCCAAACCTTCCACACACGGCGCCGACGTCCACACCCCGCCTCTCCTACGCCAAACAAGATCACCGAGGTATATCTCGTGCAAGCACGGATACGCCCTCGCAAGTCTCTCCACGCAATGCCCCTCGTCCGCTCCGAACACGACGGGGGACACCTCGGGTCCATACCCTATCCGCAGGACCTCTAGATGAGAGGGGAGTGGCGTGTATCTGACGGCAAGCCGCCGGACGATGCCCTTCATCGTGACATATATTCATTGTCAGCCTGAATGCTCTACTTGGAGGTGATATCAGGCGTACGACGTACCTGGAGAGAATGACTGCGCCGTTCAGGAAGGCCTCCATTCCCTACCGTCTGTAACGAATTCCGAGTCAAATCCAGAGGCTAACAACCTTTATCAGTACCACCAGCCCCAGAACATCACACAAAAAACCCACCAGCAACAGCATATCAGGCTCCTCCACGCTCTCGTCCACATCCTGCATATCCAAGATCACATCAAGACACCGAAGATTGGGAAGATACCCCGCCACCGCGTCGAACAGCTCGAGGCGCGAGAGCAAACACACCAGCGTCAGCTTCCGCACCGGGCGCGCCGACGTCGACAGCTGGGACAGCGTCGACACCGTCACCGACGCCAGCGTATCGGAGCCGACGATGATCCTGGGCGTCACGGACCACATGTACGCCTTGACCTCCGTCACGGGCCGTCCGGGGACGATCAGATCGGCGAGGAAGTAGGGGCCTTCGAACGAGTGGAGGTGGGGCATGATGTCAGCCGAGAGCGAGCTGGGGTAGTGCGAGATGATCGACCAGCCGGTGATGCATAGGGACAAGAGGCGGGGCGCGAGGCGGAGGAGCGCGAACAAGGCGTCGTTGTGGCGCCCGTCGACGAATATCGTGAGACGGGTGAGGTGGTCGTACGTCCTCTGAGACGAAAGCCACGACAGCAGGGCGTTCGTGCAGCAGTCATCGTACAGAGTGAGGCTTTTCAAGCGGGATGTCTCGAGCGTCATCAACGTGACAAGCCACGGACTCTCAAACTCCCTGATCGGCTTCGTGATCTCGAGTGTCTCCACACACATCCGGATCATCGTATCGCAGCTCATGCGGCAGTCCTGAAGCTTGAGGGTGTTCAGACCCTGCAGCTCATGCAACGTGCGCCAAATGTCGTTATCGACGTTCAACCAAGATAGGTGGAGGACGCGAAGGTGGGGCAGATGCGGCAGCAGCGCGATGAACGCCTCTATCGACTGCTCAAACGCGTCGTGCACGCTTTCCCATTGGCTGAATCTGCCGTTCTTGGAATAGTAGGTATCCTTGATGCCCACGAACGAGAAGCCTTGGACGATGGAACGCAGCTCGCAAGCGCGCGAATCCGACTTGAGCGCCTGGAACCGGTGCGCGGTTCTCATCAGCCTGCGTACATTGGCTTTGGAGTCTGGGGACGAGACCAAGCCGTCGATTTCCAAACCTGCGAAGGAGAGCTGAGAAAAGAGAGAGACTCGGCCCAGCTGGTTGAACAGGCGGCAGACTTGCACCAACTCTTTGAGATCAGATCGGCTGGAATAGGCCCAGCATTCGCGCCATATCTCTATAGGCAACTTGGCAGCGCCACTGCAGCTATTCATCTGTGGTGAAGAGTGTAAAATCTGCAACTTCTTTACAGTATTCTATTGTTAACGTGTCATTGTGGAGTGGGTGCGTGTGGCACACACCAGTATTTAATATATGCCCTCTTCTGGCCCGTTCTCGAACGACCTGGGGGTAAATATGTGTAACCTGGTAACGAGAGGAGTGGAAAGTAAGGGGCAGAGGTGATAGATCCACAACCATTCCCAATCCCAAAATTATCGCGACAGTTGCTGGACAAAGAGTCCGAGGGCGATAATTGAACTTGCAGATGTTCCTTTTCAGGAACGTTGAGTAAGCTACTGCCTCCTCGCACGTGCCTGTAATACGACAACGCGGTCCCGAGGGTTTGCAGTGGAATGGTGCGTCCGACGAACGCAGGAAAGTAGATAATTGCGGACAATTAGATATGTACCAAGGCGATAGCAGCTATCGAACCAATTCGTGACGTGCTGTTGACCATCATAACAATGCTGATGTAGACTGACGCTGCACGACAGATTCATGATCATGATAGGGCCAGTATCAACAGCAACGCCAGTACCCATCGCATTTCACTCGTCTGAGTAGACAGTTGAGACCGAGTTCCCGGAGTTAGTGCGCAGTACCAGTCAAAGCGGATCAATAGGCAACACTGGACAGAGGCTGTGATGATTTGTGTTCATGAATAGTTAAAAATATAGCGTGTGAATACAGACAACGTCGTAGATGGGGTAGATAATGAAAAGATCGCAAAGGTCGTGAAAGCATGCGAAAGTGTACTACAGTGCGCGACACACTTTTTCGGCGCCTCAAATGTCAGTGACGCGCATTCATTATTCCACGCTGGAAATACCATGTTTTTTTGCGAAAACTATTGCAATAGGACTGTATTAGATACTACTGTAAGGTATGCTGAACAAAATGCGATGAATTCAAACAAAGTAAAAATCACGACAAAAATTGAGACTGTGACGACTATTGGTACCGAAACGTCGCTTTCTGGTAGAGTATGCAGCATTACATGCATGTAAGTATCGAGGAACGGGCGGGGACCTTATCGGCGGCTCATGAGAGCCTTAATCTCGGCAGGATGACCGACTCTACGGTGTGACTTGAACACTTTGACTGCAAATGCAGTCTGATAAGCATCAAGTCCTTTCCTGAATGTTGCTCATGATTAAACCAAGGATGTATATGTAAAATAGAAGTGAAGAAACTCACGAGTATGAGTCCATGTAGCGCCATGTCTTACGGAAAAAGCGTCGGATCGTGATTGTGTCACACATGTTGAGACACTGCGGCACGAGGACTTTGGCAGTCAAGAACTTGCCATCTGATACTTTGCGATAGCCTGGTACAAATAGAATAAGAATAATTTGAATTAAACGAGAGTGAAAAGACTCACGGTACTTCATAAATCCCCATAGCATTTCGATAGGGTTAAGTTCGCAATGGAACTTGGGCAGATACATGCAAATGTGACCGCGCCCCTCGATGTATTTTTGTTTTGGCGGGCAAAGTAGGGGCCCTTCCCCATGCGATATGCAATGGCCAAGCTCGCATTGAGTGCTGGGCGCTGGCATTTTGGGTGGCCAGCATACCGCTCGTGAAGCTTCGCGTATGTCACGATCGTACCCATCTGACTCAGCTTTCTTATCTAATCAAGAGATAGAGACTCTTATTTCACCTTATCTAATCTCTTCCTGATCTAATCTTATCAAGTATCACGTGATCTATTAGTAATACACATTACCAATCAGTCTCACTACATACACATGTTAATTACCAATACGCTATGTCATACCTCCCCGTAGCCTCATGTTCTTTACTATATAACTAGCACGATATCCATGTACATACCCCAGTTGTAGATTTACTCTTTTATACTTGCTTGTCCAACACTTGTTGAGATTTAAGTCCTACGCTGCTCGGGTCACCGGCATACAGCTAGGGTCTTTACACAATCTACAACTTGGAAAGACACCTGTTGATGAGCAAAATCATAGCTATTCTTATCATCACCCTATTCCCCCTCATTGCACTCATACTCTTTGGCATTGCCAAACTCTACGTTCACCTCACAAAAACTATCATCATCACACCTATCACCCGACCCGACACCATCATATCATTTTTTCCTGCCAACGTCTCACCCACAGAGTCGTTTGTTGACATCCCTCTCACTCCCCCTTCCAACCCAGTAGCTAGAACCCTTGACGGCGTGGAGCCCGATAGGTATTACTTAGTTTAAAGTAGCTTCCGTACGCTTCTGACCAGGCCGCTCATTTGAGTCCGCCAGTCGGAAAAGACCTGCACGCGGTTACTCGCTGGGTACCTCTGAGACAACCGTTCGGACCTCAGATACTATACAATTAGAACACCGATATCTCAGATTAGATTAGTTACGTATATAGTCAGTGCGGGACAGAAGAGGAACCGCTTGACTCAAGAGAAAAGATAGTCTGGTTGAACTTATTCGAGAAAGTGTTGATCCGATTTATCATCGGGGAACTCTCGTATATGCAACCTGGTGATTTCGAAGAGTGGTTAGCAGAACAACGCTTCCATTCCGAGAACAGAATAGCCTGGGAAATATACTTTACTTTTCCAGAAATAGAACTGATCCGAAACCGATACAACACCCCCTACACAGAACATGACGACGGCAGCATTCGGAGAGTGGCGAGGTCCGCGCGAAGAGCGGGACACACCAGAAATGGGAATGGGAGAATTGTCGGACGCGCTCCCGCCTTTAGAACCCCAACCCCCGACATCGCAGGAAGCTGGACTGGAACAGTACGTTCAGACCAGGATAGAACAGGAGCAGAGGAGGCTCCACGAATTATACGAAACGCAGCTGAAAGAGGCCAAAGAAGAAGTAGACGAATTGCTAGCCAAGCTGAGGTTAGCTACATCGAATACTTCTACGTCCGCTCAAGCCGCATCCGCACCACCGCCGCCCGCTACGCAGCCGAAGCGCGTAGACAGAACCAGAACGGCTCTCCAGAAGCCTGAAAACTTTGATGGAGACCGAAAGAAGTATAAGGCTTTCCGCGAAGCCTTAATGCTTAATTTTGAAGATGACGAAGAGTATTCCGCGGATGAAAGAAGAAAGATCGCCTATGTGCTTTCTTTCATGACAGGGGGAGCAGCGGCTGCTTTTAGAACGGAGTGGATGGAGACGAAGATGGAGAAAAGGATGCGAGGAGAAAGCATCAAAACCACTTACGAGAATTTTGAGTGGTTCGCTACAAAAATGGAGACTCGGTTCAAGAACGTTCACGAGCAACTCGCCGCCCGCAACGACATTATGATCTTGCGACAAGGAAAGAACACGGCCGAAAAGCACTTCGAACACTTCAAAGAACTGAGAAGGGAGGCTAGTTACCTCCAAGCAGCCAATGAGGACTTCCTCATTTCACTTTTACGTAGGAATATGAATGAACCCCTGGTCAATCAGGTAATATACGGCGGCCGAGAGCCGGCCAACTACGAAGAGTGGAAGAAGGAACTGATCCGCATCGACTACTTGTGGCGTCATCGAGAGGCGGAGAAAGAGAGCTTCAGGAGTATGGAGAAAAAGAAGCAAGACGGAGGAGGAAAGACAACCGAACCAAAGGTCGAAAGAAAGAAGGATGCAACCGGGTACCTATATACCCAATCCGGTGACCCCATGAAGGTCGACAAAGCAGAGTACCGACAGAAGGGACTTTGCTACCGGTGCGGTGAAAAGGGACATCGATCCTTCGAATGCAAGAAAGAGGCACAAGCAAAGCCTCAGTTTAACGTGAGAGAATTCCTGCAGAAGATGACTGCAGAAGAAAGAGCAAAAGTCCTCCAGGGTTTTTGAAGAGGCCAGCGGTAACACATCAACCGGCTGCGCCTAAGGACAATAGTTTTGTAAATAGTTTCTCTTCTCTTTCGATCGAAGATTCTTGTCTGCCGTCCACCACGAGTTGTATTAGTACAGATCATGAAAATGATATTGCATTGGCCAAAGACGCAGCAGATCTGAGATTAAAAGAGAAAGAAACAAAAAGAGATGTGAACCTGAACAGGGAACAGGTTAGAAAAATCCCTAAAACTTCAGAAACAACAGAACCACAGAAAGCAGTGACTCAATTGGGAAGCACTGATGTAACTGATGGTTCGACCAGTTCCAAAGAGGTCAGGAACACCTCTAATAAAAACCTAGACCACAAAGAGAGACAAAGACTGACAGCGGCATGGACGCCACTTTGGGTTGCAGAAAGATTACGAGACCAAAAGGAAGAAAGATCCATTGGTATTCTCAACATCTGGACGCACCAAAAAAGAAGTAGAGAAGTCACAATAGAGACAATACGAGAGCTGAATGCATTAACACTGCACGAAGCAGAACTTGCTCTATTAGAGTTACACACCCCGAAAAAGTACATTAGGGGAACGCAAGGAAACCAGATGAACATTTCTTGCAGACTTACAACTCTTGACACAAATCGATCAACGACGATCGAAGCTCTCCTAGATAGTGGATGTACGGGGAGTTGCATAGACTCTACGTTCGTAAAAGAACAAAAATATGAAACGAAGAAGATACCGAGACCAATTCCAGTATACAATGCTGATGGCACGCTTAACAAAGACGGTGCTATCAAAGAATTTATAGAACTACGGATGAGCATAGGAGACCACGAAGAAAACATTCACTTCGCCGTAACAAGCTTAGGGAGTGGACGCATGTTCCTCGGACATGAGTGGTTAACGAAGCACAATCCCACTATAGACTGGAAAAAGTCAGAGTTGAACTTTGATAGATGCCCGAAAGAATGTAAACGACAGGTTGACTTCCTTGATCCGGAAGAAGACCCTGACACATACTTTTCGGAAGTAGATCGCTCAGATGGGGATCAGCTGATCCAAGTGAATCTAATGAACTATGAAGATACTTCTATTGACGATCATTACTACCACATTAGGGCACAAGGCACAACAGCTCAGGAGCTCGCCGAAGCCGCTGGTAAAGATCAGAAAGAAGGAGGATTCGAAAAAATAGTTCCAAAACATCTCCACGATTACAAAGACGTATTCGATAAGGAGTCATTGGATGCATTGCCAGAGAGACGCCAATGGGATCATGCCATAGAACTCATCCCAGGCGACCACACTCTGGACTGCAAATGTTATCCATTAGCTTTAGGAGAACAAGAACAATTAGATGCGTTCATAAACGAAAACCTCGAATCAGGAAGAATCAGACCTTCCAAATCACAATTCGCATCACCGTTCTTCTTCATCAAAAAGAAAGATGGAAAACTTAGACCTGTCCAAGACTACCGGAGATTGAATGATATCACCATCAAGAATAGATACCCGCTACCTCTGATAAATGAACTTGTAGACAAGCTCAGGGGCGCGAAATACTTTACAAAGTTAGATATCAGATGGGGATACAACAATATCCGTATCAAGGATGGAGATGAACACAAAGCAGCCTTCAGAACGAATAGGGGGCTCTTTGAACCGTTAGTGATGTTCTTTGGACTCACGAATTCACCAGCAACATTTCAAACGATGATGAATGCGCTGTTTAAAGATTTGATTGATGACGGAAAGGTAGTAATATACCTCGACGACATCATGATCTTCACAAGAACGATTGAAGAACACCGCGCAATGACGCGTAGAGTGTTAGATATCTTAAGGAAGAATAACCTTTACTTGAAACCTGAAAAATGCGATTTCGAAGAGACCTCAACAGAGTACTTAGGTCTCATCATTTCCGAAAACGAAATCCGCATGGATCCAGTCAAAGTAAAAGGAATTATGGAATGGCCAGAATGCAAATCCAAAAAGGAAGTACAAGCATTCTTGGGTTTCGTAAACTTCTATAGAAGATTCATCGAAGGCTTTGGGTTGATCGCCAAGCCATTAACTAAATTGACCGGGAAAGTAGAGTTCGTGTGGGGACAGGAACAGATCGACGCCTTTAACGGATTAAAAACCCGTGTCGGATCGACTCCCGTACTCGCCTTACCTACCGATGACGGACAATTTAAAATTGAAGCTGATAGCAGCGATTACGCGATGGGAGTAGTTCTATCACAGATGCAAGATGGGAAATGGAAACCTATTGCATATCTTTCAAAAGCGCTAAACCCCACAGAGCGCAACTATGAGATCTATGATAAAGAACTCCTGGCCATAATGACTGCGTTAGACGAGTGGAGACATTATCTTGTTGATGCAAAAGAGGTGTTTGAGATCTGGACAGACCACCAGAATCTCCTATATTACAAACAACCTCAAAAGCTCAACAGACGACAAGCTAGATGGGTTATGGAATTGAGCAACTATCACTTTACGCTCCACCACATTCCAGGTACAAAACACATCAAAGCAGACCTTCTCTCGAGACGAGCAGATCATGAAAGGGGAGTGGATGATAATGAAGACGTAATCGTTCTAAAAGCAGAACATTTCCGTATGATGATTTCACACACTGAAAGACAACGCATGGCAGAGCAATCAGCCGATGCAGTGGAATTGTACAAATGGATTTGCAAAAGAATGATGAACGTAGACGAAGTAGCGCGGAAGATGATAGAGAAAGGAGAAGATAGAGAGAAAGGAATTTGGATGGAGGATGAGATGTTGATCTTCAAAGGGAGAATCTATATTCCCAAAGACGGGAAATTACGAGAACATATCATTAAAGAAAACCATGATTCCACGATAGCAGGACACCCCGGACAGTATAAAACCAAAGAACTGGTAACTAGATGGTATTGGTGGCCGTACATGGACAGAGATATCCGGAAATACGTAGAAGGCTGTGAAACGTGTCAACGCACTAAGATTAACCATCAAAAGAAAGCGGCACCGTTACACCCAAATGAAATCCCAACCAGACCATGGGAAATCATTACCACAGACCTAATCGGACCACTGCCGGAATCTCTCGGTTATAATATGATACTCGTAGTAGTAGATCGATTCTCTAAGATGATAAAAGTCATGCCGACTTATGACAAAGTAACGTCAGAAGGAGTAGCCAGATTATTTAGAGACAATGTCTTTAGAAATCACGGCATACCAGAGAAGATCATTTCGGATAGGGGACCGCAATACGTCTCCAATTTCATGAAAGATCTCTACAAACTCCTTGGGATAAAAGGAAATCCCTCGACCGCTTATCACCCCCAGACGGACGGACAAACGGAACGAATTAACCAAGAGATAGAACAGTATCTCAGAATATTCGTAAACCATAAACAAACGGATTGGGCAGAATGGCTACCATTAGCGGAATTTTCGTACAACAACAAATCACACTCCGCAACTGGTTATAGCCCCTTCTTCCTAAATTCCGGACAACATCCGAAAGTCGCGAAGGGAATTAGAAGTACGGTAAAGACGGAAAGTGCAGAAGAGTTTGTAAAGAGGATGGAAGAGACAAGGAAAGAAGCAGAAAAATTGCTGGTAAAAGCAGCAGAGAACATGAAAAAACAGTACGATAAAGGGAAAAGAGAGGCTATCGTTTACAAAGAAGGCGACAAGGTATATGTTGAAGCAGAACATATTACTACCGATAGACCTGCAAAAAAACTCGATGATAAAAGACACGGACCCTTCTCCATCGAAAAGAAAATAGGTGAAGGAGCCTATAAGCTGAAACTTCCTGGACGATGGAAGAACATACATCCGGTTTTTAACGAGAAACTGCTAACACCATTCAGAGAACCAGAATTCGAAACACAGAAAAAACCAAAAACCGCACCACCGGTGATAGTGGACGGAATTAAAGAATACGAGGTAGAAGAAGTTCTAGACTCACGATTGAAACGTGGGAAACTAGAATATTTAGTACATTGGAAAGACTTTCCTAAAGAGGATCGCACATGGGAAACCGAGTCAAACCTGAAACATTCATCGAAACTCGTAAAACAGTTTCACAACAAAAACCCTAGTGCACCTCGAAGGATAGAATTTACTCTAAACTATCAACCCTTCGAAAACTTTACTATTCCAACTAAAATTCGAAAATCACTATACAATTGGGAAACGGGCAGACTAGACTCTCACTTTCGGGACGAAAGTCCTAAGGGGGGGGTAATGTCACGATCGTACCCATCTGACTCAGCTTTCTTATCTAATCAAGAGATAGAGACTCTTATTTCACCTTATCTAATCTCTTCCTGATCTAATCTTATCAAGTATCACGTGATCTATTAGTAATACACATTACCAATCAGTCTCACTACATACACATGTTAATTACCAATACGCTACGTCATACCTCCCCGTAGCCTCATGTTCTTTACTATATAACTAGCACGATATCCATGTACATACCCCAGTTGTAGATTTACTCTTTTATACTTGCTTGTCCAACACTTGTTGAGATTTAAGTCCTACGCTGCTCGGGTCACCGGCATACAGCTAGGGTCTTTACAGCGTACTCGGTGACAGCAGTAAGTTGAGTCATCATTTTGACTGTTTTACTTGTTTTGAGCCACTTTACTTCCTTGAGACAGGTCTTGACAATCTCGAATATGTTTTTTTGGGACGGAGCACTGTCATCATCATCGAGGACAAGCCACTCGCGAGCTGCTTCGACTTCTGCTGTATGCATGGCTTCATCATTGGCAAGATCTTCATCTTCTCCGGCTACTGCTTCTGCAAGATCCTTTTGGGTATTCTGTTCCGATGCATTGGTAAGTCACTTATAATCACTGGACCATGGTTACTGATCACACCTGAAGCTCCTGTTCATCGAATTTATCATCCTCGATAGGGCCAGATTCAGTGCGGGAGATGCAAAACTCCATCAGATCCATGTCGGTTATGGCTTCCTCAATGTCATACCAACCCTCAACATCGACATCTTCTGTCTCGGGATTGTAAACGGCGTCCTTGCGCATTAGAGTGGTGTCGCGTGAGAAGCCAAATCTCTCGAGCTTCGCACAGTCTTCAGCTGCCTTTTTCCAGTGTGCTTTATGGCGGTAAAAAGTTGCTCGAGAATCTTTTGTGTACACCACGGGCTGCATGCGCTGTCAAATTTTCAATCAAAACTTTTTATAGTGAATTACCATGTTGCTCACCTTCATTGGGTTCTGTTGCACAGAAAACTTTTTCGCATACAACTGCCTTGCAACTGTGAGAGAACCAGTCGATGACACACTGGCATCACTGTCACTGCCAGAATCTTCATAGTCTGATTCGCCGTCACACTGGGTTGGCCCAGATACGAACTTGCCCTGGGCTGAGGTTCTCTGCAGTTTGGCCCGTGCGGCCTTCTTTCCAGTACGTCCCATCGTAAATTCGAGTTTGTCAAGTGCGTCAACAGGTTTTGAGTAGAGGGAGAGAGTGCATGTCAATTTCGGTACTTTTAGCTCCAAATTTTGCGACTGAAAATTGAGACTTTTTATGGAAAATTTAAAACATCAGATATTGCCTATTTTAACGCATAGATTACATCCCCGTTGACAGAAATCGAATCGGCAAAAAATTTGGCCCGCTACAGAGGCGCGGCCAAAGTGTGTCGCGCACTGCAGTCCGGGTAAGGTCCGTTCGTGAATTGTGGGTGGTAGCCCGTGAATCGCCAATGAGTGCGTGGGCGGTGAAGAGAGAAGACAGCATACACACCATGTATTTGATACACCATGTCGGAAACAACGGTCTTCAGTCACGATGCTTTTCGGAATCGGGCCATAAGGGGAAGGTCGAGGTGGGCGTGTTATCGAGAATCTGTGTGGGAAAGCTGAGCTGGAGAGGGCGGATAAGTCCCACGGGGGAGAGTGGTTGTTGAGAATTGTGGAGATATTCGCAGAGGTCAGAGCGTTGTGATGTCTTCGCCACAGGGAGTGATCAACGAGAGGCCGTTCCATCAGCACACCCCATCCACCGCTAGACGCCACTCCAAGATCACGATAGAGTACCACAAGCCATCAAGGGAATCCATACAGGAGTACTCCGATCTCTTGAAGGACGCCAGTCTCCACGCTGCCACCGCTGCCTCCGCTGCCACCTACAGAGACCCCTACGCTCCCTCGAAGCACCTTCTAGCTCGCCCCGCTTTCAGAGATAACACTCCCGCAGACCCCACTCCCCCCGGTCTCGGCAACTCCCTCCACAAGCAGCCCCCTCCCACCGGCAAGCACAGTCTCCCCTCCACTCCCCATCCCACCCGCGTGGACCACGATCCCTTTGCTGCATCCTCCCCATCCACCATATCCAGCCCAGGGCCCCTCCCAAAGCAGTCCGGCATGACCTCCCCCCCCGCACGTCCCTCCCGTGCCAACACCGCCACCCTCAACGACATCTTCCCCTCCCAGTCCGCCCTCGCTGCCCGTCGTCTCTCCACCCCCGCCGTCCCCCTCAAAGACGCCCACTTTGCCCCAGATACAAACCAATCCGTACCCTACCTCCCCCACTCGGACGCCTCCCCTTCCGGCACAAGGTCTCGCAGCGGCACCACCGCTACAAAGTCCAAAAAGGGCATGCTTGGCTTCATGTCTGATTTCCTCAATACCTCAAAGAGGCCTGAAATAAGCACCCCCTACGATCCAGTCCATCTCACTCACGTCGGTTTCAACTCCTCCACAGGCGAGTTCACCGGCCTCCCCAAGGAATGGCAGCAGCTCCTCCAGGAGAGCGGCATCTCCAGATCAGAGCAGGAAAAGAACCCTCAGGCTGTCATGGAAATCGTCAAGTTCTATCAAGAGGGCCACGGTGACGTCTGGGACAAGATGGGCGCAGTAGAGACTCCTTATCCCATGCCCCCAAAGACGCCTGTCGACGACGGCTTCCAGAACCCAGTACGTCAATTTGCCCACTTCTCACTTTCTGTCTCTTAACCCTCTCTTCAGCGCGCCGCACCTCCTCCTCCCAGGAAGGCACAGCCATCCCCCGTATCGCAGTCCATATCTGCCCCATCGGTATCTACCCCCGGCGCTTACCGCCCTGCTCCTGCCCCCCCCAGCGCTGTCATACCAGCCCTCGATCGCTCCACATCGCAGCGTGCACCCCCCAGATCAGGCAAATCGTCAGAGCAACTCAACCGCTCAAACACCACTAGAGACAGGCGCTCCCCCAGTGTCAGCGCTGCCCAAGGCCCTGCCCATCCCGGTGCCCCAAAGCCACCGGGCAAGCCCTCCCCCGGCTCATCCCAGTCTGATCTTACGTTGAAGCAGGCAGGTGCGCCTACTCGGGACCCACGAGGCCCAGCCACCCAGCAGCAGAGCCCTGCCGCTGCGAGCTTGGCCAAGGCTGTCGGGGCAGCCACGCCCCGCAGGAGGGAGAAGAAGGACAAGGACAAGGAAAAGGAAGGCGATATCGTCAAGCGGCTGCAACAGATCTGTACCGATGCAGACCCCACCAAGTTATATCGCAACCTTGTCAAGATCGGCCAAGGGTACGTTTTTTTTCAATTAGTCGCTTTTATGGGCTGTCAGCTTATCGCTCTCTCGATAGTGCTTCCGGAGGAGTCTATACGGCACATCAAGTTGGCACCAACCTGTCTGTCGCCATCAAGCAGATGGACCTTGAGAAACAGCCCAAAAAGGATCTTATCATCAACGAGATTCTCGTCATGCGGTCGTCTCGTCACCCCAACATCGTCAACTATATTGATTCTTTCCTTTACAAGAACGACCTTTGGGTGGTGATGGAATATATGGAAGGAGGCTCGTTGACCGATGTCGTCACCGCCAATTTAATGACAGAGGGCCAGATAGCCGCCGTGTCAAGAGAGACCGCGCAAGGCCTAGAACACCTCCATCGACACGGTGTGATCCATCGAGATATCAAGAGTGACAATGTTTTGCTGAGTATGAACGGTGACATAAAGCTAAGTACGTATGCAAGATGCGGCTCTGACATCAGAAACTCGCCACTTACAGTAATTTTTCTCTATCATAGCTGATTTCGGCTTCTGTGCCCAAATCTCGGATCCAGCGCACTCGAAGCGCACGACGATGGTGGGCACGCCTTATTGGATGGCCCCCGAGGTCGTCACCCGGAAAGAATACGGGCCTAAAGTCGATATCTGGAGTTTGGGTATCATGGCTATCGGTGAGCATCGCGGCGTGCCTAGATCGTCCATGTCAAGCTCACGCTGTTTTGACCTTGTGCAGAGATGATCGAAGGGGAGCCACCGTACCTTAACCAAAACCCGCTCAAGGCACTCTATCTGATCGCCACCAATGGTACGCCCACCATTGCGAACCCCGAGGCGCTCTCTCCCGTCTTTAGTGATTATCTGGCCAAGACGCTGGAGGTGGACGCGGAGAAGAGGCCTACGGCTTCGGAGCTCATAAAGGTTCGTCTTTCTCCCCTAGCATTGCCTGAACGATCTAACTATCAGTGCCGCGATCAGCATCCCTTCTTCAAATTGTGTGAACCTTTACGTACCCTGGCCCCATTGATCAAGGCTGCGCGAGACATCGCGAAATCCAAGTAGCCACCGCTGACGTTCCCCGTGCTCACTTCTCTCTCACCTCTTAACAGTCCATTCATATTTGGATATCTGCCTCTTTGTGTCATTCGTCTTTTGGCATCTAAACACCATTCTTTCATTTCTGCAAGCAATTCCATCACTCGGTTGGTAAAATACCATGGCCTCCTCCTCCCCCCTTTTTTTTTCGCAATGTTGGCGATGCAAATGGTCTTTCACTGTTGTCCATGTTGACTTGTCCTCTCGAGTCTGTAATACCTCCCCTATCGGTTTACCTGTTTGTGCGATGATAATCACCATAGAAAAAAAAAGCCAGGAGGGGTGCTGTGTTTTTTTTTTTACAGTGTCCCTTCTTTATAGTGTTTTCATGTCGTCCTTACTATCTTGTTTCAATCTTCTCTCTGTAATCCATGCGTCCAAATTGTGTCAATATGATCGGACTATTTCAACATATGTCTGATGGAGTAGTCTGTAGAGTTGGAAATGCAATGAAATAGAAGTGTCGGATGCCTCGAATGCGTATATGTACATGTGAGAATGTCCCGGTAAAGGAAGTAACTATCGACGAAGCCTGATGAGACAGCTTCAACGTCCAGGAGGATTTCAAAAGTGAGGACTCCATCCTATGAGAAATCACCGCTCAGTGCCTCCTCTGACTAACTTCGAAAATAAAAAATAAAATAAAAAAATAAGACTTACCATGGAATATCGTAGCCAAGTTAACGATGTCCGTCGCTTCGGCGATGAGTGCATTGACGGTATACTCCACGCTCAGCGACCTGTCCAGCTTCCGAGAGACGGAGGACAGCGCACGATCGGCCGCCTCATCGGCACTGCCGCTCGTCATGTCGATACCAATGCCGAGGCGCGTGTGGTTGTCGCGCGTGATATGCTCGTTGCTGCTGCCCTGGACCTTCTTGATCTTGAACTCGCTTGCCGTCCTGGACATCAGGCCATTACATCAGCAGGCGTTTACTTTACGAGTGCAGAGGAGGGAGGAGGGAGGAGGGAGGAACGTACCATGAGTGGAGGGGGTCGTATTTGAACACTTCGAGCACGGTCATGATCACGTCAGAGCGATCGCGCAGAACGCGAAGCGTCTCTTCAGCACATCGCTGGAACACGCCCTGAGTGCCTGACATCCCCATACCATCGACCATATCTCGGGTCATTCGGAAGGGTACACGTTCTGGGACCTGGAGCAGTTTTCCCTGATAAAGGGCGTAAGTATGCCTTAAAGGCGCATATCAAGAAGAAAAAATAACAGCGGCTACCTGATCGAATGCTATCCCAAGATCGATGTGAACAACCTCCCCCGTGCCGTTATCAATCAGTATATTGGAAATGTGACGATCTCCCAGACCGAGAATATGACCAACGATGGAGGTTGTGGCGACGCTGCGCACGTACTTTAAGCGCATCGCAAACCAGCTGTTCGGGTCCTTGTGTTTTTCAGTAAAATAGTGTCTCATCACTGGTTTGCATCTTTCCCTGATATGCTTATACATTGCGATCAGGGGCTTCTCTTGCTCTGGATACTTTTTGCGCTCCATCGCCAACATACCCCCAGCTTCACTGTACTTGTAATCTCCGGGTCGATATCTGGGTGAAAAGGCGTGAGCGATGTAGACCCCAAGCATAGTATGCAATACTCACCGAATATGAGCTGCCTCTAGCCATAATCGTAGTGGAGTAGTATTACCCACAAATTCTAACACTCCGGCTTGAGCTCCCAGAGGTATTACCATGTATCCGCGAACGCTGAGCGCCCGTCGTCTAGTCTCCCGGTCGAATTTAAGAACGACATTGACCAGAGAGAACACTTGTTCCATTACTGCATCTTGCCTCAAATCGTCTTCACCTTCACCCTTGAACTGATAAAAACGTACGTCAACGCACAGCACGTCACCGCAAACCACGCGAAGCATACCAATTGTCTATACTTTTCGCCGTCACTGCCATGACAAAAAATAATCTTCGGCATGTTTATGCCGCCAGCTGTCGTGAATGTAGTGTCATAATGGGATATCCAGACGCAATTGTCGTATCGAAGGGTTGCGTCCAGAGGAATGGCTCTAGTCATTACGGGAACTTGTATATCTCGTATTCCTCGAATAAGGAGTCTTTTGTGAACCTCATGAGGTGGCTTGACTTTTTTAGCCCGAATGTCACTTCCTACCGGATGTTTGGCCCATTGAACGGAAACGGCACAAACTTGCTCTACCGCCCGGACCCTGCTTCCGTGGATAGCGTCATTTCGAAGTCGGTCGAAGATATCGTCAGCGGCAGCTGCGCGCCCAGTCTGTGATGGAGAAGGTTCGTGTCGTGACGAACTCCTAATACCGACCACCGGCTGCTCTGGACGTAGAGAATAAACCTGATAAAGGCTGTGGAAAGGGTGTTCTTGGCACATGCGCAAAACCAGATCCTGTAAATTCTGCTGGTTCTTAGGCAAATCTGGAGCATGTAAATTTGAGATGCGTGCTGAAAGCTGGTGCGCCAGAAAAACAAATTTTCGTGAAGGTACCCGACCGAGAGCAACTTGTACTTTATCTTGGAGTGGCTGGTTCTCAAAGTTAGCAAACCAAAGTGTACACAAGCGAATTGGACTGTCGTCATCAAATTCGTCAGAGGAAGCCAAGCAACGCGAGTACATGTCCAGAGCCTGTTCAAGAAACGAATTCTGAGCTTCACTATGCTGTTGGTATAAGTGTTGGTCGGTATCAAAGAGCGTTTGTGCCTTCTTCCGTTCGCGTTCCCGCCTGTTAAATTCGTTTGTCCCCTTCACCAAGCTTTGCAGTTGACTTTCATAGCTCGAGATCTCCTGTAGCTTGCGATCCATATATATTTTCCATCGAACAGCATCAGGAGAATTGAAGATGGCGTGGTATTGCTGATCAGCAAATATAGCACATTGGCGATAGACATTCGCGCAAGCCGAATCGGATGAATTGGCTCGTTGCTCGACCTCAACTGCAAGTTCAGTCGCTGGATGAAAAAAGTTGGCCATGATATCGGTCGGCTTTTCCAAACAAGCTTCCGAAGTCCAGGAACCCTACGAGACTGCTACATGAGCGGTGTAAAATCACACAGCAAGCCACCTACCAAGCGGGAAAGAAGAAGTGCTTTTTTCTTGTTGGACTCCATATCAATAATTGCGTTTTCGCTGGTTGCATGGTTGATTGCTTCTTTCAGAAACTGTACGGCTAACTTCTGCTCATTTTGGTCCCAAAGAACATTCGCAAATTCCTGAGATACCTCGGGAGTAGGGAACTTCTCCAACCGTTGAGCTTTGATGATTGCGTTTAGGGCAATTTGAAGCTGCTTAGATCCTCGAGCAGCCTGTGAGAGATGAACAAGACATGTTTTTTCGATGTCTACCAAGGTGCGGATGAACGGTGTGAGAAGATTTCCTATCTGCTCACGTTCCTCCCTTTGCCTAACAGAGCGCACCAACGACATGCGTGTTGCCATGATACTCTCCAGATCAGCAAAACTGCACAGAGTCGTCAGTGTTAGAAGCTCGTTCAGATGCTAAATATACAGACTCAAACTCGGCTTCCAGGTGAACAAAGTCAGACCATTCGGAGACGGCAGTATTTTGCTTCTGTAGACGATCTTGAATCGGTCTACTTCTCCACCTGCTTATCTGACCGAGGCACATAAGGTTCTGTGTGACTTCACGAATTTCCATCATATTCTCTGTCCCCAATATACGAAGCCGTTCCATCTCGTCGCGCTGCGCCTGTTGAAGAATCGTGTCAATGGTCTGAGGATTGCGTTCGCGGTATATTGCCCGGAGAGCTCGATAAAGCGATATCCCAGAGTCTGCATCTCTTTTGTCTGGTAGGTCCCAAGTCTCTGTTCGCCATCCTAAGCGATAACTCATGGCATATGATCCCATCTCGGAATCAAATCCAAAGTGTGAATTCTGTAGAGCACCTATAGCAAGATTATTGAAACCGAATGCATGAAAGGCTCGCAAAAGTCCCTCTGTATCGGAAGATTCTGACCTGTCTGCCTCCAAAGCAGCACCATGGAAACGGAATGCCTTCTCCCATTGCTTCTCGTGATGAAAACGTTTGATCAAGAATTCGCGCAAGTCTGGAGTTTGAATCCCATAAAATCCATCAGGTTCGTCGATATGACTGTAGATTTCAAACAAGATATGTTCGGCGTGAAGGCTATCGTTCGTAGACACTTGATATTCCAAGGAAAGCTCCAAAAATAATAGGGCAGTCGTGTAAGCACCGCAGGTAACGGCACTTCTTGCAAGAATTCCATAATCGACGCCGAGCCATTTATCATGGGCCAGAGCATCGGTCGTATTATTTGGTCGAAAATGGCGCAGATGCAAGATAACATCGACGATGCAGCGTAGACATGATACATGCGAGTCATCCGCTTGAAGGATAACACTCATATATTCGGAGAGCTTATTTCGATTCCCAGAAGGTGTGTCGAATGATGCTTTTGTGGATAAGTCACCCTGTAACAAGGTGTGGGTCAAAACTGGCAGCATATCTTCGGCGAGCGTTATATCAGACTGTAAGATGTGAGAGAATTGTGCGTAGAAGGGATTGTCCGAAGCTAGGACATCACAGAGTAGAATCGTGATCATGCTTATCCATTGAGAGAATTCTACCCCTAATTGAATGTCCCAATTTTGCAGTTCTTCGACAGAACGCACCGGTCTGGTTTTAGGCACCACAGGGTATTGCTGAAGATATTCCAGCGGAGCCCGATTCTCGAAAGACCATGCTTGCAAGAATAGTTCTTCGGAAGACACAGACATAAGCGAACGGAGAGTACGGTAAGACATGTTAACTTGGGTAGAAGAAGTGCTATCCAGCATTGCAAGTAGCGACTGCACAATCGATTGCTGTGGTGAAGCGTCACCCAACGCGACCCGCCTCCTCCCGCCACGTCGGTGTCGCCCTCGCACAGATTGTGGATATGATTGTTCTCTGTCAAAACTGGAGATATCGCCGGAATTTTGAATCAAGAGTGAAGCAAAAGCGTCTACATCATCATTTCGTAGGTGTACTTTGGATGGGATGCACTCCTTGAGACGCCAGAAGTCTACTGTTGCGAACCGGATTGTATCGTACTTCTGCTCGATAGATACATCGCGTAGACGCCTCACTAGACGAAATTTATTCGATGTGATTCGATAGTCACTAAGGATGGCTGATAGCTTTTCAGACGTGATATCCTCGTATATGGACATTAACTCCGAAGAAGGCTGGTGTGGCCAAGCTGGTATTGCCTTCAGAACCTGTGACTTGGTTTTTGCAGGCCGACAAAGTTTTAGCGCCTGCTCGTCGATCCATCTAAGGAGATCATTTCCTAGCTCCATGATGGAGGTATCCCGAGTGTTGGCAGCATAATCATAGGCTATGGCGCACACGCTGATCAGGACATCAGGGAAGTGATGATCGATTTCAGTAGTTTGCCTGTATAGACCAAAAGCCCATTCCAAATACGATCGAGCCACTTGTGTTAAGTCGGTCTGCGCCAATAAGGAAGTGGCCTGATGGATAAGGGTATGAAGCAAGACAGAATCCTCGAAACAATCGTGCCAAACAGATACTAGGATAGATATGCCGTTCAGTAAACGTATCTGTTCATTGACCAAAGGTGTGTGCTGAATATCTGCAAATAACTGATGAAGTACGTGAAAGGTGGTGGCTTTCCTATTGTGATTGGCGATCTTGGAGGTTAACCACCGCAAAGCTCGTAGAATAGTGATAGTAGCGAAAGTGGGAAGATTGGGATTATGAACATCAAAATCCCCCAAAGTTCGGTATTGATTCACTTTCTGGAAAACCAGTATGGCCTTGTCCGATTCTCCTGAGCTACGTAAACCTTGTATTATGGCACCATTCGGAGAGAAATCTTGGTCTCCAAGTGTGCGCAAAACGGCAGCGACGATGCTATCAACATTTCGTGTAAGACATTCATCAAATCCACCTAATGCATCCAGAGGTACTCCTTTTGATTGAAGGAGTTCCTCAAGGCTGTGGGATGACCCACCGACTTCCCCTACATCTTCATCCAGCCAGTACACGAGCTGAAAACCAACAAGGTCGCCTAAGCAGGTGCGTGTACCTTCGATGGGAGAATTTTGAACAGCAGCACAATGATTAGCGAAGAGTCTCTGCCCATGGACGATAGCTTCCATATCTGGACCTCCTGCTATCATGTTAGTAGGCGTAAAGGCACGAAACGTAGCTTCAGCACATTCTTTCCTATTCTTGTAACCTAGAAGATGAGGAGGTAATCGCAAAATATCTTGCAGCGCCTGCCTTATCGAATAGGCAATCTGAGAAGCGTACGCTTCAAACAGCTGAGAAGGACACGTCAAGCCAAGCCTTTCAGAAACACCAGAAAGGATAGATTGGATGTGGAGAGCATAATGTGGGCTGTGAAAGGCCGCCTCCAGCAAGTGCCAATATGGCCCACGTCTGACGGCGGAGCTTATAATCATGATGTTGCCCAGCGTCAACATTCGGGTGAGCATATACTCATAGCTAGAAGGGCTAGACATCAGAAAACTTCCATACGGCGAGTTATCAATGCGCACTTTTGGAGATCCTTAGTAAGCCATTCCTTGATCTCCTCGTATATGTGCAGAACATCGCGTCCAGTGACTCTAGCTAAGGCAAAAATATTGGCATTGGACACAGCGACCCGAAAACGTACTCTGATATCCTCATCCGCTCCCAGCATGGGAAGAATACTGGCGGGTAATGAGTCTGTTTCTTCATTTCTGCCCTCGTCTGGTGGGCCCGCCCAGCATAACTGGGAAGGATCTTGAATCATGTAAGTGGTCATGAAACGAGAAACGGCATCGCGCATTCTCCAAGAATGAGCCTTGTTGCTTTGAATCATCCGAGATATCCATGCACATAGATCTCGGACGTGCTCGCCGACTTCTGTTTCCGTGAAGGATGTCTGTAGCCAGACGTGCAGCGTTGAATGAAGAAAATGCACAGCCAATAACTGTAATTTTTCGTTCCGAGAATAACCGTATAGGGGAAGCATGGCGCCAAATTTGTCAAGGATTTGATCAAAAACGTGAACGCCAATGCTCAGCAGCCTACGACGAGCTTGGTTGAAATAAGCGGGACCAAGTAAAAGAAATTTATCTTCAGGACAGTCCAAAATAAGTCCAGTAAGTTCTTTATCTCGAGTTGGCTCCCCTGAAGAAGCTTGAAGGACTGGTGTGACAGCTAGAAATGTCATGCAAAGATCGATGACATATGTACTGCTGCTACTACCATCAACTGGCCGGTCAGTAGAAGAGGATTGGAGAGTCGAAAGCGATGTACGAATTGGTCCAAAGTCATCTTTGTCGTCGATGTCCGTGAGATGGGAAGGGTTTGAATCACTACGGCCCTCATTGACGGAATTACGAAGGACATGTCTCAGTGTGCCCATGACCGTACTCAGGATACTTTGGATCTGCGCCATGCATAAGTACCACAATGTTATGAATACGGAAGAAAGAGTGGCCTCACTTCCATATTTTGCCAAACCACACGTTGAAAATCTCGTCGTTTAGCGAAAACCTGCTTGCTTTGCTCTGTATGCGAATTTAAGGCACTCAATACCTGAGCCTTGATGCCTGTCCCAATGTTGGGAGTCAACATAAAATCCCACTCATCGTCACCGCTATCTTCTTCACCACTGAGAATCAGAGGCTCTAAAGCATGAAGTATCAGAGCTCTTTCTTCGACTGTCCATCTAGTGCTCGTTAGGAAAGGAGCTACCAGTGTAATCACCTTGCCAGCGCACTGTAAGACGCGCCTGTTTGAACGAGTGCCATTCCAAACCAGCAGCGACTCAAATACAATGGCAATTATAGCGATATCGAGGGATTGCCTGGCCTTTTCAGCGGTAGGGTTTGCATTCACCTCCTTGATTAATTCCCATTCTGCGGCGAGAGACTCCAAGAACTTCAACATGGCCGAAGAGACTTTCCGCTCTCGGCTGGTCGGTTGGTCGAGTTCCTTGTCGGTTCCTACGTGATATGCCATTCGAGAGTGAGTAACGTTAAACTCAGGCTCAACTGGGGTTTCGGCAGCCCTCCTGAATCGCGGTAGTCGAGCATATAATAAAAAGTCTTTGATAACCCTCGTTTTCCGTTCGTCCACCATGACGTCGACAACGGAACATTCTGGTAACAGAACACGACACACCAAGTCACTGCGATTCGAACTTCCGCACACATTCTCCAGCAAATTCATAATGTCGCCAACGGTATGCAATGGCATCTGAGACTTCCTATCTCCTTCTCGACTCGAGTGCGCTGGACCCACTCTCCAGTTTTCCAACAGCCAGCTGAGAACTTTCTCCTCCAATTGCATTCGATAAAGCCTTACGTCCTGACTTGCTACGCGCAAGCACCCCGCTAAGAATATGCAAACAGAATCATAAGGAAATGGAGGACCTTGTACGTCAAGATCCTTTGCAAGAGCTTCAATTTCGAGCAAGACGCGATGAGAAGTAAGAAGGCGTTTTGCATGACAGATCAAAGTGTTAGCTGTGTGGCAGGCGGCACGACAGACAACTGGGACATTTGCTCGGCGCATCGCATGAGTCCATATCGGATCCCAAGTTGTTGGACCTCGTGAACTAGCTGGCTGAACAGTCGTACCATGAGACGGTAATGCCCTAGAAAGATAGCTGACTCCATCTGAGTGGGCTATAGCTGCGATGCACATAAAAGCCCAGGATTGGATTTGCGCATTTTCGAACGAAATGAGCTGTAGGAGGACAGTGACAACATCCTCTTGCAGTGAATCGTGCAATCTGCACCAATGGCGGTCTATGAAGAATAATAATATTTGAAGATGGTAAGAGCGGATGTTGAAGGCAGAATTCGAACGTATTGAATGCAACAGGGATGTGATAGGATCTTCGCGCTTTAAGCGTTTGCCATCGACACCAGAACCTGGAGTGCCAGTATGAACAGACTCGGAATGTTGAAACAGCTTAATATATTTGTCATAAGCATAACTACAACATTCGTGATATGGTCACTTACAAGTTGGGCGCAATCTGCCTGAAGTTCAAGGACAGCCCATGCTAATGCTTGATTAGCATCAAAATGCCAGCCGGCACGAAACGTATGAGCAACAAATGCTTCACGTTCACAAATCTCCTCGTCCTCGAAAGCGACAACCTCCAGCCTCAATGCTTCAAGTGAGAGACTCTCGATGCCCCAACGACTCTCCGCTTCACCATTTAAAAGGTGCCAGAGTCTTCCTACTCCATCAGCCCAGCTATAGTCAGAGCCTCTCTTGCTTACGGTCAGAAAGGGAAAGAGGACCCTAAGAACGCCGACGAGGCTCTCCTTCATACGTTTGTTCTTGGTTCCCCATAGGTTTACCAAACCATCCCATGCTCCACGAGTAAATATTTCCACGTCGTTTTTCCGATTTAAAGCCAGGTGGGATAGGACTGCTTGCAGTGCCAAAATGTAATCATGATGTAAAGAAGTGTCTGCAGGATAATAATCAAGAAAGCGGCGCAAGCGAATAAGAATAGACGAAGAAAGATGAGGGTTATTCGAAGACAGTAATGGGGCAGAAGGAGAGCGAAGTAGAATAACTAGTAAAGATGTGCATTCGATCTGTTCGAGAGAAACAACCATTGAACCAGTCGCCTTGGAGTTGAAAGTAGAACGGCTTAAGCTAGGACCAGGCGTTGCGCTTTCTTCTTTTCGTCTCCTTTTTCGTACTTGGGTGCTCGGAGTAGACCGCGACGGAAGATATCCCTCTTCGTCTTCATCGTCTTCATACTCGGGGTCTTGGTACATGGAATCGTCCACCTCCATCTTCTCAGTGCTATCATCGTCTTCATTCTCGTTGATACCCTTTCTGACTGGGTCACCTAAAATGACATTGAAAGCCATTTCTGTGATCTTTAACCAGTTGTCTTCGTCAAGGTGATCCATGTGTGGTGTCCAGCTGAGAGCGGATTTTATCGCCTTCAAGTAGTCTAATGCAACTTGAGTGTAAAGAGAACCTTTATTGACCATGACCTGAAGAAGATGAGCCAGAAGTGCTTTGACCACCTTCTTGTTCAGCAAGTGGACACTTCTCTCAGTCAACCACCGTACGGTAGCTGCAGCATCCCCAAGCCTACGCAAAGCGGTGGCACCTGTTGTTCCGGCCTTTCCAGAAGCAGCTTTCTTCATACATATTGCCTTTTCGTTGATAACCGCAGTGAACAGAGCCTGGAACACAACCAACCATGCGCGACCATCGCCAGATTCGTCGAGGTTAAGGACGGCTTGATCACGACTGAAGACAGTGCGCAAAGCCGAGATTCCATCCTGTCGCTCCTTTATCTTTTCACTTTTGAGCTGCTGTAGAACGGTTTTTAGGTTGTTCATTTGACCATAAGCCAAAAGCTCCACTGGGTTGCGATCATAGTGAACGCCACCTCGTCTAGAACGGCGTATTTGCGCTTGTTTGGACTTTTGCTGTATATAAAAGGCCCTTTTTCGTGTTTTTTATTCTTCGATTCAATCTTTGGCCTCTTTCTGCCCGGACAGTTGCTCATACGCTTCCACTCTGTACCGGTTCTGGTGAAGTGCCTATACGGACGGCCATCCTGTCGTCTAATCAACGATGAGATGGGCAGTTGAGAAGTGCAGATTTTAGATTCGAGGAAGTCTGACATGGTTATATTCTGCCCTACATGTTATCATTTAATAGATTATTACAGAGTTGTATTTGCATACCATTCCAATTCAATTACCGTATCTCTACGTTCTCAGAGTGGATATGCTCTCTTTTCCATTATAAATGTGCGGTTTGAGTTGAATGGCTTGTTGAATTTTGTGCTGTGTTGAGGTTCGAACGCTGGAACTGAGGTAATGCACGTGATCGTCTCGCGTCGTATTGGATAACTTCATATATCTCGACCTGGCATAGTACATGTTACTGACTCCTTGACCGAACAAATTCCTACAGACCGTGGATAGACGTGAGTTTATGGTCTGGTATGGCTGGTGTTATCCGAATGATAGCTTCAATACGCGTGTTAGGTTGCTCAACATTTTTGTTCGTTGCAGGTGTCACTTGGCGCAGTTCTCGTCAAGATCCGCACTCCTCGTTCTCACCAAGATAGCATATTGCTTCTCATTTTATCAAGTCCTCCAGTTCTGCCATGGCCAACTCATCAAAGCAGGCGATGTCAGGTCTTCGAACAATCAAGCGAGATTGGTCCTCTAGCTCACAGCAGTCTACTGAAGAACCTGAGTTTTGGCCTACGCCACCCAGTGCATCAGAAAAGCCCCTCACAGCCAAGGAACAACGCATGAAGGACATACAAGACGCGTTATCCGGGAAGACCACTTTCTCTGAACAACAAACAGCTCAGGCGATGAGCTCTATCCAAAATGCCAATAACAAACGTCCCATACCTGGTCTGCCACAACCTCCAGCCAAGAAACGCCAATTACCTCCAACATGGAAAGAGGACCCTTTATCTAAGGCCACTAACTTTATAACTATGGGCACATCTTCTTCCTCTGGCGCACGAGAAATCCCGTCTGTAACTGTCACCGCCCTGTCCAAATCCAAATCAGCGTCCAAACCAGCAGCAGTGTTCCTCAGTGCAGAGCAGAAACATATACTGGAACTGGTAGAAGAGGGACACAGTGTATTCTATACGGGTAGCGCAGGTACAGAGCGTGTTATGTTACCATCGCCTCCCAAAGTCAGTACTGACGCATCTACCGTCCCTTCTAGGCACTGGCAAGTCAGTACTCCTCCGCGAAATCATCAAGACTATGCAGAAGAGGTACTCAAAATCACCGGATGCGGTAGCCATTACTGCTTCGACTGGTGCGTATTTCTCTGCATTCACTCCACAGTTTTACTAATGCTGTGGTACGATAGGTATCGCAGCATGTAATATTGGTGGCGTCACTATCCACTCCTTTGCTGGAATTGGCCTTGGTGTAGGTAGCGCAGATGATTTGGTCGTTAAGGTGAGAAAAAATAAGAAAGCTATGACGCGATGGCTACGGACCAAAGTGCTCATCATCGACGAAGGTGATCGCTCGTTTTATGGAGCTTCTACAAGTAAAGTATTGACATACTGTATAAAATCAGTTTCCATGGTTGATGGTGACCTCTTTGACAAACTCGCAAAGATTGGATGCATGATAAAGAAATCTGTAGAACCTTTTGGCGGCACGCAGGTTCATCCTTCTAATTCTCGTGTACTAGTTCATTCTGACTTACGAACTAGGTTATCGTTACTGGAGACTTCTTCCAGCTCCCTCCTGTCATGAAAGGTGAAGGGCAGGTAAAGTTCGCATTTGAGGCGCAGTACTGGGGCCAGACCATCAAAAGGACATTTAACCTCACCAAAGTCTTCAGACAAAAAGACCAAGGTATGTAGTAGGTACCTTTTACATATGCATACTGATATTGCTTGCAGATTTTGTTGATATGCTCAATGAAATGCGTTTTGGCAAGCTATCTTTTGCGTCTGTTCACACATTTAAATCGCTCTCACGACAGCTGACATACGATGATGGACTCACTGCAACCGAACTGTAAGTTCGACATTGCCTTCTTTACCATGGACGACTCATTCCTGTTCTGTCCAGGTTTCCTCGCCGCGAAGACGTCGAGCGCTCTAACCGAACCCGCATCTCCCAACTGGTGGGGGAAGCGAAAAAATACGAATCCACAGACAGCGGAACGGTGGATCCTGCACAGCGCGAAAAAATGCTTGCGAATTTCATGGCTCCAAAGACGTTAGAATTGCGCATTGGCGCACAAGTGATGCTGATCAAGAATGTAGACGAAACATTGGTAAACGGTAGTATTGGCAAAGTCATAGCCTTCGCCGACCCAGCTTTCTATGGAACCAATATGGCTAGTGATGCCAAGAAACCTGCAAAAGTCGGCCAGGCATCTATGGACATGCCTGTCGTGGCGTTTTCAGTGCCCAATCGCGAGGCAAGGGAGACGATCATTACACCTGAAGTATGGAAAGTGGAACTGCCGAGTGGAGAGATCCAAGTAGCTCGAACACAGGCAAGTCTCATCACGCTGAATTTCATTCGACTCATTGTTACCTATTATCAGTTGCCTCTTATACTTTCGTGGGCTATGTCAATTCACAAGTCCCAAGGTCAAACTCTGGAGCGTGTCAAGGTCGATCTAGGCAGGGTTTTCGAGAAAGGTCGGTCGCTTCCGTGAAACTGCCGACCATTTTAGTTAACTTTCAACGATAGGACAAGCGTATGTAGCTCTTTCCCGTGCGACTTCTTTGAAGGGACTCCAAGTCCTTAACTTTGATCCGATGAAGGTATGTTACAGAAACAAAACATTACGATGACGTGCTCATCGGTTCTAATTCCTTCTCTCTTTCTATCATCACCATAACAGGTTAGGGCGCATCCAACCGTTGTTGAATGGAGTAGAACACTCGAGATTCTTACTTCCGAGTCCGATAAAACTGAGTGATAGATCCACTCAAATTCTTGACAGTATCTCAATATATACTGGATGGAGCACTGTATAACATCGATACCCGACGCATTCGTGATGTCGATTCAGCTAATAGTATTGTATGCAAGCATAGTAGTATCACAGTATTGGTCCCCAATCACATTGACATTATTGCTGTTATCGTTATGTGGCTAGAGGGTTTATATTATTTTTGACCGATCTCAGGAAGATGACGCGGGTGATAAATCTACGTGGTATACAATGTCCGCTGAGATGTGATGAATGTACAGGTATGATGTTATGAAGGTGGAATGAGAGGCGGACCATGATTGTGACAAAACTGAAGGAGTAAATAAAACGAAACAAAAAATAAAGGAAATGAGAAATAGGTTTATGTTAGATAGAAGCAATGACACCAGGATGAAAATCTAGGATCCGCGCAGCTATGCACCAAGCCGCGCGCCATGGTATTTTACCTTCTCAAAAATTCGAAATAGGCTGATGACAAGGTTGATGCAGTACATGATGAGTCCAACACCCACCAAGCAGATCAAAGCCAGTTGATTGTCGCAGATGGTATCACCGACACCCCCTTCACCACGTCCCAGATCTGTCAAAGTGACATTGGGAAGCTGAGGCCGTGGAAGTTCGTTATACCATGAAGTGCTCGAGAATGATGCACAGGGAATGAGGGAAGTGAAGAAGTTGTCGAAACATAGTGAAAGGGCTGCAGACCAAGCGCAGATGAAAAAAACTTCCAGAAGAGTGTGGGCGAGTTTGCCAGAAGTGCGCCAGAGCCCAACAGGTCGACCAAAATACTCGAGCTACCCGAATAGTGAGCAAAATAACCACACAAAGATAAGATAATACGACCCACATATATGGCGACCATGACATGAACGAGAGTAAGGGGTGCGAAAATAATCACAAGCGTCCTAGGAAGTCAAAAGATTTAGTGCTATCATATCACTAAAATGACTGCTGAACGCACGGAGAACTCCCAACTATTCCCATCACATCTGAGCGTAGTTCCCATATGCGTATTCGGATCGCGATAGCCAAAGCCGCAGTAGTGAACGTGACGTTGATGAATCGAAATAACTACTGAAATGAACAATTGTTTGGGAATGTCGAAGCACAAATATCAACGTACCAAGGGAACATAGATATTAGTCAAAATGAATGCTCTCAGCCTCTTTTTGCCAGATCCGCCGTAACCAGATCTGCCACTGGAGTTATCGCTATGCTTCTCTTCTTCGTTGTTATATATATGAGAGTAATTTCCTCGGCCAGTAACAGGCTGCCAAGGGGTGTCCCAACCAGGGGTCATGCTGTGTGACATCGTGAACGGCACCGAAGGTGGTGGTATCGTTGGGTTGCGACTTGATTCCTCAACCCCCAGGGGGCGTGGTAAGGTGGTATTAAGTTTTAATTTCTCTGTTGGCAAAATTCCCGCAACATCCTGCGATCGTCGATTGCCAGGCAAAAGCCACGATGACCGGTCTACTTTCTTCTCAGGCATAGAAGGTCTCCGGCCAAAGTCGTTTTCTGAAAACACATGAGGCGCGTCCATGTTGGAATGGCGAGGTCTAGCGAATGTCCACCAATGTGAATCGTGGGCAGGACCCGTTGCACCGACAGACGAAGAATTCAGGGAGCCAACGTCGGAAGGACGAGAATCAGCCGTGTGCCGTGAATTGCCCAACTCGTCTGCGTTGTCCGTCGGCGAGGGTGGTTCGTCTCGAGCCCATGCTAACAAGAAATGGCACTATCAGCCACCATTCATCACTTGAACTACAATTTGAATCAAGCGCACGAGGGGATGTAACCACTGTCCTGGCTATCGAGGGCAAGGTCAGTGCATGACTGTGAACACTTTGACTGGCACTGAGGCTGGTGGTTGACATTGAGGGTATCGACAAAGCCTTGCCGCCGCTCCCTGACTCGTTAGCCATATGGAAGAAGAAAGCAAAGACCAGCCGCAAACGACCGCAGCGCTATGTGAGTAGAGTGAGGAGCTGGTTCAGTTAAGTATAGCTGGGATTATTACAAGCGGATCGAAGCGATGCGGTCACGCTCTTGCTTTTTCTGAAATGGCCATTCAACTTGAAGCAGTGGTGTACGTAAGTACCGCAGCATCCGCAATGCCTTTTTACAGTACTTATGGGATTACTGTAAAACAAGACACAGCGTTTGATTATGATAGTACAGCAAAATATAGGAAAGCAATGATGAACATTCAAAAGTTTGTATAAAAAGGTAGTATCAGTGTGAAAGATGATGCCGAATACGAACAAGTAGTGAAGATCTTTGACATGCGGTGTGGTATACAGTCAGATCTCGTTTTAGGAAAGTAGAAAGTCCAGAAGAATGCGCACTAGAAATACAAGTGCCAGTCCATATAATCATCATCATCATCGTCCCATGTGGGATAATGATAGTATGGATCTGATTCTTCCTCGTCTTCCTCCTCCTCTTCATCTTCATAGCCCTGCTCAATTCCATCCCACACCACATCCACCACGACTTCTTCCAGTCTTTCAACATCATCTGAGTAGATGTGACGACAATCTTGTATGCTCAGGTTCCTTATCTCCGCTCTTCGCTCCGCACGATCCATCATACAATCCAACAAGTCATCGAGCAGGCTACTCCCATCCTCGAAGTCCACGCCTTCTAACACGACTTCACAGACTGTTGGCAAAAAGACTTCCCCAAATTTTTTGGGGCGAAGCAGACGACCACTTCCAGGAACCTCTGTGACGAGTGCATCGATAAGACCTTCTATTGGAATATTGCTGCTGCGAATCGTACGCAGACGCGTAAGCCCACCAAAGGCGTCAAGCCAGAAAGACTTTGGAACATAGGAGAAATTATGGACATGCAATGTACGCACATATGCAAGCGGGAGCACGTTGCACATGGACTGGACAACACCCATCGGCTTGTCCGACCCAAAAGATGACCATGACATGTCGATTTCGATCTGCGGTGACGTGGGCTCATCTTGACTAAACATGGCCGCTGTCCTGATATTGGAAAATACATGCAGTGGAGGCTCAGGCGAATGCCATCCTTGAAATCGTACACTATTAGGGGCAAGGTTGTGGACTTGCAAGTGGCGCAAAGGTTTCTCGCCAGAGGTTCCACTACCGCCACAGTTAGCTACGACAGCCGGGAAAATGCTTGAAAAGTCGAAGCTAGCTGCCGGGCCCGCTTTGCAAGCGAGCTTGAGGGTAGCAGTAGATGGATAAGACATGTGTGCAAGAACGTGCGCACAGTCGATGACACGACCGCTGAGGCGGATAGATCGTAGGGCCTGGAGAGGAACAACACAACCAATAGTCGGAAGTTTATGAACAGATTCAGGAAGTGTAGGTAGCGACTCTTCTAACGTCAGTACCTGTAAACTAGGCATTCGTTCAAGTGCGGAGAGGACTTGGGACATGGTGGGACGAGCGGATGCCGCCGTGTTGCGAATATCGAGATGAGTGAGGCCACTGAGGAGTGCCGAATTCCACGAAATATCACATTTGAAGAGTTCCAGTCGGCGTAAGCGAGGGGTCTGTCCCTCGAACATAACTTCTGGCAATGGGTACCCGCTCTCCGTGGTATAGTGACTATACCGGGAATTGGACAAGGACAGTGATTCGAGCAGAGGAGCTGGACCAGAAACCTGGTTCAACAATTTTTCCATCATTTCCTTTGATGCGATAAGTTTGAAATCTTTCACACGAATACTGTGTTTCAGTGCTTGTTGCAGTGCTTCAACGACCTTTGGTGTCATGTATGTTAAGTCGACTTTGACTACAAGGGGAGCCATTTTGGAGCGAATAAGCATTTCATCTGTCCACCGTGGATATGAGAACACGAGGTTGCTCCAAAGACTCGGACAGCCAAGTGCGACGGCGCGCCAGTGGCGGCAGACGTGTCCAACTTTGATAAAGCGAATGCTGAAAGTTGCATGCTCGTGCAGGTGTGGCGAATGAGCGCAATGCGTGAATATGGTTGAAAGGAGCTCTGGAGGTAGGCGAGAAATAGGAGCAAGCGAATTGCGACGGGTGCGGAGGACGCGCATGGACTCGTCAAGAGCAATCAGTTCTTTGTCTATCTGAGAACGTGCTTGGGAGATGACAGAGGGAGAGCTGAGAGAAGTAATGTACCCAAAAGAGAAGGATTGAGCAGATCCTATGGGATTAGCTAGAGGGTTAGGGGATGGATGAGACATCCTGGCTGGGTGTGCATAAAATTTCGACTCGGACGATTCAAACTCTCAAGATAGCTGGGTGTCAATTGGTCTGATTGAGCCTCTTCCACCATAGGAAAGTAAATAGAATGCACACCTGAGCGATCAAAAGGTAAATTTAAAATCAACTAAAACGCGAGGACAATCTCGGGACCGTCTCTTTATCGACAATAAAAGAATTAGCGTAAGGAGGTCTCAAATAGTAACAAGAGAAATAGGTCGATCTGGATTATCTGTGCAGCAACGATTCAACGTATAGCCTTTAACACCACGCAAGACGACGCACATTGTATGTTTTCGATGTGAGTGAAAGTTATAACAAGCGTGAGAATCTTGGACAGGAGCGGAAGTGGCAGTTTATTCCGAGCCACGACAACGATCGACTCGGCTCAGTCTGTATCTTAACTGAAACTTTTTCTTCACCAAATCTACAGCACAATGGACTCTTCAGAGCTATATCACGTCAAACAGCAGTTCATCCTTGGTATGAATATTCAAATAAATTTCTTATTGTAGACTTGAAAGAAGCACTAATATTACTGTTTCTTCTAGGCGCGTATAAATCACTTGCTGAGCTTTCTCTTCCCTCGCCTTCTGCCGCAGATTATATCCCGACACTACTGTACAAAGCCCGTGCCAGCATCGCTCTAGACGACCCACAATCCGCTCTTGCGCTAATACCGTCTGATACAGAGAATGTCGCACTGAAAGCCGTGACAGCTTTGGCTCAATATGTCGACGCTGGTGGGGAAGAGGCTCTGGAAGCGTTGAGAGATCTGTGTGTTGAAATAGAAGCTGATGAAGAAAGCGAGGAAAGAGAGAAAGATATCGTACGAGTTGTTGCTGCCACTGCTTTTGCTAGGGTCGGTGAGGTAGAGGAGGCGTTAGAGACACTGAGCGGCGCATCAGAGAATCTGGAAGCGTGAGTAATGGAGCAACGACTCGCCCATTTTCTCCTTTCCAGATTTGTCAACATACTCACCATGCACGCTTCAATAGCATCGCCGCAACCGTTCTCATATATCTTTCAATTTCTCGTCCTGATCTCGCTCAAAAAGCTTTCAACGCTGCGAAAAAGTGGGCCGAGGATGATCTTCTCTTGCAGCTCATTGAATCATCTATCGGATTGAGAACCGGGACGAACGCGTACGCAGATTCAGCAGCGTTTTATACGGAACAGCTTGGCAACCCGTCCGTATCTTCGGCCCATCTCCTTACCGCGCGTGGCATCGTGCGCATACTAAGGGGTGAGGTGGTTGAGGCAAGGAGCGATTTGGAGGAAGCACTGGAGCAGACTAAAGGCAGCGGGACGCAGGGAGAAGTGCTTGCAGGTCTAGTCGTCGCCCTTGGCCTTGGAGCAGGCAAGACAGCCGAGACAGAGGAAATATGGGGGTGAGTATCCAGCATTTATGCGATGTGTCACGCCTGACGCCTCCGGAATGTAGACGACTGAACGCAGAATATTCATCTCATCCTCTCGTAGCAGACGTGGCTTTGAAAGCTAGTTCATTCGACGATTTTGCAGCGAAGTTCGAGGTACCTCCCCCAGCTGTCGGTACCAGAGCATGATTTCAGTCTTTGCTATCTTGAGATGTGGTTACAATTTCACATCTATTCTAGTGCAGAGTGCAGATCTCAGACGTACTGAGAGACTACAGCCTGTATGCACGACTGCTACTCGGCCGATTCACGAAAAACCATGGGCTCATTGTAGAGTAATATATTTGATACATGTTATCACTATTTTATTGACTTCTGCCCTGTTTCCTATTACTCTATCTCAAACTGGGAGAAAGTGAGAGCATAGGTGATACTTGCAAGAAGTCAAATCACGTGATTATGAACAGACGCGTCACGTCGTAAATAAAGTGTCGTGACCGCGTGACTTTTGGGTATCTTCTCTTGACCACGGGTAAATTCCGTACTGGGAGCTCAATCTGCGAGATCCTTATTCACCGCATTTGATGTCAGTGGTCCATATGGATCCTATGAAGGGACCTTCGGGCTTGCACTAGCGCCGTCTGCATATCTATTTCCCGGTGATATGTCTTCCCCAATGGCGGTGTAGAAGATACGCGGTGACCGAACTGTATGCATATGGTGCTATGAAGACTGCTATAGCGTGCGTCACGACGAGTACAATAAGCATTTTGACCAAAGATTGAATAGCATCCACCTTCAGTCATTGCCAGGAATAGGCTGTCTTTTACACACTGCTGCGGAGACGATGTCGAGAGATGGCTCATGACTGGAATGCTGCCGAACACATTACCAGAGCAACGAATAGGGAACGTAATGAGCCGTCTTCAGACGTCCGGGTGATCCAGATTTTCAGGCTACTTACGACTTCTGTGAGCTTTGCGTCAAATGTGGTTGTGGTATCACTCGGGCTGTATGAATGAATTCGACGCCCGCCGCGGTGCGATAACCAACAGACGCTGAGCTCAGTTCAGTCCTGTAATGGTCTGCGGGGTCTTCCGTTCGAAGATCAAAAAGGTTCCGCGGGGTGTGGATTAAGGAATTTGAAGAACTCTAGAACTCATCGGAAGAATCGCTGCGATTTGACAGATTTAATTATGGAGACATGATATATTAACTTAGGGTGTGATGCTTTTGCTAACCGCGACTATCGGAGCCGTGCAGACGATACGACGTACCACAAGTCTACAAGGACGTTGCAGTCGTCGTTGGAGACAGTGGCGAACACGTGTTGGGCGCTGAGCATTGCATTAGCGTTGAGCGGCAGTGGAAGTATAGTTCAAGCATGGGCGTTAGATGCGGCGTGAAACCCATCAAAAAAGAACATGATTACCTAGATTTTATAACAAAGATGTTGCTCGGGTCCTTCTTCGGATTAGAACCAGTTTCGGGTTGTCCTCAATCTGTCAACCCGGTTCGTCCTGGCTCGCTTACTGGTCCTTTATTTAGCTGTCGTCCTTTTCCCAACCATCCTCCGACTCTCTCTCCCACTCTGAGCAGCCAGCACCATGTCTACCCTTGGCAGATCTCTTTCGTCCCGTCTCGTTCCAAAATCGACGTCCGCGTCGGTGAGCATTCCTCGTAACTTGCTATATGCGCGCTTTCGTTCTAAACCATCCTAGCAGCAGGCAAATGGCTCGGCCTCTTCAGAGTTTGCGCCAGCTCCCTCTCACACCGGCGAGACCAAAGTAATTGCGCAGATAAAAGACTATGTATGCATACATACACATTACACTTGGGCAAGACAGTCTAACCTAACTGTTCAATTCTCAGATGAAGCGCAGTGTCGAGGACATTAGTGAATCCACTGTTGTATGTTTCTTCAACTTTCCTTCTCTGTCACGCGTTTATTCATTCTCGTCGCGTAGGCTGCTATCCTAAATGCGGCTGAGCACTCGAGCGCTATCGACGATCGCAAATTACTGGTGTGTACTATTGCATTATGTGGCGAAAACTTCTCACAAGTCTTTGTTAGCTTGAGCACATTCTCAGTTTCATGGCATTCCATCCTCCTGGTAAAATTCATGACTTGATCCAGACCTTCGTCATCAAGTTTTGTAAGTTTTCATAATGATCGTCGAAATATTTGTATGAATAACACGCATTCATTTAGTGTACGACGACCTTCCACATCCTCCTGCAACCTATCTCGGTGACAAACTTGCCTTCCGTACTGCTGATGGATCATATAACAACCCAGACGTTCCTGATCTGGGGAAAGCTGGAACTCCCTACTCGCGCAGTGTTCAACAGGCTAACCCACAACCTCGCAACCAGATGCCGGACGCTGGTCTTGTGTTTGACACACTCCTCAAACGCAAAGAGGTATATGAAATCTTCTGATTTACGTGAGATCACTAAAATTAACGCGGATCTAGTTCGTAAAACACCCGGCAGGCCTGTCAAGCATGATGTTCTCCTTTGCAGCTCTTGTCATACACAGCGTGTTCCGTACCGACCATAAGAACCCCAGCATCAATTTGACCTCTTCGTACGTTGACCTCGCGCCTTTGTATGGCAACGACCAAGAAACGCAGGACAAACTGCGTCTTCGAGATGGACGTGGATTACTCTATCCTGATGTGTTTGCCGAAGACCGTTTGTTGCTTCTTCCCCCCGCAGTGTGCGTTATTCTTGTTCTTTTCAGCCGAAATCACAATGTAAGCTTTTTTCTATTCTCTATCGTTATTGAGGAAGTTTACAATACCCATATGCAAAATTAGTACATTGCAAAGCGCCTGCTCGAGATCAACGAACGTGGCAAATGGTTCGACCCCTCAACTCTCACTGAAGCGAAGCGTGTAAAACAGGAAGAAGAAATCTTCCAGATTTCACGACTGATTAACTGTGCTTGGTTCGCCTCTGTAGTGTTTTCCGATTACTTCAGCGCTATCTTGGGACTCGTTCGTTATGGAAACAGCTGGAGCTTGTCGCCCTTTGGAGTGAGTTGAATCTGAGAAATGTTGGACAAAAATTGAGTGCTAACTATCATTGTGAATGCACAGGAAATCCGGAACAACGATCATTCTCTATTCGAGCGAGGGCGTGGAAACGCCTGCAGTGTTGAGGTATGCTACTCATAATTTAGGTCTTGAATGCGGACTGACATTATTGACAATTGGCAGTTCAATTGCTTATACCGGTGGCATGCTACGACATCCGTGCAGGATGAGAAGTGGATCCAGGCGCAATTTGAGAAAGTCTTCCCTGGGAAGAAGCCTGAAGATGTATGTGAATTCAATTGTATTTCGTGTTATACGACTAAAGCTCATCTTGTTATGGCACCTACTAACTTCCAGATCACGGTCAAGGATTTCTATTCCACTGAAGCGGTACTCGAAGCGTCTGAGCCCGACATTCAACACTGGACATTTGATGAGTATGTAACGTTGGTTATTTATTTAATCCGGTCCCTTTACTAAGGTTTCAATAGTCTGAAACGTCAGGAAGATGGATCGTTTAAAGACTCGGACCTTGCGAAAATTTTACATGATGCGTATGTCTTACTCTCGTTATCCTTGGTTAGAACCCTCACAGCGATTTAGGACCGAGCATCCTGCTGCCGCTTTTGGTGCACGGAGCACTCCTCATGTCATGCGTCTGCACGAGGTTATGGGTATCGAGGCTAACCGTTCATGGGGTGTCTGCTCCTTGAATGACTTCAGAAAGGTAAGAGATTCTTCATCGTTGTCAGTTACCTTACTAATGTATCATATCAGTTCTTAGGCTTGAAGAGTAAGTTGTTTGGGTATACAACATGAGCTGTTAGACATTAATTGCACTTTGTAGCATACGAGAGTTTCCTGGAATGGAACCCCGACAAAGAGATCGCCGATGCCGCTGAAAAATTGTACGGCCATATTGACAACTTGGAACTATACGTTGGCCTGCAGGCTGAACAAACCAAGCCTGTCGTCGAAGGTGCTGGGCTTTGCCCCGGTAAGTTATGATTTTGCTCGTCTTACGAGACTCTTTTATTGAGCCACATTGTGCGCAGGATACACCATTTCACGTGCCATTTTGAGTGATGCCATTGCTCTGACCCGTGGTGACCGCTTCTACACGCAAGACTACACGCCTTTCAACATGACTGCTTGGGGCTTCGCTGATTGCCAACGTGACCCCAACGGGTTTGGCTTCGGCTCGACTCTTGGTCGTCTCATCTTGCGCACTCTGCCCAATGACTTCACGAAGAACAGTGTGTACACTTGGTTCCCACTGATGACTCCAGATGCGATGGAGCCACATTTGAAAAAATTGAAGTTGCTTGATCAGTACGATCTCAAGAGGCCCGGCGTTACCCCGGGCACTAGCGCTGTCGAAGGATATGTGGAAGTTGGAGAAATATTGAAGGATACCAGCAAATTCGGCACAGAGTATGCAGCCCGAGCAAAGGAGGTTATCAAAGGCAAAGGGTGAACCATAAAATGTTTCCTTGCTGCTTCAGTTATGCTCATCACTCGCGATAGATTCTACACTGCTTCTGAGAATGGTGAAGAAGAGAAGAAGGAATTCCTCGGCGCGCTTGCCCCATCAACGGAGGCTGCCGACGCCATTGGTAAATACTTCTTCAAAAAGACGACCGAGCTTATCAAGGTGAAATCGTTCTCACTCGTTGGCGAGAATGTCCGCGGTGTCAATGTCGTGCGCGATGTACTTAAGTACGTCCCCATTTACTGGGCAGCGACAGAGGTGGTGAGTAAGCTACAATGATTGATTGCCTTGATGCTGATGAGAAATGGCTTGTAGGCTGGTATTCGCATTAAATCGAAAGAGAGCCCCCACGGTGCCTTTGGCGAGCAAGAGCTTTATGATATGCTTGGTGAAATTTATACGTATGTGGATCGCACTTCGTATCTTTCAGTGCTTGAACCATTGCCTCCATCTCCATAGATACGTTTTCCTGGACGTCGAACAATCCAAGTATATGGTACTCCAAGAAGCTGCTAAAGGCCATGTTGAGAAGCTCCTTCACCACATCAAGGGTGCTCTTGGTGGCCCTGTGAGTAACAGGGTATGTTTTTTAAAATCTATCAGAATGTATGCTGTGCTAAATTGTATGGTATAATGTCGTACAGATTTCCATTGCTGGACTTGTAGGAACTATCTCGGGCATGTTTGGTAGCAAGTCGAAGAAGGATGGCAGAGTTGATTTCCTGAAGCGCCTTTTCGAACTTGGCCATTCAACAGACCAGTTGGCCAATTCAATTCTCGCTGTCATGGTTCACAGTGTTGAGATATCATTGGGTTCGCAAGGATATTTTACATATTTCGCACACATTTAACTGATCAAATACCGAACAGGACTAACAAACATCGTCAACATCCTTTTGGATGCGGACCAGACTGCATCATTCCGCTCTCAGGCCGAAGATGCCGATGCGAAAGAATTTGCTGGACTTGAGGCTTATGTGTTGGAGGCACTGAGTACAACATAAATTCCTTGGTAGTTTGCGTGTAAACTGACGACTTTTGCAGGACTGGACCCTCCTTTCCGGGGTGTCTACCGTGAGTTGTGTGTTCGATTGATTGCTTGGCAAGTTGGTCTGACTCCCTCCTGCAGGCGTTGCCAAAGAAAACACGACTGTTGGGTCATTAACTGTCACCAAGGGCGAGCGTCTCTTCTTGAACATCGCCGATGCCAACTTGAATGTCCGTCTTCCGTTCACTTTTCTTGATATAGTTTGTAATGATGTTTTCTTGCAGGACGATGTTTTCCCCAACCCGACAACTTTCGATGCCTCCCGCAGTCCGAAGGAGAAGTACTTACGAGGCGATGGTGCTTTCAAGTATGTACAGCCTTTCTCGACCTTTATGTTACGTGAACTCACTGTCACGGGGCGATATGACAGATGTCTTGGCCGTGAAATTCTTTCCCGAGCTATTGTACAGGTTCTTCTCGGGATCTTGTCGTTTGACAACGTCCGTCGTGGGCCCGGTCAGTCGGGCAAACTCACGAGGTAGGGGCAACAGGTTGTGCTGCTATAATTGTCACTGACCCTGACTCTTGCGACAGATTCAAAGATGCTGCCTTCCCTGATCTGCAATTCGCTTACCTTAATGACCAGCAATTTGCTACTGCATGGCCTTCGTCTTTGATCATCCAGGTAAGACGGCAGTGCCTATTACTCAATATGCCATCTGACACTGTTTACGATGTTTAGTACGATGTTCCCGGAGCATCATCTTAAGCGAGCAATGTCACTTCTTGTCATGTTGGTATTCGGTCGTTCAAAAATAGCCTGCACTGTTAAACTTCACTATACTTTAGCATTATTTGTTCATACATTACCATTTAGTACTCGTAAGATACCACATTGTCCCAGCAATACGATTGCTCTGTCTGGAAACTTGTTTGTCCTCAAGTAAGGTGAAGCGACTTGTACGTTCTGCGCGATAAGATAGTTTGTTGTTTGCACAAACGTTACTCTGGCTGCGGTGTCGTGAGTTTGGCTTACTATGAGCCGATCCGCCGGCATTCGACCTCTTGCGGCCGCGCACTGACGCGGACACGGAGTCCACGATGCTAATAAGTTACCTTGCTTTTCCATGCTGTCCAGACAGACATCTCCCGCGTTTCCCTCCGCAGCTTTATAATAACCCTCACCCTCTCCTGTGCCCTCCTTATCCTTTATCTGCTACATTCTCTCGTGGAAGGCCTGGTGTGGAGTCTAGGCATATAATTCAAGTAATATCAAGTGGTCCCAATCAGTCCCAGCTTCCTGTCTTCACTACATCATTCTTATCGATCCTCTGAGCGCTCATGTCCAACGTCCATCTCCTTGTGCTCATCCATGGCATGTGGGGTAACCCTAGCCACTTGGCACAACTAAACCGTATGATCCAGGAAGTCAAGGGTTCGAATGATCAAGATGGCGTGGAACTCGTCGTTCTAGCCGCCGAGACCAATAAAGACGAGTCCACCTATGATGGGGTTGACTGGGGAGGTGAAAGAGTCGCCAAAGAAGTGAGTGGCTCCTGGTTGCTCTCTTGCCTCAAACCTTGCTTAGTGGACAACCAATATAGATCTTGGAGGAAATCGAGAAGCAACGGGAAAAGGGGAAGACTGTCACTCGCTTTTCTGTTACAGGATACAGTCTAGGTGGTCTTGTAGCACGCTATGTGATTGGGTTAGTAATTTTCATTCCCTCACCGACAGGTATTTACTGAAACATGTATGTTCTTAGTATTCTTCACCAGCGTGGTTTCTTCGAATCCGTCACCCCTGTTAACTTCAATACCCTCGCTACGCCTCATATCGGCATCCCTAGATATGCCTCTACATTCTCTTCCATCTTCGCTTACTTGGGACCCAAATTGCTTTCGAGGTCCGGCGAACAGTTCTTTTGTGTAGACAAGTGGTCCGTCAAGGGTCGATCACTTATAGAAGTCATGGCAGACCCAGGTTAGTAGCAAGATGCATTTCACGAAACGCTATTAACTTTCCCGACTGTGGTAGAACGTATATTTTATCAAGCTTTGCTATTGTTTCCAAACATTAGAATTTATGCGAACGGGTGGGTTTTCAAATTTGTTGTACTCGAAAACGTTAATCATAATTCGATCATAACCAGTATAAACGACATGACCGTACCTTATGTGACCGCTTGTATTGACGCTGAAGACCCTTTCGCGGATTACGAGGAGAATGGCATTCAAGTGTAACTATTTTCCCTCATGACTACTTGTCCCAGTTTTTGATTCATTTCAATTCCACCAGAGAGTGTCACGAGGAATACAAATATCTAATCAAATCATATGCTATGTCAGAGTCACCAATGGAAATAATACGCACCCCATCTCCCTCTGTATTCTCCGCCGAGTGGTTCTCTAATATCAAGAACAGTCGCCCTCCTTTACCACCATTTCTCCAACGTGGATTCCCATTGAATATTGTGCGATAATGTACTTTCCCTTTATCATTGTTTGCTAATGAGATGTGTGTAGTTCCTATACGCGCTCCTACCGTTGCTCCTTCCTACATTCATTTCGCTGGTCCTTGTTCGACTTTCACTGGCTGCCCATCATTCGCGTAGTCGCCTTAAATCACTCGAGGCGAACTCTTTGAATGGCGAGACGCTCATCCACATAATTGCAAAGTTGGAAAGCCAGTTAGAAGGCGCCGTAGCTGAATTTTACGATGATCCCCAAACTAGCCCTCGCGGACCTTCACCTGCGCTAGAAACCCCAGAGTCCGACGGTACCGAAAAGAAAAAGGAACGGAAAAGATCGAAGGCGAAATCGAAATCGAAATCGCACCTACCCATCTTCACGCCCGTCCAACTTCGCTGTATCGAACATCTTAACAAGATCCCTCAACTGAAGAAAGAGAGAACGTTCTTCAAAGACGTTCGCAATTCGCATGCTATCATAGTTTGTCGAGATATAAACATCAAGCAACACCTAGAAGGAGAGGGTATATTGAAACACTGGGCGGACAATTTCGTTTTGTAATGTTTTTATTTATTATATGGATGTTGTTTTGGGCCTGGGGGGATTGGAATCTCACTGCTGGCGTAGTCTGTCTTTCTTGTTTATCTAATTCAATATATGACAGCCCATGCTGTCCTCGTTTTACCCTGGTCAATCACTTATCCAGGTATAGAATTCCTTGGAGATTTTGACCCCGAAGAACCGGCAAAGACGTGAGATGAGAATGGGATATTGTCAATCTCCGAGCGAGCCTTTGACCTTTGATGGCCCTTTCACACCGGTGGCTCGACACTGAACACTAATCCCGCTCCTTTGTCTGTGCTGCCAATACATAATCCTTCGAGATGCAAAGGTACTACAAAAATCTCTCCGTGGAACTTGAAGTTCACTTTCCTGCAAGGTGTTACAGAGACCTGGTGTCTCTGATATATATTCACCCTTCCCCAACACTCTCTACTATAAATCCCATCACCCCGGTATACATATGGTTCGAACAGGCACACCACGACTGAATCATGCCCGGGCCGCTCAGACTCCGGGTCGCGCTCTTTCGAGACGATCACGACTTGGAAGTATCGAGCTTCCAAACCGTCCAACAAATGGGCAACGTGAGTACTGCATCTGCGGTTGTTACTTTGACAATACTTATGTATGTTTCCTTTGTATAGGATTCATAGCCACTCTAGCACAACTCTTCTCAACTTCAACTTCTGCAAACGAATCCCAGTCCAGATCCAACCAAAACCAGGATGCGGAGCCCACCTCCTTTACTTATGAGCAGTTCATGGATCAGCGTAAGCCATGACTACCAGTTCATATAATTATGCCACTATTCTCAAAGGCAATTTATGGTAGTTTCTACGTGTCCTGTTGCCTTAGGAAAGACCACAGGACGTGTCATGAAATATGTCTTGCATACTGCGGTACTCTAAGCTTCAATCACTGTGTGGCTGCAGCGTATTCTAATCTCACTATAGCAGGAGCGTTTAGGTTTCATTAAAGTGGTGTATTCGGATATGGAAATAAGCAAAATAACCGTTCTACAACCAACCCTAACAACGTAAGGGTTGTTTTCTACTGCTGATTCTGGACTGTGATTAAACCAACGATACTTATATAGCCTCAAGACATTCATTTCCAAGGTCGGCAGTTATGGAATCGATGGCATGTCGCCACGGACAAAATATCGCGCCTATTGTGGCCTCGCTCGAAGGCACTTCGGAGCCATTCCCGCGGTGACCAAAGAAGAGGTCTGCAATTCGCCGTTGTCTTTCTCCTCGCAGTTTTTCAAGGTCTTGAACTTCACAGCTCTACTCTGAAAATATTCGTTTACGAAGGGAACTTGAAGGAATCAGAGCTAACCATGATGCTGGACGATTCGAAGAACTTGCTTCTATTGCCGATTCTGGTCTTGACTCTGATGCCCCCATGGATCTTGAAGAAGAAGATCCGGCCATTGTTTTAGACGATATGTGAGTTTTTGTGTCAATTTCCTTGCAGGCAAATCGTCAGGGTTCGACTCAGATAATGTTGCAGGAACGAAGACGACGCCGAGAATGAACATGAGCTTGGTATCGAAGCAGAGGTTGCAGATCCCAATATCGCATCTCCTATTAAGAGAACGGGTTCAGCCATTTTTTCTGTTGCCGCGTACCCTACCCCCTCGTCTGCCCCTCGCAACCAAGTGGACACCCGCCGTTCCAGCGTTATTTTGGACAACATGTAGGTTCCTGTGTTTTTTCCTTGTCGACCAATGGGAAGACTTTAGCTCTAATGTTGTCGCAGGAACGACAATGATGGCGATGACGAAATCGAAATCGAGCAAGGTCTCGAATCACAGCAGGTAATAAATGCCAGTCCCGCGTCTTCTTGCCAGATAGCAGGGGTAGCTCTTCCAACTCCCACCACATATTCTATTCAGTCGTCCGCTCCTCGCAACCAACTGTTCATCCGTCGACCCAGCATGATTTCGAAGGATTTGTAAGTTTTCGTCTTGTTCTCCTTGTATGTAAATGGGCAAATTTTCACTTGGATCTTGACACAGACACGAAGGCGAGAGAGATGGAGATGGTGCTGATGGACAGAATGTGGACTCAGTAGTACAGCTTCCACACCCTCAGATGAAGGTAACGCAGGCAAACACTACCAACATGTGATTCTACCCAGCCAAATGTTTTGTCACACTTGTTACTAATAGGCTATGGGCAGATTTCGGGCTGTGCCCGTCGATCTCACGTCCCCCGTTCGGAGAACAGGGTCAACCGGTTTAGATGCTGCAGCGTATCCCACTCCATCCTCTGCCCCTCGAAATCAGCTGGCAATTCGTCGATCGAGCGTAGCTACCTTACCACGTGATGATGATAGATCTCATCCGTCATCCCCAACGCCTCCATCTCGATCACTATCATTTGTAGCAGCTGGTATCCCATCCCAGCCCGATTGCTCAGAACATCATGATGCTAATCACTCGGAAGAAACCGTCGGGACAGGAACAGAAACCACTGCTGGCAGTAGCACAGGTGCTACACTTTATTATGAATGTATCTTGGGCAAAGTCGATGAAATGGCGCGTAGAACTCAGGCGCTTCGCAAACTTGTGCGCCAAGGGGTGAGTTTCTGCAATGTTTAATACGCGTCAACAAAACTTCAAGGCTCTTTTGCTCTAGCACGCTCGTTCCAGGCAGGCACAGGCTGAATTAGAGGCTGAAAACAAAAGATTGAAGAATATACTCCAAAGCCTTACTTCCCAAGCACCAATGTTTCAGGGGTTCGCGTCCCACGTACGTTTTTGCGTTTGATACATAATTAACATATCCTAAAACTACTGGAAACAGTTAACAAGTATCCAGCAATTATATCCATAGGCCGCTCCTATACTATCTCTTCGTATGTGTGTATAGTATAGTAATACAGCGCTTTTATAAGTCACAACAAAACCAAAATAATGATTCCTAGATGGCTAACAAAAAAAAAAAAGGAAAAAAAAAAAAGACTAAAGCATACGCAATACACTATAAGATAGTCCACGTATTAATACTTCTAACAATAATATAACCATGTGACCTGAATGAAATGACCAGTGAATTATGAGAATATTAATGGATACAATGGTGGATGATGGCATGACGATGAGACAGCGAGGACGTAGAGAGTTCATGGAGAGTGATGAGGGGAAAATGCGATCGAAATAGGCTCTAGTACCACTCAGACGTCAAATGAGCAGTGCTAATCATACGAAGAGCACGCTACGACGGTGTGAAGTGACGAGGACGAAACCTTTCGGGAGGAAGGAGGCCCGATCACGTTTGTGGACGGAACGAGTGATACGTTTCCAAGCAAGTATCACTTGACGTTCGAGATATTTTGTGCACGAGACGCGTGGAGCTTTGCGAATGGTACTATAAAGAGAAAAACTACTAGTATGGGTCAGATACCTATGTAACGACAGAACTACGAAAGCATACCTAGACTCGGATTTTGAGACAGAGTCTATGATCCACAAGTCGGAGGGACAGTCAATGTACTGTGATTCAATGTTGCTTCCGACCATGATGGTTAAAATGATGCGAAGTGAATGAAGGTGCCTGTTGAGATAGACGCGAAAATGGATAAGCAGTATAGAGATAGAGGTGGGCTGCCGTTCCAGACGCAGTAGAATATATAGCGATACTATAAAATACAGATAGCAATACAGATACAAAAGTCCAGTGGTGGTGAAGTGCAAGTATAGGCTGGTAAAAAGACCAAGCTTTTATACGTGTATTCGGATAAAAGACCAAGAAAGCCTGTGGCTATAACAGTATGTAAGTAGCCGGTGATTGTCGTCGAACAATAAAGCTCACATGCGCTTTTGAGTTGGCCATGTTGTAACCATGAATACTGCAGACGATGAACAAAAGACTTGGAGATCATTAAACATGATGCACGTAATTTGCAAGGCGGCAGCCCGAAGCGCGAACTCATCGCAAGTTGCCGTGAGGGTCGTCGCCGCAGTCACGTGTCCGTCCTTGTTTGACTCAGAACTTCAGAAGTAACCTAGTAACTCCGCGCAGCGATGAGCTCGGAGTCTTGTATCGCAAATAGTACTGTCGTTCCCAGTCAGTTCGTATTTGAGGTACAATTCGGACGTTACAAAGGTAACAAAAAGTAACGCTAAGGTCACATATGCTGCATTGAAGCACCGATTCGGCAGAGGAAAGCCTCAAAAAATGACGAAGTCCCACTGCTAAGAAATAATAGTAGAATAGTAGGCATTGCTTTCATGCTTGACTCAAAATCAAAACAACAGTTTCACCAGATTCAGAGTATATTTAACTACAAAACATAGTACGGTTGACCCAACTCATTATAATATGTAATTATCACACCATTTTCATCAGTTGGGGGAGGTAAAACACGTTCAGAGATATTGAAGTTATATGAGGGCCCAGGAGTACTACAGCCTGGGCCAGAGAAACCGTTGTAAAATGTGGGGTCAGGAAATTGCGATTGTGTGGCCAAAAAATATGGAGTCTGGACAGACTGGGGGGAAAACGCAGTAGATGAGTTGACACTAGAATATAAGGGTGATTGGGATGATTGTCCGGAGTGACTAGAACCCTCAGGGGCCTGAACGCGATGGCCAAAAAGGCCAGAAAACTGGGGGTTATCTGCTAACTCCTTATGTCCTTGAAGGTGAGACTTGATCCTTTCAATGAGGGCTTTGACTGTCCCATCAATCGGTAAACCAAGAGCACCGGCTATGACAATGAGGTCCTCCTTGCGCTTGTAAGACGCAAGAGATTTGTCAAAGACTTTCATCACAGTCTCTATTGTTATCCGTGTGTTATGAGCAGTGTCTTCTTGCTGCTTACTTGCCTCCTTTTCTGTGTCTATGCGGGCTTTCTCCTTCCGCTCGATCTCCTGCTGTTTGAACACAGCCTTTAATTCAGGATGAGTGAGAAACTGGGCAGTCAGTTTGGTGGTGCCTCATTGAGGCTTCCTATGGTTTCCTGAGCGCTTCCGTATGTCTTCCGCATCATGTCGAGCAAGCGTACAATGTGCATTGGCTGCATCCCTTTCAGCCTTGAGCTGTGCTAACATCACTTTCAGCTCTGTGTTTTCATCCTCAAGGAGCCTGACTTTCAACCGAGTGCTCTGCAACTGCATCAACAACTCAGGGTGTGAACACCGTTGATCTTGTTCTGGAGACACATTCTGCCCATTATTTAAAACAGCCCCCACAGACTGCGCAGATGAAGATCTAGTCATGTATCCGCTGCACCTTCTTTGAGCAGAGGTGGCTTTTGTGCACACACAGTCAGATGGTGTAGGAGAGGGGAAAGACATCAAGCCCAAGCCTGTGATGGAGAAGGAGATGGGGCACTGCCAGTTTGTGATTGGGAGGCGCTATGACGAAAGGATCTTCCTGGGTGACTACAACCGGTCCGGGCCAGTCTACACGCTGTCCCGGCAGCGGCCCTTTGTAAAGTTTCACACGGCTAATATTGACTGTGGGTACTACCTTCATGCATTTTGGGAGTTCCAGCTCCACCGCATTAGGTTTGACTTCCTTAATCCGGTAAGGACCAATCCACTTTTCGGTCAGTTTTCTAGACTGCCGATCTTTTGACTTTAAGTGGTCGGTATCTAACCAGACTAGGTCATCGACTTTGTAGTTAGGGGCCTTAAGAGTGTCTACGCTCTGCCCTGCTTTTCATCTGTTCTGCAGTTTTGAATAGCGCCTTGCGCGTTTCGTCCAAGACAGATTTCATGTCCTTGGCCATGTTCTCAGCAGCCTCATTCTTGCTTTTGCCAGGTTCTACACCCATTCTGGGGAGGTACGATCTAGTAACCTCGAATGGTGCCTTTCCTGTAGCCGACGACTGTTTGATATTATATGAGAACTGGGCTATCTTTAGCCACTTGGCCCAATCCGTCTGCCTGTCATTAATAAATATCCGGAGATATTGTTTCAACTCCTGGTTGAGTCTCTCCGTTTGTCCATCAGTCTGTGGATAGAACACCGTTGATAATTTAGGTTTGATGCCCAGCATCCTTCTCTTCTGAGGAGATGTCTTTCTTTAAGACTTCCAGAAGGTCCGAATCCTGCCCAATTCTAACATTGGCAACCCTTGATTAGTCTATCAGGGTGACACCTTTGTTATCATCCTTGATACCGTTGGCATGATCCTCTCTTCTGGACAAAGTGTCCGCTTTCCCCATAGAGCTTCCAGGCTTATGAATTAATTTATAATTAAACCTTGACGGTGTCATGCACCAAAGTTGATTGGTAGCATGGACAGGTGTCAATAACGAAGCGAATATTCAAAAAGACTCGCCTTTGCGCCACACAGGCACAGTGCCACGTGGAATAGTAATTAATATTGCCCTTTTTGAACTTGTGGCTGATCAGCATCACCTCTATTAGGCAATCCAGTCACGCTCACCTTTGCTTTTCCATCCGGTACTTTCCGCATTTCGGCATTTCGGCAAATTTTTGCGTCGCCACTGGCTACACATTGCATTGCGCCCTCGCTTTTGTCGTTTCCCTTACTCCCCTTCCTTTGCCTAGCCCCACCATGGGCCCCTTCCTCTCCTTTTTATTCTCACCTGACGGTCATTTCTGGGTCCCCATTCTAATCCACTTGTTTGTCACCTCCACCCTCCTCCTCCTCATCTTATTTGCACCCCCACCATTTCTGATGTCACCACTTCCTATCCGCTTCCATCGCCGATCCGTTGACTACCACGTGCCACTGCTGATATCAGCAAAGCCCCGGCGGCCGGTCCAAATAGGGCAACAGGTCCATCTTCATGACGTCGATCTGCCATCATATACTATCAAAACATCGGTCGCTCGTCTTGCCTGGTTGGAGCGTGGGTGGGTAGTTTTTGAGCTGGAGAAGGTTCATCCCCTTGCGTCGCCCATGTTCATCGCTGTCCCATTCACTTGGGTACACTTATCTTTTGTCCATCGTCTTCGCTACAGCTACACCTATCACATGCTGCCTGGGACTCACTTGTTCCAAATTGGAACTACTCCTCTCCCTCCCTTGTTTGATCAGGTGGTCCAACACAACCAGTCCATTGGTAAGGCCATGGAACTGTCGGATTTGGACTAGGTGGTGGACCGGTGGCTCCAGTTTCTTTTTCTTCAGCAGAACATTCATTTACAGTGCGATTATTTTTGATTTTTGAATCATTTTTATGGACACATATTTTTTAGAATGCCTGACTGACAATAAAGGGACTGTGTTGATACTGATAGTGTTTTGCCTTGCCCTTTTTTTACTGCATCTTCCCATGACATCATGATTTTCCTGCTCTCTTTTTGCTATTGGACTTTACTTTATGGCTGTACAAACCTGTAACATTACTCACAGCATTCATTGTTCTATCCCTTTCTTTTCTTTTTTTTGACAATCTTATCCTGTACTACCTACACAGGATTCGTCAGCATACATTCCTTCCTTCATGTTCTTTCTCATTCTTTTTGCACAGCTATACTGTGCATAGCCTACTTTTCTTTCACTATATAAACCCCTGTATTTTACCTTGTAAAAAAACAAAAACTCCATTCCAGACTTCTTCTCTACTCTCAAGTTCACTACTCTGCTACTTGTGATCCAGTGTGGTCACAACACTTCCCACTGCTACCACTGTCAACTGCTGTCATCGTCACTTCCCACTTTTGAAGTCATTGTCATCCCTTTCGATTAGAGTCCTTCTGAGCACTACAGTTTGTGCGTCAGGAGCCTGCTATCACTGGGAACCTTGTCATATTGTCGTTCTCAAACCTACCTTGTGCTACGATTAGCAAGGTAGTGCTCGTCTATACTCGTCACAAAGCCCCTATCTTTCTATAAATTCAACTATCCCTCCTCCTCAAAACCCACACTCATACACCTCTGGGTTTTACTTTGAAGGATCTTTATACGTACCACCCCACGAACAACCAGACCACTCCACTGTTCATGGAGGCAAAGCCCATAAACAAGTTCCGTGGAATCTGGGAGGATTGTGTGTTAGTTTGTTTTTGTGTGTGGTTTTCTAACAACAGTTCTCATCATCGACAACGGGTATACCACGTAGCAAGCCTGTCTTCGGTTCAAGTCTCGGGCCGTCATAAAATATTCCAGATTCTTATGATCGGTCCAAATTTCAAATTGGTGCCTAGCACCTTCTAAGTAGTGCCGCCAGTGCTCTAGAGCTCTAATGATGGCCAGCATTTCCTTATCATATATTTGATAGTTGCGCTCTGTAGGCGACAAACTATGCGATAAATAGGCACAAGGCCTCCAAAGATTGTCAGGGCATTTAATTGACAGAACAGCCCCAGTAGCAAAATCAGAAGAGTCAGTTTCCAACCAGAACTCTTTGTCTAATTCTGGAAATGCTAATATGGGCACTGTTGTAAACGCCTGCTTAAGCTTATCAAAAGCTTCTTGTTCTTTGGCACCCCAGTGCCAAACAATGTCCTTTTTAGTGAGATCGTTCAACGGTCTCGTGATTTTTGCGAAGTTGTTGATAAACCTTCGGTAGAAATTTCCTAAGCCAAGGAAGGCCCTAACTCCTTTGACACGAGTAGGCTCTGGCCAGTCCAATATAGCTTGAACTTTCTCAGGATCCATCTTGATTCCGTTCTGGCCTATGATCATACCAAGGAAGTCTACTTCCTTCACCTTAAAATTACATTTTTTGGGTTTGATGAATAGGTCCTGTTCCTGTAAGCGTCAAAGGACTTCTTGCACGATCCTGTCATGCTCAGCCTCATTGTCCGACTTTGTAAATATCAACAAATCGTCAATGTAAATAACAACACAGTTTTCCATATCTGCAAAGATCTCGTTCATCATGCTCTGGAAGGTTGCCGGTGAATTGGTCAACCCAAAGAACATAACAAGGGGTTCAAAGGATCCTCGGTGGCATGTGAATGCGGCCTTCCAAGCATCTTCTTCTTTGATCCATACATTATTGTACCCCCATCTGAGATCCATCTTTGTCAAGATCTTGGCACCAGCCAATTTGTCTACTAGCTGACTGATCAAAGGCAGCGGTGTCATGCACCAAAGTTGATTGGTAGCATGGACAGGTGTCAATAACGAAGCGAATATTCAAAAAGACTCGCCTTTGCGCCACACAGGCACAGTGCCACGTGGAATAGTAATTAATATTGCCCTTTTTGAACTTGTGGCTGATCAGCATCACCTCTATTAGGCAATCCAGTCACGCTCACCTTTGCTTTTCCATCCGGTACTTTCCGCATTTCGGCATTTCGGCAAATTTTTGCGTCGCCACTGGCTACACATTGCATTGCGCCCTCGCTTTTGTCGTTTCCCTTACTCCCCTTCCTTTGCCTAGCCCCACCATGGGCCCCTTCCTCTCCTTTTTATTCTCACCCGACGGTCGTTTCTGGGTCCCCATTTTAGTTCACCTCCTCGTCACCTCCACCCTCCTCCTCCTCATCTTCTTTGCACCCCCACCATTTCTGATGTCACCACTTCCTATCCGCTTCCGTCGCCGATCCGTTGACTACCACGTGCCACTGCTGATATCAGCAAAGCCCCGGCGGCCGGTCCAAATAGGGCAACAGGTCCATCTTCATGACGTCGATCTGCCATCATATACTATCAAAACATCGGTCGCTTGTCTTGCCTGGTTGGAGCGTGGGTGGGTAGTTTTTGAGCTGGAGAAGGTTCATCCCCTTGCGTCGCCCATGTTCATCGCTGTCCCATTCACTTGGGTACACTTATCATTTGTCCATCGTCTTCGCTACAGCTACACCTACCACACGCTGCCTGGGACTCACTTGTTCCAAATTGGAACTACTCCTCTCCCTCCCTCGTTTGATCAGGTGGTCCAACACAACCAGTCCATTGGTAAGGCCATGGAACTGTCAGATTTGGACTAGGTGGTGGACCGGTGGCTCCAGTTTCTTTTTTTTCAGCAGAACATTCATTTACAGTGCGATTATTTTTGATTTTTGAATCATTTTTATGGACACATATTTTTTTAGAATGCCTGACTGACAATAAAGGAACTGTGTTGATACTGATAGTGTTTTGCCTTGCTCTTTTTTTACTGCATCTTCCCATGACATCATGATTTTCCTGCTCTCTTTTTGCTATTGGACTTTACTTTATGGCTGTACAAACCTGTGATATTACTCACAGCATTTATTGTTCTATCCCTTTCTTTTCTTTTTTTGACAATCTTATCCTGTACTACCTACGCAGGATTCGTCAGCGTACATTCCTTCCTTCATATTCTTTCTCATTCTTTTTGCACAGCTATACTGTGCATAGCCTACTTCTCTTTTACTATATAAACCCCTGTATTTTACCTTGTAAAAAAACAAAAAAACAAGAACTCGATTCCAGACTTCTTCTCTAATCTTAAGTCCACTTCTTACTGCTACTTGTGATCCAGTGTGGTCACAACACTTCCCACTTCTACCACTGTTAACTGCTGTCATCGTCACTCGTCACTTTTGAAAGTGATTGTCATCCCCTTCGATTAGAGTCCTTCTGAGCACTACAGTTTGTGCGTCAGGAGCCTGCTATCACTGGGAACCTCGTCACCTCGTCATCCTCGTTGTTCTCAAACCTACCTTGTGCTACGATTAGCAAGGTAGTGCTCGTCTATACTCGCCACAAACCCCCTATCTTTCTATAAATTCAACTATCCCTCCTCCTCAAAACCCACACTCATACACCACTGGGTTTTACTTTGAAGGATCTTTATACGTACCACCCCACAAACAACCAGACCACTCCACTGTTCTAGGAGGCAAAGCCCATAAACAAGTTCCGTGGAATCTGGGAGGATTGTGTGTTAGTTTGTTTTGTGTGTGGTTTCCTCTAACAGCAGTTCTCATCATCGACAGCGGATACGCATTTTTAACTGTGTGCTCATTCACGTAATGATAGTCCATAATCATATGCTTCTTACCATCCTTTTTAGGAATGAAAAACTCCCGGGGACATCATAGGGCTTTTGGAAAGGTCTGATGTAACCCTTCCTAAGCTGTTCGTCTATGAAACTTGATACTTCATCTCTCTCTGGAGCAGAGAGTGGTATCATGTGTCCTTTTCTCGGTTTGAAGGTGTCCTTCAAATCTATAGCATGGTCCCAAGGCTTAGCCTCTGGGAAGCGCTCTGACTTATGTTTTGAAAAGACTTTCCAGAAGTCATGGTACTCGGGAGGCACCAGCCTCTTAATCTTTTCTTCGGGTTTTACCTCATCATTGTCATCGTCGATTTTTTTTTTTTTTTAAAGATCTGAGCTCATAAATGTGACCAGCATTTATCTTTTCAAGACGCTCATTGTGACGGACGTGATTTGGTTTACCCAAGTTCACACACTCCTGAGTGCAACGTGACAATGTGACAACCCCTGTCTGCCAGTCAATCTCAGGATTGCGTTTGAATAGCCAGGTCCAGCCCAAGATTAAATTAATCTTCCCTAGTTGGGTAGCTTCGGCAGTGACTTGTTCCCTGTGTCCTTGGTACTTGACAACAAAGGAACATTTGTGTGTGATACAGCCACCTGTGTTAAGCGTACCGTCAATGTTATAGACGGGAATAGATGCATCTAATTTTACAAGGGGGAGTCCAATTTGCTCCGCCCAGACCTGATCTATGAAGATTCCGTTAGCGCCTGAATCAAGTAGTGTGCTGGTTGGGTGTACTATGCCCCAGGCAAGGTTTTCCACACCAACGTCTAAATGGATCTCCTTTTGGAATAAATATGTGCGCATCAACACACGCCTTGGGATTTTGGGAAAGGGTGGCTCCAGTGAAGAAGAAAAGGTATTGAAAGTTACATGTTTTTCTATTTTATTTTTACCAGAAATCAAGCACCCTAGTGTTTGTCTCGCCGAGGCCACGCTCCAAGGGAGACGCTGGTGCAGTGGTAGTATCATAAATATTACAGTTACAATTCTTCATACAAGTACATATTTCTGATAAATTTTGAAATCTATTTACAAATTGGGGAGCCATCCCCTTCTTTCCATTATTGCTCGTGCAACACCCCGGAGCAGGGGCCACTTTGTTGTGGTTTACTTCATTGTTTCGTGGAGCGAAGGCACCCAAGTGACCTAAGCTCCAAACTCTTTTCTCTGAGCCTTCATTTCAGCAGCCTGCTGATTGTAGAAGAAGGCCCGGATTTTGTCGTAGGATCGACCGGCCAGAGTCTGGAGCCAATCGTCCAGTTTTTCGGATTCTAATTGGCGCGCCTGGCGCCCTTGATTATTTTTTTGTTGAGCGGCCTGTGCTCCTTTTCTGCAGTCTCGGGACATGTGTCCCTCTTGGCCGCAATTGTAGCAGTTCCCCTTGAATCTGCGCATCTGTCCTCCTTGGACCGCACCAATATCCATGGGGGCTCCCTGCCCTGGTTGCAGCCCGAACGGCTTGAACCCGTGAGAATGATTATGATGGTTTGATGACCCAGGGCACCTCTGGGATTGGTTGTTTTTGGTGGTCTCGCCACCTTGGTGCATTCTGTAGAGCTCTATGGCCCTACCTATTTTTCGAACCTCCTCTGCTGCTTGAGAGAGATTCTCATTTCTGATATCCTGCAAGTAAAGCTGTTCTGCAATGTGGGGGTTCACATTACGTTCCAGCAGCTCTACTGCATGTTCATTACCAAGACCCCCTTGGATGGAGAGGGCCAGGAACCGGGTTACAAAATCATCCATCCTCATATTGCCTTGTTTGAAGGAACAGATTTGCTAACGCGCCCAGTCACGCTCAGCGTGCGGCTTGAAATATTTTTTGATCTCTACTTTGAGATCGTCCCAGGTGGGCCACACTCCCGCGGTGTAGCACTCCTGCATTCTAACTTGGGCGTATCAACCCGCCACAGGTCCCTTTAGTCAAGATAGCACCGCAGTGGCTACCTCAAAAGTGTCGGCAAATGCGTCCCAATTTGCCTTAACCCATATTTGGGGTTTGATCCACCACTCGGCAAATCGCACTCTGTCTCCTCGAAGGCGCCAGGGTCAGCGACAACTTCGACTTTCTTATTGAACTTTTTCTCTACTGCGGGGGTAGGAGGGTTTGCCTGTAGCTCGGCGAGTTGCGTAGTTAACGCCAAGATCTGTGCATGCATGTTGTGCAACAGAGCGTTGACGTCAGGGGTTTGCGACGACATGTCGACTTGTTCTCTTGGTAAAGTAAATAAAAAAACATAACTGGGGGTCCCTGCTTGCTATCTGCGGATCTACCTCTTCCCAGCTGAGTATTGGGTCTCAATCCCCAACTACCCACACTATAGTATTTGAAATTTGTATATAAAAGGTATCCGTAAGAAACCCTGGTCCAAACGGTTGTCAGGGGGTGGTCTGCTTGTTAAGCTGTCAACCCTTCTCCAGACTGGCGGAGGCAAGTGCCCGGCCTGGTCAGAGGAAAGAGAAAGTGAAGTTTTGTATGTAAATTCTAATCAACAGTGGTTCCACACCGACTGCTGAGCTAAGTACTCCCCTTAACGCTGGGGGCCGTGTATCACAGGTATTGGTTCTTCTCCCAAAGCACTACAAGGCCGTCGCTAGGAGCGCACCTATCTGCTATGCGGGATATTCCTAACCAATAACCAAATCTCCTTCACCCTGGAGTCCGGGTGCCCAGTGGGACTTTTTGCACAATTGTGCGAGAGAGTAGAAGAGCGAGTCCTAATGTAACAACCAAGAGTTAGTTACTCTGGCGCACACAGGAACATACTATAAAGGTAGTGAATGGGGAGTGGTTACCCCTGAGGCTGCAGAGAGTTTGTTGGTTAACAACAGGAGGACTCGCTGAGGAGTCTCCTTGATCTATTGGGGTATTTATACTAATACAGAGTGTTTGTACCTATGTACTGTACAATTGATAAAAGCAGTGGCTGATGATGTCAGAGGGCACAGCCCGTGTGACCAGCTCCACTGCGTGAGAGAGTTTCTGTCTAAAAGAAGAATAAAGGCAGCACTGCACGAGAAGGTGGAGTTAGAACGAAAAAGGAAAGTGCCGCATGGCACAGAGTGTGAACTATAGTAAAAAGGTTAAAGTGGAGAATGAAAATTAAAGGAAAAGTCCAAAAATTGTATTATTGTTACGATCTCTATTGGACATTTAAGGACTACTCATTTCTTTTTACTCATTGGTTATACCATCGGACCGATGACTCATTTCCTTCACGTACACTTCCGTTCCTCTCGCATTCACAGTACCTATTATAGTACTTAGTCCTCAACAGACGGACCTGCCCTAGATAGGACCTAACTCCTATCACCGATTCCTTTCCATTATAAATACCATGTAACAGCAGTAGTATTCTCCAATACAATTCTACGCAGTTTATGCTTACAAAGCTAGACTCCTAAGATCAGACTTCTATTCAGAAGAAGACCAACTCCCGTTGGAAAACCTCCACTCAGAACTATGTTCTCAAACTTGTCTTCGGATAAGTCTCTTTACAAACCTCGACGAACCCTCAGACTTTGTTAAGCACTTCGTGCGTAACAATTATCATAACATTATCCCTGTTTTTGGAAGGGTAATGAACCATGAAATCAAAGCTGATAATTCCCATGAACTACCTACTATGTTCTACCTAAACAACTTCTCAGACAAGGAGACGTATAATACATTCATGGCTGAGGTTTAGGATTTATTGTAGCTTGTTTGTAGTTTGTAGCCCCACCAATTTATTCAATGTATCCCGCTTATTCTACTACTATCTACTATCAATGATATATGCTCGATCTTATTGGTTTACTGCCAGCTATTGGTTTCTTATTGTGCCTCTAGTAATCTTATCATACTTTTGTGATTTCTATCTGACTGCCCAATCTGTCTGACTACCTAAAACGGATATTTTGTCTGAACCAACCAATCAGATGGTGTACTGTGAAGAAGCTCACAATTACGAATGGCGCTTAAGCTAAGCGAGCATTTTGTACTTTGCAGATGTATCATCACAAAACCAAAAAAATTCTGCCAAGGTAATGTAATGCCTCAGCAGGAGCCAGCAGCACCAGCAGATGCTGGCAGGATGACGACACCTATGCCAGACCTTGTATGAAACCTTTTATTGGGAATTCCCACCCATCTGCTGATGATGTGCCATCACAAAAATAATAATAAATCTGCTAAGCCTATGCAAAGTCTTAGCAGGAGCCAGCAGGCCCAGCAGGTTCTGTAATTGTGACGACATCTATACCAGGGGATGTACAAAAAGAACCTGTTCACTCTCCTCAACTAGCATATTGTATTCTGTGCGATGTCACATTTATTTTCTGTCACCCTTTTATTGAGGTGTACTTTTGGAATACATCACATGATTTTATTTGCCATTGTTGTTGCCTTAATTGCTTCTATTTGCAAACTTATAAGATTATTATATTTCCAATTCACAGGAGGGATTCGAACTAAAGTCACTCAAAGACTTAACAAGTCGAATGCAATACACAACTTAACCACTTAGCAACAATACCAACTCAGACTCATAGTATAAAGTATAATATATACCCTTGTTTTGATTTCCTAGTTTCTGTAAAGTCATTGATAAGCATCCTAGAGTCTCGGAGCTGCCAGGAGGGTTTTCTACCTGACCCTCTCTGTTAAATAACCCAAAATTTTCAACTTGAATTCTACTATCAGAATTTACAGATGGCAGCCTGGCAGCTATCGACAACCTCTTGACACCTATGACAATACTGCTCTACCTTGTTTAGGTTACCATCCAAGCCATGTTGTTTGATGCTCTCATACCAGACAACCCGACCACTGTTATATATACATACCATTACGTACAAATACATATAATGTGTCGCAGAAAATACACGCCTGGGCCATATCATGCAATCTGCTGCTGAACCTGCTATATTCTGCTAATCTATGCCAAGCTCATCCAATGAGGGTATCTGTATGCTGATGTTTGCCAAACACCATCAGGCAATAGCAGGAATCAACCATTTTCCTGATGATAGACATCCAACTCACTCAATTTCCTACCGTGACAGGTTGACATTTCAGCATACACTTCTTTGACGATACATGGACTAGGCTCATCCGACGAAAATCCCGCAGAAATTACGCTTTCCCGGTCTCAGTCGTTTCCAGCCTCTCGCCTAATCCGAAAATACGTTCCCGTGCCTCGAATCTAGAGCTGGGCGCCTCTTTCTCTTTCAAAGAATGGTGCTCATCTTGAGATCGAGCTCACCGGTAGCATATCCGAAGGAAGAATCGGTCTCGCATACTCTGCTCGAGTTATTCACAACACGGCAGACTTGGACCTCCCTGACCTTTGCATCAAATTGGTGAAGCCAAAGTATGGCAGGACTTTGGCACGGGAAGCCTGGTTCTATGAGCAGCTCGCTCGTGAACCAGGATACGAAGGAGTGGTTACTCCTCGCTGTTTTGGGTTCTTCACTGTACCGCTTAAAGACTGCTTGGATGTGAAAGGGCAACCTGTGTCACATATCAAACCTTGGGAGAATATTACCCTCAACCTACCGGAGCCAGATCCCGAAGACACCGATGAGTCAGCCCAGAAAGAGGATAGAGATTGGTGGCTTCCTAATGATCCTTCGGGTCTTGACGGTTTCTTCAAGGACGACGATGGTTGGAAGAGTGGTTCACCTTGGAATAAATGGCGAGCTTCTCCATCGGAGCCCTTTGTATGTGTCCTTGTGCTGGAAAAGTTGGGCAAGTTCTATATCTCTCCACAAGAATACATTGGGAATAAAGTAGACGAACGTGAGGAGGTAGAGCTCAAGTAGGTCGTTTCTACCGTATATTACCGATAATTCACTCACATTGTGATCTCAATCAGTGATATCCGCGATGTCGTGCGTGACGTGAGTTCCACTAGAATCTTGCACAGAGATCTTCGGTATTGCAACATCGTGCGAGCCCCCAACGATGTTATTTGTTCTCGGCATGGACGTGCGCACCAGTGGCGATTGATTGATTTCGACATAGCGGCGAAGGTATACATCTCGCCTGAGACCCCGGTGGATTCCAAATATGCGCAGGACGCGCAAGTCAGAGTGATTGGCACATCGTTCTTTCGGGGATGGACATAGGACCTTCACGACTACGTTGATATGGCTATGGTAGTAGCTCCGGAGCCATGCGGGGCGAGCTGCTGGGTTTCACATCTGAGGCCGTGCCTCCTTTACATGCTCAGTTGCTGTAATGTGTTATGGGAGACACCTTATCTGCTTTGTTCTCGTAGCACATTGGTGTTCAATATGACGCGGCTATCCCGTGTATGGTAGCTTTACCTTCATCACCACGTCAAAGATTTGAATATTGACCGCATCTATGATCTTGCAATGTTGTACAACAACGAGCTGAGGTCAGGTGCATTAGATGATCTCAATTGTGTGCATTTTCCGATCGTCTTGATATGAGAGGCTCTTTGTTATCAATATATGACTGGAGACTAGGCTCTTTGATGATGCTAAGTTACTTCCCAAGCACCACTTTTTTCAGGGTTTTATGTCCCACGTACGTTGTTGCCTTTGGTACATAATTAACATATCCTAAAACTACTGAAAGCAATTGACAAGTTCCATAAGCTGCTCCTATACTATCCTTTTGTATGTCTGTATAGTACAGTGATACAGTGCCTGAGTAAGCTGTAAGAAAACGATCCCTAGATGGCTAGCAGGAAAAAAACGACTAAGATATACGCAATACACTATAAAAGTAGTCCATATATTAATGCTTCCAACAATAAAATAACCATGTGGCCTAGAAGTAACCAAGGAAGTCGAATGTCCAATGAATTATGAGAATAATGGATACAATGGTGTATGATGGTATGATGATGAGACAGCGACATGCGAGGATGTGGAGAGTTCGTGGGGAGTTATGAGGTGACAGTTGGATCACAATAGGCTCTAGTATTTCTCGGACGTTAGGGACTGAGCAGTGCTAATCATATGAAGAGCACGCTACGACGGTGTGAAGTGACGAGGACAAAGTCTTTCGGGAGGAAGGAGGCCCGATCACGTTTGTGGGCAGAACGAGTGATACGTTTCCAAGCAAGTATCACTTGGCGTTCGAGATATTTTGTGCACGAGATGCGTGGAGCTTTGCGAGCGGTACTATGAAGAGAAAAACTACTAGTATGGGTCAGATACCTATGTAACGACAGAACTACGAAAGCATACCTAGACTCAGACTTTGAGACAGAATCTATGATCCACAAGTCGGAGGGACAGTTAAGGTACTGTGATTCAATGTTGCTTCCGACCATGATGGTTAAAATGATGCGAAATGAATGAAGATGCGAGTTGAGTTAGACGCGAAAATGGACAAGCAGAGGGATAGAGGTGGGCTGCCGTTCCAGACGCAGTGGAAGATATGGTGATACTATGAAGTACAGATAACGATACAGATGCGAAAGTCTAGTGGTGGCGAAGTGCAAGTATAGGCTGGTAGAAAGACCAAGCTTTTATACGTGTATTCGGATAGAAGACTAAGATAGCCTGTGGCTATAACAGTATGTGAGTAGCCGGTGATTGTCGTCGAACAATGAAGTTAACATGCGCTTTGAGTTGGCCATATTGTAACCACGAATACTGCAGACGATGAACAAAAGAGATCGTTGAAAATGATGCACCTGGTTGGCATGTAACACTTGAAAGGTGGCTGCAACGTGTTGTTTTTCCACAACACCTTCCTTATTAGGACCATACATTGTACTCTCAGTTCCCACGCCCATCCTATTGTGACCTCAACTGCGATCCTGCACTGCAAGAACCAGACGTTGCCAGCCTTAGTGCCGTATTTACAGCACTGGAAAATAATATTTCCTCTTTGGTACTTAGTTTCAGGTATGTGGAACGGAGCAATGGTCATGAGTGTGTCCAGGATACTCCGATCAGTAAGCTTTGGTATGAATTCTTGCAGTAAAGCTAGCTCGGGAGAAAGTCGCGATGTTGCAGGGATGGATCACATAGCCAGAAAGTGAAGCAGAGCTCGTGTTGTGGAGCAGTAACCCAGAGGCAGGTCAATGCCATGTCTTTGCATACATTTCGTTGACAACGTTTTTGTCTACGTCCATCATCGCACAGCGCCAGTGTCGCATGGCTGGGACAGCTCTACTCAGTCTACTTCAAGAGCCAATTATGACTGAGGACAGTGCTTGCGAGGCCAGGCATTTTGGCTGCTCCGGTTTTGTTACGTCTAGTGTCTGGTGTTTCGGTAATGGACTCTGCACAGGAACTAAACAGCCCCGCGAAGTCATGTTTTTCCTGTCGTCGACATAACTGTGCAGAATGGAACTCCATCGGTTGACGTCCGAACTTTGGACAACGCGCTTCATGCTCTACGGTATGTTTGTTGCTTACTATCGTCTTTCATCACGCGTCTTTCATTAGAGGCATTGATGGCATTTTTTCGCATGAACATTCTTCAAGCCACGTACCAGACACCCCTGGAAAGTCTTCCATTCATATTATTCGAATAACCGGAATTCCCATATCCTGGTTGACTTGACCGATCGTCACGGAGCGTCAATGAAATAACACGCAGTGTCCTGAGCTGCGAGCAGAGAGAAATATCTCTACAAAACTTTCGCTGATCAGTTTATTTCGAACTACAGACGCGGGACCGAAAAGAACAGCGCTGATCAATTAATTTTGTACTAAAATAAAAATGCCACGACATTTCATATACATGCCATTCTATTATCCACGCTGATGCAGTCCATACTTCCCGCATTACTTGCACTCCGTAAGCATCCTTCCATTATATTCATCATTCATCGGGATCGGAGTTAATTTCGTCCAGGACGTCTTTAAGGCTCTTCAAAATAGCATGCATACCCCGCACGGCAGTCTGCAGCTCTTGATCGTCAAACTCAAACGCTCTCCCATAAATACCAGCTTTCAACGCCGATCGCCTATACCGCTTTCGTGGTGGAGATCTTTTTAATGTCGCGGCGGTATCCAGACTTGACGCCGTCGACAGTACGCCTATCATCCCCGTCATCTCCACACCTCGGCCTTCTGGTATCTCGCCGTTATCATCTGTTTAGGAATATGGTAAGTAACCGTGAAGATTCTGGTCCGGAGATTGCGCAATGCAAAGCGTAGAGCGTATCGTAATACACACATTCTCTACTCCTCTTTCGGGTTGCCTTATCAAATTGGACTTCCTGAGATTGAGGCGATGGCTCCGCTTGCTCTTTAGGTCCTGTACCCACCTTCCTCCTCTCTCTCTCCCGTATCGACATGCCTCCAAAATGACAAGCCCTCTTCGCCGTAGAACATCCCTCACACCGCGTTCCACTCTTCGACGGCACACACTCTTTCACACTACCCACACACCTCGCGCACCCCACCTCCTTCGCATGCCACATCCTCAATATATCAGCAACAGACACCTTTTACTCCCTCCCGATCTCGCGCACTTTTGGCCATAATGGGGGTGGAGCAGTCATCTTTGTGTTATCGGTGGTGTAGTTGGCAGAGGCGGTATGGTTTGGGCGTGGCAGTGGGATAGGTGGCGAAGAATCACTGGCGCTGTCGTCTCCCGTTAGATCGATCACTTGTACCCCACCACCCACGACTGACAACAGCCCTAACCCACCCTCCCCTCGATCCAGATCCTCTCCCCTTGCCCTGCCGCACAGTTGCGCAGGGACCTCCAAGTTTGCACCTCTCTCAACGCCCTCCTCGCACTTATCGAGACCTATTTGACCCTGCCCTTCCCATTCAAAAGATCAAGTGCTCAGTCAGCTATTCGAAAGTTCACTTTTTACGCCTGATGCATTTTTGAAAAGCAACGCCCAGGGCGCAGCACGGGAACCTCATATGCCTCTCGGTTTGCCATATTGTCTTTTCCCCCGTTACGCGTGCCTGTGGTCATTAACACCGGTTTTTCCTTGAAATCCATCACAACTTTCGTTTCGAGTTCTTCCTGTTGCGGTTTTTGTCATGGGTTTGCCAGCGAGCGAAGCGCTTTCATTAGTTTTGTGAACGACCTGGCCTCCCCATACCTTCTAACATCGAGCCACTTCTCTTTATCTCGAGCTTTGTCCACGATAGGTGCCATAAATGACATAAAGGGGACATTCAAAAACACGACCCTGAGGCTTTATTGGATCGTAAGCGTTAATGGCAGAGATAGCGAAATCAAAAGAGGAAAACAAATGTCTATTGAGGTTGTAGAAAACATATCATCGTGTAACTAATAGCAAAACCATGTAGTAAGAAACGTTTGTACATCACGTCATCGTCTATTTCGTCTCGTCTTCGTCTCTCACACTGACCCAGTTGCAAAGCGCACTAGAGAGTGGCACGCTGAACTACGATACTAGCAACGGGCTTGACTTCCACTTCCGCCTTGGGCGCTAGGATCTGCGAAATCATGCCAGCGAGAGGCGTCGGCTCCGCGTGCAGCGTCATATCCAAAAACCACGACTTGCTCATATAATTCCTTACCCTGTGGTCGTCCAATCAGCATACTCGAACCACCAAACCACCAAGACACCAAAATAAAAATCACCAAGACTCACCCATCAGCTAACAGCACCACCACATTCACACCCTCCGTCACCGCTATCCTCCTCCCCTCCCCGCTCTCCTTCAACCATTTAATAGCACCAGCGAGTGCACTCCCGCTACTCCCACCAACTAATAGCCCCTCGTGTCTTTGTAATCTCCTCACCGCTGAGAATGCCTCATCATCCGACGTCTTTACCCAACAGTTCACATCGCCTATGTCACGCGAGAGGACGTCGGGGATGAAGTCATAGCCGATACCTTCGACGACATATGCGGCTCCTGAGTCCGTTGCGTTGAGCGTGTCGGGTAAGGCGAGGATGCTTCCAATCTGTGGTTTTTGTCGTCGTTGGCGTTAGAAATGTGTATAATAACTAAGGGTGAACAAAGAGTGTACTTACAGGGTCGACACCAACGACGATACAGTTTGCGTTATGCGTCTTCTTGATGGCGCGCGAGACACCTGTGATAGTCCCGCCAGTACCAGCTCCACCAATGAATACATCAACTTTCTGCGTTGAACGCCTCGACGAGGAGGGCGGGGTCGACACCACAGCCTCAATAATTTCAGGGCCCGTTCCGTACTCATGTGCCAATGGGTTATTCGGCTGAAATGAACAAGCCCCACACAGTCAGTCCACATTCATAAATAAATCGAAGGTCATTGGGAAAGAAAAGAACTGACATTTCTATATTGGTCCAAAATGATGCCTCCTGGAATGTCCCTCTGTAATTTCTCCGCCACACCTACGATCGTTAAGGAATTCAGCCACGAGACGTGCCATAAAAGTTGGGGAGCTCTACCTATGTGGCTAGCAGGGGAATCCCAGGGCGCAGCGGTAGGCGTGCGCACGACTTCAGCGCCGAGGGCACGCAGTGTGGCTTCTTTCTCCTATTTTAGGACGCATATTAGAAAAAGAACAGAACCAGAGCACAAGAACAATAAGGGAGAGAGGGAAGAAGGTAAGTGACGGCGAGAAAAATATAGTAAAGGTAGCAAAGGGGAAAGAATAGAGCGAGATGCTTACGAGTGACATCTTGTCAGGCATGGTTATAATAACCGAATATCCCTTATATCTGCAGTATTCAGCACATGTAAAGCTCCGCACCTCTCACAAAGGTAGCGTACCTTGATGGCGCATGCCATAGCTAATCCAATGCCTGTGTATGGTTTATGGTGAGTGGGGCTCGCAAGCAATAAGAAAAAGAAAGAGAAAAAGCAAGGTAGAAGAGTCAAGGAATAGGGCCAATAGTAAGATAAGGACTGAAAAGTGGTGAATGGGTAGAGATAACAAAGGATGGAATAGCAAAGGAAGCGGTACGAAACGAAACGAAACGAACCTGTGTTCCCCGACGTAGGCTCAATTACCACACTCTTCCCCGGTATCAACTTCCCTTCCTTCTCTGCTGCCAGCACCATGGCCTTCGCTATCCGGTCCTTAACAGACCCACCAGCTGACGTGTACTCGACTTTGCCCACTGCAAAAAGGAGTTCGGTTAGCGGTCAACTGAACCCCGCCAGTCGCAGAAAGCAAGGAATGGGAGATAAAGCTCACGTAAATTACACCTGAACCCCTCTTGCTTTGCTACCTTGTCGAGTCTGATGAGTGGGGTGTGTCCGACGGCGTCGAGGGCGGTGTCAAGGATATGTGTTGGGCGGGACATTGTGTGGCTAGCTTGCGTTTGGTTCTGAAACTGGGATGTAAAATGCAGATTGGTTCGAGTGTAGAGCGTGGAATGTAAAGGTAAGGATAAGGATTGACAAGGGATGGATGAAAGTGGTAGAAAGTAGAGAAAGGTAAGACGGGTTATCTACCGGACCGGGTCGGATCTTGGGTCAGTGCATATGGGCGCTGTAGAAACCGAGTGTTACAAATTCACAAAGGTCAGTGTTACGACATCGACTAGAGCCTCGCCATTTGATTGTTGTTAGACACAAGCAGCTCTGATAGACGAGCAAGATGGTGATAACGAGGTCAACATAGCATTCGAACTCCCTGACGAAAGCTCTACAACAACTTGCACTACCTACACAATCGCATGCTCGGACTGGCAGCCAATTATACAATGTGGCTATCGTAATGAAAATGTCATACACATGGGCAAACCGGGTGCATAGAGGCATACACTGATAAGAACAAGAATAGTAAGTTTCCACTGGGACAGCTTTATCTAAGGTACTGCGGACGCCTCTCAAGCTCAGCAGCCTCCCCTACCGGCCTAATCACTTGGCGAGTGTTTCTTGATGATGTCAACGTCCACAGGCCACGGTTTACCTATCCAAGTGGCGAGTTCTGTGTGGTCTCTGAGGGGATTGCCTGTGTGAGGATGGATGAGGACGCTAGAATGGGATACAATATTACAATTCAGTGGTGGCCATCAACAAAAATTTGAGTAGGGTGTATTTACGAGCATGGGCCGCGGTGGACGACGAACCAGCAGAATAGGGCGCCTGTCTGGTGTGGGTTGGACGTATTGACTTCAAATGTGGTGGTCAGGTGCGGGGCTAAAGGTGGGGAGTGAGACCAGATTGTGTGAGCACTATTATACAATTACTTACGAACGGGCCAGTCCAAGAGTTCGTGTATGCGGAGCTACGAAACAGGTGAGACCGCCGTGAATGCAAGCATATAGTCAAGGAAAACAGTCCTCACCTCTGGAAACTCTCTCCTCACGCGCTCGTGAAGCTCCCTCGCGTACTTTGTTTCAGAAGGGACGCCCTGCGTGTAGTAAACTAATAATATATGTCAGTTCGATCCATAAGAAAAGCTAAAGATAACTCACTGTGAAAGTCGAAGCCATTGGACGGATCAATAGGCTTTGGGAACTCGTCGTAGGAGGCGGACTTGGGGCCAGGCGGGTTGAAGAGCGATATACCGTCTGGGTTAATCGTCGAGGGCAATAGTTCTGCGTTTTCATACCCGACAAGTGGAGATTCGTAGGTCATTTTCTGTATCAATGATGGTCGAAGACGAGCCTTGTTCTGTTAATATACTGTAGCGTGCAAGGCCGCAGTTAATGAATATCAGTGAACCCCGGTGAGAATATTAGATTGGCCGAGATTAACGGTGAAAAGTCGAATGACAACGGGCGCCCTTGATATACACCGTTTCTAACGGTGAATACATATCGGTGTATGTATAGCATGAGTAAAGCTGTCTAATAGTCTTGTCCGAGTCCGAAGTAATGGTGGCGTGCACTGGAAGCGCTAATACGTCCGAGCATATTGGTCCGCTATACATCATTAGGCAACTATAGCTATGCCCAAGTTGACTCTTGTGGTAACTTGATAACATTACTCCCTTGTTAGCTGCCGTCCCTATGATAATAACAAATTTCTGGTCAAATTACTACCCCCAAGCAATCACAATATTCCCCGAGCAGTGAGCATCCCAGACTTCTGGAGTCCTTCACTGGCAAGTCTCGCAACTCCGAGAAGGAAAGCGTGGAATTTAAGATGGCGAACCTTACATAAACTGGTGCATAAGTCGACGACCTCCTAAATAGTAGGCCTATCAGGGGCACTAACGAAAGTGACAAGCTCGGACTCGAAAGGTATGATACCCAAATTTATCCCGACTGATTGACTTTATATCCTCTTATATTATCAGGACAAGAAGAGTACGGGTCCAACTTCGAAGAATTATTCCAGCACTGACTCTTCCGAAACGTCCGAGATAATGGCTAGAGACATTAGAGACAGAGATCCAGAGAAGTTAAGAAAGCTTGCAGCGGAGGTAGTCTCGGGAATGCATGCCAAGCATGGAGCAGGTAAGCAACAATGTGATATGGCGACTGTTCAGCAGAAGGAGAATAACAAATGTGGCATAGCTATTGCTCGGATTGAGGAGATGGCCCCTGGGCTGAAGGAGCAGAATAACGAACTAAGTATAGATATCGATCGTCTGAAGAACAAGGGCGAAAAATGACAACTAGAGATAGTTGAATTTAGGTCTCATCTGGATGCAGTGACAGCGGAGCTACGTGAGACTACTGACCGGTTAGAGAGAGTAAGTCTCGTCTTCCTCGTTTCCGTCATCTGCTATTCACTCAAGCTATGTAACATTAGTGTGTCGAGCTCACCACCCCCCTTTTATCTCCGCGCCCTACTTGATTCTGCGCGCAAGAAGGTCGTGCAGCTTATGTCTGCTGAGAGTAGGAATGATTCCATGGCCAGCGAAATGTATCCGTCGTTTCCAAGGACATTTCAAGCCGGCTCGCCGAGACGTCGTATGCGCTTTCTCTTCTCCTGAGGTCGTTCACTTCTTGTGTTCGTACAGCCACATCCAGTCTGAGGGCAATGAAAAAGCACACGAGGCGACAAAAGAAGAGATTAGGGATGCCTTGAACAAGTCGGATCTACACCGACGATTCCTGGACAAAATATACGACTTTGTATTTACGTGAAGTATTTAGTTGGATTAGTTTTTTCTCTTTCGTTATCACGCTCGCTTTGAAGATGCAACATAATATTGTACAAGCTATAATTACACTGGGCATTCTATGATCAGGCTGGTGTGAATGGCAAGATACTACCGCTAGATACATGGAAGCCCTATTTCACAGTAAAAAGATAATCGAGTACCAAAATAGATTGTTTATCCAACATAGTACGTCGTGCGCCATTCCATCAAGCTTAGTGTCTCTTGAGCATGTCAGTGTGCAGAGGCCACTGTTTACCTATCCAAGTGGCGAGTTCCGTGTGGTCCCTGAGGCTATCGCCTGTGTTAGGATGGATGAGGACACTAGAATAGGGGGCGAAATTACAATTTAGCAGTGCACATCAACAAAAATGCGAGTAGAAGGGCAATTACGAGCATGGGCCACGGTTGACAACGAGCCAAGAGAAGAAGGCACCTGTCTGGTGTGGGTTGAACGTGTTGACTTCAAACATGGCAGTCGGGTGCGGGCCTAGTAAGGTTGGAGAGTGAGACCAGGTTGAGTGAGATACACTTAATGCATGCTTACCCACAGGCTTGTCCCAGAATCTGTAGATGCGGAGCTACGAACAGATGGGGTCAATCTGAGTGGGAAGATAGTATGGTAAAGCAAAGCAACCCTCACCTCTGGGAATTCTCTCCTCACGCGCTCGTGAAGCTCCCTCGCATACTTTGTTTCAGTAGGGATGGCCTGCATGTAATAAACTAGTAATATAAGTTAGATCAGTCCATACTAAATACCAATGATAAACCATAACTCACTGTGAAAGTCGAAGCCATTGTTGGACGAGTCGATAGGCTTTGGGAACTCGTCATAGGAGCCAGACTTGGGGCCAGGTGGATTGAAGAGCGACTTGCCGTCTGGGTTAATCGTCGACGGCAATGGTTCTGCGTTTTCAAACCCAACTAGTGGAGAGTCGTAGGTCATTGTCTGGTGTGGCCGAAGACAATTGTAGTTTTGTTCAGGTTGATATAGCGCGCATACATGAATGAATAAGCATAGTTTATCTGATAAGCAAGAGTCAGTGTCAGTCAGCTTAGATGACTAAGACTAGTACTAGGGGCTCGTACGGGAACTCTGTTTTTCCTGAAATTTTTTTTTTCCAGCCACAATCTGCCGAAATGCTGTCGGAGAGACGGATAGGCATCTCACCCTACAGGCTGACACCATACTTCCATCAACAACCTCATGTCCAGAGCAAAGAAACAACGGGCCTCTGGGCCAACCCTAGCCCCAATCGCAAAACGACTACTGTCCACTAGGATGAACCCCAATGTTCAGCCTGACCAAGGAGCATCTGGCAACGTAATGGATGTAGAAGAAGATAGTAGTGCCGGCCCTCGAGATAGCAGTGACAATAGTAATGCCATATGGACCGACACTGAGATGCAAGCTACTCATCCAATTCATCACCGAAAATTGCGCAGAGGGGGGCGATGACAAAACCGGATAAACCCGGTCTCTGCCGAAGCAGCCATTGTTCTCCATGGAGCATAGCCACCACTCCATGGAGTAACCATTGTCCTCCTAGGAGTCATTATACTGTAGCGAGTAGCACCTCTGACTATAAGTAGTAGGGGGTTTAGTATAGGAATACCTCAGTCGTTTCTATAGCCTCTCGGGCAGCGGCTGAGGTATGTTACATTACATTTATTAGAGATCACCTTAAACTAACATCTATTGTAGTTTCACTTAGGTAAATAATAAAGTCATTTCTATAGCCTCTCGGGCAGCGGCTGAGTTTCACTTAGATTTATTAGGTTATGAGCCCTGGTGCGCAAAAGCTACACAGGAAATAATTCTTATTTGAAACAGCAACCTCGGAACCATGACCACAGCACGCGATACATCCACATGTCCAGTTCTCACTGGACCCAACAATTTTCAGATATGGAAACTCCGGATCATCTCAAAGCTACATCGGGAAAAAGTTCTCCGGGTTGTTACCGGAGAGGAGCTTAAGCCCTCACCAGGAAAACCTACCCCCTCGGAGAATCCTGAGATCACCTGGATACTTAAGGATGAGAAGGCACATGGAATCATCCAGGACCACATCTCTGATGCCCTCCTAATGAGGACTGGAGACCTCACCAGCTCCAAGGAGTTATTTGATAAATTTGTCTCACTCCATCAAACATCCAACATTGCCTCGGCCTTCTATTCATTCCAGCAACTCACCAAATTGTCCTGGGATGGGACATCACCTATCCAGAACCACATTGCGAAAATCCGGACAATTGATTCACACCTCTCCGGAATGAAACTAGGAGTTGATACTAAACTCATGGCTTTCGCTCTTCTCCAATCTCTCCCATGCACTCCTGAATGGCAAATATTTCAGTCATCAGTAATCAACACAATTGAAGAAAATAAACTTACCTTTGATGCAGTTGAGATCCGGATCACTGCAGAAGTTGCACGACAGTCAGGGAAGGCCCCTGGAGGTTCCGAATCAGCACTCAAATCCGGGGAGAAATGGTGTAACTTCCACAAAGCCAAATCACACAACACCTCGGAGTGTCAAACACTTCAGTCAGCTGAAAAAGGTCAAAGGAAGAAGGGAAAGGAAAGACACAAGGATAAAGGAAAAGAGAAGGAAAAGGCAAATACAGCGGAGCAATCATCCGGATCTGACTCCGAGGAGGAACAGAGTCATATTGCATTGGATCATGTACATATTTCCAAGCCCCTTGCTAAACACATTCAAGCTTACCTTGTGTCGGAACCCAATAAGACCAAAACAACAATTATTATTGACTCCAGAGCAACATCCCACATGGTCCCTCACCACTCCTGGTTTGAGCCAGGAACATACCATGTTCTGCATCCTCCAAGGACAATCAGTTTTGGGGATGAATCCTCTGTAAATGCCATTAGCATTGGAACAGTAATCCTACAAGCAACTGTTGGCAAAAAAGACTACAATATTGCACTATTAAATGTCTTACTTGTGCCAAACTTCACGTTAGCACTCGTCTCTGTCCACAAATTGTCCAAAACGGGGTTATCAACACTTTTTCCAGCAGGGTCAAATGCTTGTGAAGTTCGGAAAAAGGAGGAACTTATCCTCACTGCGTTACACAAGCGAGGACTTTATCACATCCAAGCAAAACCCGGAATCAACCCGGAGTCAGCTTTTGCAGCAGTAAATGTAAATTTATTGCACAGGAGAATGGGACACATTGGAATGGACCGCTTGCAACGAATGGTTACAAAAGGACAGCTCCAGGACATAGACACCCTTACCGGAACCCCGGAGTTTTGTGAACCTTGTGCTTTAGGAAAGATGAAGAAATTACCTTTCAAGTCCACTAGAGGAAACTGACCAAGCACCCCATACAAATTGTGCACACAGAGGTTGGAGGACCAATCAAACCAACTTCCAGGGAGGGTTTTCGGTACTGGATTATCATTGTAGATGATTTCTCTAAATTTCCATGGATATATTTCCTAAAACATAAAAGTGAAGCACTGGAACAATACAAGCAATGGAAAGAAGATGTCCAAACATTCTTCCAGACTCATTTGGGAGAAGAAAACTTCACTCCACTGTACACGGAATTCCTCCGGAGCGATGGGGGAGGAGAATATACTGGCAATGCATTCAAAAATCAACTCTGAGGAGATGGTGTCATCCAAGAAACTACAACTGCAGATACTCCAGAACAAAATGGCATTGCAGAACGCATGAATCAGACATTGGCTACATTAGCAACCACTATGCTCCATGATTCCAAGCTCCCAAAGTCATTTTGGGTAGATGCCATGCAAACAGCTGCATATATCACAGCACGCAGCCCAGCATCAGGACTCCATGGAAAGACCTCATATGAAATACTGTTTAAAAGGAGAGTTGATCCAACTTTGTTTCGCCCTTTCGGATGCCAAGCATATGCCTTGATTCCGAAAGACAAAAGGCAAGGGAAGTTTTACTCCAAGGGGCGCAAAGCCATAATAATTGGCTACACACATGGAAAGCAAGCCTACAAACTCCTAGACACTGAAAAACGGACTGTGTTTTCCAGTCGGCATGTCATATTCAATGAATCCGGAAAGGTACAAAAGGATGACACTGCTCCCTGGAACACAGACACTAGCACAGATCAGTGGGAGGGACTCATTCCAGAGAATGCTCACTATCCAGACCAAAAAACATTGGAGGAGGATGATCCTGACCCTCGGATCCGAGATCCAAATGAATTGCAGATGGAACCACATCTCCAAGGAGATGTTCCACAAGCAATGGAACCATATCAGCATGAAGATGTTCTGAGAGTAGTGGGGCAATACCTCCGTGGAGACGTTCCGAGAGCAGTGGGAGTACCTGATCAGCTAAGACACCCTCCACAACAGTCTCTACAACCAAGACCTGAACACTGGCCATCTTCAGAACGGAAAGCCAAAGTAGAGTTACAGTCAGTGGGAGGACAGCCCCTCAACATACAGCCAGCTGATGTGGAAAAAGTCCGAATACAGCTAGACAGCCTGTCCATTGGATCAGCTTCTGGAAGGCATACAACACCTCCAAGGAGTCATCCAACACCTCCGAGGAGTGATTCAACACCTTCAGGAGTGAGTGGGGCAACAAATACACAAATGTGTCTACTCCCTGGAGTACCTGCACAAGTTCCTAAAAGAGCAGTCATGCCTGCTGAAGTCCTAGGAGTACGCAGAAGCAGTCGCCAGACCCGTCCTGCAGACAAAAACCAAGATTATCAAAGGACTCTAGATGAGGAACAGTCTCAAAAAGAGCATGACAACTCCATGGAGAAACCTAACACTCCTGAGGTTCATGAAGAAACATCTGATACAGAGGAGACATTCTTTGCTGGAATAGCAAGTACCGGTCCATCTAACACAGACCTTCCAAGGACACTAAAGGAAGCCTTATCACGTCCGGATGGAGAATTATGGAAGTCTGCCTTGGAGGAGGAACTCCTAAGTCTCAATACTAATGCAGTATATGACACTGTTCCACTTCCGAAGGGAGTAAAACCCATCACATCAAAACCTGTGTTCCGGATCAAGTTTGATCAAAATGGAAACATTGAGAGATACAAACTCCGGATTGTTGCACGAGGTTTTACTCAAAGGGAGGGGATTGATTACCAGGAGGTTTTTGCTCCGGTTGCAAACTTAGAGTCAATCCAAATTATTCTAGCCCTGGCAGCAAAGTACAACCTAGAACTTGATCAAATGGACGTATCCACAGCTTATCTCAATGGAGAACTTGAAGAAGAACTGTACATGCTTCCTCCAGGGGGTGTTCCTATCCAACGTAGATACTGCTGGAGATTGAAGAAATCCATCTACGGGTTAAAACAAGCTGGTCGTACATGGAACAAAACTTTTGATCACAAGCTCCAGGAGCTCGGTTTCACAAGACTAAATGCAGAAACATGTCTCTATGTATTCCGGGACAACAAACAAATATGCTTTGTTGTTGTCTATATAGATGACCTCCTCCTAGGAGCTTCATCCCGAAAATTCATGGATATCACAAAAGCCAAACTCGAATCCATATTCAAAATGCGGGACCTTGGAGAAGCAAAATACATCCTCAGAATAGAAATCCAACGTGATCGTTCAAACAAAACAATATCCCTATGGCAACGCCAATACATTGACACAGTCCTGGAGCGTACTGGAATGAAGAACTGCAAACCAGTATGGACACCAATGGCCCATGGATCAAAACTCCTTGCAAATGCTCCAGGGGAAGATATTGTGCAACACGAGATGCATATTGAAGGGCGTCAAGTGTCATACCTCTCAATTGTAGGCTCCCTCATGTATGCCATGCTCGGAACCCGCCCAGACATTGCCTACATTGTTGGAATACTAAGCAGGCATAGCTCAGCTCCAAGGAGCCATCAATGGGAAGCTGCAAAATGTGTCCTCCGATATCTGAAAGCAACCAGGGACATGGAACTACGGTATGATGGCACAGATGTCTCCATGGACATGGATTTCTATGGATATTCAGATGCAGATTGGTCTGGAGACCCAGACACGTCTCGATCAACATCAGGGTTTGTCTTTATCACCATCCGAGGAGCAATCTCCTGGACAAGCAAAAGACAAAGCATGGTCGCTTTATCCTCCATGGAGTCAGAGTACATTGGATTGAGCAATGCTGGACAACACCTTGCATGGCTTCGGACATTTTTTGAAGAAATTGGACATGCTCAAAATGGACCTACAACATTGCACTGTGACAATCAAGCAGCTATCATTCTTACACGAGATCCGCAGTTCCGTGCTCACACAAAACATATTCAACGCAAATATCATTTCATCCGAGATGACTTAGTATCAAAGGGAGAGGCAGTAATCAGATATGTTCCTACAGGAGATATGGTTGCAGACATTCTCACTAAACCCCTCGCTCGCAAAAAACACTGGAAATTCTCTAAAGCTATGGGACTACGGTTGCACTCGAGTGGGAGTGACAAAACCGGATAAACCCGGTCTCTGCCAAAGCAGCCATTGTTCTCCATGGAGCATAGCCACCACTCCATGGAGTAACCATTGTTCTCCTAGGAGCACAATTGTACTCCTAGGAGTCATTATACTGTAGCGAGTAGCACCTCCGACTATAAGTAGCAGGGGGTTTAGTATAGGAATACCTCAGTCGTTTCTATAGCCTCTCGGGCAGCGGCTGAGGTATGTTACATTACATTTATTAGAGATCACCATAAACTAACATCTATTGTAGTTTCACTTAGGTAAATAATAAAGTCGTTTCTATAGCCTCTCGGGCAGTGGCTGAGTTTCACTTAGTTTTATTACTTTCTTCCTTTGGGGACCACATCTCTAAATCAAGATGCCCATGCATATCAAAGGCATCACCACATTTGGAAATTCTATCCTTGTTCTTGTTAGTGAGCTTGTATCAACCCACCAGCTAGAAAATACATGTGTTGTAGCCTGGGTAAAAGGGGCCAGAATGTCTGGTCGAGAACCTGAACATGGAACCTTTACAACCTGTAAGAGGGCAACTTTATGTATAATTCCCCCTCAAGAAGTCCTGTCATATGAAGATATACGGAGTGTTTTCAGAGATTATGTGAGTGATGGGATAATAATTTACAACAATGAGTGAGGAAAACATTTCTAGAGGTGGGTTTATTGCATCATGTTATAACAAATATAGTGGTCCACATTACAATGCTCTTGATCATCAGAGGGCGGTGGCTGTAAAGAATGCCATTTTCTCTACATTTATGCAATTCTTTGTTGGCTTGTATGTTGTGAAGTCATTCTGCTGTCCGGCACTACCTTGATGCATATGTACGTGGGTAATCCACAGACTATGAGGAGTTTGCAAGGCAAGTAGACAAGCAGCAGGTGGATGTTCAAGGACAGGTGTAAGTGCACCATGCCAGTCATACAAGACGGTGCAAACAAACTTGTGCCAGGAATGTCAAAAACAATAATGTAGTCGAGGCAGCTTAGGGCTCGTATGGGAACCTTTTTTTTCTTATTTTTTATTATTTTTTCGCATCTTTCTTTCCGCAAAGACCTTGCCATTCCAGCGGAGACTGAATTATACAGAGCCCCGCGGCTAATCACATGATACTGATGGTAGGCTGAGTACTATCAGGTATACTGTTGCTCCTATGAACACAAACACTAACCCTGCAACTTGTATGGATGAAGAGGAGGACTCTCGTGATTTGGAGGGGGTAGGAGGATTGGATGTTGTAGCCAATCAGCAGTTGATACTAGACCAACAGCGGGTTCACTCGGCCAAGTTACAGATGTCAAGATTCATGTCACTCATCATTGAATCAATCACAGGCACCGCTCAGGCTATATCAGAAGAATAATCGCAATGCCCAGAACCAAGGCCGTACCATAATTCAACCTTGACAGGCTATGGGTAGGTTAGGGAGCTAATGGATGGGCATCCTGACCGTATCAGGACTGAGCTTGGTGTGTGGCAGGAGGTGTTTGTAAAACTATTAGATTTATTGCAGGCCCACGGATACACAGACTCCAAGCACATCTTGATTGAAGAGCAACTTGCCATCTTCCTGTATACCTATGTGACAGGATTGTTCATCCGTGACATTGCCAAACGTTTCCAACGCTCTAACAACACAATTGCTAGATACTTCAAGAGAATGCTCGAGGCTGTCACCTCCCCTAATATATACAATGCCTATGTACATTTACCTGATGCCAATGCTTCCAGACCCTCTGCCATCAGCGACAACCCAAAACTTCGCCATTTTGAGGGTGCCATTGGTGCAATTGATGGCACCCATATTGTTTGCAGTTCCTCTGCTGCAAAATGTGCCTCCTTTTGTAATTGGAAGGGCGCAGTCACACAGAACTGTCTGATGTGCTGTGACTTCAACATGAACTTCATCTACGTGCATAGTGGGTGGGAAGCGTCAGTCGCAGACGCCAGTTTGTTCCACGATGCTCGGAGCCACAATCTCTATATCCCTCACGGTCGCTATTATTTAGCTGACACAGGTTTTCCTTCATGTGATCTGTTACGATAACACAATTTCCGGACATCTCCTTTCCTTTTATTCTCCGCTTTAACTTTATATACTTTAAGTGCCACGCGGCATTTCCCTTTCTCGCGCCGCATTGCCTTTCTTTTACTTTTAGACTTAACTCTCTCACGCAGAGGAGCTGGCCATACGGGCTAGGCCCTATGACATCATCAGCCACTGCCTTCATCAGCTGTATAGTACACATGTACAAACAAACCTGTAGTAGTATATATACCCCAATAAATCCAGGAGACTCCTCAGCGAGTCCTCCTGTTGTTTACCCACAACTAACTCACTGCAGCCCAAGGGGTACCCGCTCCCCATCTTCCACTACCTTTATAGTGTGTTCCTGTGTGCGCCAGAGTAACTAACTCTTGGTTGTTACATGATCAGTTGCTGGTCCCCTAGAGGTGTCTGCTATCATTTGGCTGATTATGCTTGGGGAAACCAGAGGTACATTAGTTAGAATTTATACTGTGCTATACTATGCTAACATCTATTTTCCAGACCTCAAAACCCCAAAGAATATTTCAACTTACGCCATGCGTCTGCACAAAACATTGTCGAGCGCATATTTGGTGTTTTGAAGGGTCGATTTGGGATTTTGAGGGTTGCACTGAATTATGATATGTCCGTGCAAGCCAAAATCCCACCTGCTGTGTGCATGCTGCACGACTTTATCCGCACACATGACCCATCCAACATTGATGCCCCCGATGATATTGACCTTCTTATTCCCACTCCCAAAATTGATGATGGCAGACTTGCACAGAGCGCACCAATGGAGGCCAGTCATGTCACAGCAAACGCCCAACGAGATCAGATCACTTGTGCCATTTGGATTGACTATCAGCGAGAGTTGGGTAGGAGGGGCCTACTTTAGTATATGCACATTGATCCTGTATTTTCTTAAATAAAACACCAGGTTAGGTTGTTTAGAGACTGCATATATTGAAACTAACAACACAAAGACACACAAGATACACAATGTAATGTCTGATTAGCAATACAGTAAGCTACACCCATCCATATCTCTTTCATCTATCATCTACTCCAGCTTAGCCCTCATGTACGCCCTGTGAAACTTGTTGTTATGATAACACAATTTTTGGACCTTTCCTTTGAATTTCATTCTCCGCTTTAACCTTTTTACTATAGTTCACACTCCGTGCCATGCAGCACTTTCCTTTTCGTTCTAACACCACCTTCTCGCGCAGCGCTGCCTTTATTCTTCTTTTAGACACAAACTCTCTCACGCAGTGGAGCTGGTCACATGGGCTGCACCCTCTGACATCATCAGCCACTGCTTTTATCAACTGTACAGTACATAGGTACAAACACTCTGTATTAGTATAAATACCACAATAGATCAAGGAGACTCCTCAGCGAGTCCTCCTGTTGTTAACCAACAAACTCTCTGCAGCCCAAGGGGTAACCACTCCCCATACACTACCTTTATACTGTGTTCCTGTGTGCGCCAGAGTAACTAACTCTTGGTTGTTACACTCGTTGGACTCCAGGAGACTCAGGTATGTGTTGACAGCTACCATATCTTGCTCGAAAAGGCGGATTAACCGGATGGAGCTATCCACTCCCAGGTAGGTATCATTCTGCAACATAAAGGTAATGGCAGATCTGCAACGGACATTGTCCGGTTGTGCAGACATGTGGCCTTAAGGGATGTTAAATGCAGAGGCAGAAGGTTGGGAGGTGGTGGAATGGGCAGCGGTGGAAGGGGCAATGGTGGACAGGGTGGGGCTCTTCTCAACAATAGGTGTTTGGGCGGGGGCGTTAGGCAGGGAGGCAGTCGGGGGAATGCCAATATCAAGCTTGGAGTTGAAGTCTTTCATTATGGGGATGATTTCCACCAATTGATCATTCAACCCGTTAATTGCATTGGCAGTGGTATTGTGTGGAGCCTTTTTCAAGCCCCTACTATGGTTACCTGCACTCTTGCTGCAAGATATGATGGTAGCGCCATCATCACAATCATCGTCCGAGAGTGCAGCATCCCAGGCAGAGCGCTTGCTCGCGAGGGATGTGACAGATGAGCCAGGAGGGGCGCGAACAGAGGTTGGAGATGGGAGACCACCAAGCCAGTGGTTCACGTTATTGGGTACATCAGAGCTAATGGTGGTGGGACTAGGGACCCCAGACATGCTAGGATTAATCTTGTCGGGAGCAGCTGCAACAGGAGCTGGAGACAGAATCTTGTTGGGGGTGGCAGTGTTAGGAGGGTGGGGTTGGGGCACTGTGGCAGGAAGAGTGCTCTGAGACGTGCAAGGCTGCTGCTTGGATGCTTTTGTAACCTTAGGTTGCTTGGGGACTTTGGGAACACAAAATATTTTCGAACCTTTGGCTGGGGCGTTGCTCAGTGCAGCATGCATGGCGGTAAAGTGGACCCATCCTCTCTTCCGAAAGCCCTTTGCTACCGGATGTTTCTGTCTACTGATTAGCTATCAGTCTCAAAGTAGGATGGGAACATACCGCAATAAGCTCCTTCCAGACCACTTCACCCTCATCGAGTATGTTGAGTCCCAGTGCATTGTCCCAAGGGATGCCAGATAGGTTGGTGATAGGCTTCACAAGGTTGTACTTCGTATGAAGCTGTGAGTCTTAAGGTTAGCAAAAAGACTGATAGATCATGATAAGATAAGGGACATACCCGTCCCCATTTTGAGTTGCAAGCAGTGGCACTCTTTGCTGGTCCTCTGGTAAGAAGAGGTGCTAGATGCAGTGTGACTTTGGGCCAGAATTGAGGCTTGAAGTTCAAGCCGTCGCCTAATAAATCTAAGTGAAACTCAGCCGCTGCCCAAGAGGCTATAGAAATGACTTTATTATTTACCTAAGTGAAACTACAATAGATGTTAGTTTAAGGTGATCTCTAATAAATGTAATGTAACATACCTCAGCCGCTGCCCGGGAGGCTATAGAAACGACTGAGGTATTCCTATACTAAACCCCCTACTACTTATAGTCGGAGGTGCTACTCGCTACAGTATAATGACTCCTAGGAATACAATTGTGCTCCTAGGAGAACAATGGTTACTCCATGGAGTGGTGGCTATGCTTCATGGAGAACAATGGCTGCTTTGGCAGAGACCAGGTTTATCTAGTTTTGTCATGACATGCCTTCCTGGAATGAATGTAGACCTCCAGGTCATCAACATCTAATTTTCTCTCTGTTTTCCATTTGTTTTCCTGATCACTGTTGGGCACCCACATACATATTAATTGAGATACTGCCTATGGAGAAGCGCCCCGCTGATTTACACGAATATGACATACTTATCGGACTTGGATGATACAAAGCCAACGTCCGCTTTTACTACATACATTGGGCTAACATCCTCACCTATTTTTTGGGCAAGGAGGCTCTAAAATAACATGTCCAGAGTTGGGCGTACAGCGCCGTTAAAAATCGTCTATATATGATAGGTGAATATACATGGGTTCTACTTAATGCCCAAAACCCCTTCCCATGGTATCTTACACCCCTAATCTTGAATCTGCACCTTGATTGCACCCTGCGTAGGGTCCGCAGCGACATGGAAAGCCGCAACGGCATCTTCAAGCGTAAATCGGTGCGTTACAAGCGGCTTTAGGTTGATGAGGCCCCCAGCGACGAGTCTGATCGCCTTCGGGTACTATGTGCCATTAATGTGAGCGTGAGCGATAGGATATAGGATATGAAAGATAGAGACGATAAGGAAAGGGGTAAATACCTGATTGGCATATCGGTACTGGAAGCTGACGTCGATCTCGTTGGCACTGAGGTGCATAAAAGGGAACTATATAAACGCCACGTGCAAAGGAAGATCAGAAGTCAGTAAAACGGCAATTCCCCCATGTCAATTGACCACTGCGTGCTTACCAATTGTTCATTCTTTCCAACACCAATGATAAATACTTTCCCTCCAAACTGTGCCGACTGCATTCCCCATCGTCATTACAATCACCATAATCAGTAAGTGCTATCGGGGGCCGGGGAAAGCCACACGACAAAATGACTCACATGAACAGCAGTATGCACACTACTCTCCACCCCGGTGCATTCTATTGCCAGCTTCACGCTGCCCTCCGCCGCCTCCTTAATCAGTGCAGCTGAATCCTTGGGCGTAGCCCCGCGCGGAATGAGCACCGTGCGCACCCCAGGGACGAGCTTCTTGGCAAAGTCGAGCCGGCTCTGGAAGAGGTCGGTTATGACGATCGGCTCTGCGCCAGCTGCGCGGGCGGAGAGGAGGGAGACAAGGCCGATGGGACCTGCGCCACTAAGAGTTGAAGGGACGATTAGCATCATATTATAGCTTCATCGAGGTGGGAGAATAACGAACGTACCAGATCACAACAGAGTCGCCAAGGCGGAGGCCTGAGCGCTCTATACCTGCCAACGCTACGGCTAGAGGCTCACAAAGCGAGCCTTCTTCGAATGAAACGGAGTCGGGGAGCTTGTGCAGCCAATCTGCGGGATGGAGATGGAAGCGAGTGAGGGTCCCTATTGTTGAACGAGGGTTGTTCAGAGTTCAACATATTACATTGGGTTGGGTTCATAATTAAATTAAGGGGTGATGTGCACGTACCATGGTAGGGAGGCGTAGAGAAGAAAACAACGTCGGGGCCTCCAATGAAGGATCAGATTAGTCCATCTCCGTCGAATGAAATATAATCATGGGATTTAGAAAGAAGGTAGACATACATGCGTTGTACCTTCCGACGCGGCAGTAATCGCAAGACGGCTTCGAGCAGGGTACACCAGCTTCGATAGCCACCCGATCACCTGGGATCGCGTCATGATTTCAACATTATTTCAAAGCAAGGAAACGGTAAGACTTTAACTGACCAACTTTCCACTGCGACACTCCAGGTCCGACTTCGATAACTTCACCAGCAGACTCATGTCCAGACCCGCACTAAGAGTCATCACATCAGGCTTATCAGAATTTTTTCTTTGCTGGAAACTTCAACAACATGCACCTCATCCGTGACGATCATCGAGTCTCCTATCCTACCGTGCTGCCAAAAATGAACATCGCTCCTAGCAAGCGACACCGCGTTTTAGAAAAGACGATACAAAAGGCCTTGTGTTATTACCCGCATATACCAGTCGCACGAACATGCACGAGAACTTGCCCAGGGCCTGGTTTCAAACGCGGTTTTTCGACGATATGGATCTCGTGCTGGGGGTTGTAGAATGCTGCGATGTTCGCCTCACTGGAGGGCTTTTCTCCCGGCTTTAGGATTTTGAACGCAGGGTCTTGGAGGATTTTGCGCGGGTCGTAGATCTCTGCATTTCCACCGTCAGGCATTGCTGTAGAAGTGTATTTTCTGGGATATCGATTGATTTAAAAGTTTGTGAGATTGGGAGATAACGGATTGACGGATAAAATGTAGACGATCCCTTCTTCAGCGAAAGAAATCACGGTGGAAGATTTGCGTGCCCCATTATATATGCTTTCCTAGGATCTAGGCTGTAGTTCTACAGTTCCACGGATCTATGCTCTGAGGTAGATAGAGTGCGGTAAGCGGAGGGTCACCAGACTGCACGGAGTTCACCGACCCGCTCAGACCCAGACGGCCGGTCCGAAGCACCAGTCTTAAATGATTTTATCAAAGTCTATTATGACGCCTCTCAGCTCTGCATATCATTACAGTAATCAAACATATAAAATTCTGTCGTGTATATCATCACTTAGATGTAATCCATAAAAGCATATGCTGCTGCATTATCCTATGCATTTCTCACAGGCCCTCGCTCTCTCTGCTCATTTTCGTCAACTGGACCAGCAGTTCTTCGATGCGCTTCTGACTACGCTCGATCTTGTCCATTCGTCTAGTCCACTGTAGCGTCCCGCCATTATTATCGTTATCCTCTTCGAGCTGCTCAGCAGTCAGGGGTTCTTGCCGCTGGTTAGGGCTCTCTGACAACGGCCCTTCCGAAAGTGATTCTTGCCGTGCCTCATTCTCCGTGGACGGGAATTTCCTAGGGCCCATAGTATGGAGATGTAAAAGGTCATTGGTAGGTCTTCTATGCATGGACTGCATCGAGGTCAACCTCCGCCTGCTCGCCGGACCGTAGCTGATGAGAGGAGGAGCATTCAACACATCCTCTTCGGGTATGTCCTCGTCTACCAACAAAGGCTGAAAAACTTGCGCAAGGGGACTGTAGCTTTGGGAGATATCTGGACGCCCAAGGACCGAGTTTACGCGTCGTCGTGGCACAGCGGATGTAGGTGAGCCAGGAAGTGGTCGGTTTGTAGTGTGAGGACTTGGCCGTGGTGGTGAGGGAGGAATTTGCAGCTTTGGCGGAGATGCCGCTAGATCATTGGATGGAGGAAGAGGTGGTGGATGCGGTGGATGCGAAGAACCATTGGATGGATGAAGAGATGGTGGTGGCATATGCGAAGATGCGTTGGAAGAAGGTCGACGGACTGATTTCTTAGAGGAAGAACGGCGGTGTAAGAGATCAAGGCTTGGCAGCTCATCGTATTCCCGAGTATCCAGAGCACTGTCAAGTTCATCCTCTAACTCGAAAATCTACGGACAGATAGTCAATAATGGCTGGGAATTCCCCTCGTGTGGAACATATGCGGTGCTTACAACATCAATGTCAGCACCAGACCCTGCAAGCCCTTCAAATAATGCTGTACATTTATTGTTAGCAATAAAAGGACGTTATTTCACCTGTGAAGCAATACACTTACTGAGTTTCTTCAAATGTCGAGGAAGGGTATCAATAATCTTTTCAGCAGCAGCTGAAAGAGTGTCATAAAACCCTATAGAACTATTCTTCTTCGCCTGTCTTTCATACCACGCAATTACAAGCAGAACCGGGAAATTGGTTGCTCTATAGATGCATTTAATTACCACTCTTGGGAGGAACCACAATTAACTACCTTATCATGAAGACATTGACCTGCAGATAGTAAAGATGGTTGAATCCAACGGAAGTATTACCAAAGAGTGAATGGAAGCCATACCTTATGAAACCAACGTGGAGAAAGTATGTAACTTGAGGGTAATAAAACACACAAAGCGAGTAGATTTACGGGCGGTTGGTAAGAGAATAGCGAATCTGCTTTCACACTAGCCAGGTTTTTTAAGAGAGAATGTTAGGTATATCCTACAAGATAAACGTACCCTTCGATGGTAGAAACTGCTCTTCGAAACATTGCCTAAGACCCAACAGATAAGTAACTGCAAATTAACACAATTTGCGAATAGTTCACCTCTGCTGCAGCATCCTCATTGATTTTAGCGAAGGTATTCGAGAGAATCTACTCACGAAATGGATCAAACGTATATTCGAGTGTTGTCGTTAGTACGTACCGAAACCAGAACTATATCGAGTGATCGCTTGTTAAACGCAACATCAAACAAAAGAAAGCATTATTCGCCACGTACCCGTCAATAGCAGCGTGTTGCTAAGGCATGCATAGGTGACCATCAAAACTGGTCCAAATACAATATCGAATTCGGCTAGACCAAAGATCAGACTCTGAGTAGTGGTGCAGCAACCAACTCACATGCGCGATCAAACCCGCTGGCGTCAAGACCAAACCAAAGGTCTAGCATCCACCACGCAATAGTACTGTTTGTATCTGATGTCAACAAGGACTAAAGCTGTAGACACCTTTGTATCTTACCTCACAGAGTGTCTGATACTAACGCGTCAGCAAAATAAATATCAAGTGACTGTTTTGTACGAACCTGGCTTGTTTCCTGCTCAAGCTGAGAAGAGAAAGATAGTCAAGACCATGTACGTCAGCATGGCGAAAATGAAAGGCACTGACGTCCATAATGCATACAGAAACCCGCCAAAACAGAACGCTGCTATCATCATTAAAACTACGAATTGCATCATCATTGCTCGCAGAGAAAGGACCATTAAGTTGTTCTTAAGGGTAACAAATGCCAGACTGCCAGCGCCAGGTAAGATAGCAACACAAGACAGGGATGACTAGAAATTATCCCTACCGCGGGAACATCAGGCAGGCAATGACGGCCAGGAAATCTATTCCTATGTTTTGTGCCCAGACACCTAAAGTGGAACGACATATGTCAACATCATTCCTCCCTATCCTAGTAAAATGAACTACGAACGGTGATTTAGTACACCGTAGAGTCGAAATGAGACATATATGCAATATGCCGTTACTATGAAAAAGTTATTTTAGCCGAAAACGAACAGTAAGATTGGTTGTAACGAACCAAATGCCAGGTCAAACCCATTCTATAACAACGGGTATAATATCGTCATTTCAGAGACAATTTGGGATAAGCAACAATAGAACACTCACCCACGTGCCCTTAAAATATACTACTTGGCGTCAACGTAAGTATAAAATGGAGGGGAGAATTACAGACCTTTGATACCATGTTCTTGCATGGCAGCAACCTTCTCCAGTGTAAAACCAAGTGCATAAACCATAAAAAGGATCTCTGGTATATTGAGCCTATGCCGTTCATTCATCTCGATCGCAACAACGAACAGTATGAATAAGATGAGAAAACTGGTTTAAAAGATCTTGGTCAGAATGTATCCACGATGATGAGATAAGAACTCGTACTTTATGTATTCTAGAACCGAACGAATGGCAGGGACTTTTAGCCTATGCATATATGCTCAGGCATCGTTTAAAGGGGCATTGAAGCTTACAAACCTGTAGTGATCCAATAGCGGTGCTTTGTGTGGATCATAAAAATGGATAGGAGTGCGTTTATAAGTCTATCATATGACAGTGAGCAGGACGAACGAAGGCTGTATCAAGACCTTACATCTGAGAGGATAGAATGGCTGCTCTCTGCCTGGTAAACACATTTCCCTCTGGAACCAAACATTAGAATATACTTTCCAAGGATGTCAATAACATACATCCAAATACCGTCGATAACTTTTTGACACGGCGAGCTTTTGATGAATCGTTTTGCCTTGCTTATGATAGCCATTTCTATTGCATTCCCAACCCGCTCCTCCAAATCGTCGTCGCGTTCTTCTCTTGCCTGAGCGATGGTGTGAGCATCAGCTCCAGACCAGACTGGCCAGCTTGTGGTAAGTGCGAGAGCCAGGTCCAGCATGCTATTTCCATTGTCTCGTAAGATACGAATGGCAAGGATTTCACAAAGCATTGCGCGTGTAGAAGAAAGGGGCCCGGTTGTTAGATTTTGATCACGTATGAAGTGGACGCGATTGAGAAGAAAGCAAAACACGACCGACTTGTTACCGCCGCGTTGGATAGAGTTATACTTCTCTTCGAGGGGCCTTATAAGGGTATATGTCAAGTCGGGTGCCGTTAGCTGCGAGATGAGTCAGAATGCACGATGTAGTTTAGCTGTATTCGCGACGTACTGCGTCCAATGTGAGCGGGGTGTCTATGACTTCTGCTTGAGCTAGACTGTTGAGCACCACAGAACGACCACTTACCTATGTAGTGCTGATGTACACCCCGTGTTTATCAGACACATTCACGATACGAGCAAAAGAGAATGGCGCACCATGACGTCCTGTTACCGCGATTAAGTCAGAAACAAGACTAGGACCTGAAGAGAAAACTGACTGCTCTGATTGTATGTATTATCGGCCATACCTCGACATCTTCGTGTGGAAGCAAGGGTTGCCGTTCCCGCTGGGCTTCGGACATGTTCTGGTTTTCTTTCTTGGTTGGACACCACTTAGGGGGGCGTCGACAGCCGAGTTCGAGCTCCGATGATACCACGCGTTGCCTCACCGCGCCGCCCGTCGCGTTCTCGCGCGCAGACGCCAGTGTCGCTTTCCTTAGACCATCACTGCAGCCTCATTTTTTATTCCGTTGGGCATGCAAAGCACATCAAGAAATGCGGGCCAGGCTCCCCCTGTAAAGATATATAATGCCGTCTATTCATCCGTTCAGGTCATTATATGCCCTTCTTCATACTCCATTCACGTTCTGACACGGTCGCGTCACGCTTCAGGTATACGAATGTATGGTCCGAGGAATCGCTGTCATGCGCAGGCGCGGGGATTCTTATGTGAACGCCACTCAAATATTGAAGGTAGCTGGTGTAGACAAGGGGCGGCGCACAAAGATCCTGGAAAAAGAGATTCTGCCCGGTAAGCATGAAATCGTTCAGGGTGGCTATGGCAAGTACCAGGGCACATGGTGCGTTCGCGTTAACGAGGCTCTCTGATGATAAACCACGAATGCTTATATGCTAGGATACCTCTTGAGCGAGGGCGTGACATCGCTGTGCAGTATGGCGTCGCTCCTCTACTTGGGCCTTTATTCGACTTCACTCCTAGCTCAAATTCTTTAGGATCCTTGCCCGCAGGAAACACGACCGCCTCTCCGCGCCCTCTTTCCGCTTCCTCTTCTTTTTCAAGTCTTGGCACTTCTAGTAACTATGTACACTCCGGTTTGGCCCCTCCTCCCATCATGCCCGGCTCCGCTCTTCGACTTCTAAATCAAGGCCGCGCTCAAGGCCTATTCACACCATCTACGTCCAGCCTTGCGCCACAGCGATCAGCTGTATATTCATCTACTCTATCAGGAGGATATGCACAGTCTCCCCTGTCCGGTGTTTCCCCAACGCCTCCTCCGAGTCAACAATCTCTAAAAAGGGCTCGCTCTGACACTGAAGTGGACTTCTTATCTACACAGTCTACTCAGCCTCTCTCTGCTCATGGATCGTCACATTCATTGCTTGAAGCTGCTCCTGAGATACACACGTTTGATCGCTCGCGACATTCTTCAGTAGCTTCACGAACCAATGGCGATGATGGTCCTTCGCCGAACAAGCGTATACGTAAGGAGCCTACGCCACCTCAAAGCCAAGTCTCTCATGAAATCCCTCATCGATCTTCTTCCCGTACCCCTTCTCAAGCCCCAGGCCAACCGGTGGCTCCGTCTAGACCAGGATCCCGTATGCGAGGAGCTTCCCCTCCAGCGTCAAATGGCATTTCTAGGCCTGCTAGCACTGTTTCAGGATCGGCAAATGGAAAGCCTGTGAATGGAACAGAACATGAAAGTGTTCGCTTTGCTTCAAAACCTTCATTATTTCGCACTGGTGACCCTTCAGCTCCTCTTCGTGACGTGCGACGTGCAGCAATTGTAGCTTCAATATATCAGCGCGATGATCCTGGTGCTGTGTTGAACATGCTTCGTGAAGCCTCTTCGGATAATTCTTCGGGACATGCGGATATCGACATCGTACTTGACGACCAGGGACATACCGCCCTCCACCTAGCAGCTAGTATGGCTCGTCTGCAAACGATAGAATCATTAATTAACAGTGGCGCGGATGTTCAACGCGGAAATTATTCCGGGGAGACACCTCTCATTCGCGCTTGTATAGACACACACAACGCTGACCAGCAGTCCTTCCATGCTCTTGTCGCAGCACTTCATCCATCTATTCGTACCCTTGACACGTCTCGAAAATCTGTACTTCATCACATCATGAGTGTCGCGGGCATACAAGGACGTATTGTCTGCGCCCGTTACTACCTTGACCAAATATTCTATTGGATAGCTAATAATCAAGGCGGAGACTTTAGATCACTTGTAGATTTGCAGGACGAACATGGTGATACAGCATTGAATATCGCTGCAAGGGTCGGAAGCAGAAGTTTGGTAAGAACTCTGTTGGATGTCGGTGCTAATCGCATACTACCCAACAAACTGGGTTTACGGCCTGGAGATTTTGGAGTTGAAGTTGAGGTAGGCTTTGTTTCCAGCTGCAAAATGATACAGATCTAATCATGCGATGTTTGTGTGTAGGAACTCAGTGGAGGTCCTCGTGCCGAGGATCTGTTATCTTCGTTGAGGACTGGACCCTCGCCCCCAGTGCAAAAAAGTCAGGATATTATATCTGGTTCGTGCGCAAAATATCGCTATTTTCGAAATACTCACTTTCATGCCCAGACATGACGGCGATGATACAAGGTCTCAGTGCAGACTTTTCTACTGAGATCAAAACAAAGCAAGATTCGCTCGACGTCACCCAAGCCCATCTTCGTGCAGCCACAAGGGAGTTGTCTGAGCAGCGCAAACAGATTCAGCTTTGGCAGAGTCGTTGTGGCGAGCTCGACCAAGTGCAACAGCGCATACGCAATTTGGAGAAGGCTTTATCTGATGAGGATAATTTTGATTGGACTGGCCGGACTGATCTTTCTGGGAAGAATGCCCGCGAGTCGGCAGGCCCTGCATTCCAATGGAGAGGGCACAGCTCAACTATGACCGGTGTTGGAGGTTCTGTTGATGTTTCATTTAGCGTGGAAACAGAACCCCCTATACCAACCACGGATTCCGTCGCAAGTTTAGTACGACTACGACGCCTGAAGATATGGCATCTGCGGATGCAGGAACTGATGCAGGCAAGGCTCAAGTCGTTGCAAGGTGCAAGTGCAGAGAAAGAATATCAATGTAAGAAGATTGTCGCGCTGTGTACAGGAGTTCCTATCGACAAAGTGGAGGATGTGAGTTGCGAGAGCCTCATTGTAGCACAGTGTAATTTATGCTCTCGTTTAGATGCTGGAAAATCTGGTCATTGCAGTGGAGAGCGAGGCTCAAGTTGTAGATATTGGGAGAGTTTCTGGTTTTATGCAGAAGGTGCGCCAATCTCTCGTTCGATCTCGATGAATGATCGACTCAGTAACGGGCTCTCCATCTTCCTTGCCTTCTAGGTCAGGGATGGTCTTATATAATCAACATCCTTCCGTTATTTTTCTTCTCCATTTGTCTATTTTCTCTCTCTCTTGTGTATGGCTATTGGTTATCACAATTGTATTATGCTCCACGTCAAATTTTATGTTACCAAGTTATACCGGAACATCCTCAGGCGCAAACAACTGGAAATTACGGTTATACGTCCCTGATGCAAGGAGCTGGGCATCACTGGATAAGTCGACTGACATGACTTTTCCAGCGTCCGTCGCAAGGGTGCGAAGGAGTTGCCAATCATCCGCACTCCATAATTTGACGAAGCCATCATACCCAGAACTAGCAAAATATGACCCTGACCGATATTTCCACTCCTCCGATATATTCGTCTCTACGTCATGGCTCTCATCTGGATTCTCCTCCGTCCCATTCATGGTGATGTCAGTTGCTATTTGTTTTGTTGGTAGATCACCACCTCGGAAGAAACGAATGTCGGAAACGTTAGAAAGATGAGCAGGGATGGTGTACAGGGCCTTTAGAGAGCGCATGTCCCATATCCGAATAGTATCGTCACCAGCGCCAGTGGCAATTTGGTATCTGTGAGAGGGTATGAACTACTGGCAACCACCAAAATGCTTGAGACACACCCGTTTGGTGAGAAAGCGATCGCAAATATTGCTTGAACATGGCCATCGAGGACCATAGCCGTGCGACCTGTACGAAGATCCCAAACCCGACCAATAGCATCAAGGCCACTGTTGGATAGTTTAAGTCCAATGTGAATAGCTGTGCCAATTTCAGGTTTACGTACCCAGAAGCAACCAAGGCCCCGTCATCTTGAAATTCCACTGAGTAGACCTCTTTCGAGTGACCCTCCTGGAGTAGCAGTTCTTTTGAGGTTGCCACATCCCATAACCGCCAAGTTGTATCGAAACTTGCACTCGCAACATAGTCACCGGAAGGATGAAAGGCAACACGGCAGATTCTGTCTGCATGCCCTTTCATCACTGAAAGCGGTACATCACTGCAAGTAGAGGATGAGTACAACTTGAACCGAATTATTTAGCAAATCCTTACCTGTTCAAAGACCACAGATTCACGTTCATATCCCCAGAACCACTGGCAAGATTGACTAGCCCCTCACCTTGGGACAAAGTCGCTTGAGGATGCCATGCAACACCTCCCACTCGTTCACCATGCCCTTAATATCAAGGTCATAACATTTCTGTCGAAGCACAAGAAGGTATGAGCCCACCTCGCAGAGTTCGAATAGTCGTACAAGCTGGAACACTCCATAATTTCACTGTTCCCGACCAGCTACCTGTAGCAAGGATCTTGCTATTCGGTGCAAAGCGAACTTGTGATATTGGCCGCTCGTCGCCTATCTGCGAGCCCAGATTACTGTATTTCTATTGCAATAAATAAGCTGATACACTACAGTCTGATAATGAAAATTGTTTTACCTTGACTTCAGCAAATATCTTTTTTCTCAAGTCGATGATTCGACCTAAAGACATTTTGCTGTCTATCCGCTGCTGGGCGACTCGCTTTTGAGCTCTGAAAAGTTGCGAGTTTGAACATAGTAAGCACCTTTCTTATATAACCGTCTATAGCTGAAGATTAACCTGGGGAGAGAGTACTCCGCTAAGCGTCTACGTGCCTCAAGAAGCTCTAACGAGCCTAATGAATAGAACTCTTCCTGCTGGTGAGAATAGGTTAATATAGCAAACCATTGGTACAATTAGATGAATTTACCTCATCTTCGCTTTCTTCGGAGGATTCCTCCTCTACTTGCATTGCATCATCGCCACGAGCAGCATTTATTTGTGACAGGACATATATCAGACGGTCTCTACGATCTGCTTGCTGTCAAGATAGTGTGTTACTTCAGGCATGTAAGTAACGAAGGGTAAAACACTCACCCGTTCACCAAACAAGGTAATAGGTTCTCCGATTTCCCTAAGTCTTGCTTTTACGCGGTTATCATCCGTCGGTACAGCCATATTCCTTGCTTTCTTCTTCCGTTCCAATTCGTCCAAGATGACTTTATTTTCCATCCGGGCTCTTTCAGAGCCTAGATAGTTACCATCGTCCATGAGCGTGTCGTATGTTAGCTCGCTCATTTTGAAGAGAAGCTGAAGTGATAAGATGCAGAGCTATTCAACGTCAATACGCAAAGTATGAGATCGCTCCAAACCTACAAGCGCTGTATTCAAATGAGTTTGTTTGGCAGAAGCTTTAGAATCAAACAATCATATATGGTATATATATCTCACGATTATTCGCTTCAGATAATCCTTCAAACTCACTTATGTACAAACTTCCTCGCGAGTTCCCGACAATATATGATGAAATACTTTATGCCCAGCATAATATGGAGTTACAATCACTCATGTCCCGCATAATAGAGTGCTAAATAGTTTCTCTCCTCGTATTGTTAGCACTAAGCTGTTTCACTGGTGTAGTCAGGGATTGATTTCGGGCCACCGTAAATATCCTTTGTGTACTGAATGTCAATATGGTGCTAGATACGTGCGAAGTGATTAGCATGGATTGAATTGATACAAACAGCCTGCTCACTGCATCTTGATGGCGTGATAAACTTGCCGCCTTGACTACCGAGCTGGATTTATAGTTAGGTGAAAAATCGTCAACTGTCAATGCATTTGCTGTATTGGGAGTAGAGGGACGGCTATTGAGCCTAAATGAAATTTCAGCAGGGTACGATAACTGTAGATGTGATCCAGATAACATACGTCGCAAAAAGGGAAATAGCATATACTATTAAGCCAATGTCAATTGCAATTAGCCATTTGAAACTGTAGGGGATAAACCAAATAATACATACGTTTACTTTGCACTTGTACAAAGGCGATAAAAACAAGGATGGTGGGGACTGTGAGAAACTGATAATATTATTAGTGATACTTCTATCATTTGAAACTTTCTGTTTCACCGTTAAAACCACAACAACACCGAAGAGACTAGCAGGCGTGAATTTGTGAAGCTCGAAGGTAACCTGAATGTAATCATACTCACGACGTGACTACACCCGTGTTGATTGTGTACAGAAGTAAGCGGTTGATGACGCTGTCAGTTCTTATCTGATGTATTAGCGGTTAATCTCAAGCGTGGCCTCGAACTTTGGACATACCGCCTCAAGCCTGAGCGATGCTTTCGAAGATAGTAGCATAGAACGAAAGCTATGCAGCTATCAGCTAGAACGGATATTACCCAACCCACGACCATGGTTGGCTATCCAAAGTAAGCCTTGACGGCATGCGCTTCGACACGTGAACACTCACATAGACATGTTCTCGGAATGATTTCCATTCTGCATACCGGAAACTAGGATATTTTAGTGTGTAAGCATACTGAAGATGCAAATGTACGGCATACCTCAGAGAACAGTTGGTCAAGCCAAAGCCTGCAGGTATTCAGGAGCGTTCAAACGCAAGTAAATGGATTAGCTGACCTAACCGAACGGTTGATACTACCCCCTGTGCAGGAAGAATAGGCATAAGTATAGTATACTATCATTTCCACGCAACCAGCTACTCACGAGACAGATTGCTATCCACAGCTTCTCGCTCACTATATGAATATGAGTGATGGTAAGGTTAGGGGCCGTCTTTACTTACGCAGCCAAGCACGCCAGATAAAACACCTGTAATCAGTTTTTTGTTAGTAGTGCTTAGGTTTGGATAGTTGGTTTGGGCCTGGATACGCACAAATTAACGCAGTAGGCAATGCAAAACTAAGCCTGTCATTAGTCATTACAATTTTACTGGAAAACCAACGCGCTTACGCCAACGATATATGTCGCCTAATTGAAGATAACCCAATCAGCTGCAGCTCACATTAACTACTGGTAACTCACGCCCATACTCCTAGAATTTTGTGATTTAATCGACGTCAACGTCAATATATAGAATGGTCAACGTACCAAATGATGTAATTCAGCATCGCTGTATCAGAGAAGTGCCCTATCAGATAATATTCCACAAAATGTATTGATAGAGCTGTATGAGCCGTCTCGAGGATGCTGATGGTACGGTCAGATTCTGTTTAGTGAAAGAAAAATCCAGCTATCCAACCATATTCCAAGGACCTATTCAAAAACTTGAATAATGCTCCATAACGATCAGAAGAAATCAGACACACCAAAAATTTGAAAGCCTTCCTGTCCCCCCCATAATTTCGGAAGTAGAAAAATGTTTGCATGCAGATAATTCCGTATAATAACATCGTAGCAAAAGTGCCGCATAAAGGTCCTTGCATTATTGCCATAACCGCAGTGACTGCCATCGTAACTCGAAGCTGAGCGGTAGAGAAGGGATGTGAGCGGACAACACGATGTTCTCCTAACTCATGGTTGATTATATGTGATATGACACGGTTCCACGAGCCTAATCGTTCACGAGATATCGTATGCTCGACGTTAGGTCGGGGCACCGGTACCAATAAAGTTCAGCTCGAGGCTTTCGCACATGACTTTCGAAGTCGCAGTGTAACCATTTCTTGGTTCTAAAAATATACAAGTTATCTCGACCTTTACTAATTTTGAGTTAGCTTACCACTATGCTAATAGCAGTAATTTAGGCATCACGCACGAACACAATTGCATTCTAGCGCAAATTGAAATTGTTCAAGGCTATAGGAAACCATCAGTATTGAACTGGTCAACCACAACAATGGTATTTATAGATGGGACATTTAGTAGTACCAGGCATGGCCGCTTGGAAAGGGGTAACGCGGAAATGGTTTGACAGTGAACGTACGGCCCCAGAGAACACGGTAATATTGTTCATTCAGCAGAGGGGTCCCCGTGCTGACTACTGGCAGTTGCCAACGAGGGTCCTTGCTGCAGCGTGGTGAGAGTATGTAACTAAGTTTTATACCCCTGTCGTCTTCGATCCCTATCGCGCATGCATTGGTAGGAAGCTTCGTGATCGCCTTGCGGATGTAAGATAGGACCTCAGTACCAACCCACTCAGTATAACATCAGCGAACCCTTTACTTGCTTATCGCCTAATTGGCTTGTGTACTGTGCAGCACGGAGAGTAACTTAAAAGGCAAAGACGGAAATAGCCGCACGCACTTCTACCAGCATGACGCATTTAAACGCTTGATTGACGATATGTACATCTGCGACCTGTATTTTGCAACAATTATGATTGGCTTCCGGCTGAAGTTTCGACGACAGTCTCCCAGAAATATAATGTATTGAGCTGGGTATCAATCCATTCCAAAAACAAAAAAAACGCCCCACTGAAGCGCGAAAAGGGTATAGGCGATCAAGCAGTTTGAGCGCCAGTGAACCGCTTGAACGTGAACCTATGATGTTTTATGTTGTCAGCATGTATCGCACGGAAGGACAGTGATAGAATATCGCACCCCAAGAAAGCAAGGTCTTTGTCTGAACCCACCTGTTCGACAACTTCGAGTTGCTCGGGCGTATTACTGAGCTCCTCCGTTGGGAAGTACGATGTATCCGTGATGGAAGATAGCGCAGGAACGAAAGGTGGAGCGATGTATCGCAAGCTATTCCAGTCAGCACCAAAGAAAAAAGGATGTGCTTTGACCTGGTCCACCGTGAGACGTGAATTCGCCCAAGTCATCATGCTGTACTATGGTCAGGAACAGGAGAGAGAGATTGGCGTCCAAACAAACCTTCTAATAAGATGTTCTCCTTCTTGACTGAGATGTACCTCTTCCGGGAAATAGAGATAGTTAGGCCAATCGATAATCTTCTTGTACGTGTCGCTCGGGTTCTCCGAACAGAATGGGGCATACCCAACCAAACATTCGAACATGATTGCACCTAATGACCACCAGTCGCATTCTTTACCATACCCTTTCAATAGGAACACTTCTGGTGCAATGTAGTCGGGTGTCCCTACCCGATTCTCAGGGAAATCCATCTGAAAAGATGTAAGTCCTACTTACCGACTGTAGAATAAGCCTAGAACGAAGATATGTCAAATCAGGTATATCTTGGGTCATATAAGTCTCACCAGCTTCCGACGATTAGCTTTCCAGGTAGCAATTTGCTCACGGCTCATTGTTAGATGGATAGGGTTGACTTGAACACTATTACGAGCCGGATCTCTGGCTTTCTCTTGGTCAAGAAGACGCTTGTAGTAATCCCCGTCCGTCGTCTTATGCAAGCCAGTTGACAAACCAAAGTCCGATAGTTTCAAATGTCCATTCTTGTCGATCAGGATGTTATCAGGCTTGATATCCCTGTCGAAAGCGATCTCGTTAAATTGCATTCCCAGAGCAAGAATTACCGCACACCTATGTATGTAGCCCAAATCATGTACGGCTTCGATTGCAAGGATGCACTCTGCCATGTAAAACCGGGTCACATCTTCAGAAAAAACGTCGTACTTCATCAACATTGTCATCAGGTCACCGCCAGGAAGGAACTCCATGATTAGGTATAAATATAGAGGATCTTGGAACGAATAGTACAATTGTACCACCCAAGGCGATGTGGATTCCGCCAATAGATCTCGCTCCGCTCGGACGTGAGCAAGCTAACCCAAGATATCAGAAATAACTTGTTGGATGAGGACAACGGCGAAGTACCTGATCCCGCTTCAACATCTCCGCCTTCTGTAGTGTTTTCATAGCATAAACCTTTCCGGTGTCGACCTTCTGTACTAATCGCACCTAAGGAAAATGCAATCACTAAGCTGCAAAACTTAAGACCACAAAACAAAACGCACCTCGCCAAATGCGCCTTTTCCAATGACTTTTATTGTACGGAAATCGGTCAGGCGAATCTTCGTTCTCCGCAAACGTAAATGTTGTGATTCGAGCTTGCGGTATTTACGAATCTCGCGCTCCTTTGACTCGTTGGGCATCATCGCCTGGTTGATCTTGAGTTCCAGTTCAGCACGCCTATCACATGAGTGAACACTGGGATATATGCGTAGGTACCGGATGCAAATCACCTTCCGTTACGTTCAATCGCGGCATCAACAGCGACTTTATAGTATGACTCCATTTTCAGTTTGGTCGCTGTAGCTCGAGATACTGCATCGGACGAGAATTCATCGGTGGATCGTTCGAAATAAACATAGTCGCTGCTTCTCGCCTTGTTGGCTGAACTCGATCCCGGAGCAGAGCCAGGTTGCGAGTTTGACGGCTGGGGACTCCCATTGCGAGAGCTAGTGAGCGCATCAGATGGAGGGTATTGGCTCATTGTCGACAGTGACTCGGAACGAAAGAAAGAGAAATTGGTTGATGAGTAACAAATCCTGGCGAGTCGTGAAAATAGTCGAAGCAAAAGGCGAGAGAAACGTAAAAAGTGTGCTGTGTCGTTAAGGAAAGGGTATATTGTTTACACCTGAGCGTGGCGCTATGGATAATATCACTGCAGCAATTCTCACGAATTCTCACAACATAGACATATGTTACAGATGAAGCTCGACAGTATTTTCATAGTTAATAGGCGACACCGAATTCGAGTTATTGGCTCTGCTTTTTTTTATTTTTTATGAATGTAGCAACCAGCACTGTGAGCAATGATATTCTGCATTGACATGCATTAAACTTATAATTGTCAGTCGCTACAATTTACCTAATAAACAAGGTAGGAAAGTAATGGGGAGACAAATTCCGCTAACTAGATTATCAGACAAGCCAGGGCGCGCTGACGATAAGAAGATTTGATGTCTGTCAACGGTGTGGATAAGAATTCGTGTGAGATATTGACCCAAGTGTGGTCATATTTGAATCCAAGGCTCTTGCCAAACAAACACTTGGGTACTCGCTGGCGCGCCTGCCAGTGAGCGCCTGACTCAGGGGGTATTTATTGATATATGTTGTTTTCGATTATATGCTTCTTCGACACATACCTTCTTCTACTACGGCTTCACATGACACTTCGATAGAAGGCCGTGTTCTCTACTAGTACTATTTCATACCCCGCAGAAGTGAGGATGTGGTTATTTTACATAGTTTTTTCTTCTGGTCAGACTGTGCATGTACAACCCCCTGGAAAATATAGTTTATGTACCAAAATGCAGTCGAAGGCATGGTCATTAACTCATCTGCTGTGCTTCTCTGTATGATGATTCGCACAATCATAGGTGTGAAGAGTCACATAAAGCACTACTATAACCTCACACTGGACGACGATGACAATAGAAATAGAAATAGTATAAGTTGACGTCCACAGCTCCGGGCAGGTATCAGTTCCATCGGGGAGGTTCATCCCAACGGCTACGGTGATCTGAAGGTGCATCATCCGTACCATTCCGATTTCGTGCCCTCGGCCAACCAGAGTCCAACGGCTTACGGGGAGTGTTCCCTCTTCCCCTCCCCCTTCCTCGTCCTCTCCCTCGTCCACGATCACGATCACGATCACGGTCATGGTCGTTCTGCCAACTACGCCCTCCGCGTTCTGGCCTATCATAAGGTGGTGGGCCAGATCGATGATCTCGATCATAGTCATGATGTTCGTATGGCGGTTGGTTGTAAGAAGGTCGATGGGGCGACATGGTGCTACGATTCGGGTTCATACTAGACTGGCCCATATGGGGCTGATGTACAGATGTATTGGGGGGATATTGCGGAGGAAAGCTAGGTAACGTATTTGGCCAGGCTTGAGGAACGGGAGGAGCAAGAGGGGCAGGCTGTGTAGGCGGAATGCTACTGCCCAGATGAGAATGTCCAGCGATAGGTACTGGATTACTAGATGAAAGGGTCCTGAGCATATTCTGGATTTGTTCCGGTGTCAATGAGGCCACCTCAGCTACCAAGTTTTGGGTGAAAATCTGGGGCTGCCCTTGTGTCGGAAGCGGGGCGGCCGAGATAGGCGTATTGAATATAGGCATGCTAACTGGCATGCTGGAGGGTAATGCAGGCGGTGGTATTGGTGGTGGCGCAGGTGCCGTCAAGATTGGGAGGGGCGGAGCTAGTTTACCCTTTGTTAGAACCCAGATGCCAATGACATAGTTTATTTTCCGCGTTCTTGGTAAACGCAGCTCATCCAACAATTCCATGTAATCAGGAAGGGGTTCGCTAGCAATTAAGGGAATGATGTACAGTTCTTTCCCGGGATGATGTTCCTGCGGTTTAGGGCCCCATGGAAAGACGAGACCATGTCGACTGTCGATAACGTATATATCAGCTGTTGTTTCTAGATCCAAAAGGGGCATAGACTTACTTTTTACCGATCAGGAAATTGCTAAATCTTTGAAGTCCCCCTCCATCATCGTCACGAGGGCTAAAAGCAACAGCTATTAGCTCTTTTGAGGGATTTACCCTCATTTGAAGAAGAAACTGGGAAGAGTTTTCCACAGCTACGCGGCCTTCGATGCGAAGAACATCTGTTGGAAATAGGGTTTTCCATAGTGGTGAATCTACCACAAGCGCCCGTCCCCCCATTTGACGGGCCAGAACTGGTGTTTCCTGATATACAGGAGAGTCGAGGGGCATCGCAATCTAGAACCAAGGATAATGTCAGCTCTTTTCTTTTCTGCAAATCTAATACACACCTTCCCAGTCCAAACCAATGGTAAACCCTCAAAGATATCCTCTTCAGATTGAGGATTAGGCTCCATCATAGCCGACTTGTCTTCCGGTTCCTTCTCCTCCAAAAACATATCGAAATCGTAGTCGTTAGCTTCCTCTCCTAATATCTCGGACTCCATTATGGAATCCTTGGTGTCTGCGGCTTCTTGTGGTGGAGGAGGTGGAATGACATCATCTGATTTCGAAGCAGTCCATAGGGAGCTCAGGTCGAAGGACGATCGCGTGCTCGACTCTGGCTCAGATGGGCGAGAAGCAAATGGAGACATACCAATCTGTGGTGTCGCAGGCGACTTTGGGTCTGATGACAGCGGGGCACCGGAAGCATGAGGATCCTCCTTAACGACAGGGGACGCCAGAGCGGGTGTAGAAAGATGATCAGAGGCGGCGACATCCTGAGGAAATGGCTCTTCGTCAATGTTGATGAGATCCGCGAGATTGAGCTCTGGCTCTGGAGAAGTATGGAAATCCGATGCAGAAGGCATGAACGAAGAGTTCATAGGTGATCTTCCATCCAGAGTCGATGGCAGATGACTACTGATATGCAAGCCTTGCATATGAAGTGAGGGCGGCCCTCCCCAACTAGGAGTTTGGGGAGCTACAGGTGATTCGGGCAGCGCAGACGCTGGCCCCTGAGTGCTAGCAGAAGAAGCACGTCGTTCCTGTAATGACTGCGCTGCTTTCAGACGCTCCATACGTTCCCTATCCCTGCGCTCCCTATCCCTGCGCTCTTCTTCTTCTCGCTCATGTTCCCGTTCGCGGTCACGTAGACCTATCACATCCCCATCGATGTCTTCGATATCCTGTAACCCCTTGTGCGTGATTTTGGCGCGAGGCACTGTCGCCTTTTTCAAAATGGAGTGTTCCAGTGCTTCTTTCTCCATCAACTTGATGGACTCCTTGGTCTCTTCGTTGGCTAGATCAGTAGACGACATAAGCGCGATTTCCTTAGGCTTTATGCCGGACGAGGTTATGCGTTTGTGAATGACGGCACGATCTGGCTTGCTCAAATTAAATGTAAGCATACGGAAACGTTCTCTATAAAATAAGCATTGTTGGTCAGTAAAAGCAAGTAAAATAAAATATCAGTACGTACTTATACTTCGACCCAGCACTTTGCTTCCCCAATTTATCAGGTTCGCTATATATATCAAATACACATTGCTCAAGTTCAGTAGCAAAGTCTTTCGCTTCCTGCTCAAGACGTGTCTTGTCTTCGCTGGTCAGACTATCTGTATTCTGCTCGACTCTCGTACCCTCATTATGACCATCACTCGTTTCTGAAGCATCCACATGGGGGTATTTCAGGAAAATCTGGAAAAAGGTCTCTTGCAACTTTCCGAGACAATATTTTCTGGCGGGATCTTCGTCCGCTGATGATTCAACAGACTTCTTACGCTTTGAAGTAGGTGGCTGAACAGCAGACGTTGACTTGCGTTTTAGACTGTTACCCGGCAGCGGGGCGGGCGACTGAGAGACCTTATTGCTGCCAGTCTTTTGTGATATATCATGAGCTCTCCGAGAGCTACCAGTTTGCACGTCCCCACTTGCGTCCGAATGCGAGTCGGAATCAGACGATAAGGACAAACGCCGAGCGCGACGCTGTGTAGCAAGTAGGTCCAATCATCAGTTCGGTCATGCCACGCCGGAGTACATGTGAACGACTCACCTTGTTGGCACCAGCTGGCGCTTTTCCTTTCGACTTTTGTCTCTCTTCCACATACTCATCCTCGCTGCTCGGATCACCCTCCGATTCTGAGTAAAGTTTGATTTCAGGAGTGGCTTTTGTGTCTTCGCTCTCCGATGGTTGCGGGGGTTCACGAGAAGCCCATGGTTTGCCGTTGCCGTGTGCCTCGAGTGCCTCGGGGCCTTCCCAATCCTCTACAAATATATGTGGTTAGTAGTCTGTTACCAAAAGAAGCAAAAAGGTAGAGAAAATGCGGATGAAGGTAAACTACGGACAGTTTCTAACGCCTTGCTCACCAACAGCTTGTTGGCATATCACCGGATGCTACACATTCGAACACCGTTGACAAGCTCAAGCTGTTAATTCACACCAGACGAGGAACTTTTAATTAAGTGGCTAGGGCGCCTCAGATAACGTAAGGCCTCAGCTCTTGAGCAGGACACACTATGGCTCGATGCCGACGTATGTGGACAGGCCATCGAGACAATAGCTTGTGCACGGCATCTGGTCTGGAGTGATATATGGAGCAAGACGAGAGTATCTGCCACTAAAGAGACGCATAGACTCGCAACGTAGTGAAGAGGAAGACGTGGGACAACTTATTTTCTTCAGATTTACATATTGTAAGATGTAAAGGTCGCAAAATTGCAAAAGATTCCGCAGCAAAGAACAAGACAAGGACCAAAGACACTCACTAACTGTTCGCTGCCCAGTTTTTTCAATACAAGGTGGGCATACATAAACTCCTAGAACACAAGAAAGAAAAAGATAATCAGTAATGTTTGAACTAATTAAAGCGAGTTGAAAAAGGGCATTATGGATAAAAATCATGACATCTGGAAGATCCGCAGTAACGACGAATGTATAAGACGACACTCACGGATATCATCCGCATCGTTCTGATCCAAATTCACACATCGAAAATGATACCTGAACCGTACTCGTCAGTTAGAGTCCCGGTGCATATGAGAAAGCGCGCACCACTCCTTGCACTGCGAACAATGGACCATAGGGGATCCATCATCAGGCTGCCGACAAAGACAATAACTTTCATCTTTCGTCTTGCTCTTCGCCTTAACCTTAGGTTGCACCTTTGCTTTCCCTCGACCAGGATTCCCTTTATTCTCCTTTTCTACGTCCATGTCATTTCCGACCTCCCCGTCTTTCGTGCGACTCGTACGTGAACGAGTTGCTTTGTCTGGTGTGTTTGATGTTGATTTTTCAGCATTTAAATTTGCGGTAGATCGTGTTCTTGCACGGGTTGCCATTAGTGTTATGCACAGATGCACGAGCCCAAACCGTTTGGCGGATAAGCCTAGAGACCCAGACGATGAGCAAAGAGAAAGGGATATTCGAACTCCGACGGCTGTTGTGGCGTCAGATGCCTCCTCTTGCGTCCAACGTGTCTCGTGCTCACCATGCTATCTGACTCAAAATGGCTGCGGAGATTTGTCTGGCGTGCTCCTGTCCCTCCTATTATTTTGTTATGTCAGACTGTGAGTCCATTCTGATTTTCTGAGTTGTCTTGCAGCTGAAACCGATCGATACGACACTGTAGTATACTTCACTTCAACATTGCTAAAAACATGACTCTCCGTCTTCAAAGTATACGTCTTCATATTCAAAAATATCCACTATGGCGGTTTCAATACAATGACTTCTTGACTTCACCGTTTCATCTCCAAAGTCGGAACTGGCTTTTGTACTTTGACCCGGCGTTTGATCCATTGGACCCAATTTGTCGTGGACATTTGATACGCTGGACTTGTTCCCTGATTCGTCTGGAATCGCTCATGGAACGTCGCAACACTCCTATCCCTGTAGATGGCAATGGCCGCTCTGCAAAACACCGAGCCTTCACTGGCGTCCTCACCGCCCCTAACGGCATCCCATCTCACGAGCAGACGACCGTGAGCGCATATAGTCACAATACTTCCCAGGTTCACGTACTGCACACGTCCAAGTTCCCGCCTGCTGTCCATCGTGGAACTTTGTATGAGCGCATACGCTCCTCGTCGACCAACGCACGTGCATTCAGCCTGCTAGTCACGTGGTGTGGACCATATGGTTCCAGTCAAATCTGCATGAACAGCGACGCCATCGCACCGGGCTCACCGTGCTTTCTCTCACCAGCCGGAAGGGAACCAGGAAGTTACTCGTCATAGCTACCATTCTCGGCGAGTACTGCTCGGCTGCCACGGTATATATCAGCTCCACGACCAACACGTTTTCAGGACATGAACCTTACAGAACGGTTAATCGGCCCATGGTGAAATACATCCTCAGGTAATATCTCCAGCAAGCTATCGAGCGACCTCGTCGGAGAGGAAGACGACGTGCAAAGGGGGTCGATAGTGAGAGCAGCGCTAGCTTGGCGGCCAAAACCGGCTAGACACGTCGATCTCGACTGTAATCAGCGTGGTTCTCGATTGGCCAGCCGTAATAAGGGCGGCCGTTCATTGATGGGGTTGAATTCTTTGTGGATGTGATGCCGTACAAAGCGTCATCATTGATAGAGGGGATACTCGTATGGCACGGACATTATGCATCGAGTGATAGAGGGAAAGCGCACAGTTGCTTTGCATTGTAAGCAAAGTATGGGATTGAGATGAGACATTGCAAGCTGAATAAAGAGATGTTATGCTGACTAGTGTGCGATTTGCGCCCGCATCATATTTCTGAGAATTTATTGGGTCTGAATCAGTGTATCACGGGGGTCTGAGTATGGAGCCGCTGTCCCTATAGAACGTCATCCAGTCGCGCCTCGCGGTCCCAGTCTTCTCTCGCTACGGCCTCCCCGCAGCGCAAGAGGCAGCATTCACACTCTTTGCTTTCTCCTTCCACATCGTTGGCATCGTTGGCATCGTTGGTCTCCGCATCGACCACGAACCTTGCCTTATCTGCTGAGACTGATAGTATATTCTTCTCCCGGTTGGCTATAACTGGCTGTCCTAGCTTCTTTCCGTTTTCAATCTCGGTGCATATATCTATAGGAATATCCTCCTTTATCCTGGTCGAATCACTGCCTTTCTGTCTGGAGCAACCAGCGTTGCGTTCGCTTTCAGTGAGATCCTTCCATAAGCTGTCTGGGGTTTTCATTTGGGCCAGATTGGTTCGTATCTCCTCTTTTTCTTCACCTATAATCTCTCCACTCCCCGCGCATTTTGATTCTGCCGGCCATTATCTTGTATTCGGTTTATCGTTCCTGGCGTGTCTGACTTGGTCCCACACAGTCACCCTACTCGCACTGACATCTAGTACCCTTAGTTTATTTCTCTGCGCTGCCCGCCATCGTTCTCCCCCTCCCGCCGCATCTGCTTTCCCGTCCACCCTGATTGCTCACGCGAGGCTTCGTTCGTTCCCAAGGCACTATCCCTCTTTAGTCCTCACGTCATATCGTGTTTACATGCGGAACACACATGGCTGCTGTTGCCCTACCATCATCCAAGACACCTGTCTTCAATCCCTTTCATATGGCTTCTCACAATCGCCTCAATGCTAAGGCGCAGCAATTATCGCCTCATGTCGGCCCCTCTTCTCGTTCACCTGAGCCATCAACTTCGTCGCAGGCATCGGCCAAAGAGGTGTCTGAGTCTGCTCCAAAGACTTTCAAACGTCTCCGATCATCCCTCGAACAGAGTCTCAGGAGCGCGACGCGGTCCAAATCAAAACCGGCGCCACCCATAGATGATTTCGCTACTATTTCGCCAGCAAAGTCCACTAAGGGAAAGGAGAAGATATCCGGCGATTACCCGCCTCCGAAAGAGAAAGAGAAGACCAACATGCTGAGGAGATTGGAATCGAAAGTTGGCTTACGAAGAGCTGGGAGGGAGTCTGTCACCCCTTCACCGTCGCCCATGCCTCCACCTGCAACAGGTGCAGCTCATGTAAACAACATGGACAATTCAGACAAGGTTCGCGCAGCCGGTTATACCAGTTTCATCACACCATCATTGCGACAAGCATCAATGTCTTCCCCCGCCCTCCATTTCTCGGGCTCGCCATCCAAGCTACCATCAGCGAGCTCCTCTTCAAGTACAGCTGCCACGCCACGCGATCGGACAAGGAGATCCAGCGTACAACCCACCGCGAGGGATATAAGTAGCCCAAGTCCACTTGTCCCTCGTCGTGAAGGACGGGGCAATGGGCATGCCTCTCCCACACCAAATGGAGGACTCAAACAAGGGAAAGCAAGGCCATCTCCTATATTTGTGCCTCCACCTGGTTCACCGACCCCAGGGCGGGCTGTCTCACCGGAATCCAACTCAAGGAAGGACTGTGAGCTACCTAGCCCACCTGATACCCCTACACCAATTGCATCTTCCCGCGGGCAGCTCTCTAACTTGTCAAAAAAGAGGGCAGGAGCAAGTGCCACCCACCTTCCTCTCAACAGCCCTCCTGCCTCTCCTACTCCTGCATTCACCCATTCTGTGACTCCCACGCGTGCTAGATCCCCCGTTCGATCGCCGTCCGCGAGACGTGTTATCACCCCAACGCATCGTGGTCTCACGTCTGCCTCTGCTACACACCTTCCACTAGTCTCAGCTAGCCCTCCCACATCACCTCCAGCATCCCGACGTCCCTCGATAGATGCTCCTCGGCGTCCATCGATAGATTCCCCTCGACGCCCGTCAATAGATTCTCCTCGACGCCCATCGATAGATGCTTCTCGACGACATGCAGGATCCCCTATTCCGCGAGCGGTATCTCCTTCTGCCGCCGGCAGGCCGCGGGCTGCATCGCCCTCCCAACGCGCATCACCGGCTTATGCACAAAATCGTCACTTCAGTGTCTCCACTGCTTCCCTTGTTACTCCTTCTAATCCGGAGCAGCGAGACCTTATTCGCACAGCAACGTCAATATTATGCAAGGAGTTCCGGAAGGCACCAGCGCATCTAAATCGGAGCGAAGGACAGAAGGATTGGGCAGAAGTTGAGATTCGCATGCGACCACTGATCAGATTGGAACGCATATGGGGGAAAAGCGGTGCTGTGGCTGGATCAAGTTCAGGACAAGTGAATGCTACGGGTGGCGGGATGAGTTCGACTGGGTTTAGTATCGCTGGTGAGGAACGCGAAAGACGATTATTTGGTGAAGCATTGAGAGATGGCGTCGTTCTTTGCCAGTATGTGTCTCAACCGTGATATTTCTATTCTTGGCTACGATTCAAGCTCTGTAAGAATTTGTTTTGCTGACTCGTTTTCCCAGGTTAATCAACAAATTTCGACCAAACACCATCGCTCGTATTGATCCCCGCGAAGACGGAGTCAAGCGCACTAGCAACGTTACAAAGTTTCTTGCTTCGTGTTCCTCTCAAGGTGTCTCTTCAGATGACCTTTTCTATCGAGACGACATCATAGAAAACACTCCAGAAACGTTGACTCGCGTCGCACGGACCATCATTGCTCTGGTGAAAGTGGTTGAGAACCCAAGTGTCAACCGGACAAAGGTCATCGCCGGTCAAGGAAAACCAAGCGCCACCAGCGCTGCAGATCGCGGCGGACCTTACGCTCCAGGATCAATTTCCCGCGCAGCTTCATCAACCCCAAACCTGGTGGCGCAGATGGAAAGATCAGTCTCTCCCACAGTGTCACCCACAGGTCGAAAACGATGGAGCCCCCCTTCACCAGAGCTCCCGACTGTTCGATCTGATAGTCCCGCTTCTGGAGCTTCCAGTAATGCCAGTAATGGAACGGCACGTAATGGTGGCACGAAAAATGGCCAGAATACCCCTGTCAGTCTTAATGATAAGGAACTAGATGACGTGCCTCCTATCACGGGGCCTTCTCCACCTCCAAGGTCTCCATTGCGTTCTCGTTCTCAGTCAAAGCACCCAGAGGAGAGTCACCAATTTTTATTAGGTGGCGCGAGGCCTTTGGAGGTGTCGGAAAGATCACCCATGGGTTCCAATGGTCATTTTCCAGGGGACTATAGCGCTGATCCTACAAGACAATCGCGAACATCAAGTAACCTCACTGATACTACTGCATACTCCAGTCTCTTGGAATTCCGTCGTAATAGCAGCAGCGGCAACAACAAGTTCGGAACTATCAGGACTATGACTACGGAAGCCACCTCCTTCGCATCTGAGATGCCATCTTTTACGAGAACAGAAGCAAGTTCCGTTGCAGCATCTTTGGCGGATGAAATGAACAGGAAACGAGGCGGAGATAATGGTGGCAAGATTGTGAGAGAGCGGAGACCAAGCGAATCGGCGGCTGTCGACTTGACAAGCCTCGCAGAGGAAGAGGAAGTCAGTGCTAGTGGTTCAAGTTCTCGGGACGCGAAAAAGGTAGAAAAACCAAGACAAGGCAATGAGCAGCAATCAAAAGACTCGGAGAAAGTTGACCATGCACGCGCAATTCGCTTGGGTAAAGGCAAATGGCCTGACGACTTTCTTGACGCATTTCAACAACCTCCCAGTTCTCCTCCTCGTGCGATACCCATGAAAAACTCATCTTCTGACCGTGAACCTTCTCCCTTCAGCTCCAGCCCACTTTCTGCTTCTCCTGCACGGAAACTTGCGATCGTTGGTGCTTCAAGACACAATGACAGTGGTGATTCCGTTCAACATACTGCTCGAAGGCCATCACATCGCGCTAGACATAGCATCGATGCTCCTATCTTGATGCCAAAAGAGTCTATTCTTCGACGTGACGTCAGTCCAGATGCAGCGTCTGTCGTTAACTCTAGGGTTATGCTACGACGCCAAAGCACTAGGGCGGGTGCGGCTCCTCATCGTAATGGCGTATACTATCCCAGGGGCAGTCTCGATGACCCTCGGGAAAGCGGGGAGTCTTTGGTACCGTTTCCTCGCGCAGTATCGGGGGAACACGGTGCTAGAGCGCTTTCGCCTACTCCATCACCTGACACGCCTAACAGCGCAGACAGGCAGAGCAAAAATGAGGCACCTAGAATGCGTGGTCGTTTCCAAAGTGAAATTGAGGGCTCGAGTGCTAGAAGACGCAGTAGACCAAGCTCTTATGATGAATTGGGTAAAACACGACGGTCGAGGTTCGAAAGCATGATCAATTTGGGGGTCGCTTCAAGTAACGCAAGCGCCAGCGACCTCTTGTCGAGAGATTCGATGGACGGCAGTGCAGTGAGGCAAACTTTAGTTGTCAAAGAGGAAGGAAAACCAGCTACTCATTTCGTAAGGTTTCGTATGTTGTTGCTTAGATTGAGATATACTGACTGAGGTTTCCAGCAACTTGGGAACTGCATTGGTCGTGGTCAATTTGGTTCGGTTTATCGAGCATTGAATCTCAACACAGGTCAAATGGTTGCCGTGAAGCGAATTCGACTGGAGGGTTTGAAAGAAGATGAGGTAACCCAGCTTATGAAGGAGGTCGATCTCGTGAAGAGTCTCTCGCACCCTAGCATTGTCAAATATGAAGGGATGGCAAGGGATGAGGATACACTGAATATCGTCTTAGAGTAAGCTGGCTTTCCTTCGACTCACCTCTTGCTTACTGAGTATTTTCAGGTATGCTGAAAACGGCTCATTGGGACAAACCCTCAAAGCATTTGGAAAGTTGAACGAGCGTCTCGTGGCTAGCTATGTCGTCAAGATTTTGGAAGGGCTTCACTATCTTCACCGATGTGACGTCGTCCATTGTGACCTGAAGGCAGCAAATATCCTCACCACCAAGAATGGAAATGTCAAGCTTTCTGATTTCGGCGTTTCCCTGAATCTGCGTGCCATGGAACGCGAGATAAAGGATGTTGCTGGTACCCCCAACTGGATGGCCCCTGAAGTTATAGAACTCAAAGGCGCCTCGACCAAATCGGACATTTGGTCATTGGCATGCACGGTCATCGAGCTCTTGACCGGTCGACCTCCATACGCCGAGATTGCCAATAGCATGACAGGTAAGTTCTGCAGTATAATTGATTTGTTTTATGGTGGATACCAAATGAACTTCGCGTCTGCAGTCATGTTCAGAATCGTTGAGGATCAAATGCCACCCCTTCCAGAAGGATGCTCCGAGCCATTGCAAGACTTTCTAAAACAGTGCTTCCACAAGGACCCTGTAATGCGGCCAAGTGCAGAGTTGTTGTGTGAGCATTATTGGCTCAAGAAGAATTGGGACGCATTAAAAGTAAGCCTATATGCAGTCCATGATCTGGAAGTTAACTTATGGTGTGCACTTAACAGGAACTGCGACCGCAAGACAGCATTCCATTTTTACGTCGTGTCAGTGCTGATATTCAAAAGTCAGACGTGGCTCGATATCTTGCCCAAATGGATATGGCATATGCTGAGACACCGCTACCCGAAAGTCCTTCCCATGATATCCCACATGGTTCTCCTCCTGGTCGGCGAAGACTTTCTAATGGCCCTAATAGTCCCATCGGCGTAGTCGATGAATCCTTCTCACCTCGTGAGCACACCTTTGTGAAAACTACATTCAGCAAGCGTAAGCAATCAAAAGTTGTTACCCTGAGCTTCTGCTAACTTGAAAACAGCGATGATTTGCCGAGTGTGTCTTACGAGTGTCAAAAAGAGCGCTGTCATCTGCGAACAATGTAGTCTTATTGCCCACTCCAAGTGTGCCCATAATGCTCCACCAACGTGCGATTTGCGTTCACAGCTCCTTCTCTATGCACAATACGCTGAGAAGGGTAACCCTGGAAGTGCTTACTCAAATCCGATGGAGGGTTTGAATGTATCACATCCACCTACTCATACCTCTACTAATCCCATGTCTGAAGTTTCATTTGTTACGCCTTCCCCGCGACCCAGCATGGATGTTTCTTCGATTCCTGTGCCAGGGCAAGGGAGCCCGGTCAATCCACCAACTGCTTTCAAATTCATTGCTGCATTCAAACGCTCTCGATCATCCTTGTCTGTTGATCCTGGTCCACCTCATTCTGCGTCGCCCTCACCGGCACCCCAGCCTCATAAAGAGGATAAAGTCGTCAAGAGAAGGCTCTCCAAACTCAAGCGTAATCAAGACGCCAGGGATCGGCCACACTCTTTGTCGAGCAATAGTACCTCTAAGAATGCATCAAGCATGAGGAGTGGCCCGACTGCACCAGATAGCTACTCGAGTCGCCAAGAGCCTGGAAGAAAGTCGTTTCTTTCCGTTACGGATGACGCAGGTCGAAGTCGACTTTCGGCCACAGAATCTGAAGATCCTAGGAAATCGAGCGCGCTTTCCGCACCCGCTGTTACGGGACAACGTGACGTGGACTATGGCGTTCCGGGTACATTGCCTGCAGAACCAGATCGCCAGAAGAGACGCGACAGAGACAAATCAGCTGGATGTACATTGCAATGATCACTTTCCTTGTTTCTCTCAGCTGCTTTCCTAAAAGACTTTCAATCTTCTAATTATTCATCATCTTTCTCGTTAACTGCATCCTCACAACGCAATCACATCCCTATGTACCATACATTTTCAATTTCTGCATGTTGCTGTGGCATAGCGCACTTAGCATCCCAAGCAACTGCTTTCTTTTCAAGCTGTCCACAATCTTTTTTTCAATGTTTTCGTGGTCATGAGACGTTGATTACCACTATACTTCATTGCATATCTACTTTATCTCCCGTAATTATTGGATGGGTTTTTATTCGTTGGACATTACCGTTTTCATTCATGGCGGTAACGATCACTTTAATGGTTTATGCATGCTCCAACTCGCCTCTTGAGTCTTTATCTTCTATTTCTCCCCACTGTACACACCCATGCACAATGCTAGTAACATGATGCTATTGTGCTTGACAGCTCGAAATCATGCTTTTGGATATCGTACTACTCTACGTACTAGTTCACCCGCGGGCAATTCGTTGAAGTTTCGTTGATATGTCGACATGCCAAGCAAGTGGCTCGGAAATTGACCATCAGGTAAACATTGACGTTATAATGCGGTGTGATGCTAACTTGAACCAAAGCATGGCAGGACAACCCGACCTTCCTCGAGTCATTTTACGCAATGCTGAACTTGGTATAGTGTACCCCTCGATTTGGCCCTTAACTTGAAAAAGACCCTGCCAACAATAATAGTATAATGAAAGCCCGGAGATTCCGAGTCATCTTGTTATCATCGGTCGATAGGATGTCTGTTTCTATTACGGCTCAATGAAACCGCGTGCGAGAATCAGTCCTCCACTACGAGTAGGGTTTTCCCTTGAAGCTGTACTATTCGGTTGGAGAACATGCGGCGTAGATACCCCAGCCCGCCTTACCAGTAATTTGGATGAACCAATGGCAGGTTTGATGTGTAAACCACGCGCTTCAAGTTTGGGCAGGGTATAAAGCTGCAGGTTCTAATGGTTTTCCAGTGTGCGTTCGCTCTCCCTCTTTGCCGTCATGTTTTCTTTGTTAATTGCCTTTTTTGCGGTATTTTGCGCTGTCACAAATGCAGTTACTACTAAAACAGATGTTCTCAACCGAGGTATCGCAAACACCGAAGGTCTGACCAATGCTCAACGGCTTTCTCGTGGTCTCCCCGTTGGCCCTGTTAAATTTGGTCGTACTCTTCCTGGCTATGCTCAAGTTCGAAAACCCACCCCTGTCTCTGGTATTATTTGTTTTATTGTCAATCGTTCCAACCTCACTCAAATTTCATCTTATTGCAGGTGAGAAACGGGCGCCTGCTTCTTCTGGCACACCTCCACTGCAGTGAGTAGTTTATAATGTCTCAACACTAAATTTACTCAATCTACATTCTTAGTTTCTCTGGTCGGATAGAAGTCAGAAGTACTAGTGGAAGCGTTGAGGGCTATGTTCGCAACTGGAACTCCGCGGCTAGCGTGTGTGTGCCATAGGTTGTAAGAAATTGCATCACGTACCACTCACTTCAGCGCTTACAGGAGTGGTGTGAATTATGGAGGACCTGACGAAGAGTTACATGTTAACTTCTATACCACACCTTCGGGAACTGGACCAGTCAACATTTTAACAACTGTGAGGCTCATATTTGTATACCATTAAGTTGACTTTATCACGCGTTACTTAGAATCCTAACTTCCCTGCTCCATACTATATCGGCACTTCCACTAATGCTACGCTGGGTGTGAACTCTGCAAAGTAATCAATATCTCGCATGGTGCTTTATATTATTAACTGTCTTGGTAGCATTGTTGGTTTCAACAACGTCGCAGAAAGTGAGTATATATGATACTTCTGTAGTTGCTGTAAATGCTAAATCCCTTGCCACAGCTCCTGCTGGCTCTCCACCGGTTTCTATCGATGGTCAAGAGGCCGAATCTAGCATATGGTCAATCAATCCGAACACAAGGGAAATCAAGGGTACAATCTTTTGAATACTTGCATTTTGCCCTTAATGCCTAATGCGCTGCTTTTCCACAGCGCAATACGTGAACACAGATGGCACCTACCCCAGAACTCTCATTTTTTATGATATCCGTGAAAATTCAATTTTCTTTGGTGGCGATATCAATGCTTACAATAAAGAGCACGTCGATACTCCTGCTTCAGTGGTGGTCAGTTTCTGTATTTTCGTCGATATATCCGGACAGTCTCTTATTGACGTTTTGGGCGTTCTAGAAATTTTACCTCGCTGCCATTGCAAACTAGAAATGTACAGTTACAGTCTCCTCAATCTGTCTCTTCAATCAGTCTCTTCAATCAGGCTTTTCGCCCAAGGACTTATTTTCCGTATCTGTCTACACCAAATATTGTCTTGCACTAAAGAGTTTATCATGACACTGATTCGTGGTACAAATATATATTTGGAATAAATATGACATCAAGTAAAGCCCATGAGGTAAAACGATAAATATCTAAAAAAACCTCGATTCATACTGCCTGAGTCGTAACAAGTCGATAAGTCATAAACTGCGTGTGCACGCTTTTGCTTCACAACGGGAAAGCGAGAGAGCGGACGCTTGAGATCCAAGCCGCAGCAGCATCAGGGTATTCCCAGACCATAACACCAGCGTCTGTTGTAAACATATCTCTAATCAGCATCATGAAAAGAGTTGGGAAGTGTGAATATTGCATACCCCACTTTTCGTTCTTTGCATCAAGCACACAAGTAGCCAAAGTCGCAGGGGCGATATAACCGTTGTTAGCATCAGCGGCCGTGGCGGGTTTACCGATAACAAGTTTGTCAAGGGAGACCCCTCCAGAAGTGTTGATCTGGAAGAGAGCTGAGTCGGGGTATGTGGTCGACGAGGTATTAAGGAGACCAGCGCAAGTCGTGTACTCGGTGGTACCCTCTGCGTAATAATATCAGATTTGATACATAGATAGTAAAATGAATAGACGCACGGTTGTAGAACTGAATGTTGTACTAAATTACAACACATGGTTAGTGATATGCACGTATCCAAAAAAAACTGTACTTACCCAGTCAATCAAAGAGCCAACATTTTGGTCGACCTTCAAGTAGGCACCAGTGGTGTAGATGGACGAGAACCAAGGGGCAACAGCTGAGGTAGACGCCAACATCAGAACATAATTAGATATGATTTCACAGAGATTAACTCACGTGCATGGGTAAGGATGTATTGACCCTGTGGGAGTTTCGCACGGATCGCGGTGGTGAAAGTAGAGAGCCAAGTCTCAGCAGATCCGTCCTGTGCGTTGATAGCATTGAAGTCTTCGTAGTCAACGTCGACACCATCGAGGTCATATTGTATGACCCATGCTGCCAAGTTGTTGGCGGTAGTAGTAGGGTCTTCGCCGCTGCTTGTGGGGGCCTCAGTCGAACCGAAAGCCGAGACAATCAAGCTGATACCAGCTGCGCTGTATTCCGTTTTGAAAGTCTGACGGTTAGCGGCGGTCAGAGACGACCATTCCACGGCTTGGTCAGCGGGACCAGCGGACAGCCAGAAGGAAAGGGCGCTAGAAGGCGGGAGAACTGGATCAGGGGCCACTCTACATTAACCATGTGCTTTGACTTACAAGACATTGTAACCAACGATGGTGCTAGGAGCAGGAGGACCAGTTTCACCGGAAACCCACTTGTCGCTGTAAAGGACGAAGCGGGGGGCGGCGGGGATAGTGGCACGCTTCACCACACTGTTGCCAGTGGAAGTGGAAAAAGTGGGCAGAGCAGCGACGTGACCAATGGCCGCGACGGCGGAAACGAGCGCAGTCAAGCGTTTGAAGAATGAGACCATAGTGAGAATGTCTGATATTCTTTAGCACTGGAGCTGGCGGGTCCGAACTGGAGCTGGGGCTACCGTCCCGATCTCATTGTTCTCCCCATTTTATACGATTGGTCCGTGTGGCATGGAACCAAATCCGTCGAAAACTGCGTCGCGAGGAGCGTAATGTGCACATATGGCCTAAATAGCTATTGCAGTATGCTACCACAGTATGATCGTGAGTGCAAATTGTGTTTGCATCAGGAACCCGCATGGAAGCACCTTCGGTCTTCACAAAACATTTGCCCTTCCCGGTTTGATGGTCTGTCTTCCTTCGGCGCGAAACAATACATGCTACTATGTAAACCGGATTGGTGGAAATTCTAAGGAACCCCAAAATCAGGACTAGCCACATGGACGATAAAGATTGCTGAGCCTTGCAAGCGCCATAGAGGGCCTGAAATCAAAGTGTCTATGGAAATCTGAGTCTAGGGCCTTGAACCATGTGGAATATTGCAAAGCGCACGATCCCAGAGCGAGAGAACAGATTCGGCTTTCAAGCGCAACTTTGATGTGGTAGCACGAAGCCAAGGATGCAACATATTGGACACGATAGTCTGATAGTACGTCGCAATGGGCTAGATAACCTCATGGTCCGCGTGACGTAATAGCAGAATCCGACAAGAAGTCGAATCGTTCATCTCCTAAGACGATGAGAGTAGTTTCTAAGAGAGAGTGGCCTGGCTAACGCAACCAAAGTCTTTCAACATAGACCACGTACCGTGGAACCTAACGCCTTAGGAGGCAACTGACCTTGTATCACCATTGAGGCGTCTCTGCTACCTTAGGTGTAGTAGACGTAGCATGAGGCTTGCCGACTGCCTGTGGGGTTATTCATAACGTTGCTATGGTGACCATATGCTTTTACTCCACAAAACGGAACTATCGGAATTAAACATACAACAACAGAACAAACATATGAGTTTGTGTTAATTAGCATCAGGCATTCACAACCCAGCGATAACACCTACATCAACAGATAGGTCTCGACTGCATCATGGTTTTACATTGTAGATATGATCGACTGTCACCAGTCACCACTAGATTGAATTTATTGAAATGAGTCAGCAAGGGGGACGATAGCATGGTCTCGCCTCTCACGAGGTAATGAAGCGATAATGACCACGCGCAGAAATGGTCCTGTGAGCTGCAGTGCCTTCTGCAGAAGTGACAAAACTGGTCTAATTTACTGACAAAGAAGATGAGTCTTCTGCGATATCAGTGCAGTACATACCAAGTAAACAAGGGTGGGTTTAGGTCCCAAGTTCTCCGGCAGTGACGGAGGGCACTTGAACGTAGAGCATGTACCGTGATAATAGCTTTCCCAAATTGATTTTCTGGCTCACATTATGTCAGTCGTTCCTCAAGGCCCTCAAGGTTCAAAGCTTATCTTGCTTTCATTTTGGAGTGGTTTTTGTGTTCGGTGCCTGCATCCGATCAAGGTCGAAGTTTGAGGTCCCAGTCACGCCCAGAACGTGATAGAAAACCGAAAACAGCTTGAGTTCATGATGCGCTGATAAACTGCCAGCTAATGGTTTTGCCTGTGGGTATATCAGAGTGACTATGTGCCATGTCATGATGCCAACAGACGCTAGTACTACGGTGTTCTAGCTGACAACGTTTTTGCTCTCACAGGAAGGGAGTGTCACTGTCAGCCTAGTGATAATCTGTTAATGATGCACCCAAAGGGAACCAACAAAAGGGCGAACACACGTACACTCCAAGTGGCCAGCGTGATCACATGAGAGGAAACAATGTCACAAACGGCGTTCTTGGACATGGAGCTCGAACCGCAATCCAACGCGACACATATACGTATGGTGAAGATCGCTACTACGTCTCACCTGCCAAGCAAAAGACAGAAGACCATAAGAGACTCGTGAGTCACTCAAGGTCACTCATCAGCGTCAGGAATATCTTCGGTATACCTGTTATACAGTCGTAGTCATATGGAAGCTATAACTGTATTTCGTGATGATCATGCAGAAGGATAAGCTAGCGGCTCTGTAGAGCTCAGGTCTGGTAGCGAGAAGATAGTTATTCCTTAAATAAGTACAAGCGCATGATAACAGCCAAACGACTCACACGATCGATACCGATTCCACTCGCCTCCTTGCTGTTCACCTGAACAGAACGGACCGGTCACATCAGTAAGCATATAGAGCTCTCGCCGACGACCACGGACAGCGTTATTCACAATACGCACCCTTTTGACCGACCAAGCTCCCCTTTGCTGGCAAGATATGCAGCTCCAGAGTCTGCCCAGACCTGATAGTCTGTGATCTTCAATTCATCATCAGAGTCCAGCATATATGCGAAGGTTTCGTCCCAGCTTTCGTCCGTTTCTATCCAAGTGAATTTGGCCTTCCCCTTGACTGATACCTTGCGTGCTTCAACGTCCACGACATACTCCGAGAATCTCATATTCTCGTACGACAGATGTTTGTTGATCAGGTCAAAGTACATCAATGCACCGCTGATACCATTGAAAGGTCGCCCTAAGAAAGGAGCAAGAAAAGGCTCGCCATGTTCAACCAGTGTGCATTGGTGTGTGGTGGAAAAGTGGGATAAGAGGGTATCAATATCTTTTTTGGATGCAAAATCGTCACAAAGAGCCTGCGCAGCATGCAAAAGCTCGACTCTTGATATCATTGTCGGTGTCAGCTGTTAACATTGAGTCCCAGTGGGCGCACAGGTGACTGCGCTCCAATGGGGCGCTCCACGTGAAATGTGTGACTGACAAGGACATGAGGCGGTTCGCGTTTACTTTATGTAAAGATCAGTCTTCTTTATAATACCTACTAGGAAATCTTTTCTTTCTCTCTTTCACCGCTGTCTTTTTGTTGCTTCCTCGTCATGTACAACGAGCTCTCCTCTGGAATGGAGGGCTCGAATAGTCCCACAAGCAGTCGGAGAATGCAGTAGGCATTTCGAATCTCATGTTACTTGTTTCAGGGGCAGCTAATCCAGCCGAATTTGCAGACTATCCCAGAACTTCGACGATACTGCTAGGAAGATATCTAAGCGGGCATTACAGTACGAAACCCAACTGAAGGAGCTTAACGTGAGCACGATGCACTGTATCGTTGCTATCGCCCTCTCACACACTTGTGTCTCTTTCCGCAGACCAAGCTTTCGGAGAACCTGAGTAACTTTAGGGCTATAGACAGCCTTTTGCAGGAAGCCTTGGACGGTCTTCAGGTAAGCATCAGGTTCTATTAGATAATTCGCAGTAGTTGACATCCCATGTTCATGGAAAGCGCAACACCAAACGTGCTGACCGCGCACTTAATTTGCACGTACCGCGTATTGAAGACGAACTTGACGACTCGCTGGTATCACTACATAAATTGGCCACCGCTTTACCCACCATACAGTCTCAAGTTTCCACAATACGTTATGTCTACGACTCTGGTAGACGGAAGGTAAGATTTAGTTCTTCCGCAGCACGAATTATTTCATTTCGAATGCGTTACTGTTTGCTTGATTCCATCTCGTGCACGCAGGCCAAGGATCTCGTCAAGGACCTCGAATGGCTAAACACGGACTTCCATGAACGCTGGCGAACAATCATTTTTACTTCCTCGAGCCCTGTTTCCTGGAGATGGAAGACAACAATGAGGTTTCTCTTCGCTCTTTCTTTTATCATGTTTGTTTGCGTTGCTTGGGTGGCATTGGGCGGCGCATATAGAGCCCACAGGCAGAGGCTGGTATGGGGAGAACGCCTCATGTCGTGACTTTTACAGCTTTTATTAAACTTCTTGTTACGGCATTGCAGCGACATTCGTCTCTGACATTTTGGGCTTCACATCTTGCACTTCCTTTGCTTTGGCATCTGGTCTTGGTCCTGGTCCCGGTCTTGATTATTTATTGACACACCGCCTCTCTTTTATACCGAGCCACATGTCTGGTTTGACATTCACAGCTCAGAGATCCGTCACTTTCCCTTCATTCTTGCATTTGCTATCAATGAATGTAACATTATTCTCGTTATACTTATTTTGTCGGATTGAGCATAGGTACGATTCTGTATGATAAATGATACTATTTGCAATAGAAGCGTCCAAGGTTACTCCCGTGGTTTTCTCACCCAAAACATATAATTGCACTCTGTAGCTCCCCACGCCGTCGAACTTCGTGGCATCAACACCCACTCGCCTTTCCAGGGAACATATATCATCCCCCTTACTTCTGCCTCAGTTCGCGTAGGCAGTCCATGGTCGTACGTACGGGTTATCCACGGTCTACCGAAACTTGAACTATCCGGTGCGTCATGAGATGTCAACAGAGGGGAACGGTAACTTTGGAAGAAGGACACAATTTCAGAAGGGTTGACGAATTTTGAGTATGTGTGTGTTCCGATGGATACTTTGCGCAGGAGGTATTCTGCAGTAAATATAGTAAGGAAGTAGGAGAGAGGGGTTCGTGCTATCGTGGATAGGAAGAGGTGACCGCCAGGCTAAGATGTGAAAATAACAAGCTAAGTTCTCACACGCAGAATTAGACTTGGGGTGTCAAACTGACCTTGACAAGCTCGGCACAAGTTGACAAGAATGTGGCAGGGTTATCGACATGCTCAAGCACTTCCATCGAACAGACAACATCGAACCTTCTGGGCTCTTGAAGAAGCCCTTCGGCTGCAATATTGCGGTATGATAAAGAACCACTTGGAGAGCGAGACCCAGGTGGTGATGGTGAAAGCTGAGGATCAGCGGCCGAATGCAAAGAGGCTATTCCTATGTTTGATTCTGACGCGTCTATTCCCAAGATATTCGCACCTAGCCTTGCGAGACTCTATATATTCCAAGACTAGTCAGATTATGCGCGAAGGTGCGTTTCAGTGAGTTCGTTGCGTGACATACCTCGGACAGCAAACCACCTCCACATCCTACATCAAGTACGTCCATGCCTGTAAGCACATCCTTCTTGATGCCTATTTCATCCGTAACGCTCTCGTCGTGCTCATCACGAGCAGTTTCAATAATTTTATCGCGTACGAACTGCATGCGGACAGGATTCATTCGGTGGAGAAAAGCGAACTCGCCATGTTCGTCCCACCACTGAGCAGACAACCGTGAAAAATGGTTTATCTCGTCAGAGTTGACTGTGGTTTGTATATAACGCCTTCCGTGGCTAGCTCCCTTCGCTCTTGAGGACAGCTGTATCGAACGCTGGAGTGACACTGGTAGCCTCATGTTTCGTGTTCCAGTTCAGAGTTGCATGCACGTATGTGGCGTGAGAGCTATATCGCTTTCATATTCGTCACATGATGTGTTGTTTTCAGCCCCTGTCCACAAGTACCTTGCCGCACGCTACTAAGAGTACCACAAACTAGGTATTTTCTATCAACTCAATCAGAGTTACGATCGTTCTGGTATATGGATAACAAAATGTAGGTGAGTTTGCTTGATTCAATGGACTGCCTTCTTCACGCATAATCTCCAAGTCATGTCTCCAAAAGTGCTGTTTAACCTCCGTGTGGCATTAGACTTGACTTCTTGCTAGATTGCTGTCATAAGTATTGGAATGCGGCATCTTTACCGCAGTCTTGAGTCCTGACGTTTGCTCATTTGGTATCCCTGGTCAGCCAAGTGACAGCGAGGCGCAGATATTCTTGGTTCATGCAGAATTAAGGAGGGACGAAACATCCACCGAGTCCAGCCCGTTAGGGCTTCACAGGTTTACCCCTTCAAGCTCATATCTCCGTGTCATTTTCACCACAGCTCGAGATGTTGACGTGTATTAGATTTCGTCCGGAAGGACAGGGAATTGAAGTGAGTGATCCAGCTGTGTTTCCCTAGGTCCTCGTACACGGGGATCAATGACATGGGGCGTATAGGGTAACCTTGGGCATAGCAGCTGCTAATATTATATGTAACTCAGAGCGACAATTGGATCAGAGCAATATCCAATTGATAGTTTGGAAATCTATCTTTCTACTGTTAACGTTGATTCCTAGGCCTGCTCTCACCGCAATAGCACTGTCCTTATAAGAAGGCAACATGAAGCTAAAAGGAAAGTCATTCCTCGTTCCTGTGGTGTTGTTAGGTTGTCGTCTTGATAGCAGTGCGACCAGTGTCAGTGGAGGCTAGCTCATCATTCAGTTTCTGTTATGACAGGCTTAAGGCCTGCATTCTGTCTCGAACTGTGTACCTCGGACACGCATCGGAGGCATGTGGCGAATTCTTGTCCGAAACATAACCGTCACGGATTGGTAATGTCGTGATCATGATATCAAATTTGACGACCGGTTTTATATGTCAGCGTCGAGTTTTCCCCCGACTTTCTCCTTGGATTATCGAAGGAAAAAGTTCGCGTAATTGGCGTTGATTATTCGTATAGTAGCATGAATACATATCTTGCATTTCCTGCTGGTCCTTCAGCTTGACGATATATGAATGATCAAAATGAGCGCTGAGCCCGGTCTTTAGATTTCCTGCAGCCGTGCATTGACTGATCGCAGTAGTGGTGGCAGTGCCGGGTTATACCGGTGTTGTCAGCTTCCGCTTACGTAAATGGGCCTGACACCTGCATTCTGCTGAACGGGCGTTGCCCTTACAAAGGACTATGCATTTCTGGCTTTGCTAAACACTTGGGACAGCTTCTCTGTATACTATCAGCACCCACGATTCCCCCTAACGCGCAGGCGCAACATCGCACGCACGAACCTCTTCAATCTGTATCAACCACATTTTCCTCGGTTCAGAACCCTGATTTTGACGCTGGGCAGCGTCTCCCCAGTTATTCGTTTTGTATCCAACCAGTTCAGCATTGATATAGAAGAAACATCATAGCAATAATATGTCTGCATTATCCGCAGCGATCTCAAGCGTCCTAGAGAAGGCCAAAATATCGGCATCACCTTCGGGAGGAGTGGAGCTTCCACTGGCGCAAGATGAACCTCTGGCGACCGCAGAATCTTTTCTCTCGGATGTCAATGGATCAGAGAAGTGCGAACTGAGAGTTGAGGGGATGACATGTGGCTCATGTGTCGAGGTAAGAGTGTTCTTAGCCATCATTTTACATCTTTACTCACAATCACATTAGTCAATCGAAGGCATGTTAAGGACTCAAGCCGGAATTCATTCCATCAAGGTCGCCTTGTTGGCAGAACGAGCAGTGATCGAATATGATCCCAATGTATGGGATACAGACAAGATCATCGGTGTGAGTAAACCTACATTAGGATTTCATCTTATGTCGGAATATCACTAATGCTACTACCACAGGAAATCTCCGACATAGGATTCGATGCAACCCTCATCCCACTCTCTCGCTCTGACGAGGTAACTCTACGAATATATGGCATGACCTGCTCGTCTTGTACTTCTACCGTCGAAACAGGGTTGCGAGAGATGCCAGGAGTCACCAGTGTGGCTGTCTCCCTCACAACAGAGACGGCCAAAGTGGAATTTGATCGTACTCTTGTCGGCCCAAGGGAGATGGTCGAGCGAATCGAGGAAATGGGGTTCGATGCCATACTTTCGGACCATGAAGACGCCACCCAGAAGCAATCATTGACGAGAGCGAAGGAGATACAAGAATGGGCCAACAGACTCAAATGGGCTCTCGCCTTCGCTGTGCCTGTATTCTTCATCAGCATGATAGCACATCGCATTCCCTTTCTCCGGCCAATTGTCAACCTTCGAGTCTACCGCGGTGTCTATCTTGGCGACATCTTACTACTCCTGTTGACAACACCCTCACAGTTCTGGGTTGGCCAAAAATTCTATCGAAATGCGTACAAGTCGTTGAAGCACGGGAGTGCAACGATGGATGTTCTAGTCATGCTCGGCACCTCTGCTGCATACTTCTATTCCCTCTTTGCCATGCTTTTTGCCATGACCAACGATAATCCCGACTACAGGCCATTCGTCTTTTTTGATACTAGCACTATGTTGATTATGTTTGTCTCGTTGGGTCGCTACTTGGAGAACCGGGCCAAAGGTAAAACTAGCGCTGCTCTAACTGATCTCATGGCCCTTACACCAACTATGGCTACCATCTATACCGATGCCCCTGTCTGTACACAAGAAAAGCGGATTCCCACTGAATTGGTTCAGGTTGGAGATACTGTCAAACTTGTACCAGGGGATAAGGTCCCTGCGGACGGGACCGTCGTGAAGGGCTCTTCGTCCGTCGACGAAAGCGCTGTGACCGGAGAACCTGTCCCTGCTCTGAAGCAAATCGGAGACAGCGTTATCGGAGGTACCGTGAATGGCCTTGGGACTTTTGACATGCTCGTCACTCGCGCTGGGAAGGATACAGCTCTTGCGCAGATCGTCAAGCTCGTCGAGGAAGCTCAGACGTCCAAGGCACCGATACAGGCCTTTGCGGACCGCGTTGCTGGCTACTTCGTCCCTACCGTGATACTACTCTCTGTGATCACGTTTATTGTGTGGATGATCGTCTCCCATGTGATCAGCGACGATTCGTTACCGACCATGTTCCGTCGCACTGGCGCGAGTAAGCTTGCCGTTTGCTTGCAGATGTGTATATCTGTTGTCGTCGTCGCCTGTCCTTGTGCACTCGGTTTGAGCACTCCTACGGCGATCATGGTTGGGACGGGAGTGGGGGCCAAGAATGGTATCCTGATCAAGGGAGGACGGGCGCTCGAGGCTAGTAGATTTATCAAGAGAATCGTTTTCGACAAGACGGGCACAGTAACAGAAGGAAAGCTAACCGTCGTCGGAATGACTTGGGCACCTCCGAGCGACACTATCGAGCTCTTACCAGAACAAAACGTTGGACCTCAGTCGCTATCCTTCAAATGTGCAGACAACGTGACCTCACGAGCGGCTATCATCTCAATGGTTTCAGCTACTGAGGCTCTCTCGGAACACCCGCTGGCCAAAGCTATCGCTGTATATGGGCGAGACTTGCTTGCCCAATACGAACTAAATACCCAAGATGTCTCTATCGAGTCTTTCGAGAGTGTCACTGGATCTGGTGTGAAAGCCGTCATCTCGGCGTCAGGATCGAAGATGACTCTTTACGTTGGTAATGCGCGGTTTATCACCCAATCTGACAATGGTTATTTGCCGTCTGCCTTGTCACATTTCGAAGCACAGGAAACTAGTCTAGGACATACGATCATATACGTCTCCATTAGTCGTTCTTCATCGTCGATTCCAGTCCCTCTGTTGGCGGTATCGCTGTCGGATGCTCCTAAGCCAACCTCCGCTCAAGCTGTGAAAGCTTTGCAAGCGATGGGTATCGAGGTGAACATGATGACGGGAGATGGCAAGGCTACTGCATTGGCTGTTGCCAAACAGGTAGGCATCAATCCTGAAGGTGTCTGGGCCAATATGAGTCCGAAAGGAAAGGCATCTCTGGTGACTGATCTGATGAGTAATGGCGATGGTGTAGCAATGGTGAGTGCTTCCTGTTGCAATTATGAAATGACAATTCAAATATATCTTCAACAGGTGGGTGACGGTATTAACGACTCCCCCGCGCTGGTTGCAGCGACTGTGGGCATTGCTCTGTCTTCAGGAACATCTGTAGCCATTGAAGCTGCGGATATTGTGCTCATGCGTTCTGATCTCTTGGATGTCGTTGCCGCGCTCAATCTTTCTCGCAGTATCTTTACGGTCATCAGACGGAACCTCGTATGGGCCTGCATCTATAACCTGCTCGGCGTACCACTGGCGATGGGTTTCTTCTTGCCTCTCGGCCTTTACATGCATCCGATGATGGCAGGCGCTGCCATGGCGTTCTCGTCTGTCAGCGTGGTCACGAGTTCCTTGCTCCTGAGGTGGTGGACGCGTCCGACGGCGAGCGTGATGCCTGGCGAGACTGTGCATGGCGAGACGATCATGGATAGCGCGCGAGCGACTGCCAGTGATGCTTGGGGGTCTTTCAGGTCTCTGTTTAGGCTAAGCAGAAAGACCGATGGGTACAGTCAGATACCGGTGGAGATGAGTGAGAATGTATAAGGTGGAATCTAGTCTGGTTATTTATTTCATTTCTTTCTTGGAATACATCTGTATGCTTCTTGAATATGGGTGGGAGTGTGTCTTTCTATCGTATGACGGTCAATGTATAATTTTTTCTGTATCGCAAATTGTCTTTGCATGAGGTTGCAACGCGCTAGCCATGTATGGTTTGTCGCGAATGCTTATAGCGTGACACGAACATCTATCCATCCATCTTTTTTAATTTTTGATTTTTCATATCCAAATCCAATAACTCGCCATCGTTGCGCCCAGCGTAATCTCTCGTCGGCAACTGCACGCTGGTGTCTCCATGGCTGCCATCGGAAGTGTATTCTTAGGAGATTTCACAAGGCATCGTATCTTTTCGTCCACACCACCATCATCGCCTCCAGCCAGCGGCCAACCACCCAACCCAATGAGCGCCGCCCTCTCACCGTCCCATTCCCAGCTCGACCTCTCCTCGGTCCCAGAGGCCCCCGCCCAGCACCCACTGACGGTGATCACAGACGCCGCCGCCCAACTCGCCCTCGAGGCGGCTGCGGCGACTCAGCCCTTCCAGCCGTCCGCCATCGATCCTGAGCTCTCGCTCGAGCTGAGGCTGAGGCTGCTGGAGGCGCTTCTTGTCGGTGTGCGGCAGGATGGGAGGGAGAGGAAGGGGAGGGATAAGGTGCCGGAGCTTAAGCATGGGGAGACGCTGATACGGCTGACGGAGGATGTGTTGCGTCGGCTCAACACCGTCGTAGAGTCGAACGAGGGTCTGAAGAGATTCATGGATCGCTGTTCGTATCTCGCCTTTCCCCCTTCCCCCCTGCATCGTGTCCGGAAATGATGATGATACACACATACTCAAGACTCATTTCCACAGATGATCAACATGCCCACCTGCTCACTCCCTCCTTTGCCCTCGCCGGAACCCTCCCAGCGCCCGCACCAGCCTACGAACACATGTCCCCCGAAGAACTCGACGTCTTCCTCACAGAGATGGAGCCAGACATCCGCGCCGCCGATCGGGACATGCGCGAGATTGAGATGCTGGAGCAGAGGGGCGTGACGGGCGCCGGCAAGCTTTCAGGTAGGCGTCTCGTCTGCCGGTGGGGGGTGGCGGCATGGTTTGCGCATGCGACTGACACCGTCGTTGCAGAATATCAAACGTACCGACCGCGCCTGGATGCCGTACTTGAAGCTCGCGAGGAGGACGTGAAGACGGCATCAGCGCTGGAGAAACGCATCGCTGCGCTTATGGAAAAGCATGCTACCCACGTAAGTCTCGCCCCCCCCTCCCCCACCCTCGATACGAGTCGTACACCGTACAAAACCGTGTCTAATGGCTCTCCCCCCCTTATGTTTGCCATCTTGCAGGTAGACGCCCTCTCCGAGCTGTTCGTAGCCTGGGACGACGTAATCTCAGAGGCTGAAAACAGGGTGACGAGGCTGGAGCGAGATCGCGAGGAGAGGGTACGGCTTGGATACGAATGAGCTTCGATGTCGATTTCGAGACACCACCCGCACCCGCACTCGCGCCCCTCCCCCTTCAAACCGTATCATCGCCATTGGTTTTCCTCAACGTTTTGACTTATTGACATCTTGGCATGCATATGCACACCTCTTAGCGCTTAGCATCGACAACACCGGAGTTCGGGGAGACGTGTGTGGTGCGTAGGGACGGCTACGCTGCGAGGTGGATCGTGAAGGGGGTGTGCGGGAGCTCGATATCGACAATCGGTACGATCGACAGATATATTTCACGCTCGCTTTCCCGCGTTACGCCCCCCCCCCCCTTCCATCCATCATGCATACATACCATACCCTCTACTCACATCGCATCGCATCGCACTACCACAACCCCCCCCACATCGCGCACGCTCGCTCATCAATTTGTCAAGAAAATTAATATATATACGCCTCATACCTCCGCCTAAGAGATGATCTAGAGAATCTTACAGTACAGTTTTTTCCATAATATTCAGAATTAGTAGAAAGAAAATCGAAAATCGAAAAAAAAGGAAAGAAGTGAAGAAAATCGAAAAATCGAAAATGAAAAACGCGTTCCCAACTCTCAGAGGGGCCGAGAGAGAGCAATTTGGACTCGAGAACACACGATTCCCCAACGAGGTGTCACTAGCACTGGTACAAAAAGTCGAGGGGGTAAAGCAGTATGACAGGATATATCACAAACGAGGTTTTTTGTTGTGTGTGAAATGAATGGAATGTGAAATTGAATGCGGAATGGAATGGAAAAGAATAAACCGATAAACCAAGTGGGGGCAGCGCGGTAAGTGTCAAAGAAAAAGAAAAAGGAGGGGATATCAAGGATATCAAGTCGAGGCAAGCATAGAAAGACGAACGAGTGGATAGGGGCGACGACGACGACGAGACCTAAAACACATCGCGAAACCCATCATCACCATCGCGAAAAAGAAACAGAAACAGAAACGGAGCAAAGAGAAAGGGTATCGCCAAACCAGCTGTAAGCCCGCAAACACAATGACACGACTCTTTCTTTCCCTAATTTTTATCAAGTCATCAATCGCGAGCTACCCAATCAGTACTCCGCGAGACCAGCTCGATCGAGTTGTCCATCGTCCAGAACAAACGCTCAGTCGCACTCCTCCCACTCCAGCTCTTCTGGTCTCGCAAGATCATAGCCTACAAAGCAAAAAAAAAGCACGCAGCCACCGTCAGTCATTTTCCAAATTCCCAGTTCCCACATCCCCACACTACGAGTCCGAAAGGGAGGGACGAGAAAGAGAAGGAGCACACACCTGCTGAGCCCCAAAATTCCTCTGATCATGCGCAAACAGCTCCACATTCTCCTCCAACGCCTCCGCCAACACCTGCAAATCCTGCAACATCGCCTGCATCGCCCTCACCGCCGACAGCGTCAATATCTCCTTCCGATTCCGCACCGTCGCGCCCTCGCTGTTCGGCGCCGGCAGCGTCTTGGAGATCGACTGCAGGACGGTGTGCAGGATCCGCTTCGTCTCGCTCATGATCTTTTGGGCCTGGGCGTAGTTCTTGCGCGCGACGAGGACGAGGGCGCGGGTGATCATGTCCGAGGCGAGGAGCTCCATTCGGCGGCGCACGATGACGGGATCGGAGGGGCGCGCCTTCGCAGCTTGCTGCTGCTGCGACGAACTAGCCACGGGCAACAGCGTGACCGTCAAAAGGACCGGATGCGCCAACCTCGACACATGTTTCCCCGCCGCCGGATCAAAGAACGAGCCATCGACCTCGAACACCGGCACCTCGTCAATCATCCTGTCCATCATCCCCTCCACCAGGTCCGCGCCGTCGTCGATGGAGAGCGCGTCGAGGCCGAGGCTCTGCACGAACTGGTCTGTCGCGTTCATGGACTGGGAGGCGCCGTGCGAGGGCGAGAGGGGCTTGCGCATGTCCGTGTTGTCCAGCTCGAGCTCGATCAGCATCTCCTTGCACTCCCCATACCTCAGCTCCCCCACATCGATATCCACATCATGTCCGTCCGACGAGAGGATGGACGAGGGGCCGCCAGAGACCTTGCGGATCCTGAACCTCTGTCCGTCCACGATCTTCATGTGCAGCTTCATGTGCAGCAGCCCGATCGACATCATCCCCCCGACGCACCCGGCGAGACAGCCGCGGAGGTCGTACCAGTCTTTGACGAACGTGTACGTCCCGCTCGTGTGGTTCGACATCAGCCAGAGGGAGGCGGGGTCGTGAGAGCGGCCGTAGCCGAAGGAGTGGATCGGGATGTTGGCGGCTTCGGCGCGGGCGAGGACGAGGTCCATTTGGGCACGGCGCGTGCTGTCGGCGGCGTCGCTGACGAGGATCATCCCCGACACGGGGTTGCGCGACTTGCGCTGCAGTACGACGTCCAGACCTGTCATAGTCGTTAGTCGCCATAAATTTTGTATCATGTAGAGTAGGAACGCACCATGGTTGACGGCGGTCACCACATCCGTCTTTTCATCCTTTGAAGCCCTCACCAAGAACTCGTCCTCATGTGAATCCTGCATGCCGATCATATCAATAAACTTTGACAGCCTCGCCCTGCTCTGCGCCCTCCCCACACACAAATACGGCGTCTTCCGTACGCGACCGCCCGTGCCCACCTCAAACGTCACCAAGCTCAGCCTATCCTTCACCGCCAACGAGGCCAGCACAAAATCAAGCGACGCCTTGATCACGCGCATCTTCAGGGCGGCCGTACTCGGGGTCGCGTTGGGTGGCGGGAGTGCCACGATGAGGATGAGGTCGAGGGGCGGGTGGGGGAGGGGCGCGAGGGAGTTGGAGGGTCCGGCGGAGACGTGTGGGGTGACGAGGCCGGCGGAGGGCTCGAAGTAGCCGAGGACGTCGTCTTCGCCCAGCGTTGTTAGTTTTTGCTGCATCTGGCGCTGGTGAGGCATTGAGCCGTGTGAGGTGGAAGAAGAGACGGTCGATCGAGAGGAGCCGTTCAAGAGACTGTCCACCGTACTCACCGTCGTCGCCGTGCTCCCGCTCAACACCCTCGCCGCCTTGCCGCTCCCGCCAAACTCGTCCATGTCGAGGCCGCGATCGTAGCCTTGTTGCTGCTGCTGCTGGAGGTGGAGGGGTGGCGGTCGGTGCTGGAAGGAGTCGACGAGGGCTTGGATCTGGCTTCTCCATGCTTCGAGGGCGGAGCGTTCTTTGAAGACGAGGATGAAGGAGTCGAGACGCTCGTCCTCCATATCGATGGTCAGACTCATCTCCCCGGTCGAGGTGCTGGCGGTGACATGCTTGATGTGTCGGACGTAGATGCGGCCCTTGAGCCTGAGTACGCCGCGGGACTGGCTGCTGGAAGCCGAGGTGGAGGTGGAGGAGTCGTTGAAGGAGGGGGAGGGGAGGAAGCGGCCGAGGGTTCTCTTTTTTTCTTCTACGACGCATATGATGGCCTCCTTGAAGAGATAGACGAAGAACTCGCGCACGAGGGAGTCGCGGCGGACGGAGAGGAGATCGTACATTTGGAGGGGGCCGAGGCCGGAGAGGGCGTGGCCCTTCCAGTCGATGATGCGGGTGCGGAGGTCGTCGGTGATGGCGTTGAAGGGCGAGTCTTCGTCCTGTGAATAGTCGTGCTCTGAATGCAAAGGGGCGCGCGGTTCGGGGTCCGATGGGTACTGTGTGCGTGCACGAATGGCGTCTTCTGGTCTGGGGCTGAGAAGGTGGTCGGTGTCGCGGCGGGGGCTGTAGGCGTCTGGGATGACGGGGCCAGGGATGTGGCTCTGTCCCCTGCGGGCTGGGAGCTCGATGACGACGATGCAGGTGAGGGGCTGGCTGACGTCTGGGGTGCGGGAGAGGGAGGAGAACTCGGGTCTGACCTGGATGGAGGGGGCGACGATGTAGTGGGACTGGTCGGTGCTCGGTGCGGAGCGGACGGAGGCGGCGTGGTCTATTGGGTCGTCCTCTGTGGGGTCGTAGGGGTGCGGGGTGGACGAGCCCGGTCTGGTGGAGGAGGTGTCGCGGCCGGGGTAGAGGACGGAGGTGTTGCGGCCGTCGACGCCGGTGAGCGAGGCGAGTTCTGGAGAGGGTCAGCGAGGGACAAGAAGATAAGAGAGAGACAGACTGTTGCTCTTGCCGCCATCGCCATCGCCGATTTTCATGGGTCGTCTGCAGACACCGCAGACGCCGAGGTTGGACTTGCGTGGGACTGCGGATCTGGAGTGGCCTGGGGGAGGGCCGTATACGGCGGTGAAGCAGGCCTGTGGGAGAAGGTGAGCAGGGGAGAGGAGGAGAGGGGAGAGATAAGGACCTCGTGGAGGGCGTGTGCGCACTCGGGGACGACATGGGGCTTCTCGCCTGGGAGTCTGAAGCTGAAGCTGAGTGGTTCGAGACAGACGGGACACTCGTCGTCGTCGTCGATGGCGTCGTGGGAGGAGACGACGGGGAGGGGTGCGGGGGGCATGGGGGCGTAGGGATGGGGGTCGAGGAGGGAGTCGGTGTGTGTGGAGACAGAGTAGGCAGAGTGGAGGGAGGTGGCGGAGTGGGCGCGTGCAGGTTTTCTGGCAAAGACGCTGTGGAGACCCTTGAAGGTGTTTGACTTGAAGGTGGGCGGTTTGGGGGCAGAGCGAGGAGAGACGTAGGTGGGTGAGAGTGGAACTTGATGGATCCCTCCCATCATTTCCACCTCCAACGCAGGCACTGGCACTTGCCGCTCTCTCCGCTGCATCCAGTTCGTAGTCCCAACCATCTCTCGTCTGTCCTGGTGAGCGAGCGAGAGCAGCGTCTTTGGTCGCTTAGCAGATCGATGCCACTTTCACACCCTTTTCGCTTCCTACATACATGTATCTTGTCTGCACTTTCATAAATGTGAAATAATAAAACAGGGCGTTGGCCTCGTTCTCCAGTCCAGTCTCAGTTTCCCTCTAACGACCATTGACAGATGGCTGCACCGCTCACCCCAGCTCAGCTCGCCACTACCCACCACTCGCCGTCTCTTTCAATATTCTCCACCTTCCTCTATCACTGATCCCTGATTCCACACGTCCCATATAATAATACCCGTTGGCAGCACCCTACCATTCAGTCATCACCCCACACACACGCACCGCACTTGGATCTGCACACAATGTCTCACAGCCATCAAAAAAAAACCGAAAAAACGCTTCATTGATACCACCCGCGACTGTTTTGGTATGTTTTGGGATGGGGTGTCTTTTATCGTCGATCCTCCGTCCAGACCTTGGGTTTGTTTTTATTTACATTGATAATGATATCTGTAGACGTAGAACTAGATGCGACCCTCTCGAGTGATAGACTCGCATATCATGGATTCACGCGTCTTCGTCGTTGGACTGTTTTGTGATTTGTGTAGTCAGTTGCGACGCTGTCACGACGTCGAGCTGATTCCCGAGTATCGTTGCCGATGTTTTCTTTAATGGTGCAATCACGTAGACGCATCTGAAATCCCATCCAAGACTAAGACCTTTATCTGACTTTAGCATCTGCTTATCGCCTTTGGGCTTTCGTGCTGGGATAATTAACCGAGAACATGTCTTTGCTGTGCACTGTGCACTTGGATAGAGGTCAGGGCAGTGGTCTCATGCAGTACGATTTTTTGTTTTCGTTTTCTTTCGACGTCGTTTCTTGTTCGAAAAACTTCCAAGTTCAGTTGCCACTACACCGTGTCAGTGGTACTATCTCAGACTTATGACGTCCTCCCCCCTCCTCTCCAAAGGCCCGAGAGCTGTCCTCCGTCACCGTCATCTACATGACATCGATCGAGACCCATGAAGCCCGACCAACTCATAGCCGTCGTTCGGGTTCAACGTTCAAACTCAAAAGTTGCAAAATTAAAGGTTTGTCAATGGCATTCAAGTCACAGCTGCCATCTCCCTTCGTCGCGTCGCTCTCAACTTACGGGTCGACTGACTCGAGCTCTCCACTCGCTCTCGCCTAGCACAAGTACGCCGACCCCCAGCGCTACTCCCATACAATACACCGCAAACCACACCCTGAACGGAATAACGACATTTCTCCAAAATAAAACTATGCATCCCAGCCACATTACTATGCATCATATGCCAATGCGATCAAGACGCTCCCCTATCAGATAAGATGACTCACCTCCTCTCAGCCCTATTACACAACACGATCTCACCTTGCCTTCCTTCCCCGCCGTCAAGCCGCACACCCCTTCGTATTTGCTGCACCATGCCATGCCGCTGAGCTTTCGTCATCCTTCCTGCCTTCCGCCCTTCTCTTCGCCTTCCGAGTCTCACACACACCCCGGGCCAGCGCACTCTTTTGTGTCAGTCTTTAGACCGGGGCATGACTCATTTTATGCTTTCTTTAGCAGTGCGCTGTCTCGTAGAAGGTCCAGGGTCAGACTCGGACTCATATTGCGAGTATGTATAAAACGTCCCCTCACAGATCACCCGTTCTCATCTCATCCCAAGCTCAATTTCACCATCCCAACTCACCCCACAACCGCACACCCACCCTCTTAACCATGTCCGTCGAAGCACTCCTCACCAACTTCTCAAAGGACATGACAGGCGAAGAGATCCAGGCGCTCGTGCTGCAAGCCAAAGGCGCGTCCGTGTCTACTCCCACCACCACCACCACCACACCAGGCGCTCGGTCTGTCGCGTACGACGCGTTCCAGGCGCCGATCCTGCCGTCGACGAATGGGTTTGACTTCCATAGTGCGTGTTTTCGTTTCGATTTTATGTCTGTGTGTGCGTGGTATGATTGCGGGTGTTCTGACTCTTGCCTCCAGTCTATCACATGCAAAACATCGCGTCGGAGGCCAAATTCGCTAGAGAGCTGCATGAGAAGATCATAAAGGAGTTTCCCGAGGTCAGTTCAGTCCAGTCCAGCTCTTCTCTTCTCTTCTCGTCCCTCTCCCCCCCGCAGGACGGTGCCATCGTCGGTGCTAGGGGGAACCTTGGCCTTGGCCTCGATACCCTGATTCTGACTCTGCTCACGCTGCCTTTGACAGCTCCGCACATACCCGTTATGGGAGAAGCCCATGGGTTCACACCCCACCGCCATGTTTGAAGTGGACACGTTCACCCCGCACCAGACCGGCGCGTTGTTCTCCTGGCTCGTCGTGAACCGCGGACCGTGCTCGTGAGTGAACCACCCGCGTCCTCTTTTCACCCACTCACTCGCTCACCCGCTCGCACGCACGCACAGCGTCCTCGTCCACCCCAACACAGGCAACCCCCTCAGAGACCACACCGAGCTGGCGACCTGGATCGGGAAGCAGTGGCCGTTGGACACGGAGATTCTAAAGTCCATTTCTGCTTGAGCGGCACCGAGCGGGTGACGATAGGGTGTACGATAGCTATTTGGGGGGGAGGTGAAGGTGCTGTTGTGTATTTTATGGTTTTTTTTTTTTTTTTGCTTGCTTATTTATTTGTCTGTATATAAACTGTCACCCCTGAGAGGTACACAATTGACAGTGTGATTCAATTTATTCGTCCTATGGTGACCAAGTATGATTGGCCCGTGCATAAGACAGGACATGGTCACTGAGCATCCCGTGCTTTGTGACATCGACGCACAATGCTGCCAGCTTGTTGACTTATTGATTCGTGGTGAGCATTTGAACCAGGGCTTGATAAGTGGCTAGAACGCCTCCAAGGTTCTTGATGTGTTTCGCCCCGGCGATGGATGTCAATGAACAGGGGCCATTTGGGGCCTAAGCAAGGTCGCAATTGAACAGTACTTTGCGTCGGTTATCCGGTAGACTACCGTGTAGTGTGTGGTGTTGTTCGCGACTTTCCATTCGCTTGTAGTAGACGCAGATGTGTCCTGTGACCGCAGAGCGGCTTTGGGTCGTACGCAGTTTTACGAGAACGACCGGAATCGACTCTTCCGCTTCCATTTCTTTGATATCTGCGGGTGGTGAATTTGTAGTATGCAGCTGCAGCATAGTTAACATCTTGGGAGCTAGAGATACCAGTAAACTGAATGGATTCACCCATCGTTTTGGACTGCCGGTACGTAGGTGTGATATACAAACATATCGTTCACTATAGGTCAGGAGTATGGGACATTGTTACAAGCTGAAACAAAAAAGTGCGGTGCAAGATGTACTATCTCAGTCTGAGCGTGATTCAACTTGAGCACCCCGTCACGACCTCGAAATCCACTGCCAGCGAAAAAGCGCCGAACACCGGTACCAATCCCGTTGAACACCCTCAGTCATAGAGATGGTCACATCCGTTGGCCATGGCAGAGTCAATCTTGTCACGTACCGTTTGCATGTGTTCTGTGTGCAGAACGACATCACTGAGCGGGCCATCCATAGGAGAACTAACAGTCCTTCTAGCCCCAGCTTCGCAGATGCCTGGTTGATATACCAGGAATCATCGCAGCCACAAACCGAGCAGCCTGGCAGTCAAAGCGTTCACTAACGTCTCGATGATGATTTCTGTCGATCCCGCGGTCGAAACTGAGCTGCGTATTTCATCGTTCGTGATCCTGGCTGGAAACCATTTCTCGGAAGCAATGGCCAACGGCGTAGCCGCTGCCCCACCGATGGCAGCGCCGAGTGGTCCTCCGATAACCTCTCCGAGAATAACACCCATCACGACAATTGTACTATGCGAGCATTTCACTAAAGCGCGGTACATTTTATCCCGGTCAAAACTAAATTTCAGTTTGGAGAGAGGATTTACTGTACGCGATATCTTACCTTGTCTCCATTTTTCAGCAAGTGTCCCAATGCGATCAGGAACCCAATAAAGGATATGGGTTCCAATATTTCAAAAAAGTCCTGCCACTCATCATTGCTAGGACTTGTAACAACAAAAGCCGTTAGTATCAAAAACATTCAATCCAGAAGGAGAGCAGCTCACAAATTCATCATTGCCTAATGACTATGAAGGCGAGATGTAGACAGGAATGAAAAGGCTGGCATTGTTGACGTGCTTTAACGAGGGCACATGGCGACTTCGTGGTGGGAACCTGCTGAAAATGGTGTTGTCTTTGTTAGGAAGACTCACTGATAAGGAGTAGTATTGACCTCGTAGGTGTCCTCCCAAGTTCCACATGATTTCCATCGCAGATCCGTACACTGCAGTCTTCCGTATTCCGAGTCTGAGGATCTGCCCTGAGCCAGGAATGTACAAAATGTTTATCATTATGATCATCCCCTGATAAATTCAACAGAGAAGAGTTCCAGGAGCAGGAATTTGCAAGGACACGAGTTTTGTAGCAATTCGATATACGAAACAAGAGACGGTGATCGTTCAACGGGTTCGTTCTTCATTCTTCTCAAGTCATCCAAGGAAGAATAAGCAAGATGAATCAGTTGATCACGAGCGTAATCTTGAGGGCACTAAGCACAAACGTTGAATTAACAACACTTTTAGGGGAGAGTGTGTATTCCGGGCACCATGCGTAATGATGGGCCAGGTATGACATAGGCTTCAGAACTGGACGATATTTCTATGGCGTCGACTTGAACATGCTCGCAGTACGCGAACTGGTAAAAGTAGAGTTACGGACAAAATCGTCTTCTGCAGAATAATTCCAAACAGAGTTCTTTGCAACAAAGAACCACATCTGGTTTTTGTCGTCCCGTGCATCTCCTCGGTTATCACTCGGAAGCAACATCCAGATAAGACAGACACCATTGAGGATAAGATAGACTTATGCGAGCAGTGTTCGCTGAAGAACCATTCTCCACACTCAACGCCAAGCTAGTCCCGCCATTCTGTATGCTGTTACAGCAAAGTTAGTGCAACATTCATAGAAAGTATAAACATTCTCACAAGAAAGGATATGGAACAGCAGTATTCCTGTGGATGCAATCATCGAAAAGCATCATATGCTACTGAGCAACAGGAGCGGAGTGAGAGATTGGTGGGCAAGTAACAATAACTCTCAATTAGCATGCGTGCTCTGCCTACACAAATGAGCTATCGCAGCAACCACAACTACACATGATTGCGGAAGTGACTTTCGAAGAAAATTGATACCCTGAAGCTTAGCACATTAGTATGGTTGGAACTCGGATGAATGAGTGCGAAGTACCTTCTTTGCAAGTCCACCCTTTCTTCGCGCACAGCAAATAAATGAAATCGTCAACACTTTGATAGCTCATCAGGGTGCTATAGGTGCCGATAAAGAGCATTCCCTATGTATGAGCACATCTGTCGCAGCGGTTCAATGAGGACGCAAGGGGGAGTCGAGACCACATTAAGAGATCAAGAGGAATACACTTTCGAATTGACCATGTATATGTAGTGATCGCATGCGCATCCTTTCAGTCCGTATCATATTCACGAAGGATGATGTTATAGACACGAAACACTGACAGTCTCGAGCTCACAGATGTTCAATATTAATATTCAACAACAGAGGTGGTGGGTGAAGTAGTCAAGGTGTCGAATTGCAACGTTGTACGTGTTTGCACAGCATAGCATGTGTCAGGCTCCTCCCCATCCACTGTTTCGAGGTTCAGAATGTATCCTAGAGAATAGAGACAATTGATCATCCCGACATTGCAAGAAAGCACGTGATGAGACATTTTGGAAAGTCAGCTGAAAAATTGGTCATTCCCAGGAAGTTCTCGCCCCCCGGCGGGCCGCCAAAGCTACCAGGAAGGTCCCCAGGGCTATTCTGGGACCCTCCCAGGAACTTCTGCGGCCACACTCAAGGGAGCCCCTCTGTTCCTTACTTCTGAGCGGCTATTATCAAGACACCCACCTTTACCAAATGTGCTTCCCTCGTGTGCTTCTTTGTACCATTCCACCGGTATCAATTGGTAAGTGCTAAGCCATCAGATCGTATCTGCAAAGAAGGTTGACAATGACTCACAATTGCTCAGGAGATTTTCAAGTGTACAACTTCAAAAACTTGTGGGGATCGAGTCTCATGGCAGGCCTAGGTGAGCTATTAAGTAGTATGCTATATATTTTTATAGAGTTCATGTTGTCAAATAGAAATTACGCTATCTGACTATTTCCTCCATTGCCCTGCCCTTCTTGCCGATACTGAAAGCCAACTCGACAATCTTTGTTTCGTTAGCATAGGCCCTGACAGGTATCTCCTCTGTTGGAGGTTTCCAGGCTCAATTCAGCCTCCGGCATATTTTAAGATGGCATTTGCAGTTGATTGCAAGATCTCGTCAAGACAGTGCTATTTAACTACTCAAGGAGACAACAGCATGTTTGAAGGTTATCCAGACATACACAGCACTGTTGCATCTTGCTGGCTTGAACCGATGGAAGATCAGTGTGGGCTTAGAGCGTGGCAGTGTCTTTTGCACTGTCTTCACGAGGTTTCACTGAGTCTCGGTGAGGGGACATGTACCTCTGAGCTGATCTCGAGGCCTATTGCAATTGGACCTGATGAAACAGAACTGATACAAGTCTCGTCGAGACTCTATGATGATAATGGTGTGAGTGTCTTTTTTTTGAGAAATATAAGGCTAATTAAATTTTCATGTGTTTGGCTAGCATTCCCTCGCAAATGAGTTCCCAATATTCAATTCATGTGGGGACCAAAGGCCACCAGAAACGTTTGATGACATCCCGATTGGCCTGCCTGTCAAGGTGTATTTCACACTACTACATGGTCCAGGTATACATGGAAACCGACTTATTCGAGGACATTTCCTGTCTATTCGTGAGGCTCGATACAGTCGGTTGCGCACTCTTCTGCAAAATGCAGTTTCATGATGACTATTCTTACTTATTTATTTCTAGTATAGCCTAGTCACTCTGTATTTTATATTACCTGATCTACATATATTTCACTGTGATGTTTAGAAGGTCGCCGAAGTGTTTGAGTAATAGTGTACTAGCTGTCTTAGCAAAGCTTCAGCCAGTTTGAAATAGAAATTTAAATAAAAAGGAGAGTGCTCACCACTCCTATTCTCCAGTTTTGTCAACAACGGACTACAGCCCAACTACCTAGTAAAAGCATGTCAGTCTTCGAGCCAATGGTTGTCAGAGGTGTGATTAAAAACACCTTGACTGCTGGTGAACATGTAAAGTTTGAGACTAATTGGAATGAATCTGTGAGTTGTTTTGTCATATAATCCAGTCAAAGATAAGAACTTACTTGAAATGAAGGTGAAACGACGTGTCAGAGCATGGGAAGGTAGTCGTTCAACCCCAGCCAGTGAATTTCAAACGGCCCAGTATGAATGGGAGGCCCATGTGGTCGAGTATGTGGACTTTGTCAGTTCGGCAACATCTGTTCACCCCAACAGCAAGAGTGGGTCAGTTCCACCAAATCTGAAGAGTAGCATACCTTTTTATGGCCCTCGATTTACACCTCCAACATTTTTGCAACTAGAGAAACGTAAACATCTTCCAAATGTGAAGCCTGGAACTGCTTACATGAAGGAGATAACCATTGTCCACCCCTTCTATTTTGACGGCCTTGATCAATGCCCGAGGTGTCAGTCTCTGGATGTGAAGTGGGGAGGATGGACTTCCACAGGACATCGAGATATTCATGGCATCCGAAGAGAAGAGTACGCACTAGGAGTCCAATTGCGATGCAAGGCCTGCAAAGAGAATAATAAGCAACGTGGTGATCCTAAAAGTGGAGAAGATATGTACTGCTTTGCGACCACAAGTCATCTATTCTGGGAGAAGTGGGAATTTTGGAAGATCCCTCATTAGTAATCCCATCATCAAGACAGCTGCCACTGATCTCACCAGATTAAACAGGAAATGTGCCAGTCTTCTTCAAAAGATGCGGTATGACACGCGATCTGTTTGATCTGATCATTGAGTTGCGACCTTCAACCACATCGGCTGGACTGGCAGAAAATTTCAAACGTAAGTCATCATGTCTTTTGTGCCTTCAACACTTACCTGGAAATGTGTCATTGACCGCAGAACTCCATCTTTTCGACTATCAGCAGCGCTTTCTAGAATACTTACAACATTTTGAAAAGAGAAGAAGGTGTCACTCGCCTTTTGAGCCATGTGCTCCTCTTGTGGAATTCTCACCGCCAAACCTGAGCAATGCATATGGTGACAAACCTATTACTGATGATCTTATCACAGATGTTTATCTCGAAGTCAGTAAACGCTCACGACAAGCTGAGTCATCTGAATACTTACGCACCTTGTCTGGTGAGATCCTTTTCCCTTCAGTAGCTGATCAACTCTGGAACTAACATGGGATGCAACAGGTGTTTGTATTTCTCTCGACAATACTTTCAAAGCTGCAGGGAAGGCAACAGTGGCAGATAAGCAGAAGACAAGGACCAAGTTCATGAGGGGGGGAATGCTTACCGCTATAAACGAGGATAATGAGATACTTTGTTGGGTGAGTTTTGTTTTATTAATGTTTGAACTTGCTGGCTAATTCGGATCTAACAGAGACTTTGCCAAACTCAAGCAAACGCAGAAATGGAGGAGTTGCTTGAAGGCTTGAAGTCTCGCTATGAAGAACTGGATCAGCCCCTCCCACAAATGGTCATTGTTGATAACTGCTGCCACGTACGCAGTGCAGTCAATAAAGCAATGCCAGATGCACAAGTTGGCCTGGATGTATTCCATTTTATTATGAGGTAAGTAAACACGACTTATCTGTTCTTGTACTCACATATTTGCAGGTATCTTGCTGCCATTCTCAACGGAACCAGGAACCCTCAGTGTTCGGCTGTAGCCCACGACATTAGCAAAGCTATCCTGAGTTCACGGGCATCAGGTCATGGAGAAAGTGCGAAGTATCGAACAAAAGAAGAGCAAGAGGTCCAGCTTCAAACGATGTTTGAGAAGTGGGCCGAAAAGGGCGGGGTGTGGTCTGCAGCTGCCTCCAAGGTAAGTACTTCATTTTTCATGCCATATACACTACTACTGACAATCTAAATTACACAGGTGCATGCAGACCAGCTCGCACACGTCAAAAAAGGGTGTTTGATGCGAGTTCGGCAAGATATAAGATCAGATGGAAGCCGCATTGAAGGGTCGCACAAGGCTTGGAACGGCATCATGCGGTCATTTGCCAGCGGCCTGGAGATGTTCTTAGCCTTAGGTTTTGATTTTGTGATACGTCGTAACATACGCATTCGCTTCCGCTCACAGAAACCGAGCAAATTCCTTAGTTCTATCCATGGGACACACCACATCCGCTTAGCTAACCACATTGCCAACTCATGGAACAGCTTGCTTTCCACAGAACCAACTCACAGCAACAACAGTCAAGAGCTGAAGGCACGCCCTGTCCTTTCATCCATCAACACCAAAGAATCCTTTGGTCTCGGCCCCTCCAACCACAGCTCAACATTTGGAGGCCTCATAGAAGTTAAGACTGAGGCTGATTTTGACGAGCAAGACCTCAGCCTGGATCAATTAGTCTTAGATGCCGAGATTGAGCCCACATCAATCCTGCAATGCCTGGATATCGACCCCAACTTGCTTACAGTGCCTCAAATCACCTTAGGCAAGTATCCTCTTCACCATGACTGTCTTGCTACCTAACTAACTTCTGTCCTTTTCAGCTGACACACAACACTCATGTGCTCTACTTGAGTATGCCTCATCGCAACCAGGTGAAATGATGGCTATAACTGAGCCAACAGCGCTTGCCGATTCCAGCCAATCTGGGCCTCTCAAGCGGAAGGTCCCATTTTATGACCTAACTGAAGATTTGGGGCCACTTGCTGGCGCATTGGAAGGCCCACTACAGAAGAAGAGTCGTATCCCCACTGCTCAGGTATGTAGATTTAATATCCTTTTTGGAAATACTAATGTACACTACTGCATAGGAGACAACAGCGAACACCTCAAGTACATCAGCAACAAACACCCCAAGTACACCGGCTACAAATGCCTCAAGTATACAGGCAAAAGGCACTGTAAGTACATATCTGACTATAATGAAATCAACACTGAGCATGCCCATGGTACCCACTTATCCGGACCAACCAGCCATCCACCAGCAATATTATCAGCATGTTTTTTGCACCTGGATCAAAGACTGTCGCCCCCAAGTGCCCTAGTGACAAACACACCAGCCAAAACTTGATGGCGGCCTTCTCACCACTTGCTGACCCCAACTTGAATGGTCTCTCACGCTCTCAGCGCATATTTTCCATCTCGACGGGTATCGACCCACGTTCACTCACCCTCAACTCTAGTGCCGAATTTTTCCTATTCATGGATATGCGCCTACAAAATAAATGGGCATCGTTCAGCATGACGTCTCGGAAATGGGTTCTGGCTACAGCAGACTATAATAGTAGACTAGAGAAGCTTCCTAAGTCTGGTGGTAGCCCAGCAGTTATGAAAAATCCCCGTGCACTATTTGACAAATTGGGGGAAATAGAGACAAAGATTGTCGAGAGGATCAAGTCTAATAATTTTGTTTGTAAGAATTGTTTGATTCTCTCATATTGTACTACTGAATTGTCTGTCTCTTTCATCAGCATCAAGCGGCAATGAGAAGTTTTGGAGAACCCATTGTTTCATTGTCCAGCTCGTTAAAGGAGAAAACACAGACCTGAAATCAGTAAGTGATAAACATACATGAAACAATATATGATTGATCTAACTATGCTACTAGCGTAAGACTCAAATATGTAGCCGTTGCCGCACTATCAAGTACCCAGGATCGACAGGCTTTTCAGGAAACCACAAGAAACTATTCTGTTCTGACGGTGTTCCTGTCAGAAAGGATTTCCCAGACGAGCTTCCACCCTAGCCACAGCCTCAAGGCATTTTTGTGAACGGCACTCACTTTCATCCTTGGGTTTTCCTCTCGACTATTCGTGAAATATATGAGAAGGTCATAATTGAGGGTGGAAATGGTGCTGACCTTGAGATGGAATATCAGGCATTTGCGGCTATGCTAGTCAAACGAATGACCCCTCCAATTCCAAACAGCCCAGTCTTGTTTCGGCTTTATGAATCCCTCACGTTGAGTCCCCCCATGCCGGATTTGGTCAAGGAGCACGAAGGAAAAAAGTATTTGAGGGTTGACTGTCTTTCCGACATGGAGCAAGCAGTAGTGGTTTCTTGAAGTTTTTTTCATGATTTTCACTCTTTTCCTTACTTTTTTCTGCATTCACACTACTCATAATACTTGTGCAATACACATGAATGGGCACAGATCTCTAATATAAATATTTTATGCCTTTGCTGTCGCTGTATAGACTTTCGAAAGAGTACCACTACCTATGCGAACCCCGAAAATAGGGTTAGAAACGAACTTGGTGAAAAAAAAAGATGCAACCTGGGGTAAAATGAAACAGTCAGGTCACATGAATAATCGGTCGACAATCGGTCAATCGGTCGACCAAAGATTGGTCGACCGATTCGGTGACTTCCCTGGCTATGGCGGAGTTGCCAGTCAGCTGAACTTTGATTCTGAACCTCTCCACAGCGGCTGGACTTTAGTAAAGCAAGTCAGCCACAGTGACTAGTGACCGTCAAGTGACAGCTGACTTTTGAAAATATGATAAAAATAAAAATGATCCAAATTGGAAATTTGATCAAAGTTGCCCAATCCAGCAGTATCCGCATGTCATCCATTGGGGCTTCTCCATCAAGACATTGCATCATTCACATGCTGCCAGAAATTCGTGATCTAACAAAGGAGTGTATAGGCATTTATCCATGTCTATTTCAAGCCAAAGTTGGGCAGGCAATAGCAAAAGGAGACCAGGATATTGTTTGTATAGCAGGTCAAGGTAAAACATTGGGTTTTCTGATACCCCTACAGCCAAGAGATATACAAATTATTGTTACACCACTAAATTTACTAGGTAAACAGAATGCTACAACACTGGCTGAAGCAGGCATCCGAGCCATTGCTATTAATGCTGAAACACAGATAATTCGAGACAGTCAACAGGATTTATTTTGAAGTGGGTTATTTTCGAAGTCAGCCGTCACTTGACGGTCACTAGTCACTGTGGCTGACTTGCTTTACTAAAGTCCAGTGTGGAGAGGTTCAGAATCAAAGTTCAGCTGACTTGCAAAAAATTATCTTATCATTTATCTAATCTATATGTCCCTAGGATAAATTCGAACCTCGAAAGAGTGGATGGGGAGGAGCCTGAGCATGTGTAGTCGTCGGCTCGGTGGCTGCCGAACGGGCCCTTAGTAACGACATTTCCAAAACAAAACCTGTTAATATTACTATGGATCAAGACGTTCCCTTATCAGATAAGATGACTCACGTCCTCGCCCTATTACAAAACACGGTCTCCTTCAGCACAGTCATCGCTGCACCATGCCGCTAAGCTTTCGTCATGCTTCTGCCTTCCGCCATGTTCTGCTTTCTTTAGCGGTGCAGTGAGCGCAGTCTCGTGGAAGGTCCAGGGTCAGACTCGGACTCGGACTCATTGGGCGTATGTATAAAACGTCCCCTCACGGATTATCCGTTCTCATCCTCATCCCATACACACACCTTCTCCCTCACCCTCATCATCTCACTTTCACCACACAACCGCACACCAATCCTCTAGACCATGTCCGTCGAAGCACTCAACAACATTTCGAAGGATATGACAGGCGAAGAGGTCCAGGCGCTCGTGCTGCAAGCCAAAGGCGCGTCCGTGCCTACCACCATCACACCAGGCGCTCGGTCTGTCGCGTACGACGCGTTCCAGGCGCCGATTATGCCGTCTACGAATGGGTTTGACTTCCATAGTGCGTGTTTCTTGATTATAATTCTTGGTTTTCTTGACTCTTGCCTCCAGTCTATCACATGCAAAACATCGCATCGGACGCAAAGTTTGCTAAAGAGCTGCATGAGAAGATTATAAAGGAGTTTCCCGAGGTCAGTTTAGCTCTTCTTGTCTCTCTTCTCTTTCTCTCGGAACAGCGCCGTCATTGGGGGGAGCCTTACTCTGATTCTGACCTGCCCACGCGTGTGCTCACACTGTCTTTTCTTTCCAGCTTCGTACTTACCCGTTCTGGGACAAACCCGTGGGTCCACACCCCACCGCCATGTTTGAAGTGGACACGTTCAACCCGCACCAGACCGGCGCGTTATTCTCTTGGCTCGTCGTTAACCGCGGACCGTGCTCGTAAGTGAAAAAACCCACCATGTCGTCTTTCACTTCACTCACTCTGTCACTCACTCGCTGACGCGCACGCACAGCGTCCTCGTGCACCCCAACACAGGCAACCCCCTCAAAGACCACACCGAGCTGGCGACCTGGATCGGGAAGCAGTGGCCGTTGGATGCGGAGATGTTGAAGTCTATCTCTCCTTGAATGGAAACTGAGCGATGATCATGTTAAATGGATGGTGAAGAGGCTAGGGTGTACGATGGCTATTTGGAGGGAGGTGGAGGTGGAGGTGCCGTATTGTTTGTTTGTTTGTATATAGCCTCTAAAGCCTGCATTGTGCTTTTGAATCGATCATGATGCATGATGGATCGATGAAATTAGAAGTGGCGAAAACGGGAACATGGCTACCTGTCATCCAAGGCCCATCATATTATCCGCTCTCCCCGTCACCTCTGCTCCATCGCTCACACTGCTCTCGGGTCAGATTCTTGGTCAGACATGCCCCTGGGACTGAGTGCTGATGCCCAAGGCAAGGCTACAGTCACGCTGATATGGCTATTGCCAGAAGTTTATCGTCGTCAGCGTCTCAAACGTCTCCACCCGCTGTTGAGAGTGGAAGATCCCAGAGCAGTGAACCACGCGAACCGAACGGTCCAAAAATAAAAGTCATCATGATACCAGGAGAAGGGTGTTATACATCTGAACCGATCAAAATCTAGTGCTAGAGTGGTATACAAACATACATACGCATAAGTCATGGCCGTCCTAGAAAGTTAATATACGATAAGGAGCTGAATGCAGCGAAATAATTTTTTAAGATGGGAGATCTGTACCTCTTTGCAAAGATGCCCCTATAGGCTATGGGTCGTCCTGGTGGTTGTAGACATCGGTACTCTGATGGATCTCAATACGCCGCTATCGGAGCTTCTCTCTCAAGGCGATTCGTGATGGAGAAAGAAGAGCAGATGACTCACTGTTTGTTTTTCGAAAGGTGATAGTGGTGCCGATTTGCTCGTCGTGGGTAGGAAGGCGAGTGATACATCAGTTGGAATTGCCATTTGGGCTTTCTGCAGGGTTGATTTACGAGAGTTGAGGCTATGGTATGTTGATGATGAGGATGTTGACATGTTATATCTGAAAGTAAAGAGCGCACCTCGCAAGGAGAGAGACGGCGTATACTGAAAGATAACTGACATCAGAACTTTCTTTACTTGAGTTTGATTATTAATGATGCATACGTTTGCTTTGCACCTGTACGAAGGCGACAAAGGCTTGAGTGTCCGGAATAGCGAGGAACTAGAAAGTGAATGAGCCACAATTTGTCTTGCCATCTACCTCGTTCACGCACCATGATGATGACAAGGACTGCGAAAAAGCTACACCATCGACGTTAATGCAAGTAGAACCTAAGATTTAGCAAAAACGCACGAGGTGATAGCCCCTGTATTTATTGTGTACAAGAGTAGGCGATTGATGATACTGTCGGTCCTGAATATATATAACATATATATTACTTGAAGTAGTATATAACATAATGGAAGAACCTACCGTCTTATACCGGTTCTGTGAGCATGAAGGTAGCAGCATAAAGCACAGGCGATGGCACTGTCTGCCAGAACAGAAAGTACCCAGCCCGCGACCATGGTCGGCTATGTCAGAAGTGAGATATGGATGATGACATGATCATCCAGGAGACCTACGTAGACACGGTCTCGAAAAACTGCCCACAATGTGTAGCGAAGACTAAGGGGTGGATATCTTATCAGATTGGAGTTGTAAACGAAAGTAAGAAAGCAAAAGGCGACCTCATTGAACAGTTGCCCACGCCGAATCCTGTGTAATTTTTGGATGATAGACTTCAGCGTTACGTGTGGAAATGAATTGTGTAGCTGTGGGACTGACCGAATCGAATGGTTGCGAGAATAACCTGAGATGAATGAAAGTTAGCCTTGACAGGCACAGTAGTTAATGCACAGGCACAGAATTAACATACAAGACACGAGGATATCCATAAACTTTTGCCCACTTTAAAGATGAATGAAAAGCTGCGCTGTCACGAGAGAATGTATCCTTACGAAGCCAGATGCGCCAGATAAAGCATCTGTAGATGCCCTTTAGCCAGAATATTGAAAGGTGGAACATGATAGCCTTACAAGTTCACAGAAAAAGCAATGACGAACTGAAAACAACTGCATTTACGCTTTGCATGAAAAGTAATAGAACAAGTCGCACTTACGCCGACAATATATGTAACCTAAGATATGGATAAAGCTCAGGTTTTGTAAACACACGATGACTGCAACTACACTACTCACACTCATGCTCCTGAACGATCCGTGAGCAAATCAACAATACGGACAACCTGATGAAGTGACGCACCAAACTACGTATTCCAGAGCTTCAGGGTTATAGAAATTCAAGATCAGATAGTGTTCTACGAAGTGAATTGACAATGCTGTGTGGACGGTCTCAAGACACCTGGATTTGAAGATATTGTGATCGTATGACATTATGAAGATGACTGGAACCAACCATATACTAGCGACCTAAAGACATTTACACGTTAATGATTGACATGGAAGGAAACGGGTGAACACACCAAGATCTTGAGTCGTTTTTTGTCACTTGCGTAATTTTGGATATAGAAAAACGCCTGCATGCAAATAATACCGTACATGAACATAGTAGCAAGTGTGCCACATAGGCCACCCTGCATAATGGCGATGACGGGTGAGGGTGCCATGAATAACGAGTGTGATGAAGGGGGGGTTGTCAGACAATAGCAGCTGTCCCTTACATACCCGTCTTCATTTTAAACTTTGAAGTCACTTGCCAGGGCGGACCGCCCATCACCTCGGACTCCTCATATTAAAGTATACCTGTTCGCATCAATTCAAATGTGATGAGCTTCTCACTACAGCAGCGTTGCAAGCGTCAATCTTTGGTACGACAATGGTGCCGTTATGACGAAAATAACTATGAATACATATACATAGTACCAGACTGACTGTCTGCGGTGAAGCGTGTCCTCACTGCGGGGTATGTTGCCTATTTTCAAACAAGTCAGTCCCTAGTTTTTTGGACAAAGATAACACACTGTCACATTGAATGGGGTACTTGCTTTTAAAGGCAACCTTAGCTAACAGAACAAGGTTCAGAGAACGATTCCAATGTATTGAAGTTATTCCTGGCATTGCTACGGGTGTCCTTCTTCTGATGGGACACTCGAGGCTATGTGACTGTTGGGATCGTTGTCACCGAAGTACGTAGACCAAAATATGACCACTGCTTGCACAACAGTGCAAAGTTGATAGACTCACACATATGACCAATGTTAGCTCCGCAAGGCAACCAGTCTGCCGCAGGAAGTCGACAACTATGTCCATTCCACGAATACCTGTAATATCCTACCAGTGTATAGATTTGGGAGTCCTTTGGGCCGGTCATTCGAAGGACTAGATCCGATAACGATAACTCTAGCTGGGGTTGTTGCTTTCTGGGAATTCCTTGATATGTCAGGATAGCGGTTTTGGTACGGATTCGAACCTAGATAGGATTGAATCACAGATGGAGATAGCTGATGAGAAGATAAGATGATAATTGTATTTGTAAGGCCCTTGAGACTGCATAACGTCGCGGTCGGACTGAAGGCTCTACACTGAGTCTACAGTAGGTAGTGCAGAGGTGCAACTGGAGAAACCCGATCATGTTGCCTGGCACGTGTCCTTGAACAGCGAGGACCCCGGATACCACATCCCGTTCAGTTGCAACGCGCTTTCTCTCTTAGACTCTTCAAACACCTTGAAAAGCTTCCGTCAAAGCAAACTGAACTTCGTCCACAATGGCGACGAGCCCCAGCAGTTTTCGCCAGCGAAAACATGTCTCGACCACCCATGGTTCAAATACGAACTATGACCTAGACGACGATGACCACGTCAGTGCCATACACAACACCGTATGTTATCTTGTCACCCAACACCAACACCATGTTTCTGACATCGTTGTGACTTAGAGAACACGTAGTTCATTCGAGCAGGCACTTGATACACCACAAGCTAGCGCTGCTGTCGTAGGAGTACTGACAGCTGCCGCATTTGCACTACGTTTTTACAAAATCAATCAACCAGACCAAGTAGTGTAAGTATATGTTCAGCTTCACGAGTCAATTTCACTCAATTGACCACTCTTACCTCTGGAATAGCTTTGATGAGGTTCATTTTGGAAAATTTGCCTCGTATTATATCTCACGCCAGTACTATTTTGATGTCCACCCTCCTTTTGCAAAACTTCTTTTTGGACTTGCCGGTTGGTTTGTCGGCTTTGATGGTCACTTCACCTTCGAGAACATCGGCGACAGCTATTCGGACAACCATGTACCATACGTTGGAATGAGGGCTCTGCCTGCAATCTTGGGTAGTCTAACTATCCCCGTCGTATACGCTATCATGAAAGAAACCGGTTATTCCACTCTTATCGCCGCTTTCTCTGCTATTATCGTGCTGTTTGGTGAGTGGCATCGTTCCCCTGCAAACATGTATTTCATGTATTATGATTGATCCAGATAACGCTCACGTTGCCCAATCCCGTCTTATCTTATTGGATGCCACCCTTATGTTTTTCATGTCGCTCACGATTTACTCATACGTACGGTTCCGTAAACTCCGCTACTGGTATGTCATCGTTACCTCCGTTTTTTATTTCAATGCTCACTCTGCTGAAGGGAGTTTTCGGTGGAGTGGTGGAGTTGGCTCATTGCTACTGGATTTTTCATGGCTTGCACTTGGGGTTCCAAAGTGAATGGTATCCTTACTGTCGTCACAATCGGCGTTGCAGTTTTGATTGACCTCTGGGATATATTGGATCACAAAAAGGGTCACACAATGGTACGGTAACGATAACGATTCATTTTACCATACTGTTATGGGAAATTGACTACGTTTTACAGGAGCTTTTCTGGAAACACTTTATGGCCAGAGCTATTGGCCTCATTGTTGTGCCCGTGATCATCTACCTGTCCTTCTTCTATGTTCACTTTGCTGTCCTCACTCATTCTGGTTCTGGCGATACCTTTATGAGCCCAGCCTTCCAAGAGACATTGATAGGAAATGAGCTTCTTCTCAACAGCCAAGGTAAATATTATATTACCCCGAACGGCCTTTCTTAACGACTATACAACGGACAGAACTTCGCTACTATGATACTGTGACACTTATGCACAAGGACACGAAAGTGTTCTTGCACTCGCATGTTGAACGATACCCTCTAACGTATGAAGATGGACGTGTTAGCAGTCAAGGTAGGACTTCTGCCACCGTGCTTTTCAGGTTCAGGCGATAATGACCTTGTTTAATAGGACAACAAGTTACTGGTTATGGACACGAAGATAGCAATAACAATTGGCAAATCATTCCGACTAAGGCACTGCCAGAGACTGGTCCTGGCCGTATCGTACGACATGAAGACCTCATCCAACTTCTGCATGTCAATACCCAAAGCTTCCTTCTTACTCACGACGTCGCGTCGCCACTGATGCCTACTAACCAAGAGTTCACTACGTGGCCCAAAGACAATCATTCTCGCTTCAACGACACGCTTTTCTATCTCAACCTAGTTGATGGCAATGAGGGGGATGCTTGGAAGAGCAAATCCAGCCACTTCAGGCTTGTGCACGCACCTACGAGAGTTTCGATGTGGACGCACAGTAAACAACTCCCTGACTGGGCATTCAAGCAACAGGAAATCAATGGCAACAAAAATCCTACCGAAAAATCTGCAACATGGTTTGTTGATAGCATAATCTCTCAAGAAGGTGGGTACAGTTTGATGTTAGACGATGATGAACGTCCTGAATATTTGCATCAGGAGTCGATCCGGCTGAGGTTCCATTGGAACCATCAGTGAAGGAGCCAAAGAAGATGAGCTTCTTCAAGAAGTTCGCAGAGCTACAACTGTTGATGCTTCAACACAATGCCGGACTCACTGCATCGCATCCTTATGCAAGCAGTCCCATTAACTGGCCATTCCTGTTGAGTGGAATTAGTTTCTGGACTGAGAATGATACCCAGAAGCAAATCTATTTGATCGGCAACGTCGTTGGATGGTGGACATGCATCATTTCGCTGTCCATCTTTATTGGCATTATCGGTGCTGATTTACTGGCACGCCGCCGAGGACTGACTCCTTTAACGGAGCGTAAGTTCACCTATCAATATGTTTCTTGTGTTTACACAGGACTAAACTTTTCATGTAGCTACTCGCAATCGCCTTTGGAATTCGGCAGGCTTCTTCGTTGTTATATGGGCCGTCCACTACCTTCCCTTCTTTGTCATGAGTCGCCAGTTGTTCATTCACCATTACCTGCCATCACACATTGCATCTGCATTAGTGGCTGGCGCCGTCCTCAGTTTCATTTTGTCCGACACTGTCAACTACCCAATATCAATCGCTGGCCGATCAACTCGTAGGCGACCTGAGGAATTGGCTGATCTCGGCGTGCAAGGCCCGGTCGTTGTTGGCGTATTTGCAATTCTTATGTTTGTTATGTTCTTGTATATGTCCCCTCTCACGTATGGTACTCCAGGGTAAGTTCCACTTTTCACTTTTCGCGCTATTTTTCTATAGGGAGCTCATCACTTTTCTGCAGCTTGGATGGAGAAACTGTTAATCAGAAGCGGCTACTGTCGTCGTGGACCCTGCACTTTGCTGCAAAAACAAATGCTGAAGTGATACCATAGAATAATGAGTGTCCCCAAATTTTTTTTTGGAGAGCGAATCGATATAGTAGTAGCTATAGGTTGTACATAGATAATGAATTTTTTTGTCGGATCGATGGTCAACGTTAGAGATCAGTATTCTGGATCATAAGCTTATCACTGAAATGTATACCTAAGCATGTTTGACTTGTCGGCGCTCACGCGGGTACTCGCGGTTATAGCATTTGTACCTAACCCAGCTGACGGTTGTTCTTTGACGCTTGCTCGCAAAACAGCCATCTGAAATGTTCAACGCCCCACGACCCGCACAACGATACGGGTCGACGTCCAACGGATTCGGGGGTAGTTTTGTTGCAGAGAATCCTCTGTCTGCCTCGGTTTACGACGGTCTCGATCCATGGAGTGCTGCTCCAACACCGTCACCACCGCCCATCTCTTCTCTTCCATCTACATTCAGCTCCGTTATAGGTTTGTCGATTTGAATATTCAAAGAAAATTCAAGGAAATCTTAACCAATTTGTGCCAGCGGATGCTTCGATACCTGCGATATATCACAAGGCGTTTTCTGCGGCTGACACCTCTAATTCGGGAGAAACGTCTGTGAATGCATTGTCTCGCGTTCTCGCTACTTCATCATTGCCTGCAGCAACTGTCGATAGGGTGACTAGCTAGTTTTTTTCTACATACTTTACTTTGAACGCTAACTAACCATCATTGCAGATCGTGAATCTAGTCAGCTCTCGCCCAAGAGTCTCAAAGTTGGAGTTCTACATCGCTTTAGCACTAGTTGCATTAGCACAGTCTGGCAGAGGTTCGTGTTTTTATCGCACATTAGCCTTTAATTCATTTCAACGTTATGTGCACTGCTTTTCAGACATCAGCATCGAACAAGTAGCAGCTGCGGCATCACAGAACAATCTACCGGAACCCAGCTTGAACCTCGAATCCCTGCAACCAAGCACGTCTGCTTTCACGACCCCATATCCCAACTATAGACAGAACAGTGGACCACCATTACGGTCTCCTGCTCCAGCCTATGCATCCGAGGATCCCTGGAGTGCTTCGCGGTTTGGTGGTGCTGGAGAGTACAATGACACGAGGACAATAGTAAACGGCGCGCCTTCGACTGTTTCTGGGAGTGGCTTGCCGAAGGATTGGTGGAAGAAGCAAGAGGCAGTGAATATCGCTATACAGGGCCAACAAGGCTTCATTCTGAATCGCTACACTGTATATGAGATTTCGACAGACGTAGGTGTCTTTACTCTTTCTAAAGAGTTAAGAGGGATTGTAATGAACCTTGTTTTGCCAGCGCGGTGCAGCTGTTCATCGACGATACTCCGAGTTTGTGTTCCTGTGGGACTGCTTAGTACGGCGCTATCCCTTCCGTCTACTACCTGCGCTGCCACCCAAACGGGTACAACGTAAGTTAGATACTTTCATTTTCACATGCGCACAGCACTGATGGCTCTCACAGCCGACGAAGCATTCTTAGAGCAACGAAGGTATGAATGAACACGATGGCAGGCATCTGTCCTTGTAACTGACTCGGTATTACAGGAAAGGATTGATCAGGTTCCTAAACTTTGTGATGTATGTTTTGTGCACATGTTGTCCTTAAGACTTTTTGTTGATTGAACATAAAGCAATCACCCAGTTATCAAGGAAGACGGGTTACTGGCAGTATTTCTCACAGAGCCTTCATTAGAAACATGGCGAAAGCATTCTTCTGTCTCTTTGGATGAAGAATCGGTGAGCAAGCGGATAGACCATGTTGAAGAGATGACGATCCCAAGTGACTTGGAGGAAAAACTAACGTATGTTGCAAATGGTGTCGGCCTCGTATCTTCACTGGGATCTGTCTTACTCAATATCGCACCCAAAGATCTGTTCGCAGCAAGATAAGCCCACTCATTGAACAGTGGCAGAGGATTTGCATATTAGCGGAGCGCATCATCAAGAGACGCGAAGCTGCAGCGGTACGGATCCCTTCAAGTCTGCGACGCACCTACTTACCGGCTCACTTCGCGTTCTCTTTGTTCCCTTCTCCGCTTTCTTCTGCTGCTTCAACACACACTTCGGATTCGGATACCTCTGCATTCTATGAGCAGGCAGATATAGCTCGCCTGACCAACGTACTTAAGGTGGTAGCGGAAGTCAACGAAACCTGTTGGAGAGGCGATGATTGTGAATTATGTGATGGTGTCCGACAAGGTGTTGGGCAGGTTGCTACGCATATGCAGAGACAGTCAGACATGTTGGAGCAACAGGTATGTAGTCTTTAGACTCAGAACGATCACACCAAAATGAATCATTCTGCAGACTAGAACATTGCTATACAGAACGTTGGAGTCGCTGAAGGTGAGGCTTTTCTCATTTTTATCAAGCACCAGTGTACCTGATTATCATGTTTGCTTTAGAGCCAGCGCGATCTCTACATGGCCATGAGAGACCTTTTCATTCGCCATGACCGCCTCTCTGTTGATAACGTGGAACGGTTGAAGAAGCGTGTGGATACAAACTCGCTGAAAATGGAAGGAATCAAAGCTGCACAGAAGGATGGCTGGCAAGAAGAGGCGGATCGCATCATTGGCATCATTGAGAAAGATCAAGCTACAATCGCCTCTCTACTGAGCAGGCGGGTATTTATCCGTGCATCGTAAGTAGAATGAATTTCGGTTTGCTGATATTAGCTGATCATCTTCCCTCTGTCGTTCTCCATAGGATGTGGCATGAACTTCGAGTGGTTCTTCACAACAGGGAGAACGCACTAATCACGCAGGCTGTACAAGCATTCGCTCGAGATGAACAGAGCTTCACGGACAGCGTCCTTGCGAACTGGATATCCCTTGGCAATGCTGTTGAAGGAATGCCCTTCGAGTGAACAGCTCTTACAATAATATTCACGCTGTATATTTTGTGTTTACGACCATTCATGACCCATTGTTAAGATTTCTATATGATAATTATACAACTTTATACTATTGAAGAGCATTGGACTGAGCGTTTGGTGCAAGCAAAAGCTGTGGTTCGGTGTTTGCTGCCAGAGTCCAAGGGCATCTCCGTTTTCGGCAATCGTTCAAGTCTCACCCTAATACTTGCGCAATACTTGTTCAGGTGCCACTATGGATGGCTTTGACGACTTGCTCGTTCCCTCTCGAAATGTATTAGAGGATAATCCTTTTGAAGACCCTTTCGCAAAACCTCGCTCAAGCTCACCAGATCCATGGGCAAGCTTTTCTCGTCAACCTGTGGAGTCTGACTTCCAGGACGAAAGTCTATACACTTCAAATTTCGACCAAGCTCGAAGTACTACGCCCACCACTGAATCATATGTAACTGGAGAACGAGGCTACAGCGAACAGAACAGTACAGTGGACCCATTGGAGGCCGCCAGTCTCACTGCAGACGACCGTGAAGACACAGTATCGGCTCCCTCAGAGCGCGACCAGACACCTCCCAGAACGCCAGGGTTCAGTGTTTTCGACTCAAGCGCAGATGACCATACGAAAACCATATCAGAGCCTGAACCAGTCGGCTTAACAGGCGATGAAGAACCAGCGCTTACTCCTTCACTTTCTCGCCATAGTCCTAAGCTGTCTATCGCTACTTCTGATGCCACAAGTTCTTCACCACCTCCACCTCCAGAACCTGCCTTGTCGCCTTATAAGCCTGAGCAGTCTGTTATATCGCCTCTAGACCAGTTACCTCGTTCAAGCCTTGACCGTCCTTTCGCTGGTCTTGCTTTGGGAGGAGAGTCTTTGGGAGGGTGGCAGGGTGACTGGGATAATGATCGGCCATCAACTATCGTGTCAGCCCAGAAGGTGGAAGATGACGATGACGACGACGATAAGCCTATCGGCCAATCGTCAAAGTTCAAAGCTGCAGAGCGGGATAAATCCAGAGTTAGTGAACTTGAAGCTTCGGAATATAAGGCACAACTGATATTTGAAAGTATAGTCACTATCGTCTGCCACGCAGAACAGTCACGAAATTCAGCCCGTTTTTGTCATATCTGTTGACGATCCTCAGAGAGTTGGAGATCCAATCCGTGCATTCACAATGTATACTGTGCATACGCGAGTAAGTGCTGTTTATCTGGCTTCTAAGCGGTTGATGTTCAAAGCATGCAGACTACTTCGCCGTTGTTCCAAAAATCAACCTTCTCTGTACTACGGCGCTACTCTGATTTCTTATGGCTGTGTGAAACGCTTTCTATGAACAACCCTGGTGTGGTTGTGCCACCTGTACCGGGAAAGAGTCCATTTGGCCGTTTCGACGACCAATTTGTTGAACAACGAAGACTAGCTTTGGAGAAGTGTATCCAGAAGACTGCAAACCATCCTGTACTGGGGAAGGATCCGGACCTCAAGATGTTCCTCGAAAGCGATACGTTCGCTTTGGATGTGTGTTCCAATTTGAAGTGTCCTAGTGTCAAACTGAACATGTTTTCATAATGTAGATAAAGCACAGGAAAGCAGAGCTCTCTCAAGAACGAGGTGGCATCATGGCATCCATTGGTCAGACATTGGCGGGTCCTCGCTTTTATGAAACCGACGAGGTGCATTCAGTGCTCCCATCGATATGATTTATAGTAGCTCACTTCATTCTAGTGGTATGATAAACAAAAAACTTACCTTGATGGTCTCGAGTCGCAACTTCGTGGTCTTGTCAAATCGATCGAAATTGTTGCAAAGCAACGTGCTGGTAAACCTTCAGTCATCCTTTGACTTATTCTTGCATATTTACAAGTATCCTGTGTAGATTTGGCAGTAGCCACTGGGGAGTTTTCTCAAACTATCAACGAACTATCAACGTCAGACGTAGGAAAACAACTGCAGCGGTCATTAGCATCTATGGCTGATGTCGAGCGCAAAGCCGAACAACTTCAGCATACTCAGTCACAGCAGGATATGGTGACGTTGATGAGCACAGGTGAGGGCGCCTCGCGTTCACCTTTGTTAGAAATCGACTAACAAGCCTGCAGCGGACGAATATTCTAGACTCATCAGCTCTGTTCGGGTGAGTCTGCTTCAAAATGCAATATCCTCTCCATCTAACACTCTTCACAGCTTGCGTTCAATTCTCGCATTCGGACGTATACTTCCTGGCAGAACGCTGACGCCGAGGTCCGACGAATTAAGCAGAACCATGAAAAAGCTCGCGCTCAAGGTCGGATACCCACTGATAGAATTGGGTATTCACTTAATCAATTAGCTGAGGTGATAAATGGTTTAGATGTCTTATATTCGATCAGCTCATAGTATTTAATAGGTCGAACGCCGGGCATTGGATGCCAAGCACGAGTTTGACCAATGCTCCAAGCTAATCAAAGCTGAGGTGGCACGGTTTGAACAAGAGCGGGTCGAAGACTTCAAAATTGCCTTGCAGACATTTTTAGACGGCATGATCTCAAGGCAGAAAGAGGTAATGTGACGATATTCCTGTGTACTTGATGTTTGCTGATATTTCATCAAGTTGATCGCGGCCTGGGAGTCCTATCAGCAACAGTTACTGAAGAGTGTAGGAGGAGCTGATGAGAACGGCATCAACGTCAACTGACTAACCTAGCTACCTAAGCTGTCTCTTGCATCATTTTTGTACATAGGTTTTAGGGAGTTCTGGGAACGTGGTTCTAGAGGCTCATGCCATGACACAACTTGTGATCACCATTAGAAAATATCATGGCATTAAAACCAATCACAGAGTAATTAATTCTAGCTGCGAGCAGCTTTTGGTATTAACAACAGATAATTGAAATTTCTCCGATTAATAAATGCCGGGTATAAATTTGTACTTGACAATAGAGCAATAACGTTCCCAGTCTTTCCCATACTTGACGGAGCAGCTGAGATGACCAAAACAAGTCAGTAAGGTAATGAATGTCATTACAAAACGTCAAGACTAACCGCTCAAAGTCGCGACCACAACGATGAATGAGAACAGTAATGAAAAATACGGAGTAGAAGTAGGGAATGGCAGTGGCGCTGCCAATGACTACACCCCAAGTAAAGCTCATAATCCAGTCAGCCACGTAATTCTGCAACGTTGATATTTATTTTTGTGGATTAGTTTTAAGCAAAATGGCAGCTTACGGGCTTGCGGGAATATCTCCACCAGCCACTAACAAGAAGACGGTTGCTGCAGAAAAGTTTGAATAAGTTATTTCATGAAGACTGATAACTAGACTGACCCATGTGCAGTCTGAATAAACTCGGGATTCTTTAGCGTGCCAAAAGGTAGCTGAGGGAAAGTGCTACGGAAGGTGTTGATCCCTTGTGTTTGCATTTTGAAACGACTCTTCTGCGACATAGAAGTATCCCAGCTAAGGACGGTTGAGTTCAGCATAGTGCAAAAATGCTAAGCAAGCATTGGGACATACATGAAGTAGGCGGTCAAGAGTGTGGAAAAGAGCAGAACGTAAACCGGGGTTGAGAATTGATACTTGGATGGGTCATGCGATGCCATGTAGACCACAGAGTAGACGTATGTCTGGTAATAAATGAGCTTAGAATTTGTTGACATCAGTTTGATATACGTACAAATGGTACACCAGCAAAGTTCCAGAAGATGACCATGAAGCCCCATCTATATATTTGAACGTCAATTGTTAAGTTATGAATATAGAAAAGGAGAAGCTCGTACTTTTCGTGGTACATATCCCAAGTCTGTGGGATACATTCTTCACCTTTAGCGCTAAAAGTGAAGTAAAGTAAGCCACTAGTCTCCAATATCATTATGATTATACTTACCATGCATTGAGGTATAACCATGTTGCCAGAATCATAAAAGCCATGTTCTAGTTAAATGCTTAGCGAAGGTCGAAACAGATTTGAATGAAGAACCCACAGGAGTTACGTAACCATATTGTTCGTATTGGTGGCAGCCGCCTGATACTGCCAAGAAAAACACGATAACCCAAGGTATGCGAACCTCAGCCCACATCTTGAGGTCAACAGACCCAATTCGGGGGTTTAGACAAGCACCCATAAAGACATCGTACATGAAGTTGCCTGACATCCGCATCTGCGAACCAGTAGCAACCGTGATGAAGTACATGCCAAAAGAGACTGCGAAGCCATAAATCATAGCGACAGACATAATGTGGCCGTAGTTGTCGATGATCTCGGTGAGACGGAAGATATGGTAGTAATGGAGACCAGCGGCAGTAATCATGGTGGCGTAAAGCGAGTAGAGAGCATTGCAGTTGTACGTGAGGGTTTTGTATGTCAATGAAGGAACGGGAAGACCCTCCTGCTTGAAGCCAGGCATGACCAAAGCTAGGAAGAGTTGGTATACAACGAGACCGGTATAGACTTTCCACGCGTATGCGTTGGGACTAGCATCCTAAGATGTAACGCGTTAATTGACCAGAGCCATACACCATATAAGGAGTATGCACGTACATCGCGAACATGAGCCCACATCCTCCAAAGGAATGGAACAATGTCATCTGTGGACGTTGGAGCTACGAGTTTGCCATCATAGAACCAGAGACAGATCCAGAGGTAGTACATGAGCATTGGAAAGCCCGTCATCATAGCTGTGACACCCCATGGCCCACCAAATTCGTAGCTGTTGGAGAAAAAAGGATAGTGTTCGGCACCAGGCTACTTGACGCGTTCACGAGGACTAACCTTTGGTGTTTATCTAGGAGTTCATCTTGTTTGCGACCTTCATCCGTTGTAGTGCCGTTTTGAGTGCCGTTTTGTCCAGAAGCTTTTCTTTGCCGCAGCTCGTTTGAGTTGACAGCCATGGTGAAGGTGAAGAGACACGTCTAAAATCGTATGACAATCTTATAGTCTGCAGGGAGCCGACTTTTAATGCTTAGTCAGCTTGCCTTTTTTAGCATGCACACCCCACTCTGAGTACTATACACTATTAGAATATTTAGCAGGCACTGCACTGGAATTTTCTAGTTGGCGCGATATATTTAACAGGGTATTTAATCAATGGTATAGCTCTGTAGGTAGTAAGTTAGCATGGCAGGCAGGCAGCAAGAAATTCGCGGACAATGGAACATGAAACAATCTCCGCTCGAATGATGTGGCATTCGGTGGCTGCCACTAACTCAGTTGCTTTCCTTTCCGACGGTTGTCTGCCTCGCCGCCGGTTTACTCTCATCCGCTTTCTTTCTGGCTCGTCTTCATTCCCTTCATTCTGGTAGTGATTGTATCGCAGCTTTGGCATCGCCCTTGTGTCCTGTACAATTTAGCATTTGCTATTTCAATTCATCGTTTATCAAATGTCTTCCTCTGTTTTTTACAAGTTCAAGTCTCAGAGGGACGAGTCTCGGGTGACTTTCGATGGCACCGGTATCTCTGTTTTTGACCTCAAGAAAGAGATCATTCTAGCCAACAATCTTGGTAAGGCAAACGACTTTGACCTCACTGTCTACGATAGCTCCACCCAGCAAGGTGCGTATTCATTTTACAGCAGGGCACAACGCAGCTTTTAATCGCAACTCTCTTACAGAGTTCAGTAATGACTCGCATATCATACCACGTTCATCTTCTGTCATTGTAAAACGTCTTCCATCTTCTCGCCCTGGCAAGGGTAAAGCTGCGATGTACATTGCTGGAACAAATGGGACTGCTTCCGCTACTACATCTGAACTTGCCCCCAAACAAGGGGGAAATAACTGGCATAAAGGTGCTATGTCCAAAAGGTTTGATGTTAGAGAAGACATGCCAGCATCGAAGCCCGCACCAGTAAGTAGCCACTACTGCATGAACATCTAGTTCTCACGACCCTTACTTTGCTGTACTCCAGTCCAATATCGTGAAATCCTCCATAACGAAGGATGATGAGGCTGCTGCTATGGCGGCTATGTTCCAAGCTCAAACAGCACACTGGGAAGATACCCAGGAAAAGATGTCTCAGTTGGTGTCCCGTCTATGCGGTTTTTTGTTATATGTAGTAGAACCAGATCTCATGAACGCGATTTGTTTTTTTTTGTCTATCCTTATATTGGATCTGAACAGTGCTGTACGAATCAACAATAATCCTCGTGGCACCTCTTTTGGTCGAGGAGGCAAACCCCATAATGCTCATCAGCAGTATCATCAACCTGAAAGGCCTTTACCACCCAGTTACGTTTGCTATCGCTGTGGCCAGAAAGGTCTGCTGTTACACCACCTTTCTGTCTCATATTCTTATGTCTTTACAAGGCCACTGGATTCAGGACTGTCCCACGAATAACGATCGCGAATTTGACAACAAGCCTAGAATCAAACGGACGACGGGTATTCCGCGAAGCTTTTTGAAGGCCGTCGAAAACCCCAACAATGGTCAGCTGACGCAAGGGGTAATGGTTACTCCGGAAGGCGGATATGTTGTTGCACAACCAGACTCGTATGTTGCACAAACTGCTCGGTCCAATGAATGCCTCGCTAACATATTTTTAAATAGGGCTGCTTGGCAGAAGCAGGTCACGCGACCCAAAGGATTGACTGCAGCGGACATCCGTGAGCGGACGCCTACCGACCCTACACTCGTGTGTTCTATAGACAACAAACTTTTCCGTGATGCAGTCAGAACACCATGCTGTGGCACATTATACTGCGAGGAGTGTATCCAGACTCATCTACTTGAAAGAGATTTCTTATGCCCAAAATGCGGGAAAAAGATAGCTTCGCTTGATAAATTGGTCATGGATAAACCTATGCGCACAAAAGTTGCTGATTATATCGATAAGGCTATAGAGGATAGTAAGAAAGATGGCGAAGAGGAAGGTTCGAGTAGTGGACCTAGCGCTCTCGCCAGCGGACAGGTAGGTTTTTATACTAATTTTGGAAGGGGAACTTTTTTGATAAGCAAATGATTAAAGGCCAGTGCAGCTGAAACGTTAGCCAATGAAGATTTTTATTCTGATCAACAACCGGGTCTGGATATGTCGATGATCGTGGACAGTATTCCACAGATACAAGCTCAGATCTCACAAATATCACTGATGCTTCAAAACCCAACTCTCCCGCACCAAGTTCGACACACCACAGAAATGAAATATCAACAATTACAGATACAGCTTCAGCAGGCTCAAGCTCTTGCCGCTACATTGGCTGTTGCCACCACTCTGCAGCAACAACAGCAGCAGCAACAACAACAACAACAGCAACAACAACAACAGGTCCAAAGTGCACCAGCAGGCGGCATGCCTTACAACGTGCAAGGGGGCTATCCAAAAAATGAATACCAAACATGGACCAACCCCTTTTCGAATCAACAGCCGGCAGGTCAAGAATCGGCGTATCAGCGGCTGCCACTGAACAACCGTAGGCGGAATTTAAAGCGGGAGCGCCCGTCTGATTTCCTGGAAATGACTGGTAACGAGAGCGAGAGCAAGGTACCTAGATACTGGGAATGAACCTTGGTGTAGGTGTATAGTGAGACTAGAGAGCCTTTTTGTTAGTTAGACACATGTACATTCCATCGCAGAGATTTAGCATTATGGTTATAACTTATATCTTAAATGCTACAATAACAGTATGCATGAGATTACTCGATTGTCGTTTCTTTCAAACTTTGAAGTCGAGCACCGTCATAAATAAAGATGTTTACAAGATGACATAGAAACATGCTCTACGATATTTCTGATTATTAAGACCTGTCCTGAAGTGTGTGATGCATAAAAAAGAGCCATAGATAACTGGTATTATGATTTCAATACACCTAATCGTCTTAATTCCTCGCAGCTCTCTATCGGCTCCTGCTCGATCCTCTTCACTTTCTCCCAATCAGTTCCTATACCCAAGAAGCCTACCTCAGCCTCTCTTCTCCGCTCTTTGCTTTCTAGTTTGCGTTGGCATTGCGTATACAGGTCTTGAGTATACACCTTTTCTACAGTTCCCTCGAATTGGTTCAGCGCTGAATTACCCCGAGTAGACCTGCCAGCATCGCGCGCCGCAAGCTCTGCAGCGATATGCGGATGATTCGAAAATTCGGCGGCGTTGACATGATACTTGACTCCAAGTCCGCTGGTGTGCCGTTCGACATTGTATCGTGAGGTTGCCGAGAAGGAGAACCTTGGGTCTGGAATATCCGTGGAGAAGATATTGGGAAGAGCGGAGAGGAACGAGAATGCCAGGAGGATTATTAGAGGGAGGAGTTGTGTGAGCACCGATCGGCGTTGTTCAGGTTCATCTCGGGCAGCTCGTGCCCCATCGGCGCGGACACGGGTCCTCCGGAAACCATTGGGACCAAAAGAAGCGGTAAATACTGTACAGCGAGCAAGTCATAAGACAATTGAAGATGAAGCCGCTGGCTGAGAACTCTCTTACCTGGTCCATTACCGAAAACCCCACCACCAAATGGTCCACCGCCGAAAGTTCCAAAGCCTCCTGCGTTCATGCCTCCTCCGAAGAACATGTTAAATAGGTCTTCTGGGCTCAATTCGCCCTCGAAGCCACCTCTAAACTGGCTCGTTGCAAAACCTGGTGAGCGTCCTGCGGACATACCGCTGGACCGTGATTCTGGATCAGCGCCACTTTGATCGAACACGGTTCGTTTCTGTGGATCTATTGCGAAGCGTTGGCATTTGCTATTTTGACTTTGGCTGGAAGTTTAAACGTACCGGATAGAATTTGGAAAGCTTTTGATACCACTAAATGCAGATATTAAGTGATGTCGAGCAACATTGACACCTATGATATCCTTACTTTTAAACGCCTCGTCAGCGCCAGGGGCGCCATTTTTGTCTGGATGTAACGCTAGTGCAAGCTGCAGCAGGTAGATAAGAGAACGTTAAGCCTATCTCCAGTAATTTAATTCACTGTAAGAGCGAGAAACCCACCTTCCTATAGGCTTTCTTGATCTCGGCTTCCTCGCAGTCTCGTTTGACTGCCAGGATTTCGTAGTACTCTGCAACCTTGCAAGCTCTGACACGCTTCACAACAGCAACCTGGTCAGGGGTGAAATCCCTCTTCTCTCCACCCATACCACCAGCTGTTCCATTTGCTTCAGACGAAGGAGCATGGCGGTGCTTAACGCCTGGAGCAGATGGGTGCGTTTCAGCTGACGATGTGAATCCACCAGTACTAGAGGACGATGCCGACGGCCCAGAGCCAGAATCAGAGGACGAAGCTGCAGCGTCTATGGAGGCAAGTAATCTCTTGGCCTCGGGCGTAGAAAAGAGAATAATTGACTTTTGGCAGAACTTGCGAGCGGAGGATAAGTTTCCTGCATCTCTGTGTTTCTGGGCGATAGACAAACATCGAATGGCCTCGTCTTTATTGCTTTCCATTGATACTTGGAAGCCTGGCAAATGTTAGTGATGTCGACCTGCGCAACCACGGTAAGTGAAAGACAGCGATGAGAACGTGGAAGGTACCGTACGTGGGGTTAGGGTTTGTTAAATATTTTATTTCTTCAACACTTCTTATCGCAAGACATACAAGTATTCTATCTGAGCCTGACATTTTCTGTCACATATTTTATCAAGTAGGATGCGACCTCGTAGGATCAAGTATCCCAGTGCAACAGCCCACTCATCATCATGCATTGCGAGCGCTTAGTACTAAATCTTATGAAGAATTCAAAAATACAGTCTAAGCGCTACATTACTGACAAACGTATATACCTCGTAATTAATGTCTTGTAAGGTAAGCCGCTCACTGTTGAGCGTTGAACATAAATCGGTCGCGGTACGCTCGCCATACTCGATGGCGAGATAAAAAAGAATAAACCATAACCTCCAATCCAACCGCAATCACTAAGAACGAAACCGACCAAAAACCCTCAGGAGCCCCACTCATTGTTTGAAACAGGTATATTCTTCGTCAGCTTTACGCTGCCCACTTCGGGGAACCATCCCCATTTTTGCAAGTCAACTCTCGACTCACCCACCCTCCCGATGTAAACTTCCACCCCATCTTTTTCCAAAGCCATTTGCTGAGGGCATGAGCTCTCAGTGGAGATTACTCCTGAAGTAGAGACGACGCGATGCCATGGAACTGGCTCGGTTGTATGTGAGATGAAATTAACGGCTGAAAGCGTTGGCGTGAGGTGAGAGTGACGGAACCTGGAGTGCAGCTTACCTTGTCTCACTCGTCGCGCTTGTTTGGGTATTCCAAGGAGCTTGGCTACATGGCCTGGATTGAGCTTCGTCAGCGAACGTCTGTGTGCAAGATAATGATACGTACCGCAACTGACCACTTTCTGCGGTGGGATTGTCTGCATAATGTTGTACACCTGTCATGTTGTGAGTATAACCGTCAAGATGTGCTCCAGTCCAACGCAACATACTGCAATATTTAATTGCTGAGCGTCCATGCGTACGGACATAGTAAATGATAATACAGGTGTCGGAAGAAGGAAAGATGTTGGAAAAGAGTGTGGGGGCGGGTTCGGAGAAGAACTTGAAACACAAGAACTGGAAATGCAGAAAAGGGAATTTGAGCGCAGCTGGGGGCTACGATTCGAGGTTAGGCCGTTTATATAAACGGAACAGAAGAGTAGGCGGGCGTCAACCTCAACGTTGTTCTTTGGTCAACAACAATAGGCTTCGAGAGTACAATGAGCACAATTGCCACGCCTTTCGGTTTCCATTGAGAAGCCCCCTTTTATTAGGCTCACAAAAGGTTGAAGCAGGTCGGGCACAGTTGGATCATTTCGGCAGGTCACTTGATATCGGCCAACCCGACCATAAATTTGCATTTCCAGATATCAGGCACGATGTGTAATTTTCGTTTCATTACGGTAAAAGGCCTACTCTGGCCATGACAACTCAGGACCACTTTACTGAAAACAAATCTACAGTCTAAGCAGACTGTGGTATCGTCAACGCAAAATTATTTGATTCAGGACGGAAGGACCTTTGAGACTGCACAGAGTACTGGAAGTGCGGAAAACTGTTGTTTCCTTTTAGAGTTAGTATCAGTGTTCTAAGTATATGCTTTGTCACCTTTCCTTATTTGGCCAGACAGGAACCATGGAGTGAATTTGACAACCTGAATCATCATTTCTTACCACGTCCATTATCGGCTGCTCTGATCGAGGAGTTTTGTTTTCTGTTGTGATATGACTCTTCAAGGGACAACAAAACACACAGATCCTACGACAGAAGAATCCGAGGAGCTAGCTCGTTTCAGAGAAGCTTGGAGGGAAGAGCTTCGTCAGAGGAAAACACAGCATGCTCAAGCTCAGCCACACATCCACCATCATGATGTGGGGCAAGCTGACGGCACTTCAACTCAGGCTGTGGGTCATGTACCTCCTTTGACTTCACGCACCGTTGGAATCGCATTACCGAGAACAGACAACCAACTAGGGCCGTCTCATAATACCGTCACCGGCACAGTTACGGTGCACACCTCTCACGGGCAGTCTTTTCTTGATCGTTCATTTGGTGATGCTTTGGAGGTTTATCGCCAGGCGGTTCATCACGAGCAAAATAGCCAGCTTGATGATGCTCTGCGGTTGTATCGCCAGGCATTCCGCCTAAATCCCATGGTCGACAAAGCGTATTACAAAGAGGAGCAGCGAATTCAGCTTTCAACAGCCGCTAGCGTACCTCCTGTGGTCACTGCCCACCCGACTGCTCACAAGAGGTTGTCATCCACAGGTAGTACAGTCGTACCCCCTGAAAAAGTAGATGAATTGGTGCAGAGTGTGAATGCTCTAGCAATCGCACCAAATGCTGTCGTCACTGGCACAATGGCAAGCCTACTGGCGGGATTTCCTCCAGATCTTTTGTTTGAACCAGAGGATGAGCGGGAAGGGATACCACTTAATAAATTGCCCGATGAACTGCTCGTATATATTCTTCGCAACCTTGACACTACCGCTATAGAGCGTTTTGCGACCGCGAATCGCAAAGCGCGAGTGGTGAGCTTGGATTCATCGATTTGGAGGTAAGTCACGACCTATTTATTTTCCCCGATCATTGAATATTGCTCACCCGCGATGTTAGAGAACTTGTAACTCTGGTATACAAACCTCCACAAATAATAGATGATGCTGCATCAATCGCCGCCGACCAATACGTGGCTGATTACCGACGAATGTATATTGAACATCCTCGGATACGGATGGATGGAGCATATATTGCTGTCTGTCATTATATGTACGCGTACCTCCTCGTCGCCTGTTATGTCGTTCTTGCTCATGGTTTTGGCAGCCGTTCAGGGTTAAGTGAGAACGCCTGGGTCAATGTAGGTTACGTCCGTTTTACATCCATGACGACTTCACATGACGCGAGCCACATCGTATTTCGTCGTGAGGTTCGCTTTTACTTTGGTTCGCGCCTTGACTTTGACTTCTAGATTAGCCACTTGATCACTTACCACCGTTATCTGTCAGTTTGGCGTCGGTTTACGGGATTGCTGATCACTATGCTGATTATCTTAATGCAACTGTAGCCGATTTTTCCCGGACGGCCAGGTCCTATCTCTCCTAGCCAATGAAGAATATGGACCGCAGAATGTGATCCCTATCCTCAAGCCAAGTCTTCGCATGAAGGTAGGTTTCCCCAAGTCAGTTCTGTATAATATTCAACATATTATCATAGGGATTTTACATCGGAGAATGGTATCTTGACGGAACCACCGTTTATATATCAAACTTGACTGAGATGACGGACAGGAATAGCACTTCCGCCTACCCAACCGCCGATAGCGCAGGGCGGAGAAGGTATTCTTTCCAGATGACACTCGACTTGCGTTCGCGCCCTGTCGGGAGATGGAATAAGCTGGAGTTTTTGGGTTACGATTCTGTTGAGACGGAGAGCGGCGAAGTGATTCCGCTCCCGTTAAAGCACGAACGGCCATTCTGGTTTTCCAAGGTCAAATCATATGCAGCGTATTAGAAGGGACACAGGAATACACGATACTCATGTTCACGGAACGCCTGCAACGAGATAGTGGAGTTTATCTGGATTAAATTTTTGAAGTGAATTAAGTCAAAGATGGCTCATTTGTAGAGATGAATATTTATAATATCTCTCCGTGTTATAAGTGTGATGACATGGACATTTCTGCGGAGATAATGCCATTATGTGTATTACAGCCATTTTTTACACGTAGCTCCCATGTTATGGCGTGGCGATGGATAATTCGAATTGCTCTATGACCGAAGCAGCAACATCAGCATCTCCCACTCTATGCCTGGCCCAACCGTCTGGCGCGCTCGAGTCTGAGGTAGAATTCCTCCTGGCGTTGCACTGTAGTTGCAAAGGACGCATGAGAAATGTTGCACGAGAGCTTTGTCAACTCAGAAGACGACCGGGGGGCTCACCAGATTTCAAATGTATGCCATACCTGTCAAGAAAGAGTCAAGAATAGGTAAAGATGTGCAAGACAAGAGGCTCACCAGAAAGCATAAGCAGAGGAAACACCGAGACCCAGGCCCACGGAGAGATCAAGCCAGAGCCTTTTTCTGATTTTTCCAGTGATGGGTGCGATGGACATTGTTGTATGGGATGGTCACTGCTGTGGTTGTTGCTGAAGGGAAATATCGGAGTTGGTTGCGGTTATTGTGGGTGACCAAACAAGGCCACAACAAGGATGCGTCGATGGCTCGGCTCCAGAGAGAAGAGACCATCGTGCTAAGCTCGTGCCCTTTTATTCCTTTACAAGCCAAAGCCCTTCTTCCCTCCAACGCGCCACATCCGTGTTTTGTACGGCTGCAGCACATAAGGGACCTTTATCATTCCATCGTCTTTCACAGCGACCATCACAGTCCCATCCACCATCCCACATCACGCCCCATACTCCACCTCTGAAGCACTCCAATCATGGATACCGACCCTTCAGGTTCAGGTGGCTGGCGATTTGCACAGTGCTTCGGCGACAAGGGTGAAGTCGAGGACATCACTGAAGGTATCTTTCTCTCTCTCCCATCCCGCTCCTAATCATTATCGTGGCCCTCTGATTTCCTCTTGCTCCACCTTATCGCGCCTTGGCTGATTCGCACTTATCTTCCCAGCGGATATCATCTCAACTGTAGAGTTCGATTCTACGGGTAATTATCTCGCTACGGGCGACAAAGGAGGTAGAGTCGTCCTCTTTGAGCGCAATGAGTCGGTGAGTCTATGCCCGGCGCCCACGCATCCCTTTCTGGGCTGATGATGGCTACGATCAACTCTTCTGATTGGTATCGTCTGCACTGTCCAATATCTATTTTATCTCTCTTTTTTTCCTACGATCGATGGCCATACTCATAGAAAAAGGGCTGCGAGTATAAGTTTTATACCGAGTTCCAGTCCCATGAACCAGAATTCGACTATCTCAAGTCACTAGAAATCGAAGAGAAGATCAACAAGATCAAATGGTGCAGAAGGCAGAACTCGGCTCATTTCCTGCTCTCAACTAATGGTTCGTGATCTGCTTGTATCATGCAATAGGCGCTCTTATGCAATGTGCTCTCCTTGTTGTTTCACATAGACAAAACCATCAAGCTATGGAAGATATTTGAGAAGTCACTGCGAGTTGTGTCCGAGTCTAACCACTATGATGGACAACGTCCCCTTCCACCACCAAGTGCTTCATCGCACCTCAGACTCCCGCGTATGGCTCAACAAGATAATATCATTGCTGCCGTCCCTCGGAAAGTGTACTCAAATGCACATGCTTATCACATCCATTCGATCTCGGTCAATTCAGACCAAGAGACTTACATTTCTGCCGATGATTTGCGGATCAACCTATGGAATCTTAGTATCAGTGATCAGAGCTTCAGTAAGTATTCTCATATCAGCCTGTTACGTTTCAGAATGACATCATGGTTTCCTATTTTCTGTTTTCTGAATTATTCGCTTCCGATTCTTGCAATAATGAATGTCAGCTGACTCTTATATTCCTCGTTGTCTCTTTTAGATATCGTCGATATCAAGCCGGTAAACATGGAAGAGCTTACCGAAGTTATTACTGCTGCCGAGTTTCACCCACAGCAATGCAATTTGTTTATGTACTCGAGCTCAAAAAGCAACATCAAGCTTGCAGACATGCGTGACTCGGCCCTCTGTGATCGACATTCGAAATGTAAGAAATATTTCCTTGTTTACAGATATATCGTCGTGGTACTGAGTGTCGTATATCGCCAGGTTTCGAAGAAGAAGAAGATCCATCAACTCGCTCGTTCTTTTCGGAGATCATCTCGTCTATCTCAGACGTGAAATTCAGCCATGATGGGCGATATATCCTTTCGCGGGATTATCTCTCTCTCAAGATATGGGACATCAATATGGAATCGCGGCCAGTGAAGACCATCCCAATCCATGATCATCTTCGTGGAAAGCTGTGCGATCTTTACGAGAATGATTGCATATTCGACAAATTTGAGTGTGTCTGGGGTGGTGACGATAAGTATGTAATTCATATAATTTGCTACTACTTTGTTTACTTAATATTTCGATATTTTAGACATGTCCTGACTGGTTCATACCACAACTTTTTCCGGATATTCGATTCAGACACGACAAACGATGTTGTGTTGCAGGCGGATAAGTCGGCCTTCAAAGCTAAGAAGATTGGTGGTCCAGTTCCGGGCAACAAGAATGGTATGAAGAACGGACGTCCTGGTGGCCTGAGAGATGCGATGCAAATGGAGACTTTGGACTTTAACAAGAAAATTCTGCATGCGAGCTGGCACCCCAGAGAGAATACCATCGCTGTGCGTAGTCTGATTTATGTGCTCCTATTCCAGCTCAAATGTTTCGTCGATAGATCGCCGCTACGAATAATCTGTTCCTGTATAGCGCGGCATGATGTTGTCATATAACCCAACCACTCACGCATTCCTCTCGCATACGCAATTCATTTTTTCCTCACAACACAATCCTCCGTCCCTCGGCTGGCGAGAGGGACACGGAGCTTCGGGAGACGTACCAGGAGATCATCAGACAGTCAGGACCACGCGAACTATTTGCCTTGTGATTGACCATATTTTTCTACAGTAATCGTATCACGCTACCTACAACTACTCCTATTACCTGCATTCTTTTCACCGCACTCTCTTGCTTACGGTATACCTCGCTGCGTTCATCCCTATCTTGTGTGTTCTCTTTGTTTACGCGTCATCCCTCCCTCCGCCCCCTCCCTTCTCTTCCGGGTTTTCGTGACGGCTTGTCATCCGTCGTGTGGTTTATAACAGACAGAAAAGAGCAGTAGAAGATGTTGAAATGGGGGTGTATTCGACAGAAGTAATTGAAATAAATGAAGTTCTGTAATATATGGACAGGTTGAAAAGAAATTTCTCTCTCGCATTCAGGTTTCTGTAGTCCAATGTCATATAGTTTCATAAAATGCAACAGTTCAATTCATTTTGATCTAGACGAATTACACTTGTCTAACTACACAAATAAAATAAAACAATAACCATAACGATAAGAAATGTTCAACCGCTTTCAAAACGCCATCCTGAAGAGATATTGCAGGTAGACGATCTGCAGGGTTTGATAATGATTCGAGAACCATGGTCATTCTGGCCGTGTCGTTTAACGCCTAAGCCACTTGGGAGGTAGAAATGTGGAAGGCGTAGATAATCACGGCGACGTTGATATGTATCACTATTAAAATTTGTGAGGTTCAACTAGAAACGTAAAGTCACATTGGCATATTCCTTGAAGTCGTCCTGGGTGAAAAAGAAAGAGACTGTTTTTTGAACATAAACAAGCGCACAAGGCACGATTCAACGTCAGTTCGAGTATGAAAGAACTTTTATACCTCGCTTGTTTGGCTTTATGTATTTCTTTTATCTTTGCCTGATATGGAATAAGCGGAAGTAATTAAAATTAATAAATAGCGGCGTGGTAAGGGTAAGCACTTATGGGCGCAAATATTTTGGTGTAGAATAAATCACCGTGACTGTCCGTAGTAATTATTTGAGGTCAGCCCTAGGTTTCGTTGCCCTCTACCACTAACCTCCATTGCTTCAGCAGCTCTTTCAGATGTCTCGGGGAATCGCGTCTACGCATGTGTTACCTCCAAATCCAACCTTTGTAGACTTCGAAAGATCAGACGGTAGCGAAGCCCAATGGCCAACGAACACCCAGAAAGTGGTAGATCATGAAGGACAAGTGAACTTCATGCGTCCCATTCCTATGGATGAGAGCATGGCCATAAAGTGGCGACGTGAGGTTGGCAGTGCGCTCGCGAAGAATCTGAAAATGGCAGGTACGCCCTCGAATTCACTGCCACTTTGCTGGATTGTCTAGAATGACACTCATGATAAGAACCGTTATACAGATGGGCCGAATTATGTGCTTCGAAGCTGGCCTGAGGGCTACAAGATGTTCGACCACAACAAAGGTGCCGAGTCTAATCCCCGGCACGACGTGTATCTCATAGGTAGTTATCTTTCACCTAATTCTGATTTAATTTTTTTGCCAAAAGTTTTTATTCAGGATCTACGGCTGCAAAGCGATTTCGTTCGGTACCAGAATTCATACCACATGCAATTTGGCTAATGCAGGATCCTACGCTCGACCGCGCGAACTGTGCGTGTAAATACTGTGCGAAGAAGCCCCAGCGAGAAATCAGCGGTTCTATGGGCCTTACACAAAAACATTCTACTGGGTCTGCAACTCCCTCTCGTGCTGGTGCCGTACGTAACGTTAGGAATCGCGAACAGCGCGACAAGGCTAGACCGTATGCTTCAGTTCGGCGAGCGCCTAAGCCTGTCAAGTTGCCACAAGGACCCAAGCAGTCTATGATACGCGAAAGAAATAACGATCTCAGGGCTGCATATGGCCAGAGTAAGACACAGTTCAGAAGATGGTTTCGAGAAGGCGAGCTGCTGTGGTGTGTACTAGATTCTCCCATACGTGGTATTATGGGCGAAGAGGATGCCATTGCATTCTGGCCTGGTCTGGTGGAGGAGGTGAAGTTAAAAACCGAACCGATATTACGTTCTGAAACTGCGTCAACAATGGATGTTGATGCTACTGCTGCCACTTCACAAGCACCGCAAGGTGTAGGCGATCAGTCTGGGGTGATCCCGGATGGGAATGAAGGATCTGAGGTTCCTTGGACTGTCCGCCAGTATACTTTGTACAAGGTAAAACTGCTTGGTATCTCGCAGACTTATTATTCTGCCGATCATGGGGTGCTTCCGTACCAAGCTTATGCACCTTCACATGAATTATTGCAATTATTGCAAGATGTCCCCCTCGAAGCTATCAACACCAGCACAGAAAGCTTAGCAGCTTTCAACCCCTGTCCGACGTCAGTTCCGACTACTACTAGTGTTGGCACTTCGGAACCCCACAATAAAGCCAGGTTTGTGGATGCTGTCGCACCTTACTCTCTAGCAATCCAAATCGCGGCCAGTTTGGCTGGTTTCTGGACCCCAACAGACGATTGGGAATACAAATTTTCTCCATCGCTTTCGTCCGGTTCTTCTTATACTCCTCCAATAATTGATGGACAGGTGCAAACTCTACACTCGGTGCTGACTGCCACGATGTCGCAAAACGACACCTTTCACAACTCCGTTTCTGAAACGAGTTCTATTTCTGCCCCTGTTTTTGCTCCCAGTCCCCTCGCGTCCATTCCAACCGTAACTCAGACACGATATCAGGGTCTCTGGTGGGGCGCAGAACGCATCTGGACCGATGAACTCGTTAGATTAAAGGTTGCGCGGCGACAGATTGCTCCTGATGGCGCCGAAAACATTTATCCACCCGCAGGCCCATCAAAATCTTCCATAGAATACCAAACACGGATGGCTCTCGCGGATCCAGACAGCTCGGAATTCGATGCCGGTGGGCGAGGTTTGTTCATGAGGCTAGATGGGCTTTTCGTCGTGGAAGTTCCTCGAGATAACGGGCTGGGCTCCAAAAAGGAATGTAGGGCTAGCGGGATGTTGTTTGAACTTGCTGATGAAGATTGGGAAGAGCCCGGGGGTGACAAGGGTAGAATGAGCGAGGAGGCGGCGAACGGATCAGGATCCTCATCACACGTGCCAAACGGCAATGCGATGCAAGGAACTAACCCCTTGACCTCTGTATCAGTGCCCAACTCTGCAGCGATGGTGACAGACTCTGCCGTTACTTCCACTTCTCCGGCAAACGGTAGTTCCCAAAGCTTGCCACCTCCCGCCCAGCAAGACCAGTCTTCGAGCGAGCAACTCTCACATCCTATCTTATCATCTCCTTTCCTGCTCCCGGACCCTCCGAAGGGCTTCAAGTTTAGGCCCATCTTACCTCCAGGCCACGAAGCTGTGATATCGTTGACTCTTATCAGTGGAAGATATTACCCTGGGATTTTGGCACATCCACTCCTTTCGTCTACCGTTGAACATGCGTTGTGTGTAGCACCTGATGGTGGAGGATTGCACGACAGTGGACATCTATGGGCCCTAGAAGGTTTGGCCCCTGGTTTCTACAACGCTGTGGATCCAACGCGATGGAAGCCTTCCAGACTGATTATGTTGAGGGAAGCTGACAAGGAGGCTCGGGGTGGTTTGTACGAACACTGGAACGCAAGGGCCAGGGAGAAGGCTGAAAAACTATCTACGCAACAACAAGGTCCTGAACTTTCTCCCATGGAGAATCGAGCACAATCACAGATTGAATCACAGTCCATGAATGTTGATATCCCTTACAACCAACCTCATCAAGCACAAAGTAGTACTATATTAGCAACGTCTTGAATGATATTCATCCCATTTTGTTGAATGTATGATAGTTCTCTAGGTGTTTTAGGCATTTTGTTGAGCCTTTGTAAATTGGAGTGTTCAAATATAACGTTTAATCATTTGTATCAGCCGGGCATATCCGCGTAAGGGATTGTGGCTTGTGAGTTGTTGTTCTCCATCGTCCCAGGTTACATATCCGCCGTTTGACGTGTAAAATTCACCAAGACTGAAGCTTGTTCTGCTTTCATTTGGCTGGCATTTGCAGCTGAGGATCCGTCGTTGTCTTGTCTGGGTTCCTTTTTCCCTTATACCCCGTGGACGTACCGACATCTGGCAGTGACTCGGCGGATCCTCCACTTGGTACTCCATCGTCTTTCCAGCACGCCCATCTCGCTTCTTCTCATTCTATCATATGGCCACCTTAAGTGTCTTGGTTCCGCCCAGTGAAAGCTCAAGTCCTCTTTCCCAGTATTACTCAGTCGCGCCTTCACCATCCAGTGGCTCTGCTGCGTCATCCAGAGCTTCATTGACCGCAGAGGACGAAGGTGAGGCTTGGTGCGCGTCTCCAGGCGTGTTTATCATCATTCACCATGTCATTTGTAGAAAATGCTACAATAACTGCAAATCGTTCATTGTTACCCAGCCAAAAGGGGAAGCGCAAGAGCCAAGAGTGCGTTGTTTCTTTTATCAGTTTGCACCCCAGTCTTCATTATCTCGTCCGATATCTAGAGATATCCGCCTACTAGCTATTTCTACGCATATGACAGAGCTCTCATACAGTATCTCTGATATCCAAACGCGCATATTTGGTACGGCAAACCATACAACATGTTCAAATTGTCAGTGTTTCTGAATTTACTCGATGTAATGCTATAGAAATCCAAGAACTTCGACACAAGACGCAATCGACCGGGGATGCATCAGGGACTACAAATGTTATCGATAAATCCTTGATGAATCTCGACGAGCGGTTGGATGCTGTCTCCGAGGGTATGAAGTCTGTCAACGAATCACTCGCTCCCTTTCTTCACCCCTCGGACACGCACGAAGAATCCACCAGTAATGAGTTGGCTGAGCAAACCATCCTCCTACGTAAACATGGCACTCTTGTTGCGGATTGGGAAGCAGTACAAGATGAAACTGAAGTTTTACGGGAAGAATTGAAAGAAGACAAATGGTTGACTGTCTTCCGAACTGTGACCGAACAAGCGGACGGAATGATGTCAAGTCTAGAGAAAGCCGTAAATCGATGTCAGGTACGATTGCGTCTACTTATGTTTGAAAGAACTTTTGGGATTTAGGAATATCCTCAGGATTTCATCTGGCAAGTGCATCGAAAAGGATCGGATGACCCTGCTCCTCAGCCGTCATTTTCGAATTCACTCCAAAGTGATAAATCGCCGGTAAGCCTCGAAGTATTCAATTCTCTTTTAGAGTCTTTTGAGGCGAAGAAGAAGTACGTATGCGTCTTATTCGTCTATTTGGAGATTAGATTGATGAATTCATATCAGGCACTACGTACCAGCAACGTCAAAAGTTTTATCAATCATCGACAAGGGTGTTCAAGACCGTGTAACAAAGAACGGTGAAACATTACGTCGACACGCTGAATCCGCTAAGCGATGGAAGAATCTGAAAGAAAGAATTTCCAGAACTGATGGGGAGATGGAGACCGCTCGAAAGATTATCGTGGGTGGAGACATTACGCCAAGTGAAAATGGATCAAGTACGTCTGGCGCAACGCACAATACTAGAAACGGATATCTTGCCACACCTCCGAGTAGCTCTAGGACATCGAAAAGTAGAGCACCAAGCAGGGCCAGTGCGACAAGCACTATCTCCAGATCAATGTCACCACTGCGGAAATTTGCCAGGAGGTTCACTGGTTCGAAGACTCCAGTCAGTCCAGCAACGCCTTTACCTGTATCCAGAGAATCCTCTCGAGCACCCTCGTCAGAGCCAACGAGGATAATTCGCCGCCAGCGAACCTCAATCTTTGGGTTCCGTGGAGACCATGCAATGCCGCTCACTCCTGAGAGAGGGCACAAGTATAGTCAGAGTCTTACCCCTGACTCATCGCCGGCCTCAAAACGACTCGACGCAAACTCTACGGTGAAGCCTAAACTATTGAAACAGAAATGGAACAGTTCAACGAAAGTAGAGCCTGACGATCGTACCACGACTGTCAAGGCTACTTCTCCTAAGCGGCCAACAGCATCGTCTGTTTTAGGTCAGTTAGAGAATGTCCCTTCAATTCCACCCACACCCTCGAGGCGTAGCGTATCCAGAAGTTCCATGGCCTCGTCCAGGCCTTGGTCACCATTTTCCTCTTCAATATCGACTGCGGCGTCGTCCAATCCTTCGATACCTCCTTTACCGATCGGCGTGTACAGACCGCCTTCGCGTGCTCAAACACCCGGTCTTGGAGCTACACCTCGTCCACGAGCTAAGACGCCCAGTCAGATTCCTGCGCCTGCTATGCATTGGCGTTCCATATCTGCCCGACCCTGCACAGATGATGATGATACAGATTTCACCACGCTGATGCAACGCGCGTTTTCACCGACGCAATCCGTGTCAGCAGCCAGTGCCATATCTTCGGCTCGTTCCCAAACCCCAAGCGGGACCCAAATACCCCCTCCGCGCCCTCCCAGCCGGTCAATGATACCTGTTCCCAGTTTCCAGATTTCTTCAGCCTCAAGGCCGTCCTCGACGATGTCCTATTACAGATCGGAAAGTCCTTCGACGTCGTCCTTCCGAGCTTCATCCATGAGAGCTCAGACTCCTGAGTCCACTTTACGGGCGAGGACGCAGCAAATACCGTTTTATCAGGCAAGTGCCTCTCGTGCAACGCCACGCCCATCGGTTATTAGCAAGCTCCCACCATCAAGTTTCAGGGATGCTTCTACTACTCGAACCCCTAATTCACGCCCAGGCTCTCGTGCTGGGGCACATACACCTACAAGCCTGGACCAGTATCCTGTCCATCAATACGTTCCTACCAATTCAAAGGACCCTCTCGACGTCGAGGTAGCTTCCATCGTGAACTCTATCGCTCACGGACTGCTCATCGAGCGCATTGATCCCCCGCTTCGCGCTGTGCCGCGTGAAGGCGAGGAAATCCGTGCCCAATATGCATTTTCGAATTCACTCGCAAGAAAAGTTGTGACCTGCAGACTTACTACAATGACGCGATCTGGAGCAAGATCGAATGGACATGACCACACTACCAAGAAAGTTATGTGTCGTGTTGGAGGCGGTAAGTGAGCGTATTTCTGTTCATGTATCTTTTAATTCATTGTGTTACACCAGGCTGGCAAGATCTGCAACTATACATGCTCAATCGACAAGCCGGCCTCTAAGGATTCTTTCATTTGTTGCGTTTATCGATTTCATTGAATCGACGGTGTGTGTCTTATATTGTGGTGGTTTGTGTTGGAGCAACGGTATACCAAGATCGATCGCGTTAGAACTTTAGTAAGCAATTGTATTACACTGTCATCATGTCCATTCATTATTGTTACGCTGTTCTGTTCCTATGAAATATATGGTCACTTTAATTCGATGGCATCTTTAGACACGCCGTCTTGAGCCCGTCGCCACTCCACCTCGCAACTTCAACGAGCAAATCGCGTTTCCTGTCCAGTGCGGCGGCGGAGCGGAGCTCATACAAAGTTGCTGGAGTGGTGATCATGATGAGAAAATGCAGAAGCAAGATGTTTGAGCTTACAGAGGTTAAAGAGAAACGGTTCTGCGACTACTACCGTAGACGGTGAACTGGCTAAGGCGGCTTCCAAAATTTCGATGCCCTGTGTCATCAAATGTTGTTTACACATGAGATTTATAAGTTTATACGCCGACAGAACGCACCTCTTTGATCTTGCCTTGACTAAGAAGGGCTACTGAGAGGTTGTTCGCGGCCTTCAAAGACACGAAATTAGAGAAGATTCGACACAACGTTACAACGGCTGCATATAACATACTACAAAATTCTCCGGATCGTCTGCCAGCACGGTTTTGAGAACGTCGCTCGCTTTCGACCAATCTCCCTGTGCTGACGCAAGAAGGGCGGCGTTCATGTCCTTCAAGGCCTGTTCGGCGGTCGGATCTGCGTTCACGGCTTCGAAATGTTTGGATGCCATGGCGAGATAGCCGCCTTGGAGGTAGATGCGTGCGACTGAAGACTGTAGTGCGGGTGAAGTGACGCCGTTGGGTTGGTCGCAGAGAGGCTCGAGGAGCTTGGCGGCGGCCATATATTCCTGTACCAGAAAAAGCGTGGTCAGAGAGATTTAAACAATGTGATAAATAAAGAGAGATTCATGTGTGCTATAGGAGAGACTCAAGGCCGTTACGAAACACCAGATAGAAAGAAAAAATAAGAAAAGGCAAGAGACCAATCACCTTCATCTCCATAAACTGCGACGCAACAATAAGACATATCCTCGACCTGCGTTCCTGCCACATCATCAAAGCGGCAGGATCCGACCTGTTCTGTCGTGCCTTTGCCTTGCATTTCTTGAGGAGGCCGCTGAGGGCGTCGAGGTATCCCATGTGGTCGCCCGTCCAGTACTTGAGCCTGGTGAACATGACTTCGAGCTCGAAGGGCAGGATTCGGTCGAAGAGCCATGCGCGGGCAGAGGGCGGTTCAATGGCGTTTAGGACGGTGAAGAGGTTGGTGCACTCGGCGGAGGTTTGGTTGTATAGACGAAGCCTGGATAGGGAGGATAGCCGGAGGTACCACAGCTGATAGTGAGAGAATTTGATGAGATGAGAAAGGACCGGGTTAGTGTGATACACAACTCACTCCAAGGACGAGATTCAGGTCTTCAGGGTTGGAAGTGACAAGACGGTCTCGAGCCATCCTTGCCAGTGGTCGCCAACTGTTCGACATCTAAGAACAATCCGCGAAAGTGGTCATCGAGAGATGTTCACAGATGGCAAGAGCCAGCGTTTCTCAAGACTTACGACCATGGTATGGAAATCAGTATGCTGCCAATCACCAGTGACGTCTCGTACAGGCCGCTTTTCAGATGGTGTTATATATTTTGTCAAGAGGGTAGTCAAAGGGTCCGTCTAATAGTACATGGGCGATACATTAATGGGGAGCGAGAAGAAAACCACCAAGTCAAATGATAAGAGAGCGATAGGCGTACATTGGGAATAGGCAGAAACATGGTGGGCATGACAAGCCCGGGGAGATACAAATCGTGCGATTCTTCCTCTTCTACAGGCGGAGGAGGAAGTACGTCCTTGCTGACGTTGGGAGAAGAGAGCGCGACAGAAGCAGGGGCATCTGAGACAGATAGGGAGGTGGACTGGGCTAGAGGAATATCCTCTGCTTGAGAAGAAGAAGCATCTTCTTCTGAAGCAGAATTCGCCGAGTCATCCACGATGAATGGGTCTGGTACATCAGGTTCCACCACTATTGGGGAATGACTGACGACGAGGGGACCCTCACCGGTCTCCTCTGCAAGCGGCTGCAGCTCGGACGATTGAGCAAGCTCGATCGTCCCCTCCTGTGAGGTGCTGGTAGCCATTGACTGCCTGGCTGATCCATACATCGATGGATCATCATGAGACTCCGAATCGACTGTCTCCCGAACAGGATCCGAGTGTGCAAGATGGCCAGCGTCGACCATGCCTGATAGACCCAGCATCGATTGCGCTGGCTCCGATGGCCCCGACTCTGCTGTGACTACATCACTGTTGGTCGTCGAGAGCTCTGAGGGATGGGAGTGTGCAGACATGACGCCTTCAGACGAAGCGGTCGAGCTTGCGCAGATATCGATTATTTTTGTCTGAGGAGAAGCACCGAGAGTCTGGCTGCTTGAACCACTTCTGGGGGATGCGGGGACAGTCAAGGTGGGGGGAGAGAAAGAGTCGTCGTGGAGGAGAGAAGGGTGGCGGGAGGAAGAAGGAGTGGTGGTGGCTGAGTCTGTATGTTTGTGTTTGCCATGCGATAAACGGCGCTTGACTGCTTTCACGATTCGCTTGATCGCTTTTGGCTGCATCCTGCCAGGTGTGCTTTCTGCGTGCTGGTCTATGGTGGAAACTGGTGCGTGTGGTCTCTGTGTATGGTGGGCGAGTTTTACTCGGCCAACCAGCAGTTGAGCGCAGGGGTCAGGTTTATATATGGTGCCGGCACCCGCTTTACACGCCTTACGAATGTCTCGCGAATTCAATGCGACCTGGGCATGTTTCGGGCCAAATGATGTCAAAATCAATAGAACTGGATCGGGGCTGTCCTACTTATTCTGGCCCAGCAAGCCGATATCGATTCCATACAAGTGCTTTACCTCTGTCTATCACCGGCGATCTTCTTATCCGAGGCAGTAGACCTTCGTCGCCATGCCTTTTATGCCCATCGGCCTCTCGTGCGACCGTGGGGTACAATAACGTTGCCCTGCTTTCATATCAAGGCCCGTACAGCCAGAATGATTACTGTCCTGGTAGTTCTCGTAAGCTGACCATAAAAGTCTACCCCAAACGCTGTCAGTGCAAGGCAGCCTGTCGGCTCACAGGATTGCCTCGGATCCTGATCACACTCGTCCTCGGCTATTCCCTCCCTTACCGCGTACCTCTCTTTCCCCGTCCCTATACACTATCTTCGCCTTTGCGACTATGAAACGAGAGAGCAGGGACAGATCTAATACTGAAAACTGAAAATTCTTTTGATATCCCTTCGATTTACAGATTGAGTTGTAATGCTACATTTGTATTAATAGCCCCTGTATGGCACCTACTCGGTTCCGATCCAGCGTAGACTCTGTCATGTGGAGTGACATAAAGTGGGGCACTCTCGCTCTCTATCATATCTGACAGAAAAAGTGATTCAGATTGGCTTCCTCGCCCTTTTCTTGCCATCGATAACGACCCGATAGCCACCTTTTATCAAAATGAAATTCACGATACAGCGCCCCCTCGTGCGTAGAAGACGTTTGCTATCAGAAGGTACAACGTACCTAATTAAAATGTACAAAGACGTGATGTAGTGATATAGATTACCCAAATGTATCTTATCACGAGCCTGCCTTATTGTGCTTCCTCTATGCTCGTGTTGATATACGTCTTTACAGCCCAACGAGGCATTCCATCCACCGGACCGGACACCATAAAAAAGGTCGTGTCCTCAATACGCGACATATGCGACGCACAGCAGTGGAAAGCCGGCGTATAAGCCCAACCAGAAGACGACATTGCCCATGAGTTTGTTGCGCTTAATCGCCGGCATTCGACTGACCATGATGAGCGGTATCTGGATCAGCTGTAAAAGGAAGAGGTACATCCTATACCAGGAATAGAATATCAGACTCTCCAGCTACTTTCATTGCTGCTATTCGCTTGCTCGAATCACTCACCGTATTTTCTTGGTTACAACCGTCATCACTAACTCGTGGGCCGCCGCGCTCAATAGAAAGGTGACAAACATGGCAGTGGTGCGCGACACTTTGTATGAAGCTAGCGTCGACGCATACACGTGCCGGAGCAGAAAGCTGTGAACTGGTTTGTTCCATTTACGAGAAAATTCGTCCCATGAGGTCGAGTTCCACTTGATCACCATCACCTTCAGTATGAATGATCCGACTTTCAATGACATAATAACTTACCCAGTCTTCGTAGAATTGACGGTCCGCAAAACTAGCAAGTAGCATTAGATCTACGTCCTTCCCTGTCAGTGAAAGATACTTACTATGATAGTTCTGCAAAACCATTGCAGATACATTCTGTTACACTTGCTGTCAGCAAATTTAATAAAAGGACGTGAAGAACCAGCCATACCAAAGATTATGTAAAATAGTAGAAGGTACGCTATCATAAAAGGAAGTGCAAGGTCCAGTAAGGAACGGAAGAACGATTGGTCAGGCGTTGGAGTAAGCGGGATGATGAAATTTTCCGTGACGCTATACAGCAGTGCAAAGGTACCCATAAAACCAACTGTTTTCTCGAAAACATACAACGGACGAATACTACATCAATTCCGAACACCTTCCATCAGCCATCAGATATAAAGTTGAGGGGAAGAACGCATACCGATCGGTTCTGGGGTACTCAAGTTCATATACGAGAGTGGGGGTTAGTTGATATAAAGCAAAGTTCTTTATACTGATATTTTCCGGCCACCGCACTCGACTTGGGCCAGTGCTCACCAGCTCGCTATCCAGCTCCTTGTACTCCTTTGCGAGTGCTGAAATTCGTTCGTCCGGGTGGTCTACTAGCATATATGCGGGCGGATCATCAATTTCGTAGTCGTGGTTCCCATTGGGCGATGAAGACTCTTGCATAAAGGTTGGGTCAACGGAAGGAGTGCTGACACCGGTGTTCCCGCTCCCGGAGATTGCTACAAGGCGATGGCGCAGTGCTGCTGCTGTAGGTGCGTCCGTAAATGATTTCACTGTATTTCCGTCACGTTCGGCTGGTGTATCATTCGGCGTGCTGATACCGTTACTGTCGGTCGTATGCGCATCAGTCTCGGTTTCCTCGTGTCGCGCTTTTGCATCTGAAAGAGCCTGATCCCAACCTCCTACTTCTAAAGTCACCCTGCGAATATCTTCCAGAAGTTCTTTAGACCGTGTCGAAACATGTTGCAAGTAACCGTTGATAGTCATGTATGAGTGCATTTTCATGATCATGACCTGTGGTGAATGTATAACCACGTTATAGTATAACGAACACAACACTGATACGTACGAGTGTGTGCAATGTCAAATATCCAGATTGAACCCATGGCCATTGCCTGTCAAAAGTCCATAATCCAGAACTTGAGAAAAGGAAAGAAACTCACCTATTGAACGTCCATGTTACAGCCGTGACTAGCATGCATGTCTGGAACACGTGCTGAATAATCAACCCTGTCGAATAATATCTTATCCATCCCTTGCTTATCAATATTGCGAATGGGACGCATATAGCCGTGGTCAGAACCAGAAGGGCGTCACTCAGTGCAAGCGTGATAGCATCCCTCGAGAACATAGTAGCGAAAGCGAAGCTCAGGGCATATCCGTTGGCTTCAAAACTGCTGATGTACGTTTGGATAGTGAAAAGGAATATGGATATCCAGAACAAGGTGAAAAAGCCCTGTGGTATCAATTAGTCATAAGTTGAAATCTGACAAGTTGGAAGAGATATATGCGCACGCGGAATTCATTCGCACCCGAAAACTCATTGGTCGTGTCAAAAGCTGATTTACGAGGTGCAAACGTGATCATAGCTCGAAGTTTCTTGGATGACTTGGATCGAAATGGTTTGGAAACATAGAGTGTGCCTTCCGTGGTTCGAAATCCTCCGCTCTGCGTGCGTGGACCCATCGAGGCGACTGACGCGCCTGGGTGCATGACGGTCGAGCCTTCCTTGACTTTGAGCATAATTTAAGTGTAAAAAACCGTCAAGTGTTTCTCCAACAAGAGCGCAGAAGTTTTATATATAGTCAGGTTGAAGGCGCTTTCCGGGCGGATGTTTTAGGCTACATCATCATCAGTGGCTATGAAAGCATTTGACTGACCTCACTGCTCCTCACTGCCACTGCAACTGCAATTTGAAACCAAGGTGGTCAAGTTGATGCGGATAACAGTTATGCGGAGGATGGCTGCGGGTACTATGGCGTTGACCTATGTCGGTGGAGCGGTGAATGGAGCGGGGCGGGGATGTGTAGACCATCCATAAGTCTGTATTTAGAGTGGCCGGGGACCACGTGTTTTCATACCCAGCGCACCCGATGATCACGATCGCCTTTTGGACGAAACCCAAATTCATCCCAAGTCAAGCAAAGCTGGACATGTTTTCTTCTGTGATTATCTTCCAGTAACCATTTCAGAGTACTCAATAGGGCAGTTATCCCAAACTCAGACCTCATTCGAACGTACCAATTTACTACATGGATCATACCTCGGATCAGGCCGAAAGTCTAGAAAAAGCACATCTACGATGGATGCAAGAGGCCATGTTGATGGTGAAGTCTGTCAAATTGATGACCATACATAGCTGCTAAACCATTATCCGTGTCCAGGCAGAAGAGGCTCTCGCAGCCAGTGAAGTCCCAGTCGGATGTGTATTTGTGAGAGACAACAGAATCATCGCCAAATCTCGAAATCGGACCAACGAACTAAGAAATGTGAGTCCAGAAGTCCTGGTCCTTCTCCAGTTAATCAATGCGCAATAGGCCACAAGACACGCTGAATTAGAAGCTATCGACAGAATATTATCTGATAAAGACCTCACGCCGATTATCGTTGATTATCCTCTATCGGACACGATACTGTATGTCACCGTAGAGCCATGTATGATGTGTGCCTCAGCACTCCGACAAATGGGCATCCAGGAGGTTTTCTTTGGGTGTGAGAATGACAAATTCGGCGGTTGTGGGACTGTTCTCGGCGTCAATGATAAGTTAAGCGTCACTAAACCTTCAAATCGGATATGTATCTCTTACTCCACTCTTCGTACGTCAATAGACTTGAACATCCAAAACACCCGTCCTACAAAGCCACGGGAGGATACTGTCGCGATGAAGCAATCATGATTCTTCGCCGCTTTTATGTCACAGAGAACACAAATGGTACGTCTTAAGAAGTTCGCATTGTGAGAACTCTAGTCGTAAAACATTGTACCACAGCCCCTGTTCCAAAGGCAAAGGCGAATCGTATTCTTAAGACGGAGATTCTCCCGAAACTTCGTGATATCGTATGACAAAATATGTATCGCTATCAACAATTCGGGGCCGCCGCAGGCGCTCTTTGTCAAGCCTGGGGCTCCCAGGCGGTTTTTCCTGACTACTTACCGCACCAGACCAAAATTATCCCGTCATCCATCGAAGCAGACATGAACAAGCCTCTAAGTGGTAGGCCTGTTTGTGTTTATTCTGGTGCACCTATTTTTACAAGGCGCTGAACAAAGCAGTACTATTTACCAAGAAGCCCATCGGAAAATATCCCCCAAAAAAAGTCCATTTTATTCCTATCGCGATTTATCGATCCAATAAAACCACCTACTACTTTTGAGTGCGCGGTTCGAGCCCAAGATTTTGCACCACAAAGCCCCATTTATCAGCTGCGTCTTGTATTCTGCACAAGCCAATCATGTTTTAGTTCGAAATATCACTCATCAACGCCAAATTTGAATGCAAACCTTTTTTCAGTTGCCTTGCCAGCACCGTGGCCTGCCTTCTTATCGATCCGAATCAGAAGAGGGTGAGGGTTATGAGGTAACGTGTGTTGAAGAGTAGCAGCATGTTTGAACGAATGCAGTGGAACTACACGGTCATCGTCTATGGGTTATCAACAAGTGTAAGTCCAAGAGTTACAACGTCTTCAAATGGTCACGTACGGTCCGCTGTCATCAAAAGCAGGGGTGGAAGAACCTTGCTGCTCGGAATATTGTGCAGTGGGGAAATGGGATGAATAAAATCAAAATCATGTGGGTCGTGGGGATCACCGTAATCAGCTGTCCATGCTTTCCCTACAATAACCAGGTTAAAATTAGTAAACTGAGTTGACCGACTACACGTACCGATCGTGAAATCGGCAAACTGAATATGTAATAGACACACCGTCAGGGTCAAGTAAAAGTCGCCGATCATGTATACTCACCTTCAGGAGATCTAATACACCTACTTCTGCAACGCTGGCCCCGAAAGTGCCTTCAGGTGCGATATTGACACATGCAGCCACGAGGAGCCCTGTAAAAAAAGGGGATATATCAACCATCTTCTAAAACCTATTGGCATTTCGCACCTCCATTAGATCCACCGTTAATTGCAACCTTCCCAGCTGCCGCATATTTGTGTTTCACGAGGTACTCTCTAGAAACAGTATTATTCAATACTCTCTTCGACTAACTGCATAACTCACGTCGCAGCAATGAAATCGTTGAACACATTGATCTTTTCAAAGTGGTCAGCATAACCACTAGCAGATTAACGATGAGGACTGAGTTGTATCGCTTACCTTCTGCTCTCTTGTTCCAGCAACATGCCAGTCTTCACCAAATTCTCCACCACCGCGGATGTTAGGCACTGCAAGAATAGCACCGTATCTTTTTAAGAAGGTCAAGATTGCAGGGCTGAAGAAGGGGTCGATTGAGATACTAAAGCCGCCATAACCTATCTCACACATATTTAAACGTAATAATCAGAGAATGACGGCATTTATGATAAATATTAACCGCACCATATTGGATAGCAGGAGCCGTCCCATCCAGTTTTGTGGATTCATGTCGCACAATGAACATGGGAATCCTGGTGCCGTCCTTTCCCTCGTACCAGACCTGGTAACAATCGGATCAGCACGTGGATGTAGTAGCATCAACAGTGAGCAATAGTGAAGGCTAACCTGTTCGGCAGAGAACTCCTCTGGCACTATACCTTTTAGCAGTGTTGTTCTGTAAGTAGACCACCTATCGCTCTCGTTTGACTCCCCAAAGTCGTACTGAGCTACGATCCCGGGATTGGTGAAACCTGTCATTGTAACGAAAAAGTTTGACTTCGTCCTCTTGCCAGCAATGGATGCAGCACCGACAAAATCAGGCGCCAGCCGAGAAAGAAGTTTTCCCTCCATAGAGTAGAGATATACTTCGTCCTTCACCTGGAGGGGATTTTGGGGTCGGTATACTGATGCAGTTCGTTATAAAAAGAGAAAAACATACGTTGCGTTTATACACCACTACGAAAGTGTCGTTGTTGACTGCTCTTATATCATCTAACGATGCATCCTTCTGTTCGGGTATGAGAACTTTTTGCTCTCGCGTTTTATCTGCCAGGTCTACAGTTACGACCTGGTATTGAGGTGCGTCCTTGTTGGTAAGAAGAAAAAATTTGGTCGCATCGTTAGCAATACTTAGGGTGATAAGAGCGTTAGATATGTGGATAGAACAAAGAGCAATTCCACCCACAGGCCATATTCTGCTTCAAACTCGTCTATGAGTTTGTCCCACTTCATGTTTTGACCAATCTGATTCTCTTTTAAATCGGTCACCCATAACAAGTTTTTCTAGGAAGACAGGTCAGTCAAAGTTGCGAACTGGAAATTTTCATCATGCAATGCTATACAACCTTAGCTGTATCACGAGAGACGTAGAGCACGAGATATCTCCCATCAACCTCCGACACAGAGGCGCCCCACATCCATTCCGGATGTTCTGCGTCCTTAATGACCAGAATATCCTCCGCTGCGAGTACATATCACCGGTCAAAACGGGCAAAGGTCAATAAAATGGAAAGTACCGACACTGCTGTGTCCCGATATGATGGTAGTAGAGCATGGCGTTCCTATCGTCAGTGGTTTCTGTTCCAGCCTTATCTTCTGTCGCAAGACCATGCGAATCTCTGCCTGGGTAACGCTACGCAGGATACAACCTTGGATAAGCCAGATCAGAGAAACCCTGCTTCAAACACGGACCTGATAAAAGAATCCTTTCGAATCGTGTGTCCAAGCGATGTCGGAGAATTTGACAAAGCGAATTTCTTCTGCAAGTCGGGTTGCGTGATGGTCGGGACGCTCGCCATTTACTGTGGCCAGGGGTTCGCTAGTTGAGCGCACATAAATAGTGAAAAAGTCACTACCCTACTAACAGGTCCATTAATATTTCGAGAGGATGAACGAGATACGTACCGAAAGCGAGATACCATAAGCAAAATATTTTCCGCAATGAGAAAATGCGGTAGCAGCAAGAGCTGCGGTACCATCCGTCGACAAGAGATTTGGCTGGACAGAGTAAGTATTATAATATAATAGTTAGCTATAAGTATCTCACGTCAAAAAACACTTCGCCACCAGAACCACTGTTGTCAGAAAAGCTGGGAAGTGCTTTGTCCTTGGATCGATAGAGCACTTTGTGCTAATTTCAGGTTGCCCGTAGTCATATTGTTAAAAAATGACCTTACCTGACTGTGCCTGTAGCCCGCTGTTGTAGTACCAGTACCATCGGCCATCTTCCTTTAGAGAAGGAGCAGAAAACTACAGTATCCAAGGTCGTGAATTAATGACACGTTCGGCAGCCATAAGTTTATCTAGGCACCTTTGCATAGTCTGTGTTCAACCTAATTTCTTCCTCTAATTTCAGTCGGTCAGGATTTTTGTCCAGGTAAGCTCTTGTGAAAGCTTCTTGGGCCGTTGTCCATTTATCAGTTTCTTCTGAGTGTTTTTCCAACCATTGATAAGGATCAGAGACATGTACTTGACCTTTAGCTTCGCTTTTGTATACATCGACATGATCGGATCGACGAGCGGGAGGGTATTGATTTGGGGTCCATGGGGTGGGGGACATAGCTCTAGTGAAAGTCCGTGAGATTGAGGGGAAGATACGATGGTACCGACTAGGGGGCAGCACACGGATGCCTAAGGCAAGCAGCATATGTATGGCTTTAATCTAATATCAGATCAAGGGTGCCAACGGTCCCAGTGCGAATTGCGACATGCCAAGTGATTATTTTTAAAAAATAAATGTTTCGTATTCGCTGCAAGGGATCGTGATTCAATTTTTTAATTGATATAGTGGCTGTATCTGCGCAAAGGCTGCAAAATGACAGCGAATAAGTCTTCATCATAGAAAAAGGTGAGTTGAATTTTTACCGGAAATATTAATGGTGGGGAGTAAAAAAGGATACTGCCTCCGCGGATTACTCGCGGGTGTCAGGTGTTCTCGCTATGATACGTATTCTCAGCCCTTCTCTCCATGCTCCATCTTTGCTGTCTCCAAACAGAACAGCATCGTTCTTTTATGAATTCACAGCATTACGCACGCGACGAGTCCAAATATGTCAAACTTGATTGCATAAGATAGCGCCATGACCTCCTTCAAGACGTCGTACGAATTGTTGGAGACATGTGATTCTCACGCCTGTATATGCTGTTGTACTTTTCATTCACACTTTGATACAATGTACACACAGATTTAAATTTACGAGCAAACGTCTCTGCAAAGGAGAATAGCGCTCTGTCGGACCACCCACAAGGCTCGTTCTCATAAGACAAATGTCCTATCCATGGCCCTTTCTTGTCCCATATTGTCCATGGCATTCATTTCAGCATGTCAAGAATGCGGATCTCCATGTGTACATATAGTTGTATGCCCTCTTTGGAATTTTCCTTGTTGTTTCATCTCCGTCCATCGCATCCAGAATGCATTTTATTGGCCTCGGCAATCCTGAGTGTGAGTTTATGTACAACTTGAAAATGGCTAGACAACTAAGACAAGGTATACATACATATCTGGGTCTGGGGTACATGCTATCTTCTAGAATCTTCCTTCGATATAGCCTATAGGGATAAGCATATACTGAATCAAAACTATTAATATCCCTATGAATGGTGTTATCTTGCTATCGAAATTTGCCGATGGTGAGATTCCACGAAATGTAAAAACTTAGGTCTAACCAGCCCGAATATGGTCGAAGACTCCCAGAGATTCTTCATTATTTGGTCCTATTGATCAAATGCCTTTGATCCTAACAAATGCAAACAACCGCCGAGGTCTAACCTGAAGCACCCACATATACTTCTTTATTGTACCAGTACTAGTACATACCGAAAACTTGTGCCATACAAGTTGATATCTATGAGGTATTTGTGCGCCTGGCTTTTGAAAATTCATAATCACAACAAATAGATTCTCGGGACGAACGACATATATATAATACAACCAGTGTCGTCGCATACTATCATGGATCAGGTTTGTTCAGTCCAGTCATATACGTCTTTAGGTTTTTGACTAGATATAACATCGTCTATTAGGAATCATTCAGAAAATTGCTGCAGACACCACATGCTGCGTCGTCATCGGGTGCTCGCTCTCAGGTGGTTCCACCCCGTGAGCCGCCCCCGTCCAAAGCGTGCGTATCCATTCCTCTCGGCGTGCTTTTGAGCATAATAATTGGCAATCTTACAATGATAGAAAATCAGCTGGCCCTGCGCAAGCCACATTTAAGCCAAGGAAAGTCAAGAAGACCGAGGCAAGATACCGTGACAGAGCAGCGGAACGAAGAGTTGGGAGTGGGAATGATTATGCACAGGTATGCAACCATTCAATGTCTACAGCCCATTATTTGTGATATCTCATGATCTCTTCCTCATCTAGGTCGAGGCAGTACTGGAGGAATTTGAGCGCAGAAATGTGAACGAGGAAAAAAGTCGAGTAAGTACGTTATCATATCATGTTCACTTTCGGCCTAACTATAACAGACCTTCTCAGGTGGAAGAACAAAGACGATACCTTGGCGGAGACAGTGACCATTCGATACTGGTGAAAGGCCTGGACATCGCTCTTCTTGAGCAAAACAAAGCTCGAACTATTACATCCACTGAGGACGAATCTCTGGAGCAAGCTTTTGCAGAAGCTTCTGCGGAATCTACCGTGCCCAAAAAGCGAACGCGGGAAGATTTGATTCAGGAGCTGAAGAAGAGAAAGCAGAATGGAACGGACGAACAGGCTGTTGACAAGGCCGTCAAATCGGCAGAGGAAGAAGCACGACTACTAGAGGAGGCTAAGAAGACAGGAAAATTCAAACCCATTGGGTTCAAGCCTATAGGAGCTCAGGAAGTCAAGTCAAAGAAAAGGAAGGTCAGAGAAAAGGAGAAGAAAGGGCAAAAGCAGATAAAGAAACCCAAGATAGCAGAAGCCAAAGAAGATGAAACGGCTCCCGAGCCAAAAGAAGAGGTCAGAGATGGGAGTTCGTCGGTAGTATCAACTTCAAAGCCGAATGTCGCACTCAACAGCGCAGTAACCCATTCTGTGGCTACTTTGCCCGATGAAGATTTTGATATATTCGCTGGAGCCGGAGACTATGAAGGTTTCGGGGACGAGGACGACGAAGAGTCGGACCACGAAGTCAAAGCTCAGAAACCTGACACGGAACACAACGACACTGAGGGCGACCAGCCAACAAGGATGAAATGGTTCGCCACAGATGACCCAGAGCCCAAGCCACCGCGTGTGCAAACAACTCATCCAGAACAAGATCTCTCTAAACCTCACCGAGAGTCCAGTCCTCACGACGAAGAGGCTCAATCCGAGCAACCTATGCGCCTCAGACCTCTCGAATCTTCAGCGTTACCTTCTATACGAGATTTTCTTGCAATGGACGAAGCCGCCGGACTACAAGGGAAACGCAAGCAACGCAAAGAAAAGCGTAAAAACAAGAAGAAATCCGGTGATGACGATGACGATTAAGCTCACCCTCTGGCTTTCAAATCTCAGGAGGCGAGTGTGTGCGTGTTAGTGGGATTCGCGAACTTGTGTTTATTAATGACATATACAAAGGTCTGCCATACATCTCATAGTGCTCGTGGGTTCTTCGTGTTGACCTTAACACGAAGACTTTGATATGGTGTCACAGTGAAGCTCATTAAAATTCACCAATAAATTGTCAACTACATATCTAGTAGAACTTTCAGCTACATACAACTACGTTGTGCTGGACTTTTCCCTCTGCGAGTACAATAACGTATTACCTCTATTCACATAGCTTGCAAATCCCAGTCGCGAATCCATGTCGTCTATTGTGCTTTAAGGGTTCAAAGGTCAGCAAATACACTTGGAACCAACAGCTGAGGTGACACCGAACGAACCGTTTCCTCATTTCGCTGGCCCATGTTATATCTTTTAGTGGGGGTGCATTCATCGAAGCCCCGAAGATTCCTAGAACCAATGCTAATATGCTTTCGTAGATGGTCTGCAGAGAGCAAACGTATGTGAATTCGGAGGAGATGCAACAAAATAGGTGTACTCACATTGAGAGGCAGTGGTTCTTCAGGTCTCCCAAGCGCTTTAAGATGAGATAGGTCTAAGAAATATTCTCAGTTCCCTGAACAACGTTCCTCTAGATACACCAACCGCTTACGCTCATAGGTGGAATATGCAGCTGAAGACAGTTTACAGGTCAATGACAATCTCAGATCAACTGATGAAATCTCTAACCATGCATAAGTGACAACATAGCTAGTATCAAAAGTACGCGTGCAATCATCTTGAAAGACAGTTGATGATTCGTTGGACTGGTGACAACTTGATAAATAACCAGTAAGCACGAGAAAGCATGTATGGTTTACTTACTGAAAGACCTAATGCACCCACTCTGACGTTGCTGTTGTGAGTAGACGCCTCTGAGTTGTTGGAGGTGCACAGTTTGGGTTGTTTGGTTTGGAAGCTTTTACCAAACAAATCACCTACACAAGTATTACTAATTAGTTGGCGAAGGGATATTAACCCTGTTCTGATCGACTCAATCGAGAAGAACAATTGCAAGAATAATAATGCATAACATTGGGTGACTTTCCATAAGGTTTCTGCAATAGAAACGAGGTATAAACATTATATCTGAGATAGCCGAAGCGCCACCCATGAATATTTTAATGACTTGAATAAACCACAAGAGCCTATCGAATAAATCTATTCAAAGTTAAATGTCTAGAGTTTATGTCTGAATTGAGAATGGATCACTGATTGGACACTGAACTGATCAGGCTTACAGACACTACATCATGTACTCAAAAGAGGCTGTTACGAGTCAGTCCAACTGAAGAATAGTCTGATGATGAACTTGTCGAACGAGCAGCACTTGTGGCTGCTATTGCATACATTGGAGCAGAAGAAGTATGACTTATCTGTGCTCGAACTCGCCACCCCAATCGACTATATCTCTGCCGTTCCCAACTCATGGCAGATCCTTGTATAGATACACCTTGGCAGTGTCTTCTCAGCAGTCAGAGTGATTGTGCTTTCATAACGACAACGGGGTTTGATGCTCACTTATTTGATGCTATCCCTGCTGTAGGTTTTGAAGATGTGGTATGAAAGGCCCATTGTGCATTTTGATACCATTGGAGGAGGAAAATCATGACCTGGAGGTCGTTCTTTGGACGCTGCTGGAGCAACTTTTGATGTGACTGTGGAAAGATCATCAATTACTCGGATGTGTGTCCAAATGCAGACAAAAAAAAATACATTTAATTCTATAAAATCTAAAAGGGGGGTAAGTACCCCCCTTCTAGATGTGCCATTTAATGACATTTATTCATGGGGTCAAAATAATGGGCCATTGCAAATAGCACCCAATAGGGATGCCGGATCTCGGCCATCACTGTTTATTACTCGTGTTTATTCTATTCAGCTGTATAAATGCTTATGGAAAGTCACCCATTACCCTCTGGGGCAGACCTGGACCCCAAGTTTCTGTTGGATCTGACTGGTTCAATGTATAGCTACTCCCCATCATTGTGGCAAACAGACATAAAGTTTGGTAAGACCCAGAGTAATCTCCTAGTAGCCACACCAGCGTTCCTTCATAGCATCTAGCTTTGACCTTGCCATCCTAGTGTGAGGAATTGATTTTTTCTTATTGCATTCCCATCATGTTGTGGTTATCCGATTCATTCCCTGTCACTCCTCTCACTCTTGGACTATTACTCTTATCCTTTTTTATTTTATTTTCTATTCATACTCACGTTGTCGATGATGAGAACTGTTGTTAGAAAACCACACACAAAACAAACTAACACACAATCCTCCCAGATTCCACGGAACTTGTTTATGGGCTTTGCCTCCTAGAACAGTGGAGTGGTCTGGTTGTTCGTGGGGTGGTACGTATAAAGATCCTTCAAAGTAAAACCCAGTGGTGTATGAGTGTGGGTTTTGAGGAGGAGGGATAGTTGAATTTATAGAAAGATAGGGGGTTTGTGGCGAGTATAGACGAGCACTACCTTGCTAATCGTAGCACAAGGTAGGTTTGAGAACAACGAGGATGACGAGGTGACGAGGTTCCCAGTGATAGCAGGCTCCTGACGCACAAACTGTAGTGCTCAGAAGGACTCTAATCGAAGGGGATGACAATCACTTTCAAAAGTGACGAGTGACAATGACAGCAGTTAACAGTGGTAGAAGTGGGAAGTGTTGTGACCACACTGGATCACAAGTAGCAGTAAGAAGTGGACTTAAGATTAGAGAAGAAGTCTGGAATTGAGTTCTTGTTGTATTGTTTACAAGGTAAAATACAGGGGTTTATATAGTAAAAGAGAAGTAGGCTATGCACAGTATAGCTGTGCAAAAAGAATGAGAAAGAATATGAAGGAAGGAATGTACGCTGACGAATCCTGCGTAGGTAGTACAGGATAAGATTGTCAAAAAAAGAAAAGAAAGGGATAGAACAATAAATGCTGTGAGTAATATCACAGGTTTGTACAGCCATAAAGTAAAGTCCAATAGCAAAAAGAGAGCAGGAAAATCATGATGTCATGGGAAGATGCAGTAAAAAAAGAGCAAGGCAAAACACTATCAGTATCAACACAGTTCCTTTATTGTCAGTCAGGCATTCTAAAAAAATATGTGTCCATAAAAATGATTCAAAAATCAAAAATAATCGCACTGTAAATGAATGTTCTGCTGAAAAAAAAGAAACTGGAGCCACCGGTCCACCACCTAGTCCAAATCTGACAGTTCCATGGCCTTACCAATGGACTGGTTGTGTTGGACCACCTGATCAAACGAGGGAGGGAGAGGAGTAGTTCCAATTTGGAACAAGTGAGTCCCAGGCAGCGTGTGGTAGGTGTAGCTGTAGCGAAGACGATGGACAAAAGATAAGTGTACCCAAGTGAATGGGACAGCGATGAACATGGGCGACGCAAGGGGATGAACCTTCTCCAGCTCAAAAACTACCCACCCACGCTCCAACCAGGCAAGACGAGCGACCGATGTTTTGATAGTATATGATGGCAGATCGACGTCATGAAGATGGACCTGTTGCCCTATTTGGACCGGCCGCCGGGGCTTTGCTGATATCAGCAGTGGCACGTGGTAGTCAACGGATCGGCGACGGAAGCGGATAGGAAGTGGTGACATCAGAAATGGTGGGGGTGCAAAGAAGATGAGGAGGAGGAGGGTGGAGGTGACGAGGAGGTGAACTAAAATGGGGACCCAGAAACGACCGTCGGGTGAGAATAAAAAGGAGAGGAAGGGGCCCATGGTGGGGCTAGGCAAAGGAAGGGGAGTAAAGGAAACGACAAAAGCGAGGGCACAATGCAATGTGTAGCCAGTGGCGACGCGAAAATTTGCCGAAATGCCGAAATGCGGAAAGTACCGGATGGAAAAGCAAAGGTGAGCGTGACTGGATTGCCTAATAGAGGTGGTGCTGATCAGCCACAAGTTCAAAAAGGGCAATATTAATTACTATTCCACGTGGCACTGTGCCTGTGTGGCGCAAAGGCGAGTCTTTTTGAATATTCGCTTCGTTATTGACACCTGTCCATGCTACCAATCAACTTTGGTGCATGACAACGTCCTATTGTATTTACAATGAAGAAAAATGGTCATAGACCCTCAAGAAGATATCCAGATGACATAGCAATGATCCAACACTGTGTCTGGGAATACTTCAGAGGAATATTGATAAGCAAATCAGGCTATGAATCAGCACCTTCTCATGGGCTTACTGATACAGCCTATCGTACACCTTTTATTAATACTCTCTCTCACGCAATTAGTAAATACAATAGATCAGACCACTTTCTCTCTCCTTTCTTATTGGTTAGTTGGTTGATCAGACCACTATCTTGACTCTTCCTTCTTTCGGTCTGACCATTGCTATTCACTATATAAGGAAGTACATACTCAATGTATTATTCCTTAGTTCAATATTAGTTTGGATTTGCGCTTATACCAATACTCTTCAACCTCAGTACTCTGATTCACCGCCCTCTTCAGGGACTTGTCCAGACATCCGTTGTTATTATATAGCTTCGTATTTGTTGCCTGACACCTAGGTCACCTGTTATTGAAAGGAATCAGCCCAGCTATGAAAGGAGAACCTGGTAACACTGATGGACTCATATTGAAAAATGATGATGGCATAATCATGCGTGACTCAATATAAAAAGGTCCATAGAAATCACTGCAGACAAATGGCATTTGGAAACCTGGAACCTACGGGTCCAGGAAAATGTGCTCAAGGTAACCACTAGCGTATATTTATTCTATTGTGTACAGAAGTTGTATATGAGCTTTTATCATGTAAATCAATGTACAAACAATTGCTAATTGAGACATAGTAATTTTAGTGGTAATATATCAAATGTCCTGCAAAAAGTATTATAACCATGAACCCAAATATAAAATTACAGTATATCAGTAAGCTGCACAGACTACAAAAAGCTCCAGCAATGAAGGACCGCGATAAATTTGATGCATCATCACTCATTGCTAATTTCACTGGTAGGTTCAATCGATACTGTGCCAGACTTGAACCTTACAGACTGAAAGTGAATGGCAACATCATTGCTGCTGGTTTCTTCTGTACTTCTCTCCAGATTGTTGTTATTGGCAGATGCAAAAACAAGACCTGTTGATGGAACCGTGGTGGCTGTTGTTGATGTCCAAGCACTTCTGTTTGTGATGCAAAGCATAATTAGAAGTGGTGCAATGACGTAAAAATCATGGTGAGCGCAAGTCCCAAACTCCCAAACTAATGGTAAGGAGTGGAGCAATGTCAAGACAGATAACACAAACATGTACTTGAGAAAGTATTGGCAGGAAGGTATTGGAGAGATCACTTTGCACACCATACAGTACAATGAAAAGTATAGAGAAGATGGCGTATAGCACACAACTCTCGATCAGGAGAGCAGCAACTGACATATAAGGCACAGTGTGGGCCTTTTCCAATGCTTTACGTGCATGGTAGCGGAAAACAAATATACGTGCAAAAATCAGAATGGTGAGAATGACATTGATGCTAGCAGAGATGGTAAAGTAAAAAAGACCAAAATTGAAGCTCAGTCTGCCCCAGAGATTGCCATTTGGGAGAGAATTTTGGTAGAGAAGGATGATACTCACAGCTGCAAGGGAAAAAAAAGATAGGGTAGTTAGGTCACAGAGGCCTTGCATCTGCTATGCAAAAACCCACCTATTGACGCTATGTACATGATAATAGGTAACACAATAACCCAGCGCCTTTCACTGTATATGATAGAGCAATGCCAAAGCTGAAAGGACAAGAAAAGATGAGCAAAATTTATTAAACATGAGAACAGAAAAAATCCTAGTCACCAACAAGCCATCTACCATCCAGTTTTCCAGCGTGTAAGACACATTAGCAATGATACAGATAGCGCTGGAATACATTGCCAGAGAATATTCCATAGGACCGCTGGGATAATTACAATCTTCCACGAACATTTTTCTCCATATAGTTGAATTAGCAGTGATAAATATAGTGTCAAGTGTAAAAAATACACTCGTATAGAGGATGAGCAGCAGGGTGTGTTTGAGATTTTTCTAAAGACATTTATGATAAAAGAATGCATTCAGACATTGCACAAACAGTACAAAATTGATACCCAGAAAAGAAGAACAAACTGTCAGTTTTGATCACATCTGTGAACGAGATAAAAGAGTAGAGTATACCATAACCTAGCAGCAATAAGGCATCGTCCATAAAAGTGTTACGCTCCGTTGCAATCAAACTAGCAGATTCTTGAGGTGCGTACAACATGGTAGGATGCTACAAGAGAGGATGATGGATGATCTCAACAATCTTGTGATACTTATACTGCAAGAAATACATGGCAAGAAAGAGTTGACAGATCAGAACCTTGAACATGAGCGCTTGAGCTTGAGAAGATAAACTTGGGCAATGGCGAACATAAACCAGTTCAGCATCACATTGGTTTTTTCCAGTGTGCTTGACTGTGACAGGACAGCTGGAAATGATTAATGGCTTTCTAATTCAAGTTCAAGTGATCTTCCCACCGTTATAATCTGACTCGTATGCAAGGCTATGGCTGGTATTTATATGCTGATACCGCCTGAACGTGGCAAAAAGCATGAGATCCTATCACCAGTGCAAATGTGAAGTTCACTGCCACCCCCACACTTGGTAATGTAGTATCTGGTTTTAAAGCCTTCACCTCCCTGTCTTACTGTACCATGGTAGTTATACCATTCACCAAATGTTGACCTGCTATTATGGCATCAAAGGAAGGAACCTTACCATTCAATTACCGTGGCGAGACCTACCGTACATGGTTGTTGGTGATATCTCAAACACATCCAGAACACCCCTTGTTGCCCTTCACGGAGGACCAGGCTTATTGCAAAGCTCTATTTTCCCTCTAAGTGATCTCGCCTCATTTCCCAGCCCTATTCCTGTCATCTTCTACGATCAGATTGGTAATGCCCACTCTACGCACTTGGATGATAAACCAGAGTCATTCTGGACCATTGATTTCTTCATTGATGAGCTAGTCAGTGTCTTGAATCACTTTGGCATTCAAGACTCTTTTGATCTCTATGGACACTCGTGGGGCGGTATGCTTGCTGCTGAGTTCACCATTCACCAAAGATACTCCTGCATCTCGGAAGCTTCAGCATCAAGCACTCATGCGGTGCATGCAGTCTATACCTGAAGAAGTCCAATTGGTGCTTAAAAAACAGGGAGGTAAAATTGACACATCTAACAAAGAATACAACAAAGCTGCTGCATACTTCTGCAAGCAGTTTGGTACACGCTATGCCGATCCCATGCTGGAGGCACTTGCATACTCTCTGAGGCATGAAGATCATCTGGTTGTACTTAATGCAATGTACATTCTAGCATCTACTGTTCTCTTGCCATACTCAGACCATCTGTAATAGGCTCAAAGGCAAAATAAACAGTGACTGGGATGTTACGGATAAGCTCCACCTTATAAGAGTGTTGACACTTCTACTCAATGAAAAATACAACTTTATAGGGGATGAATTGTGCTCCACCTTTTTCTGTAACATCAACAAGGTCAAATGGGTCCAGTTTGCCCAATCCAGTCATGTTCCACACTGGGAAGAGAGGGAGAGGTACATGGAAGTTGTCAAATCATTTTTGGTTGAGTAAGATGTAGCTTTGTAAATATAGATGAAGCAATGTCACTTGGTATCTCAACATTTTGCACACAAGTAGTATACCCACATTGGTATAGTGTGCTTCAAATAGTTTGCATTCACTGTGAGTACAAAACACTTGACATGTTAAGAGGGTGCCATACACGTTGCAATGTACACCAAGATGAAGTTGTTGAGAGAACACAGTATCTCAGTGCTTAGCACTTGGAACTGATCATGGTGTGGTGAACACATGGCTTAGGTGACTCAAACTTGGAAGTCACATTCAATGTTATATTATTTCAGTAGAATACATAGAACACATCATTGAAGTTGTTATCAACTTCTAGCAAACAGACATCAACAGTTATGTTGTTGTTGTTCCTGGGAGCTGCCAGCTGGTGATCAGATTCAGTTGAGAGTGAATGAAGAGCAAACTGCAGAGTGCAGTTCTCAAACCCAAAGATGATGCTTCAGAATTGGGCAATAGAGGGAACCTAATAAGTCAGTTTTAATAATTATTCTTTTGACATTCTAGTGTGCAAACTGTAGGTGTGATCACAAAACAACAAGCATCAGGTGAGATGGTCCCTATAACAGCCATTTCTCATGTTGAATCATCAGCCCAGATAAATTTTGGCTGTGTTTGGTTCACTTGCGTTAGCAAGGATGGAAAGTTTGTGAACCCAAGCAATCTTTTCTTGTCAAGTTGATATTCAATATTTCTGAGGCCTATATATGTTGATGGTTGAGGTAATACGTGTATTGCACTCTCTCCCAACGTGCTTTTATTCAAGGACCCAAGGTTTAGGATGGTGCATATAATTAAGGCAAGGACAAGCATGCAGCTCAAGACTAGCTTGTTATTCCATCACATTTTGCTTGCTAAACAAATAATGGCAATAGTGGGGGCTCTCCTTTGGAAGGACAGTGAAGATACTAACCGTGGCCTCGTCCTTCCTTATTATTTTTGGAAGCTGAACTGTCATCTGCTAGAAGTGGTTGGTAATATTGATGCATAGTTTATCGAAGTGGTTGATCAAAGTCTGAGATGTAAATGGTCAGTTAAGAGGGAAAATAGTCTTGGCCCCAAGCTTGAAATTGTAAGTCATTGAATATGGGAACTGTATTGTTGGCACCATGCGTATGCCTTGGGGACTGTATTTACTCAGGGGTTTCTTCTTTGATCATCTCTCCATTTGAGATCACCACCATTGTGACACTATCTGCAGCGCCGAAGATCAGGTCCATTTGCTAGAATGAATAGTAGCAAAAGATAAAATGTATCAGAATCTTGAAAGCTGTGAACATACAACAGCCAGCATCGTCACTCCCTCATTATCAAAGCAGCCCAAAAAGAGCGTATTTACCATATGGTCTATTGGTAGGAGGAATGACTGTCTTTATCCTAAATGGTATGTGGCCTAGGGGAGACTACATATGGCCAGCATCATAATGCATGATGATTGCGTCTGAAGCATTCAATGGCCATGGCAGTGCCACTTAGCTTTTTTGTATCTGTGTGTGCCACCTTGTTCAAAACCAGTTTCACTCATGCATGTGCATGGGCTTAATTTACAGATGAGTCAACTGTCATACCAGTACTTTGGTATGGCATAGGAGACAACATGGACACCCAGAATTTAAAGGTAGCAACTGTCCTCAGGCTTTTGAACAATCAGATTTCACTTACTTAAAGCAGTACATTTATCATAATATGTCCCATTATTCACATTTTAATAGCTTTTAATGGATTGTTGTCATGCACCAAAGTTGATTGGTAGCATAGACAGGTGTCAAAAATGAAGCAAATATTCAAAAAGGCTCGCCTTTGCGCCACACAGGCACAGTGCCATGTGGAATAGTAATCAATATTGCCTTTTCTGAATCTGTGGCTGATCAGCACCACCTCTATTAGGCAATTCAGTCACGCTCACCTTTGCTTTCCATTCGGTACTTTCTGCATTTTGGCATTTTGGCAAATTCTCGCATCGCCACTGGCTACACATTACATTGCGCCCTCGCTTTTTGTCGTTTCCTTCACTTCCCTTTCTTTGCCTAGCCCCACCATGGGTCCCTTACTCTCATTTTTATTCTCACCCAACGGTCGTTTCTGGATTTTAGTTCACCTCCTCATCACCTCCACCCTCCTCCTCCTCATCTTCTTTGCTCCCCCACCATTTCTGATGTCACCACTTCCTATCCGCTTGCGTTGCCAATGAGTCGACTACCGCGTGCCACTGCTGATATCAGCAAAGCCCCGGCAGCCGGTCCAAATAGGGCAACAGGTCCATCTTCATGACGTCAATCTGCCATCATATACTATTAAAACATTGGTCGCTCGTTTTGCCTGGTTGGAGCGTGAGTGGGTAGTTTTTGAGCTGGAGAAGGTTCATCCCCTTGCATTGCCCATGTTTATCACTGTCCCATTTACTTGGGTACACTTATCTTTTGTCCATCGTCTTCGCTACAGCTACACCTACCACATGCTGCCTGGGACTCACTTATTCCAAATTGGGACTACTCCTCTCCCTCCCTTGTTTGACCAGGTGGTCCAACACAACCAGTCCATTGGTAAGGCCATGGAACTGTCGGATTTGGACTAGGTGGTGGACCGGTGGCTCTAGTTTCTTTTTTTTCAGCAGAACATTCATTTACAGTGCAATTATTAACGATTTTTGAATCATTTTTATGGACACATACTTTTTTAGAATGCCTGACTGACAATAAAGGAACTGTGTTGATACTGATAGTGTTTTGCCTTGCCTTTTTTTTACTGCATCTTCCCATGACATCATGATTTTCCTGCTCTCTTTTTGCTATTGGACTTTACTTTATGGCTGTACAAACCTGTGACATTACTCACAGCATTCATTGTTCTATCCCTTTCTTTTTCCTTTTTTTGACAATTTTATCCTGTACTACCTACGTAGGATTTGTCAGCGTACATTCCTTCCTTCATGTTCTTTCTCATTCTTTTTGCACAGCTATACTATGCATAGCCTACTTTTCTTTCACTATATAAGCCCCTGTATTTTACCTTGTAAAAACAACAAGCACTTGATTCTAGACTTCTTCTCTAATTTCAAGTTCACTACTCTGCTACTTGTGATCCAGTGTAGTCACAACACTTCCCACTGCTACCACTGTTAACTGCTGTCATCATCACTCGTCACTTTTGAAGTCTTTATCATCCCTTTTGATTAGAGTCCTTCTGAGCACTACAGTTTGTGCGTCAGGAGCCTGTTATCACTGGGAACCTTGTCATCTTGTTGTTCTCAAACCTACCTTGTGCTACAATTAGCAAGGTAGTGCTCGTCTATACTCGCCACAAAGCACCTATCTTTCTATATTCTAACCACCCCTCCTTCTCAAAACCCACACCCATACATCTCTAGGTTTTACTTTGAAGGATCATTATACGTACCACCCCACAAACAACCAGACCACTCCACTGTTCTAGGAGGCAAAGCCTATAAACAAGTTCCGTGGAATCTGGGAGGATTATGTGTTAGTTTGTTTTTGTGTGTGGTTTTCTAACAACAGTTCTCATCATTGACATCATGAAAAGCTGTTTGGGAGACACAACTCACCATGCACAGACACAGCTACATTGTCAGTGTTTATGAAGTTCACAGGGGAAACATTTTCAGTGGACGCAATCATTGGTCTGGGCTTGTGGCTCACATCCCAGAAGCCTCTTAATCTTCGAGCAGCATACTATGGATGGACTCATTGGTATGATGCAGATCCTTAGTAAAGCAACTGCAATGTTGGCCACTAGGACATTTATCATCTTGTTAACTGTCCTGAATTGTTTCTGTCAGGCAACAAATATGAAGCTATATAACAAGAACAGATGTCTGGTTAAGTCCCTGAAGAGGGCGGTGAATCAGAGTACTGAAGTTGAAGAGTATTGGTATAGGCGCAAATTCAAACTAATATTGAACTAAGGAATAATACATCAAGTATGTACTTCCTTATATAGTGAATAGCAATGGTCAGACCAAAAAGGGGAAGAGTTAAGAAAATGGTCTGACCAGACAACTAACCAATAAGAAAAAAAAGCAAAAGTGGTCCAATCTATTGTATTTACTAATCGTGTGAGAAAGAGTATTGGTAAGAGGTGTACAATTGACTGTATCAGTAAGCCCATGAGAAGGCGCTGATTCATAGCCTACCTTGCTTATCTATATTCCTCTGAAGTATTCCCAGACATAGCATTAGATCATTGCTATATCATCTGGATATCTTCTCAAGGATCTACAACAGTTCTCCTTTGTTGTAAATACAATAGGATGTGAGTATGAATGGAAAATAAAAAGATAAAAGATAAAAACAATAAAATGCCAACCGTGATTTCTAGTCCAAGAGCAAGAGGAGTGACAGGGAATGAATCGGATAACCACAACATGATGGGAATGCAATGAGAAAAACCAATTCCTTACAGTTTCCTTCTCTTTTACCTTGTGCGCAATGGCAAGGATGTCAGCATGTCTAGGCCAGATACTCGTAGTAAGTCATTGGTGGACATATTCTACACACTGCAGAAGAAATAGCCAGGTCTGACCCATTCCTGATCACAGCTTATTTGTACATTGGGGATGATTTCCCATCTACAGCCCCCCTTTTACATCCGCTGCCTCTGGTGCAATTAACAATGGAGGAATCCCTTTGCTTTCAAATTTCTAACAAAACATCAAGGGCTCAGCCCTGGTGGAAGAATCTTGCCACCAATGTGGGCTATGTCCACCTTGGTCCCAGGCAAAGAGTATTTGCCCTTGCCACTTATCACGCACAACACTGCCTCTACATGTTTGCCGAAGTCTTGTTAACCCCACGACCACGAGGTGGTAATTCTCACCTCCAACTGACAAAACCGGATAAACCCGGTCTCTGATAAAGCAGCCATTGTTCTCCATGGAGCATAGCCACCACTCCATGGAGTCACCATTATTCTCCATGGAGTCACCATTGTGCTCCTAGGAGTTATTATACTGTAGCGAGTAGCACCTCCGACTATAAGTAGTAGGGGGTTTAGTATAGGAATACCTCAGTCATTTCTATAGCCTCTCAGGCAGTGGCTGAGGTATGTTACATTACATTTATTAGAGATCACCTTAAACTATCATCTATTGTAGTTTCACTTAGATTTATTAGGTTATGAGCCCTGGCCAATGCATATTTTCTCATACTATAAACAAATGTCATAATTTGTCAGCCCCACTATAGTTATGAGATGTAATCCATGTTAGTGCCATTACTATTATATAACCCATCATCACTCTATCATGGGTGAGGGAGGCCATTGCAACACACAATGGGATCCGCACCTGTGTACAGTGATTCTGGACCTTCTGGGCATCCAACCAATCAGTATGCTTTCCAAGTACACCTTGGTAGCTTAGTTGGTAAAGCACCAGACCATGAAAGCTGGAGTCCCAGGTTCAAGCCCTGTCCAATGCATGTTTTCTCATACTATAAACAAATGTCATAATTTGTCACCAACATTGTTTGAATTATCTCTGACAGAACTTCCTGTGTGCTGCAGACACTACTCTGGAGCCTCTGGATTGAGAGCACAGAAACTTTGCTGCTGACAGTTCAAAGGAAAGTTGGACAAGGACATGTAGAGATTGGACTGCCTTGTGACTATGTCGATGCTAGCCACAAAGAGTGGATAGACTTTAAAAATAATACTCAATAAATAGCATGTTTTCCATAGATTACTGCTATTGGTAGTGCCTTTTGACTTTTTTGTTCCCAATGGGCCTGTGAATTACCGTTGATTGTCAACTGATAGAACTGTTGTCTGTACTATATTCTGTACAATACATGTTGTGTGTTTGAGGGAGGACTACATAGCTAGGGCAATAATGTTTTTACTACATTAAAATTAAAATTGTAATACATGAACAAGCCGCCCCCAATGACAGTATAGTGATTGCAACAATTACTCTAGTTCAGAGCCTGAAAAACTGCAAAAGCAACACTACAATTTGATAAGGCCTTCCCAAGTAAATGGGAGTTGGGGATTACAGGTAAGACTACCAATAGCTGTTTAAAATGCTCGGGCTTGCAAGAAGAGAAATTTGGAGAAGAGGGATAAAGCCTATAAGGAACCTCTGCCAATATCCTCACCAACAAATGCATTATAGTCTTTAGTAGCTTCATCATATAAAACCCTCTAATCACAACAGGTATATTGTGACCAAGTCAAGTCAACAATTGCCAGTGGAACATTGGATTGTACAGACTCCAGCGCTGTGTGCAAGTGGCACAGCACCATCCGGCGAAAATAGTTCATGTAATGTTGAGTGAGCTCCCAAAGTGACGGACTATCATCATGCAGGGGATCCAAGTCTGGCAACCCAACGAGCTTGGCATGAATAACGTCAAGGCATTGTAGTTGATGGAACATGGCCACTGTAAAATGCTGTCCAGCTGAGCCCAGGTGAATGACACCATTTCCAGGTGGAATGAGCACATTCCACTCAGAAATGGCTGTAGTACCATTTAGTTGGTATTGATGTGTGTCTTCTGAGAAGATTTCAACCTCTCCCAGAGAAATAGGCCATTCACCGGCAACTTTGTGATGTGGCCATGCTATGATTTGAAGTGAGAGAATGCTGATAGAATATAACTAGTTGCAGGTGTACCATGCTGAGCACCAATCTGGAGTTCTTCTTGAGGAGCATACTTTACCCAGAGCTGAGAGAGAAGAAGTGCTGCAAGCATGAGGAGATTAGCGCAATAATACCACCCCTCCAAATCTAAGTCATCCACGTTGTGCCAATAGGACTTGTCAGCTTCTTTGTCTGTGCCAATGATAGTGTGTTCATCTATGTCACATCCCGACTCTTGAGATGTCATTCCACAATAAGTAGCTGGCAGGACATGTACAAGGTCCTATAAATGCGGGGCTTTTTCCTTGTATTTGGTTGCCATTTCTTTGAGACAGAACTGTTCAATCTGTTTGGCTGAGGCCCTTGTAGCGTTGAAATGCCATCCTGCATCTTCAGAAGCCAGCTGATTGATCTCATTTGCACAGGTATCCTTTACTATTCTCATGGCCCACTTAATAGAAGTCTCATCAGATATAGGGTGCAGATAATGAGCTTGGAATACTCAAAATAGGGCTGTACTGTGGGATAGGAGGTCCTCCACAACCACATGTTTGTTGTAGGCTGGGGTGCAAAGAATATAAATAATTAGTTGTGAAAGCTAGATACCTAAAGATATAAACTCATTAAGGATAGAGTTGAACAATCTTTGCGCCATGCTCGATCAGTGATGGCTGTGATTCAGATTGTTATCATTTCCGCAGTAGGCTTGTTTTTAGCTACTATAACAGGCAGCTTCAAATATTATATATTTTGACTTGTTTTCTCAAATCAGTTTCAGTTTGAAGTCCGACACTGTTCTTGCATCACCATCACTGTGGCTGGGCTTTGCTTACAAACATTTTATGCCAGCCACTGTGGAGAGAGAGCAAGGAATAAAGTTGTGCTGGGTTTGAAATTCATGTTCACGTGATAACCTATTAATAACACTAACACTCCCTAGGATTTATCCTCCTCTATTGACACAGTGCAGCTAGGGGAGGAGCCTGGTCTAAAACCTACCTTGTTATTTCATTCATTCCGCTGCAACAAGGTGTCTGATTCACATTTTTATTTCTACACAGGGACCTAGAGAACTCAAAATAGCAACTACTCGTGGTCCTCCAAAGACTCTAGCTCCACTCACTGGTGAGCAATTTCACTCCTCGCAAAAACGAGTGCAACATCTGTCCAACGATAGTATTCTCCTTCTCCACAGTTTATAGAGGCGCCATGCGTACAAAGTACTCACGCAATGCTAGTACCTCATCCAACAACTTTGTTCTCCTTTCTGACAAAACCGGATAAACCCGGTCTCTGCCAAAGCAGCCATTGTTCTCCATGGAGCATAGCCACCACTCCATGGAGTCACCATTGTTCTCCTAGGAGCACAATTGTACTCCTAGAAGTCATTATACTGTAGCAAGTAGCATCTCCGACTATAAGTAGTAGGGGGTTTAGTATAGAAATACCTCAGTCATTTCTATAGCCTCTCAGGCAGCGGCTGAGGTATGTTACATTACATTTATTAGAGATCACCTTAAACTAACACTTATTGTAGTTTCACTTAGGTAAATAATAAAGTTGTTTCTATAGCCTCTCGAGCAGCGGCTGAGTTTCACTTAGTTTTATTAGGTTATGAGCCCTGGTGCGCAAAAGCTACACAGGAAATAATTCTTATTTGAAACAGCAACCTCAAAACCATGACCACAGCACGTGATACATCCGCATGTCCAGTCCTCAGTGGACCCAACAATTTTCAGATATGGAAACTCCGGATCATCTCAAAACTACGTTGGGAAAAAGTTCTCCAGGTTGTTACTGGAGAGGAGCTTAAGCCCTCACCAGGAAAACCTACCTCCTTGGAGGATCCTGAAATCACCTGGATACTTAAGGATGAGAAGGCACATGGAATCATCCAGGACCACATCTCTGATGCCCTCCTAATGAGGACTGGAGACCTCACCAGCTCCAAGGAGTTGTTTGATAAACTTGTTTCACTCCATCAAACATCCAACATTGCCTCAGCATTCTATTCATTCCAGCAACTCACCAAATTGTCCTGGGATGGGACATCACCTATCCAGGACCACATTGCAAAAATCCGGACAATTGAGTCACACCTCTCCGGAATGAAACTAGGAGTTGATACCAAACTCATGGCCTTCACTCTTCTCAAATCTCTCCCATGCACTCCTAAATGGCAAATATTTCAGTCATCAGTAATCAACACAATTGAAGAAAATAAACTTACCTTTGATGCAGTTGAGATCTGGATCACTGCAGAAGTTGCACGACAGTCAGGGAAGGCCCCTGGAGGTTCTGAATCAGCACTCAAATCCGAGGAGAAATGGTGTAACTTCCACAAAGCCAAATCACACAACACCTTGGAGTGTCAAACACTTCAGTCAGCTGAAAAAGGTCAAAGGAAGAAGGGAAAGGAAAGACACAAGGATAAAGGAAAAGAGAAGGAAAAGGCAAATACGGCGGAGCAATCATCTGGATCTGACTCTGAGGAGGAACAGAGTCATATTGCATTGGAACGTGTACATATTTCCAAGCCCCTTGCTAAACACATTCAAGCTTACCTTGTGTCAGAACCCGATAAGACCAAAACAACAATTATTATTGACTCTGGAGCAACATCCCACATGGTCCCTCACTGCTCCTGGCTTGAGCCAGGAACGTACCATGTTCTGCATCCTCCAAGGACAATCAGTTTTGGGGATGAATCCTCTGTAAATGCCATTGGCATTGGAACAGTAATCCTACAAGCAACTGTTGGCAAAAAGGACTACAATATTGCACTGTCAAATGTTTTACTTGTGCCAAACTTCACTTTAGCACTCGTCTCTGTCCACAAATTGTCCAAAACGGGGTTATCAACACTTTTTCCAGCAGGGTCAAATGCTTGTGAAGTTTGGAAAAAAGAGGAACTTATCCTCACTGCCTTATACAAGCAAGGACTTTATCACATCCAAGCAAAACCTGAAATCAACCCGGAGTCAGCTTTTGCAGCAGTAGATGTAAATTTATTGCACAGGAGAATGGGACACATTGGAATAAACTGCTTGCAACAAATGGTTACAAAAAGACAGCTCCAGGACATAGACATCCTTACCGGAACCCTGGAGTTTTGTGAACCTTGTGCTTTAGGAAAGATGAAGAAATTACCTTTCAAGTCCACTGGAGGAAATTGAGCCAAGCGCCCCATACAAATTGTGCACGCAGATGTTGGAGGACCAATCAAACCAACTTCCAGGGAGGGTTTTGTACTGGATTATCATTGTAGATGATTTCTCTAAATTTCCATGGATATATTTCCTAAAACATAAAAGTGAAGCACTGGAACGATACAAGCAATGGAAAGAAGATGTCCAAACATTCTTCCAGACTCATTTTGGAGAAGAAAACTCCACTCCACTATACACAGAATTCTTCTGGAGCGATGGGGGAGGAAAATATACTGGCAATGCATTCAAAAATCAACTCCAAGGAGATGGTGTCATCCAAGAAACTACAGCTGCAGATACTCCAGAACAAAATGGCATTGCAGAATGCATGAATCAGATATTGGCTACATTAGCAACCACTATGTGTAACAACCAAGAGTTAGTTACTCTGGCACACACAAAAACACACTATAAAGAAGATGTTGAGGGAGTGGTTACCCCTTAAGCTGCAGAGAGTTTGTTGGTATACAACAGGAGGACTCGCTAAGGAGTCTTCTGTATCTATTGGGGTATATATATTAATACAGAGTGTTTGTACTTATATACTATACAGTTGATAAAGTTAGTGGCTTGATGATGTCAGGGCCTAGCCCGCATGACCAACTCCACTGTGTGAGAGAGTTGTGTCTAAAATAAGAAGAAGGCAACACGGCGCAAAAAAGAGGAGTTTGAACAAAAGGGGAAGTGCCACGTGGCACGGAGTGTGAACTATAGTAAAAGGTTAAAGCGGAGAATGAAAATGAAGGAAAGGTCCAAAAATTGTGTGACCGTAATACTATGCTCCATGATTCCAAGCTCCCAAAGTCATTTTGGGTAGATACCATGCAAACAGCTGCATATATCACAGCACGCAGCCCAGCATCAGGACTCCATGGAAAGACCCCATATGAAATACTGTTTAAAAGGAGAGTTGATCCAACTTTGTTTCACCCTTTCGGATGCCAAGCATATGCCTTGATTCCAAAAAACAAAAAGCAAGGGAAGTTTTACTCCAAGGAGCGCAAAGCCATAATGATTGGCTACACACATGGAAAGCAAGCCTACAAACTCCTAGACACTGAAAAACGGACTGTGTTTTCCAGTTGGCATGTCATATTCAATGAATCCGGAAAGGTACAAAAGGATGACACTGCTCCCTGGAACACAGACACTAGCACAGATCAGTGGGAGGGACTCATTCCAGAGAATGCTCACTATCCAGACCAAAAAACATTGGAGGAGGATGATCCTGACCCTCGGATCCGAGATCCAAATGAATTGCAAATGGAACCACATCTCCAAGGAGATGTTCCACAAGCAATGGAACCATATTAGCATGAAGATGTTCCGAGAGCAGTGGGAGCACCTGATCAGCTAAGACACCCTCCACAACAGTCTCTACAACCAAGACCTGAACACTGGCCATCTTTAGAACGGAAAGCCAGAGTAGAGTTACAGTCAGTGGGAGAACAGCCCCTCAACATACAGCCAGCTGATGTGGAAAAAGTCCGGATACAGCTAGACAGCCTGTCCATTGGATCAGCTTCTGGAAGGCATACAACACCTCCAAGGAGTCATCCAATGCCTCCGAGGAGTGATTCAACACCTTTAGGAGTGAGTGGGGCAATAAATACACAAATACATCTACTCCCTGGAGTACCTGCACAAGTTCCTAAAAGAGCAGTCATGCCTGCTGAAGTCCTAGGAGTACGCAGAAGCAGTCGCCAGACCCATCCTGCAGACAAAAACCGAGATTATCAAAGGACTCTAGATGAGGAACAGTCTCAAAAAGAGCAGCATGACAACTCCATGGAGAAACCTAACACTCCTGAGGTTCATGAAGAAACATCTGATACAGAGGAGACATTCTTTGCTGGAATAGCAAGTACTGGTCCATCTAACACAGACCTTCCAAGGACACTAAAGGAAGCCTTATCACGTCTGGATGGAGAATTATGGAAGTCTGCCTTGGAGGAGGAACTCCTAAGTCTCAATACTAATGCAGTATATGACACTGTTCCACTTCCGAAGGGAGTAAAATCCATCACATCAAAACCTG